TTTAATATTAATAATTACTACTTGCAGTACTAGAATATTTATACTAATAAAAATATTTAGTTTAAGTACTAGAATAATGTATATATAAACGTGTTATAAAATTTAAACTTATTTGCTAAATTTAGTATATAATAGTATATAAATTATAATATATACTAATTTAAATATTATTATTTTTTTTAGGCCTGCGCTAGCATATTTAACTAGCTTTTTTAGTATTTTTTATATTATATTTTAAAAATTTTTTTTAATAAAAAACTTGTTTGCTAATATAATTGCTGCCTTAGTATTTAAATAAATAGTAAAATTTAGCTATTATTATTTATTTTTAATTTTAAACTTTAATTTATACTAGTTTTATACTAATATTGCTCTATTTACTAGTAGCAAAGTTTTTAATTTTATAACGCAAGGTTATTTTAATAGCTTAAATACTTAAGCTGCTAAATTAAGTAGAATATATAATAAGTTATTTATTTTTAGCTTTTTTTAAATAACTATAAAAATATTATATAATTTATTATATACTTATCTAATATGCGTGTAAAGCTAATTATTAGAAAAAAACTTATAGCTATAAAAGTAATAGTAAATTTAGTAATTTACTAAATATTTTTTTAAAGAAAAAAATTTTTATATATATTTAATAAAATAGGCTACTTTATTTTTGCTATTTAACTACTTAGTATATAGCTTTTTTACTATTAAATTATTAGTTATTAAGCAGGCTTATATATTTAAATTATAATTATTTAAGTTTTTGCTTATTATGCAATTTTTTTTTAATATAAGGCTATTAGAGCTAAATTATAATTTAAAATTATATAATTTTTTTATTTTTTTTTTAAATATAAAAAAAACTTTACTATTATATAAAAGTATATTTTAAAATAAAGTGCTAGGCTTATTAAAATACTATTTTTAATTATAGTATATTTTTTAAATTTAGTTATACTATTGCCTATTTATGCTAAAATATATATTATTTAGCTACTAGGCATTTAGCTGCCTTAAGTAGTTAAAATTTTGTTTATTTATATTTTTTTATATAAGAAGTAAAGTAGACTTATTTTACTATTTTTTTTTTTACTTATTATAATAAAGTATAATAGCTATATTTGCGTTTTACTATCCTTGCTATTATTATATATTAGAATTATTTTTATATTATTAAAAATTGCTATTGCAGTAGCTTTAATTCTAAAAATTTAAATTTTTATTTAGCTAATAACTATAATAAGCAGTATTATTATTTGCTAAAAAATTTAAGCTTTTATTTTTTTAGTTATTATACTAATAGTAAAAAGGTTGCTTATTTTAGTTAAACTTATTTTAAAAAACTTTAATTAATATATATTTGTATTTTTTAAGTATAAATAAAAAATTATTAAATTTTATACTTAATTTTAAGTTTTGTAAGTATACTTAAATTTGCGCATTTAATAAGTTTTATATATATATAATATACTAGTTATTATTATTATAACTGTATTTAGTATTTTAACAAAGTTATTTAACTTTTAGAAACTATTTTATTAAAAAGCGTTTTTTTATTAAATTTTTAAAGTTATATTATTTTTTTTATAAATAACTTAAGGCAATAAATAATTAAATTTAAAAAAGTTTTAGCTTTTTTTCTTATTAGTTTATATTTATTTTTTTAATAATTTTTAGCTTATATTTTAGTCTTAAGTTTAACTAGTACTAAAAAAAAGCTATTTTTTTAAAATATTAGTGCAGGTTATTATAAATAGTGTATTTAGCTATTGTTTAAAAAGTAATAATAATTTTTATAGTATTAATAAAATTGCAAATATTTTAATAGTATATTTTATTAAATATATTTACTATATTGTTTAAATAGTTGCGCGCAGATATATTTAGCTAAAAAAAACTAATTTATTTAAAAATAAATTTTAAAGTACTGCTTATTGCTTTTATTTATATATTATTATTAGCTATTTTAGCTTTTTCTAGCGTAAGACCTTAATTACTTTAATTATATTATAGCTATATTAAAAGGCAAAAATTTTTATATAAAGCTTTTAATAAATACTAGTTTTATTATATATAAAGGAAGCCTTTACTATTAATAAGTTTTATTTTTAAAAAAAGTCTAGTTTAGCAGCTAATTAATATATTATTACTAAGTTAATTTAGTTATATAATATATTTACTATATTACTTTTATATTTACTAAAAATTACTTTTTAGTAGTAGTACTAGACTATTACTTCTAATTATATATATATAGTATTTGTTTTTATTAAACTACTATTAAATACTTTATATTAAAACTTTATGCTAAGTTAGTAGTAGTTAAATGTATATATATAATATTTTACTAATATTATTCTAAAATTTTGCAAGTATACTTTTAAGTTTTTTTTATATAATAAATTAATTTTGCTATAGTAAAAGTTTTAAAAGCAATTTTTTAGTAATAGACTAATTTTAAATTAGTTAATAAAAATTATTCTAGTAATTAAGTATAATAGTTAATAGTTTTTAGTAATTTTTTTACTATTATTTGCCTAATTGCAGTCTAATTACTAAAATTAAATTTAAATTATTTAGTAGCTATAAAAATAGTTATTATATATTATTTAGCTAGTAGTTTCTTAACCTAGTTATTTATTTTAATATTATATAATACATGCCTAAATTTAAATTTTTTAAATATATTATAAAAAATCTTTCTTTTTTTTATAAAATAGTTATAATAGTATTTATATATTATAAAAAGTTGCAAACTAGCAATTTTGCTACTATATACTAAATTACTATTTTTTTCTTATTCTACTTGCGTTTTTGTATAGGCTAAACTTTAGTAAAAATTATAAGTAGTAAAGTTTATTATATATTTGCTACTACTATAAAAATATATATAATAAGTGTGTAGTTAATTCTGCGTATAATTAAAAATAAAAAAAGTAATAAAATATTATTACTATTTTTTATTTTTTTAATTTTTTAATAAGTTTACTGTATTATTAAATGTATAAATAAGTTTAGTAAAGTAAGTAATAATTAAGTATAGTATTATTTTTATAGCGTTATTAAAATTATTATAATAAAAATTTCTACTATTGTGTAAAATTGTTTTGTATACTTTTAGTTTATAAAAAATTATAATATAATAAATAATTATATTTATATATTAAAAAAGTTTATTTTGCGTTTAATATTTTGTTTAGTAGCTTATTTTTTTTCTAAATATAGTAACTAAATAAACAGATATTCTAGTTTAGCTTAATTTTTAAAAAAAAGCTATTTAAGTGCAGAAGTAGGCTAAGTTTTTTAAATTAAAAAAGTAACGCTGCGCTAAAGCTTAGCTTTAAATAATATAAATATTTTATAAAACTTAAGTATACTAATAATAATTTTAAATATTTTAATAAGTATAAAAGAGTAATATTCTAGTAAATTATTTAAATAGGCTATAAAATTATAAGCACGTATAATAGTATTTTTAATAAATTTTAAAAAAAAGTACTATAATATAAAGCAAAGCTGCCTAATTATTATTTAGCTAGTTAAGCTAATAAAAGCTATAAATTATAAACTATAGTAAAAGCTATAATATTAGAATAATTACTATTAGTTAATATAGCAGGCTATTCTAATAAAAGAAAAACATAGTTAAATTAGTGCTATGCAGTATATGTCCTTTTAAATAAAAAAAAATAATAAAAAATAAAAAAAAATAGTAGTAATAAAAGGCGTTTTAGTAAAATTTAGCAAGCTTATTATTTTTAGTATACTTAATAAAGTGCTGCTAAATTTTAACTTTAAGTAGTAATATTTTAAAAATATTTAGCTTTTATAATAAAAGTATTACTAAATTAAGAATTTTTGCAAATACGTTTTAAAAAGTAAAAAAAAAATAAATAATAAAAATTTTAAGTATAATTATATAATTGCTTAATATTTATTAGTTTTTTTTTTTTACTAAACTATAGTTTTATAAATAATAAAAGAAGTTTGTAAGTTGCTAAATAAGCTAAATATTAATTTTTATAAAAATTTTTATTTAATTAATAGTAAACTATAATTGCGCTAATAAAAGATAACTAAAATTTAAAATTATTATATTATTATTTTTAAAATTTTTTTAAAAAAGTACTTGCTATACTTAATAATTTTTAGTAGCTATACTAGTATAATATTTATTTATTATAATAGGCTAGTATTTTAGTAATAGTATTAAATACGTTTTTATAAAAGTATAGTTGCTATATAAATTATAAAGCTCCTATAATACTATTTACTAAATATATAATAAAATATAATTATATATTTAATTTTAGAATTTAATTTAAAATTAATTATATTAAAGTGTAAAGTTTTTAGCAATATAAAGTTAAAATACTACTTTAATTTTAAAGCCGCGCAAATTATAATTAGCTATACTAAAATTATAAAAAATATAAGAATTATTAAATACTTTAGCTACTAATTTATTATAATATAAAAATAATAATCTGTATTTATAAGTTTTATTAAGCTAAACTAGCTACTAGGTAAATAATATACTTTATTCTAGCACAGACTATCCTTCCTTGGCGTTTACATGACAGATAACGTTTGTGAGACTACTATTGACCTTGTAGCCTTGGAACGTTGAACGACTTGGTCCTTTTGCTATGCCTGCAAAGCAACAGCCAATCGCGAGAGGCATAGTTCATGCCTTTAATACACGACCTAAGTGCCACCATAACTGCGTGTCGTGCAGCGTAGATAGAGCAGTCAACGATAAATAGCAACACGACGTAAACATTGCAACGCATCGCAGCAGACACTTCCAGGGGGCGACATGTCAGCACTGACTTCGTGGCATTCAGCTTAAGATGAATAGAGATAGACGGGATCTGTCGTTCGCGTTGTGTATAGTTCATTAGGCTGACAAGCTACGAGATCTAAAGAGTGGCTACTAACTCCTCACCAGCTTCCATCTTTAGACGCATGTACACAAAGGGAATGTCCGCTATCCGCGTAGTTGATCGCACTACATATTCCTCGGTCCCAGGCCTACTACCTGAGCACTCATGCTCCTTGTGCTAGCTGCTTTCACGCACCCGCACGGAAAGTAGCTGAATAGCTCAGTAGCCGTTGCCATATCCACCCTTGGTCGTGCAGACCGTCTTTGTTTCCGTAGAGACGGACGTGATCGGAACCTTCGCAGTTTCTGTGCAGATGGAGTTGCTTGTTTTGGTAGTGATGACTGTCTCCTTCACGGTGCCGACACTGGTCTTGTACGAAGTGCCAACGGAGCTACAGGAATGTAAGAATGGTTATATGCACAGGACAAGAGTGAGAAAGACTTACGTAACCGGGATTGTCTCGCACTTAGTGTCTGACTTGACATCGCTCTCCACTTTAGTGTTAGTGATAGTGGTGACCGTGGAGTAGGTCTTCGTCGTGAGATGGGTCGTGAGAGAGATGATGGTCTAGCACACGATAAGTACACGTCGGGTGTGAGTTATAGTCAATTACCTTGGTCGTGTAGCCGGTGCTGGTGGAGAGGACTGCCGATACACTCGTGGTTGGCTTGTCAACAACATTGGTGACAGGAATGACGACAGTCTTGGTGGATAGATACGTGGTCTTCCCCTCTCCAACGCTGGTAATGGTGAGGTACTCTACAGTATGGTTAGGCTAGCCCCGCATTATGATAGCTGGGTACTGACTAGAGGAGCATATGGTCTCCTTGGAAGGAGGTGGTGGATACACGACGGTCGACTTGGGCGGCGCTGCGTATTCAGAGGTGCCGCCAGGGAAGGCTACAGCGAGAGAGGCCGAAGCCAAAAGAGTCAAAATAGCGTTCTTGAGCATTTTGGAGAACACAGGGTTGAGTGGTGGTTATTGTAAAACGATTGACGGCCTGGAGCAATTGTACTGCAGCGAGATATGGAACGATTGCTGGTGATTTCCTTCTGAAGCGGAGCATGGAGGCTACTTTATACTCCAGTCTGCCCCATATGCCATCAATCACCTGTTCTCCTGCCGTACTCGTAAGCATTTCTCCACGACATCGTACGCAGCAGACACGAGAAAGAGCCAAACTCGTGTTTTCCAGCGGTAAAGCAAGGTACGGACGGTCGTACCTGGGACACATCATCGCGTAATGAATCGATAATGGAGTCACTGCGGAGCTGAGCGGTGTGGGTGAAAATCAGTTGGGTAGGAGAGACTTGATGCAAACTGAGGTCATACATTCCCCTCACAAGGATGCACGGATTCGTTTGGAAGCGCAGTGGCAGCTTGATGTGATGATGAAAACTAATGTGACTCAAAAAATAGTGCCCGCAAACAGACCCGAGCAAGCAAACCTAGCTCAGACCAGGATATAACTTGAGGAGTCGTGGTAAACAGTACATCCTCTTGGCTGGTGGTCAAGGCCAGGCCAATGTTTCATGCTTGAGTTTCCGTAGGAGAGCCCCTGTCCATATCTACGATGCTTCAGAACGGGTTGACGGATGACATCGCCTCCAAGATGGGTACATCAGGGATCGAGAGGCGTGGGTACAACAGGTGGTTGAGAAGCATGTCATGAAGACTTGCAATGCTGATCCACTGCGGGGTCTATGTTGTACATGCACGTTCGCAGTCGTGCAAGCTGCTAATTTCACGCGTGCTTCTGAATCCATCAAGATGGGGCCGAAATGCTGGGAAAGTCGGAGCAACGTGAGGAGCTTATCGGGAGCCAACAGCGATTCTTGTGTCCCTGAACGATACTACCAGCCTACTGAGTCCGCATGGCGCGAGAGTCAATTGGCTCGAGGAGAGTGACACTATGCAGGTTCGAGTGGTGAGCTGGCAGCTTTGCTCAGCGATATGACCGGAATAGCTCTGGATTGTCTGACATCTCTAGATTGAAAAAAGTTGTCGGGATGCTAGCAATGGGTTGAAGAGGAAGCGTTGTATGGCTCCCTTCTCTCGTTCATGTTCGGCCCGAAGTTTTTCCATCGGTCGCGGCCTCAATCGCAACTTTTTGTGCCAGCCATTGAATGCACTTCCCGAACACCGCCGACTCACGGCTCACCGGTTTTTGGCTGATTTGATCAATTTACGAATCAACACTATCAGAGGTTATTTGTGCGACAACCGTCGACCGCTAGGAATTCGTTGCAGCACTGCCAGCCCGCTCGGGGGTCCGCAAGCGATCGCAGCATGGGACGCTGATTCTGCAATTGTCCGACACATCCTCCGGGTTACCTGCATCCCTGCTGTGCGGGTATATGGAAGGCCTCCAGAAGGTTCCGATCCCTCGAATGATGGCTAGGCCTACGGCTGCACCGGCCAATCCTCCCACACGACCTCCGTCTGAGACCGTATACGAAAGCACGCCTATCACATCACCACGCTCACTACGACAACTGTCGATATTCCTTATCGGGGGCGCTTGTCTTCTCGCATCAACGGCAATAACACGAAAGGCTGTTTGGCGGCGGCAGCTCCGAGTCAAGCCCAAGTTCTACGAAGCCAACACGAACCCTCACGAGTTCTTCAGTCCCTTCCAGGACGCTTGTCAGGCCCTAAATATGGCCACGATGAACTGCGTCAGCGTCGGGATCATGGCGCTGGGTGGTACCATGTGGGCCTTCGATATCGCCAACCTGAAAGAGGCTCAAACGAGTCTTAGGAGCCGCTTGAACTACGATAGTATATACAAGTCCGATGACGCGGTCCCGCAAACAATCAGTGAGATGATGAAGGCATCACAGGAGATGAGAATACAAGAGGAAGGGGACAGCAATAACAAAATTCAATAACGATGGTTGGACGTGTATGATTGTCACTGTAAGAGTAGTGTATAAAGTTCATCTCACAAGAGCCTAACCCAAATTCCTGCGACACAATGGCATCTTAGAGCTCGAGCTGGTCGAGCGATTTCATAAGAGAGGGACATGCAATCAAGCGCAGTATTTCCATCTCTATCCAGCCAAAAGTCGGCAATGACTCCTACCACAACGAGTCTATTATTCACTTGGTCGGGTACTTTCGTCGATGCACTACGTAGAAAGTCACGTCAATGTTTGAAGTCAGTGGGTGCTACCGATTCAGGATAGCCACGTACAAGTACATTGACTCAATTCTCGTAGCACTTTCTGGCTTTCGTTCCAAGGTTCGCCTATGTTTAAATCATATGGGCGCAGGGTAGCTTGTCGCACGACGTGAGCTGAGCATCCGTGTGACACAGGACCCTGATGTTCTCCAGCACCTCTTCGCCTATATTTTCGATCATAGTCAAACCAAAGTGGAAACATTCCAGGCCGACCGCAAGGAAGCATCACAAGTTCCCAAAAGGGTATATGAATGAACAGGATGCCAAAGGCGCTGCTTGAGCAGACCTCGATAGGTGCACGTCGAATTAAGACTGGGCGACGAGCCAACGCATAATGGCTACCAACAGCATGCCACCAGCTTGCAGAAGAACTATTCAGAGAGTACTCAGAGGTGGTCGCGCGTGCTAGTGGTGTGCATGGTCGCAGGCCATTCTCAAAAGACTATTGAGCTGCTGCAAGACTTCATCAGGCCGACGCAGACGAGGTCCGACAAGATAGAGTCGCCTGAAACCACGAATCCTTGGTATACGGTGCCGTCATGGACGGTTAGAACTGTCGGCTTCTGCTAATGCGCAGATACCGCGTTGTTCTCTGTGAACAATACTAGTGCTGCGTCTGCGCATTTGGAGATGTCGAAGCACTGAGTAAACCATGCCAACATAACTGGCTATAGAAATTGCTAAGCTAGTTTATGATGGCTGGTAGCTCTAGCAGATGATATCGTACCAACGGCCGTTATACTAGCTATGCTAGTCGATATGCTATTATGAGTAGTGCCTGATAATGTCTTTAACAGCCTGTTAGTGTCACAAGTTGAGCAATTTCGAGTACCATAGACATCTCTTCTATGGTATCATATTCTCGATATCATGCTGAGATTCTATATGGTTGTAGTGTTGCGCTCTCTGCATTCATGTGCATTATATGCAGTTCTGATTCAGTGCACGGACCATGCGTGGCTCACCGGTGAGTCTGTGGCTGCTGCCTAAGTAGGATCCAAGCACTTCTCGATATCTGTTACTGAGCTCAGCTTTCAAACTACCATATTCTTGTCAAATGAGACTCAGTGGAATTGCTATATCTACACATCGAGCCATCTTTCTACCACCTACATCATGGCAAGTCCATATAGACATCAGCCATTATGTCGTTCCCGAAGGGAGATCAGACTATTACAATTGCTACCAGAAGATGGCAACCCAAAACTGAAACGGATCCCTTCTTGCCGTATCCATCGCGCCGCCCTCCCTCAGAAACCTAAATTCATAGCGCTATCTTATGTCTGGGGAGACGTCAACGAAACGCGGATGATACTCGTCGATGGTTCACAAGTTCGAGTAACCAAAAATCTGTATAACGCTATGATGGCACTCAGACCATCGAAAGAACCCACCGTAATATGGATTGACTCTTTGTGTATTGACCAAATGAATAACGAGGAAAAAAGCTGGCAAGTCGGGCTCATGGCAGATATTTATCAACATGCGGACAAGGTTATTGCTTGGTTGGGCCCAGCTGACGAGGACAGCGATTCAGTAATGGACGGCCTGAATTCCTTAGGCACAAAAGCTGAAGCCCTTGGCATGCACTTTGGACCGCCGGATCTAGATCAAAGAGTCTGGCAGGAGCTAGCATTAAATCCAGCTCCCACTGCTGCCAGGTCTTCTCAAAGTGCACCGGAAAAACTCTTCTATTCAATCAGTGGCTACTATGATAAGAGTGGTGTACTACCAATAGCTGGGCTAAAGCGATTTTTTGGTCGCGCATGGTGGGGGCGAATCTGGGTCCTGCAGGAAATCGCTCTTCCAGAGAATGCAATACTTGTTTGCGGAACCAAACAAATCACACGACATCGGTGTAGCGCTGCTATCAGTGCTTATAGTGCTTCATGGCTTACCCTAGTGGCCATTTTCCGCAACAAGCCGAATTCATTGACCCAATATCAACACGAAATCATCACGAACTTGTTTCATCACAAAGCCAATGTCATGCTATCGTCCTGGAGGATATACAGGTATGGGAGGTTCCCATTGGCAGCTCTACTTCGCGCAACATGCGTTGGCAGTATAAATACTCGTCGCCATGGTCCTCACAGTCTAGAATCAACTGATCCGCGAGATAAGATATTCGCATTATTAGGTCTTGCAGCGGACCGCCACGAGTTGGAGGAACTAGGCTTATTTCCAGACTACACAAAAACTTGCGGGGAGATATATGCAGTCGCCATGGCAGCTCTACTTCAACAAGGACACATATCGTTGCTGTCATACTGCCAGTTTCCTCGGCTTCGGCCTGGCTTGCCATCTTGGGTTCCAGACTGGTCTGGATCTCTAACGGACATGCTACAAGACGTTAGAAATGACCATATCACCATCTATCCCAGTTTCAGCGCATCTGGGGTAGAAACAAGACATCCCAATGTTACTATAGTAAGGCAAGGCGAGGAAACCAAAGGAGTGCAGATATCGGGCATTGTGTATGACGAGATTCATGGAGTTGGGTCTTTCCCTAACAGGACTTTTACCAATGAAGTGCCTCTTGTGGAGACGGATTCATGGCCAATCAGATGGTTGGTTGAGCTACTTCGCCTTACATACTACGACCTTTCTGAGAAACGATATAGAGACTTCGGCGAGCGTCTACATGCAGCCGCAAGAACCTCGATTGGAGGAGTTGGGTTCAACATAGCAGGACAACTGGTCAGAGTTGGAGATGACCGTTTCGTTGATGCTGTCGTTCTCCTGAAGCAGGGCATCAAGTACATCGAAGATAAGCGTATCAAAATCGGAGTACAACAGGTACTAGCCAGCAGCGCTGTCAAAGGCAGGATCAAGAGTACAACCCCGATAGATATGGGACTTGGCTCCGAAATTATTGGCAAGAGCTTGGGGCGACTTCCTTACATTACTAGGAAGGGTCATTTGGTCCTTGGCTCGGAGCACTTCAAGCGAGGCGACGTCGTTGCATTGATTAGGGGGTCCCAGGTCCCGTTTGTTCTTCGTCGTCAAGACCAAATAAGTGGGCGGTATCAGGTCGTTGGCGAGGCCTACGTTGATGGTATAATGGACGGAGAGGCGGCGCGCGATCCTAAATGGAGCATTATAGAGTTAGTCTAGCAGTTCCTGTGCATAGGTTCTTACGAATGAAATGTTATAGTACTATTAGACTTAGTGAAGACCTTGGTCGAAATGCTACTTCTGTTCATACCATTGAACGACAATCAGTAGAGAAGAACATGATGCATCGCGTAGTTCTTGTGTCGCAAACAAAGGTGACCTCCGATGTTTTAGCTTCTCGTATCGCATTCATCCCAACTTGCTCATCCTTAACAGGAGCATCGTTATACACTTTTTCTACCGCGACTGGAGACTCCTCGTTGCTCCAATCTGGCTACGTCCACCACCCACTCCAATCGCTATGGCTCCTGTTCAAACCCCTTGACATCAGCATCTGTGGAAGTAACATCTCTACTCCCCCTTCTTTCCCCCTTCATCGATTTTAACTCCCATAACCCCATCCCGATTCGCCCTCCACACTCCATCCCCACCCTCAAACCTCTCCAATTTCCAAATCTCCGCCTTAGCCTTCGTCTCCTCGAGCGCCTCCTCACCTGCCCGCCACGCAGCCTGGCGATGCGGTGCGCTAACCGCAATCACAATGCTCTCCTCACCAATCGGGCACTCACCCAACTTATGCACTATAGCGATCTTCGTGCATTGGTGCTTGGTGAGGATAGCTTGGGCGATGGTGGAGAGGGTGTTGATCGCAAGAGGTGGGTAAGATGTATAGGCAAGGGAACTAACGGGTAGGCCATTAAAAGAGTCGCGTGTTGTGCCGATGAAGAGGACGGTTGCGCCGGCTGAGGGGGATCGCACGAAGCGTGTTGCTGCTAGTGAATCCAAGTCGTGGGGAGTCAATTCTACATGTATTGTCTCGGTGGTTTTGACTATGGGTTCTGAGAGGATGTCGGCCGCGTATGATGAGGGTTCTGTAGTTGCCATGTTTGAAGAGGTGGCGACTTTGTTGCTTAGGTAGATTGAAAGTTCTGCCAGGAGGAACAGGATGAGGTGTTGAGAATTTTCATGTAGGTGTTATGTTCGAACTTTGGTTTGCGTCAGCACATGTCCGCTGTTCAGATCTTAATTAGAAACTGGGAAATATGTTCAACGCGTCTATTGTTGCGTTCGACAAGTTTAACAGGTTGACGCAATGTAATAAAAATTTGAAGATCTTCCGGACACCTTAAACTTAACCACTAATATATAGTTGAATGAATAAACCAGGATGGATTCGAAATCGAGAACACGCTTCATCATTCTTCCAAAGTGTGCCTGCTTGTTCTCGAGAGGTGGAAGCGCATACCACTTCGGATGGAGAATTGAACCGTTGACTTGCTTTAGGGACTTATGAAACAGTGTTAACTTACCTTTGGAGAGAAAGTGTTCTGATCAAAGGGATTTTGTGCGATACGGGACGAGTTGTTGAAAAACCAATAGTTCTTGGCTTGAAGAATGAGTATCTATCATCTGGAGATGTAAGGGTGACTAAGAAACTAGAGGCCGTATCGGGCCGCGCCGTTGTTCAACTTGATTGGCCAATGTCAACGTTGGATGTGCAGAAACGACGATGAATTGAGGTATGCTGTCATTCAAACTCTAAAGCTATAGTTTCCTGAAGCGGTAATCTATGTGTGCGTTTTGGTGTATCCAAACAAAGATGGCGGCAGATGAGACTCCAAATATACCCAAACAAATCGCAGAGGCGCGAAACTTAATATCTCTGCCTATGCGACGGGGGCGGCGGAGGTGCGGGACGCGACATCATGGCAAGTCTGGCCGGGTTGATGTAGCCGTTGTCTGGCTCTGCCTCCTTCGCAGGCTCTTCAGCGACAGCCTCGGCCTTCTTGTGTTTCGCGTCCTTCTTCTCCTTGCGCTCGCCCTGCTTCAGCTCCAGCTCGGCGCGCTTCTCCCGATCCCTCGCGCGCTCATCGTGCAGCTTGTCGTTCTTCGCAGCAATCTTTGTTTTTCGGACTTCGCTATTGCCGCCACCGCCAGCACTGGGGCTCGTTAGCAAGGCTCATCTCTCATATTGCCTAGGTCAGAACAAGGGTAGGAGCTTACCTCAATTCAACGTTGATCTTGCGGCCTTCGCTCTTCTTCTTGCCGTCGGGGAAGAGCGAGTGGTGGTACTTCTTCAAGCAGGTTTCCATGCGGTCGAAGCGGTCGAATTCGACGAAACACGTGCCCATGAATTTGTTGGTGCCCTTGTAGGTGCGGAGGCGGATCTCGGTGGGCTTGATCTTTGCGAAGTGCTCGTCGATCTGCTCTTTGGTGGCGGTGTAGGGGAGGTTGCCTATAGACTGTTAGCATGATAGTGACCATGATTGACTTGGAGACCTACCAACGAAGACGATGAAGCGACCTTTCTTCGCCTCACCCTCAGCCTCGTCTCCCTCGACAGCCTCCTCAGTAGCCTCCTCAGCGTTCTCCTCGTTGACAGTCTCGCCGTTCGTTTCAGCGACAGCGTCTTCCATAACGACGTCTCCGTTGGTTTCAGGTTTCGCCGCCTTCTTATCCTTCTTCGACTTCTTTTCCTCCTTGTCCTTCTTTGCTTTCTTCTTCTCCTTCTTAGCGGCCTTCTCGGCGTCCACACCATTCGTCTCGGCGGCGACATCCTCCTCAGCCGCAGGAACAGCATCTTCAGCTGGTGAATCAGCCGTGTCCTTGGACTTCTTAGACTTCTTATCCTTCTTCGAGTCCTTGTCCTTCTTTGACTTCTTTTCCTTCTTCGAGGAAGCCTCTGTTACTTCGGTCTTATCAGGCATTGGCTCGTCGGTATCTACGCTGACAGCTGCCTCATCGACTGGCGCGCTCTCGGTATCATCATCCGTCTTCTTGGACTTTTTCGACTTGGACTTTTTCTCTTTCTTCTCCTTCTTGTCTCCCGCCGGCGGTTCCTCAGTCGCGGCCTCTACCTCGACCTCCTTGACCTTTTTCGACTTCTTGTCCTTCTTCTCTTTCTTCTCCTTCTTCGCTTCGACTACGGGACTGTCTGGCGTTGGCGCATCGGAAATCTCGTCGGTCTTCTTTGACTTTTTCGACTTTTTCGTCACGTCTTCCGTCGCCTCGACGTCTCTCTTGCGCTTCTTCTCTTCTTTGGTCCGCGACATGGTGGCGGGGAATGTTCGTAGAGGAGTGTAGGAATGTCGAGGTCGAACTTTCCCAAAGTTTTAGGTTTTCGGGACTTTTCTGCCGAGCGGTGAATGCGGACTACCTTGGCGCGAACCCATCTTCACCAGCACTCTGCGAGCACCATCAATTTAACTATAAGCCATTATGCGGCTTTCCGCCCATCGAATACAGCTTCCGCGAGGCGCCGTGAAGCCCTCAAACACGCGCTCAGCCGACTGCCCGTGCCCGCGACAATTCTCCTACAAACACCCTCGACAGTTCCTCGTTGCGCACCAAACCTCCCCGCGACCACAGCTCCCTTTCCTCTACCCTTCCGGCCAGCACCTCTCCAATGGCCAGTTACAACGTCTATTCTCCATAAGTGCGAACCATAAAAAGTTCATAAAAGAGACGGCGAAGCTGAGCGTTCGGTATTCGTTACTGATCTTCGTACTCACATCATGCTTCAGCATCGCGAGTTTGGGCATATTGAGCGAGCAGCAGGAGCGGGCGTTCCCGTCACCTCATGAGTGGAGCTTGATCACAAGATTCCGGTTCAGGAGAGGGAAGTGGTGGCAGGTTCCGGAGAACAACGAGGAAGAAGGTTTCCCCAACTGGGCGCGGGTGTATTCAGAGCTTCAGCATACGCTGAACCGCTTGGAGAACACTGGCAAGGATGGAGCAGGCCTGACGGAGCAAGAAGAGGGTGGCATACTGGTACCCGGAGTCGGCAAGGCAGGCTTCGATATCACTGCGAAGAGCGAGGAGTGGCGGCAGGGATACTACGAGGTCCTCATGGGCATGGCAGGCGCAGCAGAACGCCTGGATGGTTGGGTAACAGACAAGTGGAGGAGAAACGTGTGGGCACCCGAGTTTGTCGAGTCGGCATCGAATCCACGCCCAAAGGCTGTCCTACCAGGCATGCCTGAACTGCCAGACGAGGAGCATCGCGTACCCGCTGCCGACGCACCAGAAACCTTTTACCTCAAGGTCATAACATCGAAAGGGTTTACCACCTATCAAAGACTTTCAGCGGCGCTTGGCTATGCAGACTGGCTTAGCTTCAGGAAGTTGCCAGACTCGGCAGAAGAAATGTACCGTTGGGCACTCGACATCGCCATTGCAGGCTTACCGACCCCCGAGCCCTCGACGGTCATCAGCCGCGAGACTGGCGTCCTCTCCTCCACCGCACCGAAGGAATTCATAACACCAAATGTCGTCTACGCCGCAACAAACCTGGCCACTTTCATGGCCGGGCACGGCAAAGTCGCTTCCGCACTACCCATCTTCGTATCCCTTCTTCGCGCTCGCCTCAGTGCAGCAGACGAAGTCATCATACCCACTCCCTCGACCCAAAAAGACTCAAGTCTCACAGGCACCCTTCTCAGTCTCCTAAGTGAGCCAGACTACCCACCTGTTCCTCCATCAGGTGACGAGCCCCTTCTGCGCAAAGAAACCGACCGCTGCGAAGAGGCCGCCCTCAAAAACTATATTGGCGAAATCCTCTTCGCAACCGCCGGCACCTCATCCGCCCAACGCCAGCAAGGCCTTTCTTGGGTCCGCGATGGCGTCTCGACCTCCAAAACCGCACAGTCTTTCGAATCCATCAAGCCTAACGAGGGCCTTCGCAAAAAGTGTGAGCAATGCGAGGAAGTTGGGCTCGAGTCGTGGGGCAAGATTATGACGTATCTTGCTGCTGAGGCGCGGGAAAAACGGGATGCTGCGAATAGTGGGTTGACGAGTCTAGTTTGGAAGGTTAGGGGGACGAAGGGGTTGGATGAAGATGTTGAGAATTTGGAGGGCGAGAGCGAGGGGGTTATGTTGAGGCTGAATAAGCTGAGAGGCAGGATGTTGAAGGAGGAGTATGATGACATGGATCGCAAGTATGCGCGGACGTTTGTATTCTAGATAGAATGGATGTGTATGCCAAATGTAACAAAAGACAGCTGCAAACGCAGCAGTTCGCCACACGATCCAACTCATGTGTTCTGATGCATAATTTCCGAATCTGACTTGAATCAAAGTAGTTTTCTAGAAGCTTCGTGAACGCAAATCTACAATCAGAGCATACCAAATATAATCATTGAATTTGCTGCTATCTGAGCACAAGGGAATTCCCACTGACTTGCTCCCAGAGAATCCTGCATGCCAGCAGCGCTCCGAACGCCCACATCTGTACCACACTCATTATACAATCGTACACACATCCTAATCACAGTATGCTGACACATCAGCGTTAGTGCCTTGTCCACCGCGATGCAGTCTGCCATGCATTCACGCCAACAACTACAACAAGCAACACCGCATTGAACGCGGCCATCATGTAGAATGGTGCGCCAGGCCCACTGCTGTCGAATAAAGCGCCTCCAGCCTTCGTTAAAAGCAAGATGCCGAAGCCACCTAGTAGACTGTACGTCCCTGCTATTGAGCCTTTGATATGGTTGTGCGATTGCGGGCCCACTGGCGTCATTGGCCTTGAAGCACTGCGGCTATGTGCCTGGGGTAGCAGAGGCGCGTTTTCATCGACAGGCGTTATGGGAGCGCTTGAAAGCGGGGTTGTGCCTGTCGACAGATGAGGAGTTTCATTCGCTGACTCAGAGGTCGAAGTGTGCGTGGGCTCCATCGAACTGGATTCGTCATTGTTGATCCCTCGACCAAGCAGAGCGAGTGAGCAGACAATGGCGCCTATCTGACTGATTCCAAGTAATGCAACAATAAAGAAAATAGCTCCCGTGCCCTCTTCGCTTTTGTAGTCGGGACTTGTCAAAGACCCAAAGGCAGAGTATCCCGCGATACCTGCTACAGCTGCTACTAGCAATGGGATATTATACCTGGGGAATCGTCCAGATAGGTAGCCGAAGAGAGGAGCGCACATAAGTGCAATGAGCTGGCTGATGCCGGTCAGCATGGCTGCCAGTTTGTACGCTTGTGGACACGCATGCTTGATGTCCGATGGATTAGTAGGGTCGACGGTGCACTTTCCTGTCTGTAGAAAGTAGTGATTGGTGAATAGCGGGATAAAGAGCGAGACAGCGACGGACGAGGCGCGCGCCACGAACCCCCCCACATATGCGAGACCAATGTTCGGCGACCTGAATCCTAAACGAACGCTCTCAAGGAAGAGTCGAGGATAGGAAAGGACCGCCTCACGCGTCGTGTGTGTCCCGGCTGTTTTGTGCTCGTCTTTGCCAGCAATACCTTTCCACCCTTTGGATTCTTCGCCGGGTAATTTGCGCAAACCGAAGAAGCACCCCAATGCGACTAGCCAAGAAACAGCACCCACCACATAGAAGGCATCCGCAACAGCTGACGCTGGACTCTCGCCAGCTCGCTGGAATCGCGTTGGGAGCGGTAGAAAGACGAAGAGCGCAACGAGGGCACCACAGCCTGTGAAGACTCCTACCAATCCTGCAAGCTGCGACGTCGAAGCTCCTGTGTCCGTCTTTGCGGGCGCATCGCTTACGGGGTCTCTCGAGCTTGACCGGAAGCGATCGGGAGTGATGGTAAGTTCGGAGGATATGGACGGAGCCAAGGCATGCGATCTGCCAGTTGGGCGTCGCGTAGGAGATCGAGGGTCTGGCCTGACCTCCTTTACAACCGTCATAGAAGGAAGGATAGCGGTAACCATAGTCGCGCTGTCAAACATGAGCCATTGCTTCACGCACGCTCCAACGCGCAGCACTTACCACGCACTTCCTCCCAAGCTAAACAGCACCCTCGCCAACAGCAGCTCTGGATACACGTTCCTAGCTTGCACAAACACCCACAGTGCAATCCCCACAATCGTGTATCCCATCACAGCGACACTCCGCACGCCCACCCTATCGCTCAGCAGTCCCCATGCTGGACACGCTACTAACGCGACTAGCTCATCCACGAACCCAAGTGTGCCCACCGCGTCGCCAACATTACGCGACTGCCCAATGCGCTGGGTGATAACGAAGGATATGGAGCTGTTGAGGAAGACGAGGAAGGATATCGAGAACAGGGCAACGCCGAAGAGGTAAGACGCGATCTGGGTGCGGGATGCGGTGAAGCGTAGGCCGAACATTGCGGGAGTAGCTCGGATGAGCTGGGTAGGCTTATCGGGGGAGCATTGAAGTGTGGTGCGCGTTGATGTTTGTGGCGTCGTGGTCTGAGGGCATGATGACGACGGTGTCCAGTAACTAGTGTGAGAGTCACGTGGGTGCTTCATTCACTACATGTTGCTGCTGGCCTACAAACTAACTTTCCTCAGACCTCACTACAGTTGCTAGGGCAATCAGGTGCCTAACAAGCCACTGGAATGAGCTGTAAACAAGTCATCCCACATGAACAGGGTCGAAAGAGAGTGTCAATACACACCACCGCGGAAAGCGCCGGCATGTAGCCGCCTGCGTCGAAAGGCCCAAACTACACTTTTGACATCTGCAGGGAAAGATTTGGACATTTTAATGTGATTGGGAAATGCTCAGGCTACGCGATGCTATTATTTTACGAAAAGAAAGCGCTCATACACGTTCTAATTCAACGCAGTACGGTCAACTCCGCCAACGCCCAAGCCATGCTCGCCAATTAAAGGGTAAACACAGCCGCCCTTTATCATCACCTATCTAGACGATCTCGAAATGAAAAAGGCTTTACTATATTCCAAGGCCAAGGTTGGCACGCTCGGCTTCGGGTCCCCATCGGCGCCCCTAGGTAAGCCGCAGCTGCAGGGTCGGCGATCAGCACGTGTCTCACACCTTGCTCCAGCCCAATGGCTTGTCTCGCCCTTGGTTTGGACCCCAGTATTCGCGGTTGCTTGTGAACTCGCCGTTTTCTACGTCCTCTTGGAACAGAGTACGAATCTGATTTGCCCGTTCGGTACTACGAGGCTTCAGCTGGAACTTGAAGGGAATGGGCTTTGCGATGAGCAGAATGGAGTAGTCGAGTGTTGGGTCGGCGGGCTTCTTGGTGATGTCGCCCCATTCCAGGGGCTTGTATGCTGGCTGAGCGGGCGTCGCCTTCTTTGGCGCCACTTTGGCTGCTGGGGCGGATCCGGGGTAGCTGTACTTGGAGAGTAATTTTTCTTCCAAAGTGGGAGCTTTGGTATTAACGCCGGCGTTAAGCTCCTCGTTCGAGATGGAAGCTTTCTCATTCAAGCCAATTGAATGCTGACCCTTTTCTGACCCTCTCGCTGGGACAGGTGCGTCCTCCGCGTTGCGCTCGATGTTGAACAACCAAGCGATGGAGCCGATTCCAATTAGCATATCTTCGTCAGCGACGGTCTGTCCCTGGCAGGTTCTTCGCCCATAGCCGAATTGTGACGAATTGATGATAGTTGGGAACTGGGTAAGAGGCTCCTGGTAAGTCGGCCATCCTGGCTCGACCCATCGGAGGGGGTTGAAGGTTTCTGGATCAGGGAACATCTCGGGATCACGGGAGATGGCCCTGCAAATCGTTAGCGACTTTATCACATAAGTTTCATTTACTACCACTCACCACTCAAGCGGGTGCATGGTGCTACCCTTGGGGATGTGGTAGCCGTTGTATTCATCGTCCTGGATCAGATAGTGAGGGATACCAGTCGGGACGGGCGGACGCCAGCGGATGCACTCACGGATAATGGCTCGCAGGAACGGTAGGTTTGGACGGTCTTCTGAACGGGGCAATCGATCTCCACATACGCGGTCCAGTTCCTCCTGTAGCATAGGCAGGTATTGCGGGTAATAGGTCATCGCCAGGCAGAAGGTTTGCATAGGAGCAGCGATCGTAAGTGCACCGGCAATACCATGCATGCCAACAGCATACGCGCCCTCCAGGTCGGATTTGAAGCCCCACTTGCTTCGGCCATCCAGAAAGATCTTCATCCATGAAGGGGCAGCCTGTCCCGTTTGCACATCTTTTACAACCTGATCCTGCATTGTCTGAAACCACGTTCGCTCAGTGTTCGCACGCCTCCGCTCCCAAGCTTTTGCGGGAGAAAGCCAGTCAGGAAGCGCCATCAAGAACGGTAGTTTGTTACCCAATGCACCTGTAGGAGAGACACCAATGAGAAGTTCGCGGGCGCGTTGCTTGAGCTCATCGCTAGCCTCGCTGTGACCCCAGGCTAAACGGCAAGTAACACGAGAAATGAAGGATTCGAGGGCGTGGTTGTATCGATCTGGTTCGTCCAGCAGCTCAACGAGCATGCGCTTGGCCTCCAGTTCGGGATAACGATGAAACAAAGCCTTCTCCGACTCGCGCATGATGATGTTTGCAAACTTCCTTTGTCGGGTATGGCCATCTGGACATGTTAGACAAGAACACTCGTATCTAACAGATGAACTTACCATTCCTACTAAGCAATGGAAGATACTGAGCGCTTGTGCGATTGTCGCTGATTAGAGCCGGTATATGCGGTCGGTCAGAGTAGATGGCAGCTTTCTTCGACAACAGATCCTTGGAGACCTGGTCCGACGAGATCCACACATGGTTGTGTCCGGCCAAGTTGACCTGGTAGATAGGGCCATACTCCTTGCCCCAATCCGCAAACTTGATGAAGCCATTCTTCTCGGGAACATCAGGGACAGAGCCGATGATAGGGTATCCTAGTGATTTATATGTCAGAATGCGCTCTCTGTTGAAGATCAGGGTCCAGTGGTTTCGTCAAGACCCCTTGCCAGTGTGGGTCATACCTTTGGGGCCTGGAAGTGGCTTGAGACCCTTGGGAATTCTATGACGACGAGACGTGTCTAGGTACTTATAGAGTGCATATGCGCCCAGTAGGACGACAGCGACCAGAAACGTCTGCAGTGCCATGATGGCGAATGTAAGAACAATATATCACGCTTTCAAAGTGACAATTACCAGACACGAGGATACAAATGGTGTCCAACCCTTTTATGAGAGATAGGAGATCCGCACGCTACATATGGGACCCACCAATGCTATAGTGAGACAGGGACTGACTGTCAGCAAGCTTGTGAATACTCCTAGGCAGGGAAAAGAATTTCGAATACCGACATCCCGTGCGGAGGCGCATGCTGCTGCTGCTGTCAGAGCTGGCAGAGTAGATCACAGCCTCTGACGTGCCGTAATCCAGGATCACGGTGAGTATTCTTCGCTTGTTCATGAATCTCACTGGCCCGTGATTGTCACGTACTGCTTAGGCTACGCTGAGCCTGAACAGCTGTGGCAGATCAGGCAGGGATCCAGTCCCCACGCCCGAACTCCGCATGCAGCTTTGACGGTTCCCAAATAAAATATATGGCAAAAGAAACTGGCGATCAGTATAGCCGGCAAGCCCAGCCCGCGACATCGTCGATATTGCCGTGAGACCAATGCACTTGGCACTAGCGAGATCTCAACAAAGAGTAACTTCGGGGTGCCAGTAGCAATCCTTGAGAAAGTGAGAAATTGCTGATGCTCGCTGAATATACTATTCTAGCACCATAAGCTTAACATGCTTGCATGTGTTGTGTGCTCTGTGAGACAAAAGAGCAGTGCCATGTCCAATACGAAGAGCTGATGTCGGCCGAGTGCAGGAGTCTACCGATGATCCAAGAGCTTGAGAGCACCTTGGGAAACACGAGTTCTGCGTTTAGGGATAGTCGAGTGTCAAAGTGAAGCGATATGAGTCTGATGGTGTGTCGTGCAGAGCGCATGGTGCTAATGTATTTGGAGGCGCCCAGCCACCAATGATATATGCCCTTGTTCTCAAAGCGGCTAAAGGAGAGTGGGGCGATGACCCCCCTGCTACGTGCGTGAGATCTAACCTCATCCCAAAAATTATATGCGTGCGGAGAGCCGAAGTCGAAAGTCCGACGCTCGTTCTTCCATCAAGCACTTGCCCTTCTCAGCTCTCATCGGTGCTGTCTTGTCTTGTGTGCGACTGCAACGCCATTGCGCTGGAGCCGCTCGTGGTTCGCCGTCGCTATCCCATGCCATCCCACACAGCAGGCGTCGGTAGCCATAACCTCCTTGATGCCGACTTCGACGCATCTCGATAGTAGAGTTGGGATGAAATGATCTCGAGGCTGAGGGAAGCTAAGTTACCTGTTCTGGCCTAAAGCACCGACCAAACGAACGATTAGGTTTCCCCACTCCGACTACGAACACTAGCTAGTGCTATTTCAAGATATCCAGGGCTCCTCAATGATTTCGACTACTACATGCGTTCTTAGCACCTCCGCTGCTAGACCGACACTTGTAACGGGCGACCACTCGGGTTAATGCTTCACGCGACCACGCCCTTTTCTTTCCCCCTCACCGTCTTGTTACCGGCACGTGCTGGTGGTATTACCACTGAGAGCCCTGCTACCAGATTCAACCACGGTACAAGTCCTGCACGGCAACAAAGTGGACCCCGTACATGCAGGATGCGGTACACAACGCCTTCGCAGAACATACCTTAATTATATTTTTGGAAGAATGTTACCCTGCAGCGAGCCATTCCAGCTCCATACCTCGTGCACCTGAGGTGAAAAGCTTACAGCTCCGTTCCGCTGAACGAGAGGAATGCATTACTTTTCAAGCGGTGTTGTACCGATGTATCGATGTATCGAATGCCAATCCAATAGAGTATCAATCCGGTAATGCTACGAAGTGGACGAGGTCCTGACATCCGTATGCCCCGGGGTCTACTATGGAGACCTAGGCTGCCACATGGTGCACAAATGACACGCATGTAGCACAACCTGACGCGCGGTCAGCTCACCCATCAAACTTGAGTGATCATGCGGGTCGCCTCTCCAACGACCTGGGGCGGGTTTCGTCTCCCGGAGGTGTTGTAAGACGTTCCAGGGCCCTGCTGTTATTATGATTAGTTATAAATTCGCATACACGAACCAGATGAAATACAGATGATAATATAGCTCCAAGAGAATAATGATAGGATTGATACTTATATCCTATTTCATTGGAAAACCCAACACAAAATTGTGGCATGGATCTCATCAATATCAAGTTTGAGTCTCTAATTAATGCCTCACTCCCGGGTATCCACAAGCAAAAACGCCCTAGATAATCCAAACGCCCAACAAATCACAACTTTTGGCGGCTAATGACTTGGTACCTACAGCATGTCCCGCCAGCCCAGTACGTCGACCTTCTTCTTCGGCGCATCCGCAATTGACGGCCTAACTGCAAGACTCTGCGGCCAGGCTTTGCTCTTATCAACCTATGCAGCTTAGCCGTTTCGTCTCCTAGTCCCTTTCCCGGTTGAACCTACTTTGGTGCTCCCGGTCCAAGACGTACTCCGTTGGACCGCGAAGAAGTAGTCGCGGAATGGGTCGCCGCTGTCTTCTGTGGTGTCGCGAGGAGACTGTACTTGGTCGGAGGTGAGGCGCTGCAGAGGGCTAGATTTCGGCTTGGGTCGGTTGCTCGGGACATCACGATGGGACGTGGATCGAGGAGGGGAGCGAATCTTCTGGACCGGCGTCGTTCGGCTTGGGCTCTGGCGGTTGGTGTGAGAGCCTGTTGGGAGCGAGTGCCTTGGCCGATTCCGTGCTGTGCCGTTGATGCGGTCTTGTATAGGCTTCTTGTGTAGATTGAAGGTGCCTGGGAGCGAGGCTCGAGAACGCTTGTCCTTTGGTGGTGACTTTGCAGACTGCTTGGACGATCTAGGCGCCGGAGCTTGTACCCCAAGCTCCTCGAGTGCTTTTAGTAGAGTCTCTCTGCTCTCGATGATGCCCGCCTTGAATAGCGTATCGCGGATAGCGTCCTTGTAAAATCGATGGTAGGGCTCAGGATCCTCACTCTGATCCGCACATTCAGCCAAGTAGTCCTTGTAATCTGTCCTGTTGCGCATGATGAAGTCGTCCCATTGCCACTTCGGCACCATCTTATCTTGCAGGTCGAGCTCATACATTGATCGGCAGAGCTTCTCGAAGGGCTTCGCGCCACCCGTGTACTCCGGGTATGCCGCCTTGAATGCCTCGAAGACTGTCCGAGGTTCTGCATTGTTGATCGCAGCAGGTGACTCTTGCGCCCCCATCTCCACAACAGAAGCCGCACGACTCCTGACAGGAACGACTTCGGGCTGTACATCTGATGGGATGGTCGATGGGGGAAGCCAAGATGTGGCTATATCCGTGGACGGTTTTGTGGAACTCGGTTTCGTGGGACTCGGATCCTCGTAGAGACTTCTATGTCGTGGAGAAATAGCAGGTGAAGAAGCGTTACTGGTTTGCACGCCAAGTAAGTCAACCTCCATCGCATCGGCATCTTGCTGCTCGCAAACAGGCCCGGGTCGAGACTCGAAACTCGTGCTAGAATGTTTTTCTTCCCGAGACTTCTGCAGTGACTCAGCTCGCTCTTCGTGCGATGTAGTTGTATGGTTGACGGTAGAAGGGGCACTATCTCCGAAGCTCACGATCTTGATTTCTCGTCTCTTGGAATTCCGTTTGCTGCTCTTAGTAGGCGAATCGCCAAGTTTGCGCTTCGTGGGTGCTGACTTCGGAAGCCCTGGGTTCGTGACTCCTGAAGTAAGCAGAGGCTGCTTTTGTAAATTTGCTTCGGCACGGGGTTGTCTATGGCTGGGCGGACTTCGACTAGTTGTAGGAGCTTGAGCAAGTACAGCAGGAGGGGCTGGTCGGGAGGGGAGTGTCGCTTTCTCCATTATTTTCGGTGGTGGCTCTACATTCGATGGTGCATCGAGCATAGGCACGTCCTGGGGGACCACCCGGTCCGGTTGACTTGGTGCCTCTTTCTCGATCGGCGCCTTCCGCTGTGTTTCGGCTGCTCTCGCATCCTGCGGTCTGCTGCTCATGTCACTTGTAGCAAGATTCCGGCTATTTGCACCTTCTAAGGAGGCAGAGGAACTTGGGTCTTTGTACGTTGCATATACAATCGACCCAGATGAGGACTGCTTGGAGTTACCACTCGAGTCCTGTTTTTGTTTTGGTGGTGAATCGGCAAATCTGAGCGTCTGGCCGTTCTTGCCTTTCGCATAAGGTGTCTCTTTGACCTGCACGATTGGCGGCAACGCTGGGCCTTGGTGGGTGCCGATGTTTTGCGGACGCGATGCCTGCAGCGCATCTTCACCCAGGCCCTGCGGCACCGACGTCTCCATTTCCATTTCTTCGTCGGAGTCGGCAGGTTGCACTACAATTGGAGGGGATGACGATGGAGGGCTGGGTTCATTTTCGTGTGGGGGATCAATGGTAAGAGGCCGCTGCGATTGTAGGCGGGGCACCGTTTGTTGTCGATCGCCGTCTTCGTTGGTATTGAGACCCTTATTCTCGAAGCTGGAGTCTGGAGGAAGCCCTTGGTGGGCCTTTACTGGCTTCTGTGGTGGCTCTGGGCTCGGCGATGGTGACCACGAGACCTGGCTCGTTGTAGGCTCATCGTCCTGGGTTAAGTTGGGCATTGCTCCTCGCGATGCATCGACCTCTTCGGGGACATCCTCGGGCGAGGGATCAAAGTCTGCCTCACTGTCAGAGTCGGAGAGACCCTCAACGGTAGCCTTTTCGTCTGCAATCCTGCTCAACGTTTCAAGAATAGTGATGGGGATATTTCCAGCGGTAACTCCTGGACATCCAGGCTGTGGTTTATGCCAGCTGGTAGGTTTCTGTAGAACTACTTGTTGAGTCAAGGGTACCCTCAACGCTTCGCGATCGAATATGAAACCCTTCATCCAAGCACACTCCAACCCCGGCGTAGCAGCATCGTCCCGGCTGTCTTGTTCAGCGTATTGTCTCATGTCTGAAAGCTCTCCAACCTGCTGCACAATCGCAGGTGAGGCGGGCCGCGCGTGTCTCACTCGATTTTTGCCACGAGTCAGTGTAGGCGACGCTGTATTCGCCTTTCCTTCTTCGGCTCCTGCCCGCGTCGACTGCTGATCTGCTAACACCAAGGATCTAGGAGGCGTGGCAGCGGTGGATGGCCCGACAACGCTTCGCTGCTTGTTGGAGGTTGGGCGGACGAGACCAGTATCGGAGTTCGGGCTGGGGTTGTCGGTACTCTTTGCAGCAGGATTTCCAATAAGACGTAGTAGCTTCATACGTGTTTCTTCATCTTCATTGGCAGCATTTGGCAGTATCTCGCGTCGCTGCGTGTTTCTCGCTCTTATAGGTTGCAGCTGCGTTGCAAAGGCGAACTGAGTTTGTGGCAACTGAGTGTGTGGTGCACTCTCACTTTCGTCCATGGCACCTGCTATTGCGTCTTCGTCGACTGCTGGTTCGGTACTGGATCGTAAGCATCGAAGGTCCTCCTGAGCCCGAGTGTGGTGCAGCTGCTCTAGCACTGCACCGATCGGCTCGCTCCCGTGGAGAGATCCCAAGGGCTCGCTGTCCGCTGTTCGCGTCTTTCCCTTATTCACACCCAGATAATCGATCTCGTGCAGTATGAATCGAACCTTGTCTCGTGGCGGCCCGTAGAGGGTATGTCGGAGCGTGTACTTGCGAACAGCTATCACCGTGTGCAAGAGTGCATGCAGCCCATCTAGGAGTCTTGGGGGAAGCGTTCGAACGCAATCGGGGGTAAGGTGGGCGACGACTTGAAAGTAGCCGTCAGTAAGCGTGAGAGGGTTCGTCTAGAGGGCAGCGGGTTAGACAGAGGAGGTGGGCCAATTGCGCGTAGTCACATGCCTGGAGGATTTGTAGGGCGCTGTTGCGCTCGGGGTGAATGGAGTTGATTATGTCTAGACAGGAGCCGTTGTCGTGGTAGAGGGTGTCCCAGGTCTTGTCAAATTGCGTCTTGACCCCCGCCTCCTTCCGGCTGTTCTTATCCCGCAGCCAGCTGTTTCCCAGCAGCAATTGCTCTTGGACAGTTCCCTCAAGCCAGCCGTGGAGTTGAATATCCATAGAGTAAGGCCCGGGCGCGAACGGGAAGACGCGACGCGTCTCGGCCTGTCTTCGGAAGAGGGGAAAGCAGCAGTCTTTGCGGACGTGACGGGCATCTGGACTAACATCGAGGGAGACCTACCCAGATAAATACAAGCCGACTGTGTAATAACCCATCTTCAGCGGGCGCTTGCCCATTCTGCGGCCCTCTTTCACAGTGTTTTGCTCGACGAGGCTGAAGCAGCGGGGCGGAGGTGCATGGGGGCCTGGGGGCGGAACCTCCGCATGGCTTGGCGACGGCGCGTCATCCATCGCTGGTCTGGAATCCTCCGCCTTGATGCATTCACGTCCTCGTGCCGCTTGAGAGCTGTCAGACCTGTAGCTTACCGTCGACTCAACGCTTGCTTAGTCTACCAAGTACGACTTGAAAATGGCCACCACCTCAATGCCAGTCCTCCCAGTAATTTCCACAGCTTGACCACCCACCACACCAGACGGAAACCTGCACTGTAGACCATGAGCACAGCGTGACGCCTGATGCTGCTCCTCCTCCCTCATCGCCGTGGGACGCTTTTCTGCCGCCTCGAGAACGTCTACGCTCACTACTCCCAATACCATAGCTATGGCTCGAGACTCGCGCGGGTCGCTGCATGACGCGCTCCACCAGATGCATGCCACGCAGTCGCGCTCCGAGACGCTCACCACCTTCGATGATCTCACCGCTCCCCCGGCACCGGCTGGAACTGGTGAAGCCAAGGGTATAGAACTGGTGCAGGGCGGCTTGAGTGGCCTGTATAGTCGCCTCAGGGCGTCAGTCGGAGGCGCCAAAGAACAAGCATCCGATGGCTCCAGTAGTCTTTCGGTGGAAGCCAGGACTTCCCCCATTTCGAAGCCTGGCTCTATCTCTGTCACTAAGAGCCCCGGTGGGACAACGGTATCTTCGCCCGTAGTCGTGTCTGTGCCGTCGTCGAGGCTACAATCACCGTCGACAGCCACCTTCTCCAGCGCACTTCCACCTTCACGAGACTCGAACCTGTCCAGCACACCCATGTCAAGTAAGCTTTCACTGAATGCGTCTAAAACCTCGCTTGCTACCACGCGCTCCCGGCCGTCGAAACCCCCGAGTGTCGACTTGGGCAAGACCTACAAGGACGACGATTCCTTTACTCAGAGCCCTAGAAGCTTGCATTCGAAAGCCCAAAGCACCTCGAATATTGAACAGCCGAGAAATAGCTCAGCAAGAGACTTCGCGCCAGGTAGGGAGGACGCTCCCAGGAGACTGAAAGCGGAGCACAAGCTCGAGAGTCAGGACAGTGACGATACTGAAGAGGATGATATGGTGGTTGTGGAGGGCGAGGGCTCTACAAACAGCAGTGCCATCTTCAAGTTCCCGGCCGACTCGCCTCGCGAAAACTTGAGTAGAGTCAGCTCGCGCGCAGATAGCCAATACCAACCGGCGCGTTCTATGCTCAACAAGGCGAGAGATCAATCCGAAAAGACACCAGAGGGCACCCAGATCCCACACGTGGCCACCACCGCGCGACTACCTGTTCTTTCGCCCGAGCCGCAGCGTCCACAACTGCTAAAGGTTGGCCCTTCACATTTACCAGGCTTTCGCCCCTCAAGAGCATCCTCGTCGGATGGCCTGAGCTCCATCATTACCTCGTCCACCGTACGCACTCCTACAATTGCGCCCATCGAAGAGATCCAACGACAAGCTCACGATAAGCCCGCCGTCGACATGCTGTCCAAGAATGCGTTCACGCAGATGAGAAGGAAGATCCTGGGCCGAGAATTTTGGATGCGGGATGAAAATGCGAAGGACTGCTTCAACTGCGGTGATGCCTTCACTACCTTCCGCCGGAAACATCACTGTCGAACCTGCGGGCAGATCTTCGACTCTAAATGCACGTCCATTGTTTCTGGGAAGATCTTCGGGCAGCAGAGCAATCTAAAGGTATGCAAGCCTTGTGAGGCCATCATATACGGCCACGACGATGATTCATCCGAGTACACAGACGAAGGAGATCAAGCATCAAACTACGATCATGGGGAAGCAGGTGAGGATCTCGACGAATCTGAGCTCGAAGCACCAGAAAGCGATTACACCAAGATCGGAACACCAACCATCAGTATACCCATGTTCAGAAAGACGGGCAGCGAGAAGAAACGCCGGTCCCATGTCATCGAAGTCGGCCCTCAAACCTTAGCCAGACCAAGTTCGTCCCGGTCGTTGCGGTCTCTGAGTGGACGACCGCGTTCGTCGAGCCACAAACGCTACCATTCGAGACATCAACACATGCGCCATCCCAAACACGACCACCGTGCGCCTTTCCACCAGTACCATGACCTTTCACGTGGCCAGCCGAGTCTATCTGCCTTCCACCATGATAACATTATCGATCCAGATCTTGCGCCTTTCATGTCAGACGACGGCTCTAGCGAAGAGGAACACCCCAGCATTTTCGCGACCCTGAGTGAAGATCCTTCCACCAATGTGAACTTGGAAGGCGAGAAGGGCGGCCTTGGCGGTCTTCTGGCTGCAATGAGAAAGGGTAAATCGAGATATGGAGACAAGAGCGTTGTCGGAGGCCACAACCGAGATGCAGACAACGCCAGTATCTCGAGCCGTCATGCAAACCGAACACGGAGAAGGAATCTTAGTGTGAGCAGCATTACGCATAGGCCATCACCAAGACGATCCAAGAGCAATACGCTGTTACGGCCTTACACTGCTGGCTTTGGTGCAAGCGGACCAGCTTCGCAATCTGGTACGCCACAACTACAGCCTTCCCCAACACCTACTCCACCTGGCACGAAAATCACGCGTAGCTCCTCTATCCAGGGTAGCGGCATCCTGCCCAAGGTCGAGCTCAACAAAGCCAGCCTCGACCATGCGCGCAAGCTGTTGAAGCAGATGTTGCGTGATGGGGGCGTGTCGCATGTATCGAGCTGGGAAAAGGCCTTAATTCCAATCCTGCGCAAATGTACAGACGACGTCAGTCCAGATGTTGATAGAGGCGACGATATTGACGTTAGAAATTACATCAAACTGAAAAAGATTCCCGGTGGAAACCCGCGCGACACGGCCTACGTCTCTGGGGTAGTTTTCACGAAGAACGTGGCACTGCGTAGTATGCCCCGGAGTATCCCAAACCCGAGGATCATTGTCATCACTTTCGCCATCGAATATGCACGGCATCAGACGCACTTCATGAGCCTCGAGCCTGTCATTGCGCAGGAAAGAGAATACCTACGCAACTTAGTCAACCGCATCGCAGCTCTCCAGCCTCATGTGCTACTAGTACAGCGCAACGTCTCTGGTCTCGCCCTTGAATTCCTCGAAAAGGAAGGCATCGCTGTAGTGTACAACGTCAAACCAAGCGTCTTGAATGCTGTTGCGCGGTGCACAGGCTTGCGGATGATCTCATCCGTCGACAAGCTCGCTATCGACCCCGCTAACCTTGGGTATTGCGAAAGTTTCGACGTCAAGACCTATGTGTATAAAACTACTAGGAAGACCTATGTTTTTCTGTCTGGGTGTCAGAAAGAGCTGGGGTGTACGATCGTCCTGCGTGGCGCCGAGAATCAGGAACTAGCCAAACTGAAACGCGTCACAGAGTTCATGACCTACGTGGTGTACAATCTTCGGCTCGAGACCTGCCTCATGCGTGATGAGTTCATTGATACGCCTACCACCTCTATCATCGGCACTCTTGCCTCGAGCCACAACGAAGAAGACAAGTCCAAACAGCAGGGCGATGGCGATTCCAACGCTCAATCTGTGACGGCCACGGCTGATGAAACCAAGAAAGATCACTCTGCGGACGACATTGACTTTGGAGACGCTGCACCTTCGTACTATAGTGACTTGGTAGAAAACCATCGTACCAAAATCCTCTCCTCTTCGCCGTTTGTCAAGTTTATGCAGCCATACCTGCTCGAACAGGCTCGCCAATACGAACGAAAGCTTGGTCATCTTCAGAGACTTAAAAGTCAATACACAATTGCCGACGAGGAAAAGCCTGACGAACCGGGACAAAAGTTTGAACTTGTTCAACCGAAGATGGTTCATACTGTGGTTGAGCGAGCCTCGAAGCAGGTGCGGGAGTTTTTGTCTGCGGTACATGCTTCGGAGTATGACAAAGCGTTGCATCAATATATGACACAAAAGCGGCAGTGGGAGCAGTATCTGTCTGGCAACATGGACCTCTATGATCCGTTCAACCACCAAAAGATTGCCGTCTTGTACAGTGTCGTCAACACGGCTAAAGGGACTCCCTGCATCGGCCCCGAGATTATCGCCCTAGGCTTCTACCAGGAACACGACTTTGACGACGGTTTTACACCCGATTGCACTCTCGGTCAGTACGTGGAGCACCTCTGCTCTTCAGCTGGGGTTGTCTGCGAAGACGACGGTTGCAATCGGCGGATGCTAGACCATTCTCGACAGTACGTACACGGCGAAGGGCAGATGAGTGTCATCGTGCAGAAGCATCCACCCAAACTGAGAGGAATGTATCAAACCATTCTTATGTGGAGCTGCTGTAGGATTTGTGGCCAGGAAACACAAGCATTCCCAATGTCTGAGTGGACATGGAAGTACTCTTTCGCCAAGTACCTCGAGTTGACCTTTTGGAGCACGGGATTGCATCCTCGAGCCAATATATGTCCTCATGACATTCACAAGGACCACGTTCGCTACTTTGGTTACAACAACGTCGCACTCCGCATTCAATACGATCCGGTCCCAATGTACGAAGTCATTGCCCCGAAAGCAAACGTCACCTGGAAAGTCGATAGCGACCTGAGATTGAAGAACGACCAGTACTTAATGATCGAAGAGAAACTGGATTGTTTCATGGACTCGATCCGCAATCGCATCGAGGGTATCCATGTCGAGAGCATCATTGGGGAGAAGGTTGATTTGTGCAAAATTGAGGTTGAGCGGCTCATAAATCGCGCGAACGAAGAGCATGAATGGCTGAAGAGCAAACTCCAAGCCAAGTACATGGAATCCAAGTACTATGAGATTATTCCAATGAACAGAGCCATCCGCGCGATCCAGGAGAAGGCCATTGCCTGGGATGAAACCTTCCAGGATTTCGAGCAGCAGTTCTTCCCATCCGAGAAGGACATACGAAGACTGGCAGCTGTACAGCTTAGAAAAATCTTGTTTGAACGGGATGAGTCTACGAGCTCGCTAACATCGGTTGATGAAGGTACGGAATCAGGTGCGGAAGACACATATATCGATGAGAAGGGCGATTCCGTTGCCATGCCCCCAAGGCCATCCGACATGTCGCCAGAGATGGCTCACAACGTGCTGAGCTCTGTTGTGAAAGAGGAACAATCAGATGGCAACCAGCCAGGGGATACTGGCATCGTCTCGCCGGACCGCATGACGACTACACCGCGGAAGAATAGTGCAGAACTACCGATACAAACATCATTGGAGGCTCTAGAGCGCGAAGATGTGCGGCACTTGGACCTTGCGGTGTCGTCTAACTTTCCAGGCAATCCACCTGCGGACGAGCAGCAGCTTAGATCGCCCACGGCTGCTACCAGCGGTAGCCAATTTGATCAGGGATCGCCTACTCCTACAACTCTTCCAAAACTCAACCCCATCGACAAGTCTCTCGCAGACGCAATTGATAATATGCCAAGTTCACCATCGCCCTTGCCAGCTTCTGATACGCCATCGGAAAGCAAGATTCCCCGCTTGATGGACAATAGTCGACGCGAGCCTCCTGTGAGACCTGGTACATTAGCCCGCACGCAATCTCAGCCAGGTGGCATTCCGAAACACAACCCGTTCCCCGGACCTTCTGTCTTTAACGGCGCCGTCCCCACTAAGCCAACCTTGATTGACCATGCGAAGGCGCTTGAACGCATGACTGAGCGATTAGGTATTGGGTCAATGAAGCAGAGCAAAACGACGTCGCGTATCCCGCGCTCTATTCCTTTCAGACCGACCAAGGTATCGAAGCTCGCACAGCATTTTGAGCAGCTCTCGCGCGAGTTTGAGAAGGAACGTTTGCGTGAGCGACGCAATAACCGAAACAGGCAGGTGCGTGCATATCCTCTCGCATCGTCTAAACCGGTTGTCGAAGTTTATAAAGACGTACACGACGCTGTCCAAGAGTATAATGCGTCCGATGAGGACATGCAAGTCGACTCTCCTCCACGTGCCAGCATGGACAACAGTACGTTAGGCGATAGTACCGTCACTGAGACCACGGGTGGCGTTACGACAGCACCGCATTCGCCGGTAGAAGAACGTCACCATAGATATATGCCTCAGCTGAATGAGAGTGACGAGCTACCCAAAACGCCAACCCATCCTCCATCGGATACTGAAATGGACAACAGCGATACTGAGATCATGCCCGAGGATGTTCCCTTGCCGGACAGCATCGCCAGCTCTCAGCTCCTTAACATGAGCGACTCTCAACTTGAAAGCTCCCTCGAACTTCCGCGACATGAGAAGAACACGCTCCTAAAGATGCTCACGAGCTTTTGGTCAGAGCGCTCAGCCAGCGGATGGACACCTCTTGACTACCCCTTCTCGCAAATCGAGCATGTCTGGGAGCAATCCGACATCATCATTCGAGAAGATGAGCCTAGCTCTATCATTGCGTTGGCACTATCTTGCCCCGATTACGTTGTGAAGTTGCAGGAGTACCGCGATGACCGCGCACCATCTGAGAAGGGTGTTGGTAGAGTAGAAACCATTGAGGACAACATCGAGAGGAATCTGCTGCATGAAGAGAACCACAATATCCGGTATACCTTCACAAATCGTGGCGTCAAGGCACACTGTAAGATCTTCTACGCACAGTCGTTTGATGCTCTACGCCGCAAGTGTGGTGTCGCAGACCGCTTCGTTGAATCGCTCTCTCGCTGCTCCAAGTGGGATTCGAAGGGTGGAAAATCCAAATCTATTTTCCTCAAGACACTCGACGACCGCTTCGTCCTCAAGTCCCTGTCACCAGTTGAGGTCCAGGCGTTCTTCAAGTTTGGTCCAAACTACTTTGCCTTCACGCACCAAAACCTGTTTAAGTCACTGCCTAGCGTCATTGCAAAAATGTTCGGTCTCTTCCAAGTCCAGATCAAGACCCCTACGGGCCGGGACTTTGACTGGTTCATGCTGGTCATGGAGAACCTATTCTACGACCGCGAACCTAATCGGCGCTACGACCTCAAAGGCTCGATGCGCAACCGCAAAATTGAATCCACCGGCGAGCGCGACGAAGTGCTCCTTGATGAGAATCTCGTCGACATTATCTACTCCGAGACCCCGATCTTCGTCCGTGAACACACTAAGAAGCTACTGAAAGCTAGCGTCTGGAACGATACGTTGTTTCTGTCTCATAACAATGTGATGGATTACTCGCTCATGGCGGGCTTCGACGACACGAACCGCGAGATCATCGTCGGAATTATCGATTGCATACGCACATATACCTGGGACAAGAAACTCGAGTCTTGGATCAAGGACCGCGGCAAGAACAAGCCCACAATTACCTCACCCAAAGACTACCGCAACCGGTTCCGCATCGCGATGGAGAAGTATATTCTGCAGGCGCCTAATTGCTGGCATCAGTTCAGCGGCAGGATCGTTGGCCAGGGCGTAGAGCGGAGGAGGTGGGTGCTTGAGGGTCCAGCGGCAGATCGAGGGAAAGATGTTGGGCACAAACGGATGGCCAGTGGTAGTAGTACGGGAGGGGCGAGTACTGTGAGGGACATGGGTACGAGGACAATCATGGAAGCTGAGGGGGAGGAGGGTGTCCGAAATAAGGGAATGAGAATGAAGTAAGATCAATTATAGTATGCCTTGAAAGCGGCATCGCATAGCGCTGGCGTACGGGGTTTTTCAAAAATTTGTGGGATGCATGGATTGACCGGGTAGCACGCGTCGACGGGCGACATAACAGCAATCTAATAATGCGACAAGCTTAGTCTCCAAAGGCTTCATTTCCAACCCTAGAACGTGAATTTAAGCAGACGAAGAGAGTCAGTGTTGGTAAATAGCGGATGACAACTAAGTGAAATCGACTCACACAAAGCTCGTTCCAGACTTGATCTTGAGTTACGCAGAGGTGCAGGGTGAGCAATGAGTAATAAGCAGCTTAGGCTTGCAGGGGACCAAGAACGGCACCCACGCTTCTTTTAGGAGCTCCCTTCTTCTGGAAGCCTTTTTTTCCCTAGGAGATTTCTTCTCTTAAGCGGCCTCTTCTCCTCAGAGCTTTCTCCTCCTTGTAGCTTTTTCTACTAGGAGCTTGTCACTCCTCAGAGCCTTTCACCCTGCGGCAACCTTCTTTTCTCAGAGGTCCTTCGCGGAGCCCATTTCTACTTCCAGCGTGAGTCTCCATCTCTCGCCGCATGCTTTGCTCTTTTCAACTGCCATGGGTGGAACGGTCCGAAGTGTATACAAATGCGATTTGATAACGAGGTCGCGAGTGATGCGGCTGACTCTGTTATTCTGAAGGTCATGAAGCGCAGGTGCTGTTTCTGCGGCAGAAATCAGTTCGGCTTGTGGTATGTTGAGTATATCACGGCCTTCAAGAGGAAAGGCCGTATTTGGATCCCTCGCTGAAGGCTGGGTAATGCGTTATTTCCTTTCCAACACGCCGAACATCGCGTTCAACTCACATCGGTCTTAGCTTTCCAGCAATCTGGAAGGTTTGCTGCATCCATGATCTCGTGTTGTCACTTCTGCGCCGACGTCGTGGAAGACAAGAGGAAGATGAGACTTCCCCGACTGGGTTTGTAGAGCGTATTCACTGGTCACTGAGCCCGACCAAATGGTGGTGGCGGGTATGTTGTTTCGCGCCTGAATTCAGTGGTACCTTATTGTGGCTAGGTGCGAGTGACTTTGCCTATAAAGGCTAATGCAATTATATTGCTGCTGGAGACATGGAATATATTGTGATCCTACAGTCCTGAGCAAGCCGATTTCCGCTAATATGATGGGCCAAAACGACTAACTTAGTCGGGTGTATGTCAAGAGCAGATTTGACTTGGAAATAGCGTAACCCTATATAGAGGCATGGGAAGCACTCCTGATCAGCAGACCCTCAACAGATATACATGGATTTCCTTTGAAGCCTCCCTGTAAGACGCATGCATATCAGTTTGTTGAGCTCTAAGCCTCTCTTATGACCATGCATTCTTGTGGGGTACATGGATGCTGGTAGGCTTAGCGTCGCACTAACCAACCCACCTCCTCCCTCCAGCCATCGCCCCTTCTTCTACAACCTCCGTCTATCTACGGCATACCTCAACAATGCGAGCCGTTACACTTCACGATCACGCCGTTGCATTCTTCCCGGTCGCTGTCAGGCGCGCTACGTGCCACTATTTGGCGGTGGAGCCCAGTCCGCACATCCCTGATGCTGTCGTTTGAAGCAAGGAACCCATCACGATGGCAGCTCCAATAGGATCTTTCTGCAGAAAATGACAACACAGACCAAGGTTTGCTTACCTTGCAACTCAATTTGGCCTGAACTATCCCATTGGAGCACAGTTTCGGTGTGTTTGACTTGGGCTCGCAATGACCCAATGATCTGAACCCAAGGCCAGAGGAAGATCACGAGAGTGAAGCTGTACCACCAGAGCCGTCTGGATTGGTGGTTCGAGTTATGGGGGGCCCTGGCATGCGCTGAACACATCATCAAGTCGATCAGGCTACCGAGGACTTCAAATACGTGGCTCGCGGTCGTTGAGGTCTCTTGCGTCTGCAGATATCCGCAAGCAAGCTTGTGAGTTAGTTGCGAAGAAGCTCAAGTCTCTCGGATATCAAACCACAGTCTACAGTTAAACCTCACACTTTCTTCCAATTTCCAACACATCTTGTCAAGTAAACTCGATCACTATGATCCTCCCCCGCATCATTTCCCCCCTCCTGCGCGTCGCGCAATTCGTCTGCGCAGCCATCGTCCTCGGCCTCACCGCGTACTTCCTGCACCAACGCGAGAAATACGGCGTAGGTCCCTTCGGCCGTCTCGTCTACAGCGTCGTAATCGCCGCCATATCCGTGGTCCTCTCCCTCATCTGGATGATCCCTACTACCAGCTCCATCGTCAACTACGCCACCGATCTGCTCTTCTGCGCAGCCTGGTTTGCAGCCTTCGGCGTCCTTCAGGACTGGTACGATGATGCGCTGCAGTGTGGTAGCACGTGGGATTGGCGTGGCATAGGATTCTGGAATGGCTTGTGTGGGCAGTGGAATGCTGCGCAGGCGTTTAGTTTTCTTGCGGCGGTCTTTTGGTTTGCGAGCTTTATTCTGGGGATCTTGGCGCATCATCGCAACGAGAGGGCGACTGTTGCTACAGATGGAGCAACTTCGTAAGTTGGCTTTTTCCGTTTAGAGTTCATCGTGTGTTTCTGTTAACGTGATTCAGGCGAAAGCGCTGGTTCAGGCGATCTCGAGTCTAAGACTGAACGTGTTGATGCAGGCCGATACTCGCCACTCGAGTATGCATAACCAGTGATAGGTACTTGATAAAGGACTTGAAAGCATGAAGTGGTATTGGAGGTTTGCAATGATTTTTCGATGCCCGCGAGATTCCCATTTCGCCTCCATCTTCTCTAATTTCTATGAAATGGGGTTTTTTGTTAGCGTTGCTGATGAGGAGGTTAAGGTTCGATGGTGTATATGATGACATTGAGAAAAGGCATGTGTTGGAGGAAGGGACATGCTATCTTTCAACAGTCTGAAAATATTTTTGTCTAATTTTTCTTTCATTAATCCCCGACTTATACTAGTTCCTTACTTACATCCAATAACGTACTACACTTTCGCTATACCCAGCCTCGTAGCTTTCTCCACCAACCCCACACCGTCCGCTTCTCACTAACCTCACCAAGCTAAAGCCCCCGGCGGCTCCCGCAAACACCATTATCACCCCGCAACACGCAATGCCCCTCATCAGTTAATCAGTAAATCTCCAGGAGCTTCAATCGTATCATCTTGATACCCACGATTAAAATAAGCTCTCTCAGCCATGTCATCCCCACCACGCGCTACGGTAGCCATCCTATCAATCGGCCAAATGGGCCTCGGCATCGCGCAGCTCCTACAAGCGCACGACTACCGCGTCATAACCAACGTCAGCGATAGAAGCCGCGCCACACAGGAACGTGCAATATCCACAGGAATAGAATTAGCAAACAGCGATGAGAGTCTGGTAGCACACGCAGATTATATTCTAAGTATCGTGCCGCCGCGCGACGCCATCGCAACAGCGAAGCGGGTGGAAGTAGCGCTGGGCAAAGCGACAAGAGACAAGAAAGGGGAGCTGTACTACCTCGATCTGAACGCCATTTCGCCCTCAACCGTGAAAGAAATATACGCGTCCTTGTCCGCCAATGCACCTAGTGTGCGCTTCATAGACGGCGGCATCATCGGCGGGCCACCTGCGCCGTCGGAATCCGAAGTATCAGGCTGGACGCGCCCTGATGTACCGCTCTCGGGTCCCCATGCACTACACGACGCGCCAATCGACGGCGCATACCTCGCAGACACGCTGAATAGCAGATATCTCGGTGAGCAAATCGGCTCCGCGTCCGGGCTCAAGTGCTGTTTTGCCGCGCTGTCAAAGGGCTTTACCGCGCTGGCGTTGCAATCTTTTACTACGGCAAGTTCGCTAGGCGTGCTGGGTGCGTTGCAGGAGTACATGGATGTGTATAATCCCGGCGCGAAGCAAAAGGCCGAAAAGAGTATTGTGGGGTGTACGACCAAGGCGTATCGCTGGGTCGAGGAGATGAATCAGATTGGGCAGTGTTTTGCTGAGGAAGGAGGGTTTAGGGCGCAGGCGCAGGTTTTCCGGCAGATTGCGGGTGTGTATGATGGGTTGGCTGATGTAGTGGAAGAGAAGGGGACGAGTGGAATGGCGAGTGCGGGGGGTGTGGTGCAGGCTCTCGGGGAGAGTTTAAAGCATGAATAATACGGAATGAGTATGGGATTCGTCCATTGCTTGCCTTTTATACAGAGAGATGTGACCCCTTATTACTCCAGATTGTCGTAGATCATCTTCTCGGCCATGAACCACGCCGGGATGACCTTAGGGTCCGGGTTGGGCAGTGCCTGGCTCGCAAGCATACCAGCCACGCCCTTCTCTCTGTCCATCCACCAGAAGCAATTAGCTAGACCCATCCACCATATTGTATTAGCTCCACGTCCCGTGGGACCGGGTGTGATCGTCAAGAAGCCGCCGAAGGCCCAGCCCTGAGGAGGATTACCCGGCTGTGGGTAAAGTTCCGACGCTGCGTTGGCAAGGAGAGGATTTGCTGGGGGCGGGCCGTTGCGCGCAAAGTCGGGTCTGTGTAGATGTCAGCCAGTGCATATGGTGCTGGGGGAATAAGAGAATGGAAAGGCGCCGTACTGGTTAGGAATCTGGTTCTCAAAGAGCAGGTCGACAGTCTCCTTTTTCAAGATGCTTTCGCCTGTAGTCGGACTCTTCCCCTCGTTTAAAATCGCTGCGAGGATCTTGACATACTCCTTCGGCTTCGAGAATAAGCCCGCTCCACCAGATTGGAAGAACTTGTCCTGCTGCTCCTTTGTATTCTGGCGCAGAGATGCGCTGAATAGATGCTCGCGCTCCTTCAGGTGGCCTTCTGCATCACGCTGGTGCAAGTGCGCCAAGTTCTTCTGCGCGTCCTGTGTCGGAAACATGCTCGCGCCTTCGGCTGGGATGCCAAGGGGCTTGAAGATGTGCTCTGCGAAGTAGACCCCGAGAGTCTGGCCAGTGATGCGCTCCAGAATGATGCCTGCCCAGTCCATGTTGATCTAACGCTTCATTAGGAATGTGGTCATGTCAGACACGGGCTAGAGTGTCAGCAACTGCTTACTCCATATTCCCACATCGTGCCCGGCTGGTTGACCAGTCGCGCGTTCAAGATATCATTCTTATCACCATTCACACCCTCGAGTCCAGTCGGGGTCTGAACACGCGGATCGATGAATGCGTAAGCAAAGCCTGCCTTGTGCGCAAGCAGCATCCTGACCGTGACATCCTTCTCCTGATCAGCCGCATTGACGCCATCTGCGTAGACCTTCTTCTCCTTGATCTCGGGTACTGCTTTCTTCACAAAGTCTGCATCGTCGAGGGGAATTTTGCCCTGCTCAACGAGTTGGAGCACTGCAACTGTCGTGACAAGCTTTGTGCATGAAGCGATCCAGAAGATTGTGTTGTCCTTGTCCATGGGCTCTTGCAAGTCCACGCCGATGGTGCCACTTGCATGGTCGACGAGCGTCTTGCCCGATTTGTCCACAGCCGAGAAGACGAGACCAGGCGCGCCATCTTTGACAGATTGGTCGATTATGCCCTTGACGTTTGCAATACCCTGAGCAGAGAGAGGCATCTTGAGTATTGGGGTAGCTAGTTTGCAAGAGGGAAACTTCAAGTTCGGGGTTGAAGAAGGGAAGTGCGGTTGTAGCTCCGAGGTACGACTACTTTCTTATAGGCGTACAACGTCAGGCTAGGTCGAGCCTGCAAGTTATTGCAGACTATTTTCTCATTCTACTCTGTGAGACACTGGATCGTAACTAGTAGCCAATGCGCAACTAGTTCCCGGGCGGTACTGCCGCTTTCTGAACGCGTGTAATCTTGGATGGCATTTCCAATAGCCGTGCTGCAGTCGCTTCCGAAAATCATGCGCCATCCGGGTACCAGCAACGTAAGACAACCAAGCTCTTATCGCTGTACATGTGTTCTTACCTTTTCAGAAACCCTACCTTTACGCAGCTAACCTTTCCTACTAACGGACCATGCTGACTTCCAACAGCGTCAGCGCTATCCTGAAAGACATGCGTTATCTATGCAGGTCCCTTTCCAGCACTCCCATCGCACACGTGAAGGCTCCAGAACATCGAACGATGCTCTGTTTTCGAGTCAGGTTGAGGGCGTCAAGGATGAGAACGGAGGCAACTAGCCGGGTATGAAGGGCTGAACGACTTGAATGTTGCTAGTCTACTACTTCAGAATGAATTGTGCCAAAATGCCGGATCCAATGGATCCGTCTTACGGTTACTTTTCTAGTCCAAGCTACCCCACAGCAGGCTGATCCCTGCAGGAACGCTACGAAGGAGCTCGTGTATTGTGACCAGCTTTTGGCGGGGTACCAAGCCATGCAGGTGACAAAAGAGTGGCATCGTAATCGAGCCGTGCCGTCCCTGTGCCAGTGCAAAACTGTGGCTAGAATGAGAGGTCTACGTGATCTTGTCTAACAGCGTGTCCCGTGTAGGGTACTACAATATGAATTCCTTGGACCCCAGGTTTTATTCCTTCGTTTTCACATGTCTTCAGTTTCAACTCGTATGCTGCTGAAGAGTGTCCATGCATGAGCGACAGCGCAGCGAACGGCAGGTGGTTGTAAGCACTCGGAGGAGCTACATATAAGCCAGCCTCAACTCCGCTTTAGTGCTGATTTCAATTCCTTGAGAGCAGCCATGACTAGAGGCACAGCGACCGGTCCTAGGAGTGGCAAGTAGACGGCAACCTTGTGCTCATCTGGAAAATAGACCTGGCCGACCATAGACCTCTCGAAGAAAGCTTTTTCCGCCGCCACTTCTGCAGCTCGGGCATGTTCAAGCGCGCTCTGGAAGCGACCCTCTCGAAGAAAGGCACAAGCTTGCTGCAGATGCGCAATAGTACGGTGGGCAGACTGAGCGACGTTGTCTGGCACGGGGATGGAGGGAAGCTTGCGATATACCTGGGCCAGCGCGCCCAGAGTTGAAGACGCCGAGTAGATGAGTGATGCAGCTCGTACACGTTCAAGCGTCGAGATGCGTAGTGGTAGCGACGCTGGGGTATTTGGTAAGCCGAATAACGAAACTAGCTGGTTGGAGAAGGTGTGCATAGCTGGTGCCAGCGCTTCTGCTGTCAGCGCAGGCGGCGTGCCTGACTCGCCCTGTAAGTTTAGAATATGCACGCCTCCCCATTGAGGAACCATCCAGCTGTTCCCTGAGTTCTCTTTGACTAGAAGCGGTGATTGGGTCTGATCTGGTACATAGAGGATGAAGTTGACAGTCGGGCCTTCGCCAATACTAGGGCTAAGGGGCCACTCCGCCGCATTGATGAAGCCACTGAGATCCTCTCTGCGAAGGGTCCAAGCTTTGAGGTCTTCATCGTACTCGGGTTGGCGAATGGAGGGGGAGAAGGTAGCATAAAGCTGAACTTGGGTGTCGACGGTGAAGTTGCTGATGGATGAGAACGACTCAAGCAGAGGATTGAGGTACGTGCGAAGTGCCGTCTCAATGTCCCACGCGGATGGCGCATACGACGGACTGAACAATGAGAACGTCAGATGGTAGCTTGGGGCGTATTTGAGGGTTTTAGCCGACTGGTGTTCGAGCTCTGCTGAAGTCTCAGGAGACAGACTCTTCGAGTTGGTATTGTGCGTAGACAAGAGATGTGCCAACTGGGCCTGCTCTTCAGTGAACAGACCATGGAGCTCCTGCGCTAGAAAAGTTGCGAGAGGCTGGCCGTCCGGGGACTGCGGAGGGATCTGGCTTGCCGAGTAATAGACGTCTAGTGTAGGCGAGTATGGCTGCAGGTGTGATCGAGGCGTCGCCCCCGTCTCCACGGGTATCAATCGGACAACCAAAACGACATCCTTGTCATTGCTCCGTATGCTTGTTCCATCGCTGACAACCTGTTGTGTGGCGTTCGATAGCAGGGGAGAGTCGGCAAGCAAAAGGCGAAGATGGTGCGCAGGGAATTGGTTGAGCTCGTCGAGGGCATGTTGCGTCGCGCGGAGAATGTGCTGTGCATCTTCGGGAAGAATTGGGGCTTCGACGGCAATGCGTAGAGGAAAGACGGGCTGGCAGATCTGCACAACATTAACTCGAATCGATGCAGCACACTTCTCACGCTCACCTTGCCTTCAGCCCAGTCTGTCATGTCCTGCAGTGGCAGCTCCGCTCTGTATATGGCTGTCGTCTTCAGCCATATTGGCAACCCTAGGAAGACTACCACGGCCCAAAAGGACAGAATGGCAAGCCGCCGCAGCCACAGGCTTTCCGTCGTCTCTGGCGGGGGCTGCTTCTTTGATGTGACGCCGTCAAGTGATGTTGACGAAGCTGGAGGGGTAGTTTGCTCCCCAGATGGCGCCAGGGACGCGTCAGGGCCCTTTGGTGAAGCCATGTCGCGGGTGAGGTTGTCTAGCTGTCCATTCGAGGTTCCACTGTAGGGAGGTCTGTGCGCACGGTCGTGATGTTTGGAAACGGTTTCCAGCATCATCATCAAGTTATTCCAAGGTTCTAATTGAAGCTGTGCATGCTGCCACCATTATAAAGAGATTTCCAGATACACTGCATGTAATTCTCTTGTAGTTTTTACAGTCCGAATGTCCCTAGAGGACGCACAAAGTCAAGACTGTGTGACCTCGAGCCCTCCCCAAGCTACTCGTAGCTCCCCTTCTCGTGTCCAAGCCAGTATCTTCAATATAAAGCTCCCATGCAAGCTGCCATGTTTCATAGCCCCTCGAATCGCCTAATGTGTGAGATGAAACCTTTACCTTCCGGCTGATGGTGTGAGGGTGGAGCGATCGTCGGTGCACGCTGATGCAATGCATTCACCCACCCTTGTCAGTTGGCAAACACACGCCATGAAGGCTCGACTTGGGACCACGGCCCATCCAATAATTTCTTCTCTCGATGAGCACACGACGGTGGTCTCCTAATTGTCTCCTCAGGTACAGACGGCGTGTTTGGCTTTGGTGTTGCAGCAAGGGTTGGGCACGCTACCTAACGGGTTCGGATGGAGGTGGCCTGTGCAGTGCGGGGAGTGCATATCTGGGGAAAGAGCTCTACTACGGAACGTGACGCGGGCAGGCACGAGATCGAGGAGCTGCCCCTCTCAGCTGACGCACCTTTGCTTCCTCCCTCTGCTTCCCCACACGACAAACCATTTTGTCAATCAATTCTACAGCTTTCTCTCTCCATTCCAATTCACATTCCATACCACATCATTCAAGATGAGTGCAATCGCCGACAGCACTGATGGCCGTGTCGAACAGGTCAAGGTGCTGTTCGCCCTCTTCCCAGGGTACAACACGCTTGACGTGGCCGGTCCTCTCGAGGTCCTGAGCCGATCTCTTCAGGATCCCAAGGACAAAGGTAAGCATGGAAGCTGTCAATGGCTCGATGGTGTACTCTCTTGTGGCTGTATTCCTCAATTGGTCCTTTGTTGACACCCTCCGAGGTAGCAGGGCTTTCGAGTGCCAGTTCGTCGGTCCCGCTGCTGCCATGACGTCCGTCCAGGGCCTCACCATCAAGGCCGACATGGACTACGACGATGCCAACGACGAGCTTGAGGACTTCGACGTCCTCATCATTCCCGGCGGCGAGGGCGTCTTCGAGGTGCTCAAGAACAAGTCGGAGCCCCTCAGCCTCCTTACCAAGTACGTCGAGCTTCAAGAGAAGAACCCGGCCAAAGAACGCACCATCCTCGCCATCGACGTCGGCGCCCTGCTCCTTGCCCAGCAAGGTATGCTCGAGGGCCTCGCCGCCACAACCCACCCCGACTACTACGTCCGCCTAGAGACGCTCTGTCAAGATGCTGCTAGGCGAGACATGTCCATGCGTACCGACGTTATGGAGGAGCGATACGTGGTGAACAACGCTCGCTTCGACCTGGGCGAGAACCCCGATGACAATCCGTAAGACGACAACATGCTTGTATCAAAGGCATAAGACTCACGTTGAACAGGTACATCATCAAGAAGTCCCGTCAGCCGCCCAGCGAGCCTGAGGGTCCCAACATGCAAAACGCGCGCAGGAAGTCGATTGCTCGCAAGGGCAGCAACGCCTGGCGTGATTCTCGTCGCCGCGAATCGATTGCTAGGCGTGCTCAGATGCCGCTGGGCGGCATGCGTGTCATCACTACGGGCGGCGTCACTGCTGGTCTAGACGCCAGCCTGTACTTGGTCGGTTCTCTGGCATCTCACGACTCTGCTCTAGAGGTCGCCCGCGTCATGCAGTATACTTGGGTCAAGGGCGTTACGGTCGATGCCATCGATGTTTGAGCTGGTACTCTGGCGGCCTAACGAAGGCGTTTACGAGGATTGGGACGAAACTTGATCGGGTATGATCATTTTATTAAGGTCGGGAATCTTGAGGATTTACCACGACTCGATGTAAGGTAACGAATTATTCACGGAAATGAAAACAGTAAACCATATTGAAGAGGCTTGTTGGTCTGCCAGTCGTAAGACGCAACGCGCGGTTGGTAGAGAATTCAGCCGAAGCTTGAACCGACGTTAGCATAGGCATCTACGTTAAGCTTCTCTGAGCCGAAGCGCCGCGTTGCCCATGTGTGCTCCACCTGATCAGGATAATCGCTCATGTAATGCTTGAACTTCGGGACCATGTGGACATGAGTTGTGGTGTCGGTCGAGGGTCCCGCAAGATCATGCATCGCTCCAGTGTGACGTGCTTGCAGATCGATCTCATGGGAATACCCGCTGCTTGCAGAGACATCGCTGAGGAGCCTCAGCAACTTTTCGATTAGGACGCCAGACCTGGGCGGGCACCTGGGCACAGTGTTGAAGCTACCTTCCCAAATCGATGCACCGCCTGGCGGCCTGCTCGGATGAGCAAGAGCGGCCGCCGCGGCTTCCGGATGCTTCGAGAGAAGACAAGCAACGTAACCAACACAGCATCCACAATTCCAGACAGCCACAAAATTGGTTCGAAGAAGCGCGACATCCAGAAAACCAGAGTTTTGATGGAAGAGTGAGGTCGAGCAGCCCACGCGCTGATTGGCCAGACGGCGACATTGAGGCTGTGTCCATGCGAAAATCGCGCATAGCTAACTAACAACAGCTCGACACTCCACGACCACACTCAGTCGGAGATTTGACACCATGTGAAAGAATTCCGGCATGCCCTTTGCGGACAGGATTGACGTACCTGAGTAAACCTGATTTTCCCATTGTCAGTGTATGAGCGATTTTTGGAGTCGAATCGCTTGAGCGTGGGAACCACCAAGGAAGCTGTGGGGGTTTCTCTTTGTGCTATAGCGTCGACGCGGGTTTCGCGGGACCCGCTGCTACGGTTGGATTATGTTACGTAGAAGGAGCGATTTGGTCGCTGGCGTACCGCGAAGGTAGTCAAGCACGTGGTGCGCGATGCGCAATGATGGGAGTGCCATAGCCACGCTCTTGGATGGGCGACGGCGAGGTAGGATGGTTGTGTCCCTCTTTTTCTTGGGTATAAATCGTTCCCTCGGCATCACCAATTATCTTGCTACCTCTCTCTTTTCTCTCCTTTCTCGTCTGTCCGCGACGTCTCTCCTTGTCCCACAACTTCTTGTGTCTCCTCAGTGAGCCCCTACACCGCTCACATGGACAAAGAAGACAAAAGCATCCCCCGCGTCCGTTTCGGTGACCAGACATTGCCAGATGAAGAAGATGGATATGTAACGCTTGAGCGTCGCCATCATCGAGGTCTCTCGCGTCAGTCGAGTGTTGGGAGTCTCTCGATCCATAGCACTGGAGGAGCTAGGACTGTTCAACCTGAGACTGCGCTGCCCATCGCGTACAGGACTTTGTCCATTGAGATTGATGAGGGACAGCAGAAGAAACAGGATGAAGTGAAGAAGGCGAAGGAGAAGGCCGCTGTTGGTATGTTGATCGTGTTGAGGCCATCTGGACAACTGTGGTGTCTTGTCCGCAATGAGCACAATGACATCTAAACTAAACTGCTGCTGACCTCAATGCCACAGACTTGGCAGGTCTAGAATGGCACACCATCACCGTCCACGAACTCTGCCGCCGCCTCTCCATAGACACCGACCAAGGCCTCTCCGCAGACCAGATCCAACGCCGCATTGGCGAATACGGCAGGAACAAGATAACACCTCCGCCCTCCGGGCTTTTCGGCAAGATTACAGGCTACTTCCTTGGTGGATTCGGTAGCATACTTCTTGTGGCAGGTATACTGGTTTTCATTGCCTGGAAGCCGCTTGGAAAACCCCCAGCTGTCGCCAATCTGGCGCTTGCTTGTGTTTTGATTGCAGTTTGGATCATTCAGGCCGCATTCAACGCGTGGCAGGACTGGTCTACGAGTAGGGTCATGGCATCAATTGGAACCATGCTGCCTGATGAGTGCATTGTCATTCGCAACGGATCCCAGGCTAGCATTTCTGCTCTAGATCTTGTGCCTGGCGATATCATCGTCATCAAGCAGGGTAACAAGCTTCCAGCTGATGTCCGCTTTGTGGAGGTTTCATCTGATGCCATGTTTGACCGCGCAATTCTTACTGGTACGTCTCGACGTATAAGCTGAGGGTCTTCCTCTAATAGACAACAGGTGAATCGGAACCCGTAATAGCCACCATTGAAGCCACGGAAGACAACTATCTCGAGACGAACAACATCGGTCTACAAGGCACACACTGCATTTCTGGGAGCTGCTTGGGCGTGTGCGTTGCGATTGGCGACAGCACCATCTTTGGACGCATCGCGAAACTCACGTCTGATCCAAAGACAGGAATGAGTCCGCTGCAGAAGGAGATTTTCCGCTTTGTGATGATCATCTCGCTCTTCATCACATGCGTAGTCATTCTCATCGTCGTCTTGTGGGCGGCATGGTTGAGGAAAGACCATCCCACTTGGATTGATGTGCCTCTTTTAATCGTTAGTTGTGTCTCTGCAGCTGTGGCCTGTAAGTTATCACCTCAGTCCGCTTTGACAACCACGCTAATATCGCATCTCCAGTTATTCCAGAAGGCTTGCCGATCGCGCTGACCACGAGCCTGACCATCGTTGCAAATATCATGCGCAAGAACAAGATTCTTTGCAAGTCACTCAAGACCGTCGAAACTCTTGGATCCGTGTCTGTCATCTGCTCTGACAAGACCGGCACATTGACGAAAAACAAAATGACCGTAACGGACATCTACGCTGCTGGCGACGAGTATTCACCAGAGGCGGCGCGAGATCTAATGGCTATCCTCCGGTCTGAGAACAACATTGCCGCTCTGTCCAAGAAGCGAGAGCACGTCATCGACCAGATTCGTATACTGGGTGGTCTTTGCAACTCTGGTGAGTTCGATGCAGCTACAATGCACCTGCCCATTTCAGACCGCAAAATCAACGGTGATGCAACCGATCAAGCTGTGCTCCGACTCTCGGAAAGCCTTGGATCAGTGGCTGAGCTACGTCAAGATTGGAAGAAAGTATTTGAGATTGCTTTCAACAGTAAGAATAAATTTATGGTTCGTCTCATGACGCCGGCTAATCAACCTGCAACGAGCAACAATACGTATGTGCGACCTTTCCTCGAATTTCCTGCTCACAACACTAACTTCCATAGCACTCTCATGATCAAAGGCGCTCCGGATATACTACTGCCGAGATGCGAGCTTGCCCTTAACAGCAAAGGGGACGCCGTACCCCTAACCGACGCACAACGTCTTCGCATTGACAATATCAAGGACTGCTGGTCTCGCCAAGGCAAGCGTGTCATTCTTCTCGCGCGCAAACCGACCGTCATTCCCTTCTCCTCTAACCACGAGAAGGAAGTACTCGTTGCCGCTCGTCACAGCCTCACATTTGTCGGCATTGTCGGCATTGTCGATCCGCCTCGCGACGAAATCCCTGAAGTCGTGCGTATCCTACGAGGAGCTTCGATCCGTATCTTCATGGTGACCGGTGACTTCAAGCTCACAGCTCAGGCCATCGCAGAGGAGTGCGGTATCATCTCGAACCCAGCACTGGTCGACGACATCAGCGCGCTTGGTCGCGACGGCAAGATCGGGACCACAAAACAATCGATCGTCCTGAGTGGCCCCGAGATGATAACGCTGAACGAGGCGCAGTGGGACCAACTCTGCCAATACCAGGAGATTGTGTTTGCTAGGACGACGCCTGAACAGAAGCTCCGTATCGTCAAGGAGTTCCAGGCCCATGAGAACATTGTCGGTATGACTGGTGATGGCGTCAATGACGCCCCGAGTCTTAAGGCTGCTGATATAGGCATCGCCATGGGAAGCGGTTCCGACATTGCAATCGAAGCAGCGGATATGGTTCTTCTTGACTCGTTCGCCGCGATCGTTGAAGCCGTTCTGTACGGAAGGTAAGAATTTCTCCATTGAACGACATGAGAAATCAAGTACTGACTCGTATTTTCATCTCTAGGCTCGTCTACGACAACCTCAAGAAGACTATAGTATACCTTCTTCCTGCGGGCAGCTTCAGTGAACTTTGGCCCGTCATCACCAATGTTGCCTTCGGCATTCCTCAAATCTTGTCGTCGTTCCTCATGGCAAGTATTAGCTCTTGTACTGATGACCCTCCGTGCTAACTGTCATCAGATCATCATTTGTTGTTTGACAGATTGCGCTGCCGCCATCACCCTAGCGTACGAGAAGCCTGAAGCAGATCTTCTACTCCGCCCTCCCCGTAATCCGAGAAAGGACCGCCTCGTCAATACCAGGCTGATATTCCACGCATACTTTGTCGTCGGCCTACTCCAGTGCTTATGTTCCTTTTCAATGGCCTTTTGGTATCTTGAGCGACAGGTAAGTCAAGTACTGCGAGACCTGAGTGCGTAGTAGCTGACGCGCTGGTACAGGGCATACCGTTCACAGCCGTGTGGCTCAAATTCGGCAAATACGATGCACAGTACGACACCGACTATATCAATGAGAAAGCGAACACGGCTTCGAGCATCTACTTTGTTACATTAGTCATTATGTGAGGCTTGATGGAAGTTTAACGCAAGAAGAAGGGCTAACAGTAATGGTAGGCAATTGTTCAACCTCCTCGCTACGCGTACTCGACGTTTAAGTATCTTCCAACAGCCTCCCATCTTCAACAAAGATACCCAGGTATGTTGCCCAAACACTAAGTCGGTCTTATAACGATGAAGCTGACATCCATCAGAACTGGCTTCTTTTCCCTAGCATGATTTTTGCCATCGTCGTGGTGTTCATCTTTTGTTATATTCCATCTCTCCAAAACACAATCGGCACGAGGGAGGTACCCGTCGAGTACTGGTTCCTGCCCGCCGCTTTCGGCTTCGGTCTGCTCATGCTCGACGAGGCCAGGAAGTACTGCGTACGCACGTGGCCTAACGGTCTCATCGCCAAGATCGCTTGGTGAGCATGCCCACCGTTAACCTTCTATCCGAGAAGCGCGGGCGCTTGGCAGCATCTTGCCACCCCGCAAGGAGTGCCGGTGATCCGCTCGAGAGGGCCACGTAAGGGAGGGTCGCTTTTCACACTGGGGTGGTCACCTTGTCGGGCGTGACTATCACCGCCGGCAGTTGACTCGTTGGGTAGCAGTAAATGAGGGTAGCAATAATCAAGGCACTTCGAACTTGACGTACGCCCATCAAGTTGCGAACGCAGAGGCACAACCCCTTTCTTTGTATTCCTCAGCAAGAGCTCTGGATCTTGTTGCTCTTTACCAAGCGTTTGCTCAGCGCCACATGTATGCATATTCATTCGACTTCAGCCGCAATATCAGCGACGCATGCATAGGCCATTCGGCAATTTCTTAGTTCCTCCTTTCGGCCAGTACCCCACACGCATGTTAATAAGCCTTGCATGGCTAGGATACCGTGACTTGGTCTGAACTGCCGGATAATTACGTTGCAGGGGTTTCGCTGATCTATTACGATTCAATATGCTGTCCTGGTGCAGTGCTTGGCCCCGCAGCTGAGTGAGTGCGTGCGTATGGAGACGTAGCCCATGAGTATCGGCTAAAAGCGTTTCATTTCCTTTTCCAATGCTGTATGAGCAAATGGGGTAGAGTAGGCATGGGTCTTAGAGAGAAAGGGGCCAGAAGGGGTAAGCGCCTGCTCCGTAGTAAGCAGCGAAGCGAGTGATGCGCAGGAGCTCGTCAAACCTTGCTTCGACCTCATCCGTTTACGAACATCCACGACACGCGAACCCACTGATGGACCTTAGGTTTCGAAATACAGCTACTGCCCTGAAACATGAAACGGCCGTGGCATTCCCTACGCAAAGACAGTGAATGTCAGATACGCGGTCGAAAAGCTCCTTCCCCATGTCCAGCCACGTCACGGTTGTTTTACGTTTATTGTCCCCCTATAATATTCCCTCTTATTATGAATGCAGCTCTCATCTATATGGATTGCAGGCCTCTCCACTCACTACAATTTTGGATCACAACTGCACAATGACATCAATCACAGGCCAGCACTAGTGTCGATACCATGGCCACCCTAATACACCCCGCACAAGCTATACTCACCCTTGCGCAGCACATTTTCAACGTATGCCCTTCAATCTCACGGTGACGTTGGGTTTTTCGTTGGGTAGATACCTTGAAGGTTCGAGGGATTCGATATGCACGCCACGTCGAGGTCGATAACGTGCAGTGCCGGATGACCATCCCTATCGTGTATCTCAACGGCTGCGCGCCACCCACGTGTTAGTTTACTCAGTTTGCCATCCTCCAGACGATTCCATCAGGTACCTGGATATTCTTGCGCGCTTGTGCATTCTAGAACAACGACAGTATTGGAGCTCAACACTGCGAGGGCTGGATCCCCTTCGACTTGTTAGGAGGGTAATTTACTCATAGCAAAAACGATCGGAAGCAACTATCCGCTGCATTCATTCTGCACACCTAGAACCCAAGACCAAGAAACGCCAAAACTCTCAGCACACTGTAACAAGTGCCTTGGTGCAATACAGAAATGGGCGCCTCGCCTTTACAGTCACGGGAGCAATATCGTAGGCGGCAAATGAGTGCCTGCATCCGGGCCTCCGGAATCTCGAATGCTGAGGCCAACACGGCGATTCGACAAGCAAAGGTGACAATCTACCCCATTCTTGACTGTCGCACACTCCAGAACCGCAATGGTCTTCGACTTCCATATGCGGCGGTAGGACAATATGGGGAGCCAAGTGCTCCTGTCCAATGAATATACAACTTATATTAACCCCATATTTCAGAAAATCTCACCCATCAGGTTTCGCGTAGCCCGGCAGTTGTCCTCGTGGCCACTATGAATTTAACATCGCAGGCATGGGCTTGTATGTTATAAGGCGATCCTGCGATACATGGTGCTCGTAGTTCCGTTCTGCGTCTCCATTCACTATTGTTCACCTGTGTACACTCCTCAACGTACCCGAGTAAACACTACAATCGTTAGTTACGATGCAGTGGGCTACACTTCTCGCTGCCGCTGCGGCCCTTGCGCAGAATGCCGCCGCTCAGAACATGTTGCGATTCGCGTGCTCGCAGCTCGTCGTCGAACGTACGGACCCTCTTGTCAACCCGGGCATCAAGTACACTCCCCATCTCCATCAGATCGTCGGAGGTGACTCCTTCAACGTTACAATGGACCCCTCCCAGGACCCGGCTCAGCTTTCCAAGTGCACGTCCTGCAGCTTCAATCAGGATAAGTCTAACTACTGGACTGCGGTTATGTTCTTCAAGGCCAAGAACGGGTCTTACATCCGAGTGCCCCAGGTACGTTTAAGAATGTGCAAAAACTGCAGATCCGAGAAGAGACACTAATTCCGACACAGATTGGCAATGGCGGACCACAAGGAAAGCTTGTCAACGACGGCGGTCTTGATGTCTATTACATCCCCAGCGGCAAGACCACTGCTTTCAAGAAGGGTTTCCGTATGCTTGCTGGCTCAGCCACCAACACCGACCCGAGCAAAGTCAAGCTTTCGAATATCTGTCATCGATGCTGGACTTCACCTAGCGAGAGCACCTTCGTTGGCGGCGCCCCTTGCTCCGGTAGCGACACTGTTGCCATCCCCAAGGACCCCAAGTGCAAGCTCATCCGTCAGACCATTATCTTCCCCACATGCTGGGACGGAAAGAACCTCGACTCTCCAGACCACCAGTCCCATGTTGCATACGGCCAAGGAGGCGGTGCCAACGGTGGCGGTGCTTGCCCATCGACCCACCCTACTAAGCTTCCGCAGGTAATGTACGAGCTCATGTGGGATGTGAACAAGTTCGCCGACAAGAGCTTGTGGCCCACTGATGGCTCAGATCCATTCGTCTACTCCATGAACATCGGGTATGTCCACGCTCCATCTGTATCGCATCAAAGCGCTTAATTAACGTTGCTCTAGTGGCCCTGCTGCCCACGGTGACTACGTCTTCGGATGGGAGGGCGACTCTCTGCAAAAGGCCATGGACAACAACTGCAACCTCAACACCGCGTGCCCCAAGGCCGGTCTCACCGTCCAGCAGCCCGCGCAGTACAACGCTTGCAAGAAGAAGCAACAAGCTCCCGAGGACGTCGACGGCTGTAGGTCTCCCCACAAACCGTCTTACAAACATCACACTAACACACCTATCACAGGGCTCAGCGCATTGCCTCTCGGCGACAAGGCCATCAAGGCATAGGCTTATCTCTTTCCTGCATTCAAGACTGCCCTTTGTGCGATACAACTTCTTCGGTGCTTTTGCTACCTCGTTGATCTCAGTGGATGAGGAAGGGGTTCAGGTGCGCCGGCTTTTGCTTAGCACTCGTTTGAAGCGTTTGTACAATTCACCTAGATAGCGAAATGATATTGTCAGATTGCTGTACCTATATGTTTGCCTTTTGCATGCGAGGCGAAGTGCTGCACTGTATCCGTCCAGCCTCGATCGTTCCAGCTAATCTTTAAGCAATAACCGGGACGTGCTCTCTATACTTGACTTCATGTGCATGTGAGGAATATAAGTGGTGGGGAACCGCTTTACTATTTCCTTGCAAATGTTTATCCTGTATTTGCAGTCTACAGTGACGTGGACACAACACGATTTAAGTTGGGAACACATAGGAAGTGCATATTTTCTGTGCAACCTTGCAGCTAGGTATCAAAGTATATTCAACGAATGTAAAGATCTACAAATAATCCCATATCCTTTCAACTCTCTCACCCTTCCCCTCTCATGGCTCCTTAGAGTAGCTGTGTTACATTCGCAGGTTCACTTGAAACTCCATTTCGAGTCAGCAGCGCGGCGAAGTTCGAGTTCGCCCCCGCTGAGAAGTCGTGCGTAATATAGTTGTATACATCGTGTACTGGAATACTAGCTGTATTCGAGGAGGGATTCGAGACTTTGCCCGCAGAGCAAGCATACCCGAGACGCTTGGAGGACGTGGGGTCGATGCGCACTTGGCCTGAGGCGCCAGCGTAGGTAGTGCATCCGGTGCATTTGACGGTGTACTGCCAGTGGGTTCCGTTGGACTTGTTACCGTTACTCAGTGGTGTGTATGTCGCGCCGGTGTACTGCGCTGGTGTCGAGTGTGAACTGGAGATCATCAGTGGGTGAAACATAAGTGGGATTAGTGCAGTCTTACGTCGCCCAGCGGGAAGATACAGTGGGTTTTTGGCCATTGGGGTACGCGACCGTGAGCGGATTTTTTATCATGCTGCCTCCCCAGGCCAGGCCAACCCAACCAAGTGAAGCGGGAGCAACAACTTGGATGACCACATCATAGGGCTGATTGGCGGGGACATTTGCTGGCGTAGCTATCCGGTAGACGATGTTGACTTGTAGAGTGGCTGCTGCCTTTGTCTCTGAAAATGTGAAGCCAGTCTCTTGGTCGACGTAGGCAACGGCACGAGGTGCCAAGTTACGAGGCTCTGTTGATGGTCTTCCCAGCGCTAAACATCAGATCAGCAGATGCCTACGGTGGCAAAGTGACATTTTACTTACCCAGACCAGTCAAGGCTGCTAGACCGTATGTGACACGCATTTTGATAGGATACCCCTCAATCAAGAAATATGAGCTTGGTAGGGCAATCAATCCACCAAATATCGGGACCTGGCAAGTCTGGTAGAAGGAAAGATCGTGTCACAGGCAGCTTCTGGAGCGACAAGATTCCTTATTAGTACCGCTGAGGCTCGCCAAGCTCCTATGTTAAATCTGTTCATCCCGGGTCCGTCACAAAGTAGGCCGCGATATACAGGCCCGCGTGCAAGATAAACTAGAATAGAACCCAGGTTAGGCCAGTCGGCCACGCGTGACTGACTTCAATGCAACCCGGGCGCAAGGTTCTACGCCGTTGGCACACCTACAGAAGGCGTATGATAGCCCAGAAGGAAGGGGCCGATTACCACGCGAAGCCACGATGGCATGGCATTTGGACCGTGGAACCATGTCGCCACGGCGAAGCCGCCATTTTCGGAAGGTCGACCTTCATGGTATAATGTTTAATGGGCGCGCTGTGAGAGGCTCGCGTATTTACCCGCATAGTGTGTAGAGTGTAGGATATATGGTACGAATATTGGCGAGGAAGGAACAATAGCCGATAGCTCGCCACGCGCCTGGGAGACGTCAACAACGAAGTGTAGAATATCAACCTTCCCGGCTTGACGAGGCTAGAGACGCATAGACAAGTGGTATAGATTGCTTTCCTGGCAAGCGAAGGTCGAAATGCGGCTGTTTCCTTCGAATTCTCTGCAACCGACGACGCTGTTTCTGCTTAGAACCCTCCATGATGCGTACTCCGATCACTAGTCGAGCGATAATGCCACTTGTGACAGGCGGGTACCATGTGGCTCGCTCCGAATCCAGCCCCCACATCCCGAATGTGGGGTACATAGAATGTGGAGCCTGTGTGGCTTGGTATGGTATTGAGTTCTTTCAGGTGAGAACGGGTCGCAAGGAGACCACCGAGTCCCAGGAGTTGATTTGTGCTGCCAGAAATAACTTCCTGGTAGATGGGTAGCGCACCGTTATGGTGTAAATGTTGAAGCATCTGTATTTAGATCTCATATGACCCAAAGATCAGATAGAAGACGTGATAGTGGTGGACAGCCCCCGCTTGAAATGAATACTTGTGCATGAACCCGCGGCACAAGTCGCGCGTGTAACGTCGAAGCCGGCAGTGGACCAGGAGATCGAAATGAAACGGACGCTAGAAACGCCTTCTAGATGAGGTGAATAGAGTAACTGAGAACGTTTCGCCATCCACGTGATGCACATCCAGCAGGCAAAGCTGTAGATGGATGAGCCGCTATGCAGGGTGTTCAGTCCTTGATCAGCAGGACGGATCTAGGCATATGCCTGGATCGGTCTCTTTGCTACCGAGGCTAGTAACTGGATTTTGTATCGCGCAGCCCGAGTGCCTAAAGAAAACTGACTCTACAAGGAAGAGCGACAAATCATCGGCAATTGCACGAACTTCATACTGCATCGTATTTGTTATCATAATCTGTAGAGCTTATGGAATTTTGATCATTATGTTAGCGATCGGCTGGGTGAATTTCATGGGTTCTATGCTCGTCAGTAAGGGTCTAAACACCGGTAGTAGCCATAAGAATAATGCTCTTGCTAGCCGTGCATGGGTACTCGAGCTGAAGATAGCTAGTATGGAGATGAAATGTGTGGAATATCATAGTATATACGTGGAAAAACAAAATCTCTCATGCTTGAGGATGGCATTGACCTTCAAGGTATGAGGAGAACGGAGGGTAGAGATGGCGAAGAAACAAGCAATGCGTACAACTTGATATACACTGGCTAGAAGGCTAAGCAACGTTTCGAAGGCTGTGGCGCACGTGAGCATGCTCTGCCAATGCGAACACATCGATGTGGTGTAACAGGTAGCTGAGAGCCGACTGTATAGAATAAAGCCGAAGGATCCTAGGAGGAGGTGCTGATGTGGACCCCACTTTATTCCACTCGGCCCTGAACCAACTGAACCAGTTTTTGGGAGCGCTGCGCAATCCAGCAGACTGATCTCAGAATACCCATCTTGGCCTGCTGAATGCCTCCAGACCTTGCAAACCAGAGGGATGATCCAACGGCTGAGACGAGCGCAAAACCGACAAAGCCGTTCAATATACTCGCTTGCCGTTGCGACGCCCGCTGAACCTCGGAATATCTCATATTGCTAAAGGTCACTCGCGAGTATTGGGTGGCCCATCCTGCGCTTGGTATGTAAAGGTACAGTTTCTCCTCGATCCACTTTCGCAGCAGGTATAGCGGCTTCTTAACATCGCTAGCCATCTCACTGTAGTTGCCCAAGGCAAGGTCATTGATCGTGTGTGCATCAGGTGTACGCTCTTTTGTGTATTCTTTTAGCGCCTTGGACCGGGATTTGGGGTATTTGTCGAGGAATTCGAACAAAACGCGGACATCTTCAAGCCCCGCGTTCATCCCTTGCCCATAGAATGGTACCATGGCATGAGCTGCGTCTCCCACGATGACCCCAGCGTCTCCATAGTGGTATGGTGAGCATTTGATCGAGATCAAAGGTAGGTGTTGGTTTGTGGTGTATTGTTCGTGAAGCTCATCCTCTGAGATGAGATCTGGTACCACACCAGGAAATTTCTCCGCAAAGTACTCGACCACTTTGCCTGATGCGTCTAGTTTCTCGAAGCCATCCCTTGTCAGGAAAAGCGTCGCGGTGAAGGTGTTGTCCAAATTTGGGAGCGCAATGAATAAGGATTCGTCCTGCGGCCAAATGTGCAAGTAATTCGGGGGTATCCTAAACTCTCCCTCCGGAGTCGATGGGACATGAAATTGACACCAAAGCTTGTCGATATACTCTTGCTGGAAGGACATTGGAACGAATTTCATCAGATGGTATCGCACAGCTGAGTGAGCACCGTCTGCACCGATCATGAGATCAAAGCTCATTTCAACCTCGTCCCCCTGTTCTTCAATCGATCTGGTACGATTTTCAAACCATGCGATCTTCTCTCTAAAGTCAGCACCGACCAGTTTGTGGTGGAAGAAGATCTGGACGTTGGGCATTGCCTCAAGATAGTCGAGCAGAGTTATGTTGAGCTCCGTTCGGTCCATAGCAAGTAAGCTCTGTTGATAGTGAGCGAAGGCCAAAGCAGTGTTTGAGAGTTGCTTACCCTTCCCCTGGCATCGTAGATCTGTGGCTGGCGGACGTGCTCTCCATTCTTTTTCAAGTGAATCATGCGGCCATGCATAGGAATAGTCTCTGAAAGAACTGCGTCGGCCAGGTCTGATAGGCCTGCCTCTCGGAGAGAGTTGATGCCTCGTTCAGCAAGGGCTAAGTTGATGGACTTGGAGAAGTTGAGGGGCGCAGTGCTAGGCTCTCGAATATCTAGAAACCGTCAGATCATTACCGGCCAGGTAAATTTCGTAGAAGCTTACCCGGTCTCAGCTCATAGACCTCCACATTGTGCCCCCTAACAGCTGCGTATAGGGCGGCTAAAGAGCCTACTGGGCCAGCTCCGACAACTATGACTTTTTGTGGCATTATAGCGGCTGCACGTGTAAGAGAAGAGAATTTTGTATCTAAGATATATGAGTATATACCGACAGCGTAGCTGTACACTAGAAAGCGAAAGAGAGAAAATAGGAAATGCCTACTCGCAGAGCGATTGGTTAAGAGGGAACAAATAATTACATGGAGAGAGATAGATAGAATGACGACCTCGGGAGCGAGCAGAGCAAATGATGCAAGTAACCGGCCAAAACGGGTAAGTGCCGATTTAGATCGCACCACGCTAGTGACTAATCAGTGATCGGCATTCTTCGGCCTGGACCCTGCACGAATTCCGACGTGATCGTGCGGCGTTGCGACCAAGAAGGATATTTACCAAACTTTCTGCGCGGAGTCCGGAGTATTGCACGCTTGCGTTGTTGAAACGCAGCATAAAAGCCAGTTCTGTAAGGCTACCCAGGAGAGTCTCTGACACGTCAACTCTTTCCACAACCACAATTTCGCACGCACCATGGCCGCAGACGCCCCACGCAAATGCACGAGCAAAGACTGCGAGAACGATGCCGGCTCGTTGCAATGTCCAACCTGCCAGAAGCTAGGGAAGGAGAGTTACTTCTGTTCTCAAGACTGCTTCAAGCGCAACTGGGTACATAGTAAGAGTGATTCAAATGAGCAGGCAAAGCAGTCTAATACGACATAGAGTGAGCACAAGAAGGAGCACAAGTCACAAAGTAGTATTCTCCAAAACATATTTCCGCCAAAAGTAGTTTCTTACCCGGATCCAGCGACCGGCCACTTCAACCCCTTCCCTACGTTTCCCTACACCGGCGCCCTACGACCCGTATACCCGCTGTCGCCGAGACGAGAAGTAGCAAAAGGCGTAAAACATCCAGACTACGCAAAGGATGGCATACCGCGTTCAGAACAAGTATTTGTCAACAGGAACAAAATTACGATCTTGAACAAGGAGGAACAAGAAGGTATGCGCAACGTCTGCCGGTTAGCACGAGAAGTACTAGACGAGGCGGCGAGGGCGGCAAAGCCTGGCGTCACGACGGACTACATCGATGAGATCGTCCACAAAGCTTGCATGGAGCGCAACGTAAGCACAGTCTGGGATTCAGGGACTTCAGAGCTGATCATGACTAGTCGTACCCTTCGCCCCTCAACTACTGCCACTTCCCCAAGTCCGTATGTACGTCGGTAAACGAGGTCATCTGCCACGGTATTCCAGACCAGCGGGTGCTTCAAGACGGCGACATTCTCAACATCGACGTGACCCTATACCACAACGGCTTCCACGGTGACCTCAACGAGACATACTACATTGGCGACAAGGCACTGGCAAACCCAGATGCAGTTCGCGTGACGGAGACATCAAGAGAATGCTTGAACAAGTCTATCGAGATTGTCAAGCCGGGCACACTCTTCCGTGAGTATGGCAACATTATCGAAAAGTACGCAAAGAGTCAGAACTGCAGCGTGATTCGGACATACTGTGGACATGGTATCAATCAGCTATTCCATTGCGCGCCCAACGTTCCTCACTACGCGAAGAACAAGGCAATTGGGCAGGCGAAGCCGGGCATGTGCTTCACCATTGAGCCCATGATCAGCGTTGGAACACACCGGGACAAGACATGGCCCGACGACTGGACGAGTGTTACCCAGGACGGCTCGCTGACGGCGCAGTTTGGTAGGTCCCCGTACAAGTAACGTCAAACACAACTAACCTACCGTAGAACACACTCTGCTCGTGACGGAGGATGGCGTGGAGGTTTTGACAGCAAGGTTGCCAGACTCACCTGGTGGCCCTGTCCCAATGCCCATCCCAGCAACAAATGGACAAGCAACACCAGCTGCTTGAGAATAGTTGAAGATGTAGGATGAGCCGTGGCTTTAGATGATCTCATAACCCTTCTGATGCCAATGTCATACTGTGAATATACAAACAACGTCCAAGCCATACAAACGGCCTGTGCTAAACGTCCTGATGCTGCTACTAACTGTGCGGAGCTCGCGAGTCATGCTCGTGGGATGATGCAAGAGGGGGGTTCGTAATTGTAGAGCTTTAACATGGACTCGAAGCTTTGTGCACGCACGCCTGCATGACATTGAGATCGAACCGATCCGAGTTCGGGGATGGCTCGCCCGCTAAGGCCCGTAGCGAAGGCGCTCTGACCATGCCGCCATCCAGGGAAGAAGCATCACAACTGTCTGCCCAACGTCATCCAGACATTATTCTCGCTACCTGTCCCACACTCTGACCACCTTGGCCGCCCACTCCAAGTTTGCAGCTCGTTGCTTTCGCCGTGTGTACTCGAACACCCGCTACGTCATCCAAGCGTCTTCCCTCCACACCCCGCCGCACACAAGCTAGCTTCCCGCGTCTAGCCCGCTCTGATAGCCTGCAAACACACGACCGCATCCGAGTCTTGACCACATACCTCTCTTGACCCGATTGCGCTGAGGAATTTCTGGCGACACAGCTGGCCGCATCGAAGCTCTCTTACACACGTTACCTGTCCTACGCCGCCCATACGCCCCCACAATGACTGGCGAAGCTTGGTTGTACTTGTTGGCGGTGCTGATAAATGCCGTCAACCTGTTCCTCCAGGTGTTCTTTACGATCATGTACAGCGATTTAGAATGGTGAGTAGCAACTCTCGACCTCATCAGCTTGCATGAGCTGCTCATGTGCACCCCTGTTCGCATCTGTTGAGCACATGCTAATTTTGCGCCAGCGACTACATTAACCCAATCGACCTCTGTAACCGCCTGAACACCTACATCATCCCCGAGGCCGCCGTCCACGCTTTCCTGACCTTCCTTTTCCTGATCAACGGATACTGGATCGCGCTCATTCTGAACCTGCCCCTGTTGGCTTGGAACGGCAAGAAGTATGTAGAATCTAGTCCCTAGTATCAACGAGGGAAATACTGACTGCGATAGGATCTTTGAGAACCAGCACCTTCTGGATGCGACAGAGATCTTCAGGAAGCTCAATGTGCACAAGAAGGTACGGCTCCACCTATATAAGCCGCGTCCACTAGGCTTAGCATGAGGACGTGAATGAATTGGCGCACCCGCTGACAGCATACCAGGAATCCTTCATTAAGCTGGGCTTCCATCTGCTCATGTTCTTCTTCTACCTCTACAGCATGATCGTTGCCCTCATCCGCGACGAGTCTCACTAGTCTTGGCTTCTGGTCGCATCGATTTGCAGGTTACTTGTGCTGGGAGCAGGCGTAAGAACCGTAGAGGAGCAAAAGCGGGTACCGTTACGAATTGAGGATTGGTAGGCACTTATATCCGGCTCGGTCATTGGAGCCACACGCATACGCACATTGCTAGAGGATTGATTGTAAGGATATGTTGGGTCATGCGAAGGTATTGGGTGGGACTGCAGGTTTGGGTTGAGGAGGCAGAAATAGTAGAACGTATTATTGGACGACTTTACGGTCTGATGGGCTACGATAGCGTTGTTGTCGTCTGTAAATGGACTTATTCACATGAACTGGTGTTCCATGTTGCACATATCGGTCTTGGCGCGCTAAGATCTCTCATGAACTTTACTTTAGTACGTCGTCAGAACAACCACTCTTCTCTTGCCACCAGCCCTTGCGAAAGTTATTTAAGCATAAGTAGGCCTGCTTTTGGCGACTTCTTTAAAAGCGCTTCGACACCGCATCGACCCTCGAAGGCCTCTACAATGGCGGGCAGAGGCTCTGGCAGAGTGCCCACGGGATATGCAGCAGAGACGTACATTAGCGATCACACCTTCCGCCAGGGCCACCGGGCTGTCGAGGGCGGCGCAAACGCGAAGAAGCGGAAGCGGGAAGCCAAGGGCGACTCAAGCGTAGTGTCTGGGGCCGGTGCATACAAAGGACCTTGGGCGAGATATGAAGAGGAAAAGCCAGATGCAGCTTCAGACGACGAATATGGGAGCGATGAAGAGGTGGAAATAATATACGAGGAAGATGAGATTGAAGAAAATCCCGCACCGGCATCGAAAAAGCTCGCAGGCACAGACTACCACGACACAGAGGCAGAGGGAGAAACGAGCGAGTTTGTGGGCAGCCAGCAATACGACTATCAGGGACGGACGTATATGCACGTACCCACTGGTACGTTGGAATCACCCCATCAAGTAGGACAGCGGCTAACAGTTGCAGATTTGGACTTGAAGCTCACTGGCGACTACGAACCGAAGAACTTCATACCGAAGAAGCTCGTCCACACGTACAAATACCACACCAAGTCGATTACGCAAGTGCGGTTTATACCTGACAGCGGTCATCTCCTCCTCTCTGCATCGGCAGACTCCAAGATTGCTCTATGGGACGTATACCACCAGCGGGAGCTCTTGCGCACATACTCAGGGCACACTAAATCAGTCAATGACATTGATTTCAACCCAAGCGGTACACAGTTCATATCGGCGAGCTACGATCGCTTCATGAAACTGTGGGACACGGAAACCGGAAAGTGCCTGAACAAGTTCACAAGTGGAAAGACGCCGCATGTGGTGCGCATCAATCCAAGCACGCCGCATGAATTCCTAGCGGGTATGAGCGACAAGAAGATCCTCCAATACGACAATCGAAGTGGGGAAATGGTGCAAGAATACGACCATCATCTGGGGCCCGTCAACACCATTACTTTCTGCGACGAAGTAAGCTACCTTGACCCTCTATTTGTGCATTCGCATGCTAACTCAGTCAGAACCGACGCTTCATCACCACCTCGGACGACAAATCGCTCCGCGCATGGGAATACGGAATCCCAGTGCCCATCAAGTTCATCGCAGAACCCTACATGTTCTCCATGGTGCGCTCGTCGCCGCATCCCTCGGGCAAATACGTCGCGTTCCAGTCGTCCGACAACCAGATCACCGTCTACTCGTCCACGGACCGCTTCCGCCAAAACCGTAAAAAGAGCTACCGCGGCCACAACGTTGCGGGCTACGCACCAGATGTGGCCATCAGCCCTGATGGCCAGTTTGTCAGCTCTGGTGATAGCGGCGGATACGTGTGCTTCTGGGATTGGAAGACATGCAAAATGTGGCACAAGATTCAGGCGAGTGACGCTCCCGTTTTGTCTGTGCAGTGGCACCCAAGAGAGAGCAGTAAGCTTGTTACGGGCGATTTGAATGGAGTGCTCAAGTACTGGGATTAAGGGGCTTGAGGGGCTGGATGACTTGGCGAATTTCCCAAGTTATTAATCAGCATGTAAACATACGCGTAGTGTTCCAGGCCTCATGCCTCGGGATGGCACAGGAATAACCAGGAAATACTGATAGTGATACCCAAAGCAATTGATTACCGATGCCCTATGGAAGTCGATACTCTTCTCCCACAAGCCCAGTTGCAGGACCGCTTCGCGCCTCGTTTCAGGTGAATGACAACATTCTCGTACGATGCAGACTTCACCGGCTGCGCAACAACAGTCATCTGCGCGATTGCGCATCTCCATGTTCGCCACGAAGGACTGTTGGTATCTTCATCCGGACTGACCCGTGTTCACGTGAATGGCGTACTGGCCTGCCACAGCCTCGTCTTACTCATCTCGCATCGCGTTGAACCCCGCCATGCGACCTCCACTGCGCCCTACCTCCGCCCTCCGCCTTCCGCCTTCTGCCTCACCGTTCTCTTTCTCTTTCTCAATTCTTCTTTTCATTCATTCTATCGTCATCTGCTGCGTGTTTTTTTTTTTCGCATATTCGCAACACAGAGTTGTTCGTTGCCGCTGGGGATTTCAGGCAGACACACCGGCCCCCACACCATGTCCTCATTCGGCCATCCGGTCACGTAGTCACCGTTGACGCTGTCGCCGGTCGCCCTCTTTGTCGACACCTTTCTGGCATGCTGAGGCCTGGGCACGGCAAACGTCACTGGTTCACGCGTCTCTAGCTTGCGTGACTAATTCCTCGCGGCCATCTACTGGCTCCTGTCTTGTGCCTTGCAGTAGATGGCTACCGTGCCAGTCCCAAACCCACCAGCCTAGTCATCTGTTCTTGTATTGACGCGGCTCTGCCGACAGAACTGGTTCCTTCGGTCAACTTCTGAACGCGCCCCGAACGACCTCGATGACTCTTCTGCTCCCCATTCGGGACTCGGTAGGAAAGGTGAAGAGTGCAGCCTAATCGCCATTCGTCCCTTGCACGTATTTGCCTTAGAACCAAGCCGGTCAAGTCCCGTGGGGCCACAGCCACTGTGAATCATCGCAATCGCGCACATTCACTCGCCGACGCGCGCCTGGCCATCCAGGCACCGGCGTAGTACACCCGTAGGAGCTCTCCGATGGCCAAGGAGAAACATGCATCAGTAGAGACGGTTGATGGCGGCCTCAGGTTCGTTGCCTGGAGTTATAAACGCCACCGATGTAGGTGAACACTCTCTTTTCTTCTCCTACCCAGTCTTTAGTCTTCAATCTCCAGTCACATATCTTATATCTGCCTCCAAAGAACAGTCATTGCTGTTTCCGTGCTCATCTTCAGTCAATCATCGTCTATCAACCCGAGTCTTCACTGCTTCACGCGCCTCTTTACGCTCCGTGGACTTCCAAGAATAGCTTCATTGCCGACGATACTCGACCGCAACAGGCCCCAAACCTCGAATCATACCGGCTATCCAACGCCTCCAAACGCCTCAACTCCAGTCAACCATGTCGTCCAGCTCATCCTACGGCTCCTACACCCAGGACAAGGGTGCCTATGCGGCCCGTCCTTCAACATCATCTACCTGTAGGTTGCCTTTCCATCTTGTCGTCATCCGCATTGGACAGGGAGTCTAACATCCTGCAGCCTACTCCACCGCTTCATCATCGAGTCTCTACACGAACTCATCACGCAGGCACGGCTACAATAGCAAACCACCAGTCATCCACAACGGCGGCGGTCAGTCGAATGACCCCAACACGTCGACGTCGGCACCGAACTCTGGCTACTACAACTAGGCAGACTTGGTCTACCTTCCTGTTTGACTCAGGAGGTCATGGTCGGGATGGGTGGTCGGCAGTTGGGGTCATCTTTGGTCCTTTGGCATATTTCGGAGTTTAGGATAGCATGGGTCGGCGTAGATTTCTTTGGATATTTAGATGGCGTGCTGGCTTCGCTGCCTGGGCTCATTACAGTTCGTCGTCTTTCTGCGTATGGTTCTGACTAGGTCATCATGGGCTTTCATCTCCCTTCTCTTTTCTTCTCTTTGATCTTGGGCGGACAAGGGTCCGAGGTTCCTTTTTCCAAGTCGAATCTCCCCTGACTATTTTATTAAGTACGTCGTCTTTTGCTCGCATACATGTAATAGGTAGTTTAGTATAGCACAGAAACACGTCAAACATCTCGCGTTAATACACCGTTTCTTACCGAGAAGTGATGAAGTGAAGTGTCGTTAACATGTCATGTTGTAGTGGAACTGCGTGATTGGCGACGATTCACGTCCCCTGCAGTGCAGCCCTATGCATGCATGCATGACACGTACCCCCAGCCTTTCCTTGTTGCACATGTGTTCTTCGAGGCTAGGAGACGAGTAGGTGTGATAAAAGTGGAGTTTAGCTGGATGTATGTGATAACGCGGGGTGATGATTTCCTGTAAAATCTGCGGAATGTGGTAAGGAAGGAATGATTTATATAAAATGCAGCGAGTATCTAGAGCTGGAAAAGATGCTAGTAGAAACTTGCCATGTTGAACTTTAGTTCTCGCCTGTGCTAAGAAAATAAATAGTGCTGCTGGTATTAGCCGCAATAAGTCACGTTCAATGTCTACTTGAGATTAGGTGCATACTGTACATTAGTAGTTAGTGCCTGAGGTTGCGGACTTGAGCAGAAAGGTCTATCGTGTGATTCAAGTGCTGAAATGAAGCGCATCACTGCATCTTTGGATCGCTGTTTCAACGTTAGTACAACAGCCTGTGGTCATTCAACTGCTTTAGTTCAAGAATTGCAGATGGAGCGGTATACTGTAGACTCCTGGGGCACTTATAACACACTGTAAACTCGAGGTAATCGATTGCGTATATATTCAGGCCTAACTAAACCGATATCCTAAAGCTACGCAGGCTAAGCGCTGAAAAGGCGGTTCTATGACAGCGAAAAGGCCGCACAAAAAGAACCTAGAAGCAGCGTCCTCACCGCGGTTTCGAACCTGCGCAAAAAAAAAATGGTAGCTTCTATTTGCTACAGCGTTTCATCCTTAGTGCAGGGGCAATGCTGAGCTTCTCTGTATCGTTTCAAACTTGACCAAATGCCCGAAGGCGAAGTCATGGGGAATAATAATAATTATATAGTCGAAGGTCGCTCAGGGTGAAGGGGTGGGTGTTTGTTTTGATCGTAGTGCTTGTGTGGAGCCCTGCTCTGCGTGACACTAGCTTAGCCAGGGACAGCTTCTGGAGGGGACGGTGACAAAGTGAAGAGCTCGTGGGGGCGTGGGCTTCTCAAGTAAAATGGCCGCATGGTGCATAGGATAGCAGTAGAGGAATGGCTCATAAGAACGCCCCCAATCTGACGCTAGCTCCCAACAGGAATCCCTCCAATGCTACCAAAGCACCTCTGACTTTGGCTATAACCCCCATGCAGGCGATGATGGTAGCTTCATGTTGCAGCGCAAAGCCGCATGTTGTAGCCAATATCAAATACCATTTTGCACTGGCAGTCCATTAAAAAAGGAGAGCAGTATGCCCTACTAGCGCTTGATGTCTCCCGAGAAGCCTTACAATGCTGTTTTAACTTTGCAGCGATTGTTGGCAGCTCCCACTCAATTGCATTCAAGTCGGTGCGGCAGCTCGGCGGGGCTTCTTTACCGCGTCTTCTACAACCGCAGCTTCGTCCACCCCACCGCCCCGCGACACCAAACAACCGCAATTCGATAACCAGAGACTCTCGGTAACCTTGGCCGCCATTTGCTCCAGAACGCAAGTATGCAGGTTCAAACAGTTCGAATGCCATGGCCTAGGCGGGCTCGAGCTCGGGCGACAAGCAAACAGTTCACGAAGTGGGCTCTGGGGACGATCGCAACCATTGTTAGTGTCATGAAGAAGAAGACCAGAAGAAAGGGCGTCGGGAAGAGGAGCCCCGCTGTGTTGAATGCGTTGGCGTATTGGAAGAGTGAGGCAACCCTCTATTCTGGGCGCGGCAGCAGGACAAAGCAACTGACGATGAACAGGACCCCCCTCGTATCTTCCCTAGCCAACAATAACCGTCCTATCGCGTTCGACCGAAGAGTATTTCGTGCTGTGGGCACATACAACCGAGGGCAGGAAGCAGACCCCGGAGTGGCCGGGTCTGGTAACATCGGCAATGGTCTCCGATTTCGAGGTCCCACGATTTCTTCGCGAGCTGTTGACACATGGTACACGGTTGCACTACATGTGGAAGCGCGGATCTTTGCTGGATCTCTCAACGAGGAAAAGGATCGCGCTCACATGCTTGTCGACTCCAGGCCGGACGTTGACGTACGATGGAGTTCTCATGGCTCTCTGGAGGTTTTGGCCGTTCAGGCAGGATCAAGCCAGACCCGTTCACGCGCCTCAACGTGTGCTCCAGTTTCTTCGATGGCAGGAATCTGGCTTCGACGATGATTTCCCGGTAATTGGACACGATGGTGGGCAGCTGCTCTTTTTCCTTCCCCGTGGACACGAGAATAAGATCTTCAAGAATATTTGGCAGGAGAAGATAGAGAAGTCGAGTGAGAAGAAGGGTCTGGATAAGAAGAAGGATTCGAACGGCGACTGTTATTTCTTCGGCCAGTTAGGGTATTTCGACATAGCTGAGTACAAGCCGGAGGGCCATGAATGCTCCCCATTGATAAACAACCTACCGAAGGAGCTCAAGTTGAAGATCCTCCGATGCCTCTTCGCATTCAAGACCAAGGTATATGTCGTGAACAGCATTCACCGAAAGACTGGCCAGCCAATATACGCTTTCGTTGTCTGGAGACCCAGCCATCTCCAGGACGAAATCTATCCAGACTATCCAGACCTCCCGCCGGGAAACCGCTGGCGCGGACCACCCACAGGAAGCTTCTTCGCGCTTGCGGAGACGAATGTCGAGCATCGTGCTCTGGTACGAGAGATCTGTTTTGGGGAGAACGAAATCGTCATGCCCGGTGGTATTGGCTATGACGGCACTATCAAGCCCGGTCCCATCTCTTACGCTGGCTAACCGTGATTGGACCAGAAGCGCGATATTTCCTCAAGACCTCACCATTTCGATTGACTTGCTCCTTGTCATGGCGGATGAACAGAGCTATATTGATAAAGTTCTTGATCTGATTGGCGAGAGTCATTACCTGGGGTACTCTTATTATCGACAAGTTTGCTATCCACGACATCAGGATGGGAAAAGTCAGGCTTCGTGGTCTGGAAAAGTTCCGCGGTCTCACTAGGTGTGAGATTAGGGATCACCCAGAACTTGAAGAGTACTACGGGGCCTTCGTCAAGCGAGCGAAGAAGCATGGGATGAGGACCAAAGAAGCTAATGTGCGTTGATGGGTTGGCGGTCAGTAGCGATTCTCCAGCTCATGCGGTGTCAGACCGATAAGGCAGTATTGTGTAGGATGAACGGTCGGCTCACGGCCGTCCATGGATAGATCAATCATGCTTTGAACTTCGCTCGTGCCCTGCTTGATGATTTCCAAGTGATGTGTAGGAATGAGGGATGCCAGGACGTTGCAACTAGCTTCCACGCGTGCAACATCGGCCATGCCTCTTGAGGTTTGCCGAGGCCACCGTCCGAGCTTCTGCGACCTCGTCAGATCAATGTGGACGTCTTGCTTCTGCTTTGTGGCATCGGAGGCCATCTGGTTCTATCATTGTATGCGTCCGGCTTCATCACAAGGACTGCTGTCGTCGAGCACGAACCCCCCCAAGACCCTCCTGGATCCTCTTGGACGGCCGCTTCTGAATTGAAGGAACGAGTCCCGGCTACTATACATCCTAGGGCATGGGCTCGCAGCGCTGTTGAGAGGATCTAGATGCAGTCTCTCTCTTATGCACATGGAGATGCTTCTTGTGGCCCAGATGCACGTCCAAGCAGCTCTGATGAGCATCTCTGCTCTCCTTGTCGTCAACATTCCTCTCCTAACATTATGCTCGGTTTGAGGAGCAACAGCATTTGCACATGCGCATCGGTTACAAGCTTCCTCCCTTCCAGAATTCTGTGCTGCTGGCGTTGATGCTTGCTGGCTCAGGCTTGCTGTCCTAACGGGGGCGTCGGCCACATCCCTTCTTTCGACGGTGCGTGGCTCCTTCCTCGCCAACCTTTCGACGAATACCGCCCTGCTCAGCACACCAAGGCCGCACGCTCAAGGAGTCTTCCAGACGCCTTTTATCCTCTAGACTTGACTTCTGGCTCACTCGCTCTCTCACTTTCCTAGATGGCCGTCGCGGTTCAGCTTCAGAAACGGCGTCCGCAGCCACGACAGGCCCCACAGCCCCTACAACACCACAAGCTTTGGCTCATGGAGACTGCGCACAAAGTGAGAGAAGTATCTTTGTACCCCTCGTGGTGTTCTCGAAGATTTTCGAACGGCGAGGCTGCCTTTGCAGAGGCAGATGGAGCAAATTGGGGGCCTTTTTTGGTATTACAACCGGGGCAGCATCACCGTTTGAGCAGCCACTGGTAGGAGAAGTAGTCTCTCACGACCCCATATGATAACTGCATCTCTCGCACACATTATTCAGGTTCGCAGGCATCGAGAGCGAGCAGCTATGGCGTCGACACCTGCCCCTACAGCCCCACCGCGACGCCGCACAACACAGCACGAACACCTCTCGTGAACAACGCGCCATACCACGAGCGGAGACTCTACAAGCACTGAGACGACTGACGATGCCGTGTCTTACGAACTCAACGCTTGTGTCGAGCGGAGACTTGGCCGCCACACCGAACGCCCGAATCGAGCTCGCCATCCCCGACCCATACGGCACACGAATACAATCGGTCTTTCTATGCGGCGAACCAGGCGAACCTTGAAAGACAGGTACCGCCAAGATTGCTCGGCAGACAGCTGCATCGGTACTGCTGCCCCGTACGGCGCTTGACAACTGATGTATGTTTGGAGCGACCTACGCGGGCTGAGACTACACCCCTCTTTGGTACGATGGAGATCCGGATAGCTCTCATGTTGGATACCAAAGCGCGTGAAGAGATGGGCTTGATGTCTTGTGCGATAGGCATATGGAGCTGTACCGCTGGATGATGCTGTCCGCTCACGAAAGTGTTGACAAGCGCGAGAGTATACGCTTTGCCATGCCGGCCTAACATCATAATACCGGCCACATGCGAACTACTACAAGCCATCCTAGAAGGCGCTCACATCCATATGTGCAGCAGCAGAGCGGATTTTGTCGGAGTGCCGTCCCAAATACATCAGCGCTGCGGATCTAATAAGAACGATGTCTCCACTGTCACCACCGCCTGAAAGCGATCCCATTGAGGACAATAATCATCTTTTTTGCGCTCCGGAAGCTTGCCTTTGGCTATGTCGACAGGTGGTTAAGGTTGTCGGTCCTGTTCTAATCCGTGGGGTAGCTCAGGACCTCGGGATCTCGAATGCACCAGGCAGCAAGTCTTCCTGTCAAGCTGACGCGGGTGGAGGTCGGCTCAAACCATATTATCCTGATCTTGCCTGATCTCGGTCGAAAGGAAATCTCCTGGCGGATTCCATTGTCGACAGTTGTGAGCGTTACGCTGTTGTTAAAGCAGGGCTCTCGAGAACTGAATTGCCTCATGTCTGAGTCGCAAAGACATACACTGGCATTGACTTGTTGGATGAAGTCATGTCCGACAATCGTTCTTGGTCGGCCTTGCTGAACTCCTAAGACCTTTGAAGATGTTCAAACGACAAGAATTCGGCCGCTCGACAAACTAAGATCGCTCTGAAAGGGTTATGTTATCTCCCTTCGACTCGCCATCCTTGTCTCGAAGAAGGCAAACTGGTTTGGGTATTCTGAACGCTGTTGGTGCCAATGAGACGACACCATCCTGGTCCACGCCCATGTACTTCTGGAGATCCTTATACATCGACCGAAAGATGTGATGAGAGCTCAATGGGGACTTTGGCCGAATCTGGACCACGACGCACTGAACTCCCGTCCGTTTCCCTTGTGACGACCGAATGACGAAGAAGTTAAGATCGGACTGCAGATCTCAACCAGGGCGAGACTCACGCCGCTGTGGCTTCTTCGACTAAGCTCTCCGGGACACAGCCTCTGTGGGCTTCTGGTATGATATTTCTGGCTTGCAGAGGGGCGATGTACGTTTGTCTTGGTGGTTCTGTTTGCGCCAGGACGAAGGTCGAGGACGTTGCTCAGATTCGAAGGATCTCGAGTGACTTTATCGAGCCTTCCGTACTCCGCTTTCGCTGTAATTCTCGCCTTATGGAACGCGGTGTGGACGGCGAGAATATGCAGGGTTTTTCCCTCTGGCCAGTAGATCTGGTGGATCTCAACTCCACCCGCATCGCGCTCGAGTCCTTGCCGTATCAACAGGAGTCGCGAGATGCCAGCTCTTAAGCACCTGTGCGTATCGCGCGCATCATCGCATAAGCCGTCCTTGGTATGTGGTCCCGTACAAGGTTCCTTCCCGCCAGACCACCACACCTAGGCGTTGCTGCCGGACGGCCTTGTGTACCCTATGGAGCTTCCTCAACCTTTATTACGCAAGCCAAGGTAGCATCCCGATGGGGGACTCGAGCTTGTGTTGTCGTAATCGAGGCCGCTGGCCCCAATCTATGGATGCTCGAACCCCTGCTGGCAAGGGCCACGAAGCCGAAGACAACGGGTAATGCGCGAATATCGTGTTCCGTCGTGTCCGTTGTTGAAGAGGTGTATGCCATTAGGCCCGAGAGGCGCCCGCTATAGACCGTTTCCATCTACCTATAGCCAGAGGTAGCCCGCACATGGTCGGGACTCGGGACATGCGTTATTGCTGTCGCAAATGCCAATAACACTTCCGGGCGGTGCTACTAAGGACTTCCTGTATCTCCTGGTCGATTTGTAGTCCATGTGTGTAGTCCGTGTGTGTATTCGCGCTCTTGACGGAGCCCTTCAGGGCCGCGAGGGAGAGGTTTCCGGCTCGAAGCCGTTGTCGCGCACGCCGTAGATGCTCGGAGGGCACCGCTTAAGAGTGTGATGATAACGAAATGTGTGTTGTCGTCTCCGTAGACTCGCGTGGGCTTCGCATAGAGCTGTCGCGACGAACAGCTGCGACTGCGGCTCGAATAGCTGGAGGCTAACAAGTCATCGGGCTGGCGCTGGGGTGGCCCCTCGAGTGTTCACGAGGCTCAATTACCTTTGCGCAATCATGGACCTAGCCGCTGCAGAAGGGGTAGTCGAGAGGGATGTCGGGCGTTGGGTGTTTGGTGTTGGGGAGTTCGAGCTTGGGGCTGCGAAAGAGAAAGATATCAAAAGATGCAAGAGCGCCGCCGCGCGATCAAGGTCCCCGAAGACTCCAGGCAAAGCTGTGAATCTCATACACACCAATTACTGGAAGGGTTGAATTCTACTGTCTCGGAGGCAACAGAGCTGCATCGCTTTCAATCTGTAGCGTTGCAGCTGTGTTGTGCTGGTGATTGGAAGAAGTGCAGTGAAGGGATCGAAGGAGAAACTATGCGACCAGACGGCCCCACGATGCAACTGCACGGAGCAGACCAGCAACAAGCAAGATCCGCAATCACTAGGCTGGAGTAGTACTCCCAAGATTCCTTGGGTTCTGTTTACAGTTGTGTGTGACATCACCCTCGTCCTTTGAGACTTCGGGAGACGGAATTCCTCAGGGGAAATCATATGCATGGCTCTGCGTACCCACAGCCTTGCAGGTAGCTGGACGGCGACCTTTATTGAATGCTGGAGGTCGATGGAAAGGGTCAGAGAGCGCCACACCACACCAGCTCCCCCGTTGCCACGCCCGCAACCGCACGCCCACAATGCTCGCAAGTGACGTCCGATATATTCCCCACGCCTACGCAATGACCTTGCCTTTCCCCGCGCAGCCACCGACCGTGTCCTCGCTAAGGCGCCCACACCAACCCACGCCACATCATTCGACTATATAATAGCTCTAATTAGTTTACACTTCGCCGAAGGTAACCAGTCCCGAGGCTGTAAGTGGAGGATGAGAGCGTGGTTCAGGTACGTGGATCTCTGTTGGCTTCCCCACCGCCGGGGAGGCTCAGTCTGCTGCCTTACCCCTAGAGGGTAGGAATTTTTCAAACAAACCTTCCGCCGGTTCAAATCCGGCGTCGACTTCTTTTTTTGCGCATTTATGCATCTTTTTGTTATGGGTAAGCTACGCGGCCAACACGATCGCGGCAGGCCTTCCACGCATTAAGGCGGCAACGTGGCTTCGCTAAGGTTTGTTCACGCATAGAAGTTAAGTAATCAGGTATGCAACAGCTTCAATCAAGTCTTCTAAAGTAGTGTATTACAGCAGCACCAGGAACGAATCTTTCAATTCCAGTCGTTCATGAAGACCAGGTTTACTCGAAGATGCGTTGGCTACTTAAAAAGCTTAAAACCAGAAAGGCAACTCATGGAATCAACATATCTCAGCACACAGCTCTTGAGTTTGCAATTACATCTGTCAAATGCACAATAAGCTGGCGACGAGCGTGCTGCGTAGGTTCTGGAGCGACCAACGCGACTGATCGATGGCTTTCCTTATAGCCACGCTGAAGCTACGACAACAACGTCAGGTTGGTCTTTATGGTAATTTCCGCGTGTAACTCAGCAAGCCAATTGCTACATTTGATCTTAAAACTGGAACGACATTCAGAGGGTAAGAAACCCAATGTAGATGAGCTCGTGATTCTATTTGTTTTGGCTATCTACTCCGAGAACGCTATAACACAGCACAGCGCAGGTATTCAGCTCTTTCAAGCCTCAGACATGTTTCCACCCCCTCTCATAAAGGATCTGCGTCTCATCGACCAGACAAAACTCGCCCCGTTCAACATCCTCTGTCTGCTCGATCCACTTCTCTACCCGTTGATGCACTTCCTTTTTCTTGAAGAAAGGCGTCGAGGTCCACCGTAAGAGTCGATTCTGCCAGATGGAAGCGAACATTTGAATTGGCGACATGACTGCGTCGGAAAATGGCGAATGGATAGCGTCGTAGGATGAACCATTGTACCCGACTTTCACGTTCGGGTTTAAGAAGACGCCTTTCGAGGCGGACAGTGGATTGTCTGCGTGGATTAGGCAGCACTCTGAGGCCTCGAGGTGGGATGTCGCGAGTGAGTCTGAGATGCCTCGGAAGCGAAGGGACGAGTCAAGGAAGGGCTCAATGGGCATAGCAACTATCGAGCGGTCAGTATCAACTTGCTCCGTGTTTACACACTGGGAGAAACGTACCCATGCCATTCCAGCACGAAGCAACGGGAACCGGCAAGAACCTTTCTGCGGCATATCTCGAAGCATAGGACCGAAAGTACGGCCACGTTTGCATGAGCGCCTCGTGGCCGCTCGAGTCTCGAACCGCAAAGGTGTCATAAAAATACGGCGGCTTCGAGAAATCCATCGCGCAAGCAGCTGCATAGTCCCCACCATTTGTGTCTAGCAATCTAAGGACATCTTCGCTCGAGAAGACGATGTCGTTGAGAAACAAGATCATATCGAAGTGCTCTCCTGCTGCAGTAAGTCTCTCGAGGGGTTTGAAGACCTCATTGCGCGCCGTAGCAAGGAATGGTATGCGCCTCAGGCGCGTCTCCCCATCCAAAGTCTTGATCCACCCATGCTCTGTAGGCTGTCTCGCAATCTCCTCCGCATGCGAAATATTCGAAAGCACGATGCTCCTCTTCACTTGTAGCCCTTCTAGTGTAAAATCAAGCTCCCTCAACGCATCCTTCGTATCATCATAGCTACCGCTCTCGTATATCGACACAAATACATTCTCAATACCCAGCTCTTGCACCAAAGCAGACACTGCTGCGTTCCAATCGCTTCGTAGCAACCGTGCCGTGTTCCAGTGCTGAGCTGCTATGTATATGCGCTTCGCGTTTCGCGGGGGCGGCTCGAGGTTGAGAGCTGCATTTTGGCGCAGGTATAACGAGATGCAATGCAGTGAATCGCAAATGACAAAGAGAAGAAATAAGATGCGCAACGCAGCGGATCGCGGCAAGCGGCGGGGAGAATAGGATCTGTATCTGCGCATTAGAGTGTAGGGTTTCTCCATCGCTGCGCCGCCATAAAGGGAAAGTGAAGTAAATGAGCGACGGTATACAAAGGAAATAGGACTTGCTACACGCAAAGGTGAGTGGAAAGGAAGGTACCACGGTACAACATAGCACAGAAGCGCTTTCCCCCCTCGCTTTTACGAAGACATTGGCATTCCTGGAACCACAAGCACTTTAAAGCGATTGGTGTTCCTCCAAGGCGCGACCAAGATGGTGTTTGACTCGAATAGGGTAGGAGCGCTTAGTTCTGCTCGCTGCCGAGGCAATCCGGCGTGTTTTGTGCCGGCATTCCGGATTGTGCAGATGTTTTGGTTTGTGTCGAAGTTGTACAGTGTACATAGTATGCGTCAGATATGTAGTTCAAAGTAAATGATCACAGTTGTCGAGGTGTGACCAGCTTTGGAGGTAGTTGGGATCGAAAACCACAGATCTTGGTGCATGGCGCAGACAACCTCGAGTTAATCCCAACGCCAAATCCACAATGATTATCAGGTTTAAACACGAGTCAATTCATTATTTCTAACTACCTGTTTGAGGAGTTTAACTATTTTTTTACCTGCACCAAAGGATTCGGTCGGACCTTAGAGCAATCACTGTCCCACGGCACCAAACTATACTCGCCCAACTTTTCTTGAGCACATAATTAAAAGAACTAGGTAGTGCACGCACTCTGTTTGGGCAATCCAGGCCTTGCCTGTAGTTTCTGCGCTACGCCTAGTTGGGAGTTAGACCTCGACATCCACTATAGAAGCGTGTTGTATATCCATGTGAGGACCAGGTCTCCTTCTGCCGCTATTTTCTTACTAGACCTCAACATGTTCTTTCGACCTTCTTCCCACACTCCGGCTCTACGTTTAGAAAACGACATATTCTACCAATACCACGTAAGCGTTTCTTAAATTTAATGTGATCGATGTAGGACGTTGAAAGATAAAGGCAGGGTTGTTATATACGGGGAAATGCTTTTTGACCTGCTCCATGTAGTTTTGGGATGAGGCGAGGTCGCTCTACGCTGAATATGTTGGTAGCCCATTGCGAGAGTCTGGCCGCTCTACCATCTAGAAGCTACGCCGCAGTTTGTCCCACCCCCTCCGCCTCCTAGCATTCCACCCAATCATCCAAATCCAAGCCATCCTAGAAGGCATCAACTACGGCCTTCTGTACTTCACGCTGGCCAGCTCCTCCGCCCTCCACGTCTCCGCGCATAGCGAGTCCATCTCCATGTCTAGCCTGCACTACATTGATACCAGTCTTGCACCACTTCGGCCTGCAAGGCTCATTCCCCCGAATGTAATCCTAGTGCATATGATGTAATTTCAGCCTGAGATCGTCCTGTCCCATTATTAGGAGGGTATCGCGGCTGTTGTACTGTATTCGAATATAGCGTATTTTTGTTGCGTATGTGGGCACGAATTCGACATATGTTCAAGTTAGACCCTCGAGCGATTACCGTCCTACAACACCAAACCACCCTAACCCCAACACAGCGCCCATGACAATCGCCACCGCAGGCGGTACACTAAACCACGCAGTCTCTGCATATGTAACAGCAGCGACAACCACCCACCAGGGCTCCTCGGCCAGACTTTTCCCATCACTACTCTCCGGTGTTAAATACCCAATCTCCCACAGCCTATAGACAGCGGTGAACACCAAGCCCACAGCTGCAGCATTAATGCCCCTCAACAAGCTCAGAACCCAGGACTTTGTTCTCATGACTTGCCAAATAGACTGCACACCAACCGCGAGGATGATTCCGGGAAAGAAGATGCCAAAAAAGGCGAGCAAAGCACCGAAGACGGTTGGGATAGAGGTTGAGGCGATTGTGAGAGCGCCAAGGTACACGCTGAAATTGAAATTAGGACCAGGCAGCGCTTGGATGATGGCGAGGCCAAGGAGGAAGTCTCGAGGGGATACCCAGCCTGGATCGACAACGTAGGTGCGTAGAAGAGGGATAACAACGGGACCGCCGCCGAAGATGATCGTCCCAGCCAGGTACATGTTGGAGAAGAGATCAAAAGAGAGAGCGCGTTTCGAAACGGTACCGCGGATCACCATAACGATAATGAAAGATACTGTATGCTATTAGAAGCTAGGTGGAGGAGAAATCGGGAAACGTACCAAGAAAGGCTGCGATGAGCGAGACTCCGACCCTGATGGAAATGTTGTGCGTTATGGTATCCGCGACCGGTGCACCATTGCCTGTAGCATTTTCTGTACTTTGTCGCTCTTCAGCTCGACTCGGACCACCAGCACCCTCCTCGAATACGATGCGATCAGTCGAGCTTCCCGCCAGATTTCTGCGTTTGACAGCCTCTGGCCTACCAACTTCCGCAGGAATGCTCTCCGTCGCAGTCACAACCTCGGCATCGCAGTCCTCATTTCTAGTCCTTCTCCTGCTCGTCTCATACCCTGCTCGAAGCTTGCCAATTTTCTGCTGAAGCCAGACATCCCAGACTACTGTCGCTGCTCCTCCAATGGCGATCAAGACTGGAAAGTACCACAGCGCGTTGTAGCAGATGCCAGCACAGGCACCAAAGATGACTAGTAGTCTCGTTATTCGATCCTGGATGGCCTTTTCGGCAAGTTGCACAGCAGCCAAAGCGATAATGCCCACAGTACTTGCGTTCATTCCGCTCAGCAAAGCATAGACTAGGGGCGGTAATCTGTCTGGCATCTTTTGCACACCGAGAGAGAGCCCATACATGGCAATAGCGCCGGGTAGGCTCCAGAGCAAGAAGGCGAAAACGGCTGAGACAATTCCAGCATGTATCATGGCGATACAGAACACCATCTTCGTCGAAGCTGGACCTGGCAGCGCTTGACATATAGCAAAAAGCTCTTGATACTACCGCAATCATCAGCTCGATTTCCTTGAAAGGATTCATACTTCTCTCCTGGAGAACGCTCTCGTACTCACAGTCTGTTCATCGATCCACTTGCTCCCACCGCCAAAACCCATCCCATCCACAAATCGCCTGTGCAAAATCTGGAAATGAACCGGCGGCCCACCGAAAGCCGTGAAGCCCAAATCCCACATTCTCGACAACACCTCCGCAAGACGCCATCCTAGTTTTTCTGTATTCGCCTGCAGCGAGTTATTGCGCTGAGAACGTGTCTGGGCGCGGAGCGAGCTGATGATGGAGTGAAGGGGCATGATTAGGTCATTGGCTTTTTTAAAAGTGACACAGCAACGACCACAATGAGGTGACCGCACGAGGAAGCTGGAGAGCCATCAGCGACAGCCCGAGACGCCAAGATCCAACCATTGAAGCCGCAAAATTGCGACATGGCGGCCTGGAAAGGCCAAGGCATGGCGGTCTCGATGGAAGATGAGCTAGTCGGAAGGGCAAGTCTAAGCGAGTCGCCCACGCTTTCCCTCTTCTATCTTAGTGTGATTTGTTCGGTGAATCTTGACGGCCGGAGAAATCCAGGCATCATCGACATGCTCGGTTCTTCGTTGGTATTGGGCCTAGTTTGTCACGATCGCATGTCTCGGTATGAACTATACCGAGTATTGAACTATTTGCCAACGGATTGGAATGTCTTCCGGTCGTGTTCCTGGTTTTGCGCTCCCCGCAATCCGGGGATGGGGACGCAATGGAGCAATTTGCGGGGATATAGAGATGAGGCTAAACGTTAACTATCCGTGCAGTATATATGGGTAAGGGACTGGTATCTTGGATGCTTCTCGTGAGGCTATAACCACCCAACTCAGGATGTTGCCCTCGTCGACCCTAGCCATCCGTCTGATCGCATTCTTCTCATCGCTAACTTCAGTCACCGCATCGCCTACGCTTCACCAACAGCAAAATGCATCTCGCCCCTTGGTCAAGCTCGACTATGGAACCTTCCAAGGCGCCGTATCTTCCCAATACAACCTCATATATTACCGCAAAATCCCTTTCGGTGCCTCCACAGCTGGCCCTAACCGCTTTCGCGCCCCTCAACCCCCAATTCCTATCAACACTACCACAGTATACGACACCGACCAAGCATTCGATATGTGTCCTCAGCGCACGGTAAATGGATCGGAAGACTGCCTCTACCTCGGCGTCTACTCAAGGCCATGGTCTCAGGATACGGCGAAGAAGCATAAGCTGAGGCCTGTGCTACTAACTTTCTATGGCGGCGGCTTCATCAGGGGAAGCGCGACATTCGACATTCCCCCGAGTGGATTTCCAGTACTGAATGTATCGCAACAAAACGACTATGTGGTGATATATTCAAACTACCGCACCAACGTCTTTGGCTTCCTGCCTGGCAGCAAAATCGCAGAACATCCCGGCGCCGATTTGAACCCAGGTCTGTTGGATCAGCAAGCAGCCCTGCAGTGGATTCAAAAGTATATTCACCACTTTGGCGGCGACAAACGAAATGTCACAATATGGGGACAGTCTGCTGGCGGCGGCAGCGTTGTCGCCCAAACTATCGCCACGGGCAATCGAGGGAAGAAGCTGTTCACCAAGGCAATGAGCTCGAGTCCCTTTTGGCCGAAAACACCGCGCTACGACAGCGCGTGGGCAGAATCTCTCTACCAACAGACTGTGCAGGATGTCGGCTGTGCCAACCACACGGACGAAATTACGTGTCTCAAGACAGTAGATCTTCAGAAACTAAGAGACAGTGCGTTAAGACTGAGTACGAGCCAGCAGTACACGACGAGTGCGTTTACATGGGGCCCTGTCATCGACGACAGCTTTCTTGCAGAGCCATTGTCGGATGTAATCAGTAAAAAGGGGAAATTGAACGCGAATACGGTGCTCACTTCGTACAACTTGCACGAAGGCGAGAACTTTACTCCTCCCGGCTTTGGAAACGCAACAGGTAGCGCGGGCTTTAACTCTTCCCAAACGAGCTTCGACTCTTGGCTGCGAGGATTCCTGCCAGACTTCCAAGAGGAGCATGTGAAGAAAGTGAACGCACTGTATCCCGCAGTCGGCGAAGCAGAGGAAATCAAGTGGAACAGCACGTATATACGCGCAGGAATGCTATACAGGGACTTGGTCCTAGCGTGCCCAGCGTACTGGCTGTCGAACAAAGCGGAGAAGGGGTGGTTGATTGAGTATACTATTTCGCCAGCCAAGCATGCAAGTGACGTGCAATACGTGAGTAGCCTCTTTTCAAGTACCGGTCCTTGATAGTATCTTGATACTTACGCTCTACCAGTGGAACACCGTCGGCGCTATCCAGAAGACAGATGCACGTACCTACGAAGCGTATGCAGGGGCACTGGCGAGTTTCGTCCAGACTGGTGATCCAAATGCGCACAAGGTCACGAATGCTAGCGTTCCTGCTGTACCGAACGTAGTAGAAGGGAAGCAGTTTTTAGTCACCGCGGGTGGCATTAAGCAAGGCGGTATTCAGATGTTGGAAGAGAGGTGTAAGTTTTGGCTAGAAGTCGCGGAGAGGGTGCCAATATGAGAACGAGTGTGGCATAGAGATCCTCAGACTGATAACGATGAATAATATTCAAGAACTCCGACCCAAGCCCCCCTGGACTCCGTCATGGCTCATAAAACTCGCTAAGTCATAAACATCGGCAAACTACTCCGGCAATCGTTTACGAACAGTCCTGGTCTACTTCCTCTCCCCCTTCCGCCCTGTCTTCTTCAGCCTACTCGCAAGATCAAGCATCCCATCTGCCCAAACGCTCATCCCCTCCACCTTCTTTACCTCGCTCCCACAAAAGTCTCTCAAAAATGCACCCATCTTCTCCTCGCCATACTTCTCCCCGTACACAATCTCAGCCTTCATCCCAACATCGGCATCCACCCCCTCTTTCCCAATCCCAACACCAACCTCAAACGTGACTTTCACCTTGGTTTGCACCGTAGGAAGAAGCATGTTAGAAGCGATAGCCATGCGCTCGTCGCTCAAGATGAATTCCTCGGTGATGTAGTTGTGCTCGAGCCAGTGGATACCTTCTGTAACGGCGAGCGCGGTGGCCCAACTATCCTTGACAAGGGTGAGGAGCGAGGAGATGCGGGTTTGAGATTGAGGAATGCAGTGGAGGTGTGCGCGAATGAGCTGGAGGAAGAAACGCTTGCTTGTGGTCAGGGGGCGAGGATGGGGAGTTGCTGAGTCGCCGACGTAGGCGAGCGAAATGGATGCGTTGGGCGAATTGGTGCCGGTCGCGAAGGCAGAGGGTTGGAAGTATAGCTCCAGGTCGTTCAGGTGGGTCATCGTGATGCTTGTGGACGAGGCTGAGGTAATGCTCCAGCCATGTGCCTGCTCAAGAGAGGTCACCTTGACTAAGGTGATGTTAGTAAACACGCTTATTCATAGAGCGAACACGAAATACCTTTCAAATCGTTGACCTCCCTTGTAGACCAGCCACGGCACTCTTCGCGCACCCGTTCAGCTACCTTGATCTCTTCGACGCACTCGACTTTACGGTCCTTGACGGCCTCGATTCGAGCCTCCTTCTCAGCAAGCTCTTGCTGAAGCTGCTCTAGGAGCTGCCGCTTCTCTTCCATCTCAATATCTGTGGCAACAAGCCTCTCTCGAGTTTGTTCCAGCTCTTCGCGATCACAACTATTCAACTCATCATGACGCTGCTGCAGTTGCTTACACTCGGCAGACAAAAGCTCATGCTTCTCAATTAACGGGGGTAGCACAACATCAAGGAGCTGTTCCTGGTTGGCGAGGGTAGACTCATCGCGCTTGAAGCCGTCCAGCGTATGAAGAAGGCCAGACTTTAGGTCCTGCAGAAGTGTGCTTCTCCAAGTATACCACTCCCCACGTGCTTCAAGACGGGCATTCGTCTTCAAGTTCTTGAATTGATTGTCCATGACGATGCGCTGATCCGGCGGAGCAGTGAGGTACTCGCTGAACAACAACGGGTTCTCTTCATAGACGTTGGCCTCCATGGTTCGAACGAAGTGGCGACCGTCCGAGATGTATTTCTTCATCTCGTGACACGCGTGCTGATACAGCTCGTACTCGGGCAGAGTGCAGGCTCCGGCAACAACATATCGATCCAGCGACTCTTCCTTCTCCTCGACCTCCATATCGTGGAAGGCGGCAGGAGCAGCAGTATGTCGCCGCTTGGTCGTACTAAGATCCATGAAGCGAATCTTTGTCATATCTAGGAACTCCTGCAACGAGATGCGCTCGACATCTGACACACCTTCTGAAACATCATTGTCGGTCTCTTCCTCCTCTTCTACTAGCTGCTCGCCAAAACCAACTCGCTTCTTAGGGCTCACGCTTTTTCGCGGCGTTGCCTTCTTCGGCGTCGGAGTCTTCTGCTTCGGTGTAGGCAGCTTTTGAGGAGTCTGCGACTTTTTCGGCGTCATCCCTCGCTTCACCGGAGATATCAACATTTGCTTTCGAGGGGTAGAAAGCAGCTTGATGCTGTTGGTCAAGAAGGCAGTGCTTTTGAGTGTTGGCTCCTCACGTGGTGCGTTGAGTGGGCTGAACTGCATCAAGGACAGCGACGAACGACGTCGGTTCAAGATAGGCGCTGCAACTGGATCGTCAGGAATCATCATAGGTGCTTCCTGTGCGGCTTCACTTGTAGGCGTAGCGACAACTCTATTCGTCTTGGTATCGTCGACAGGGGTCCTCCGTACAAATGGCGATGGTTCAATGTCCTCGATATCCTTTTGCCTCACGATCTCAGGGGTATCCGGGTCAAGATCTATGCGAGCCTCCACCGGTGCCTTCATTGGCGTGGCTTGAACTTGAACTTCTGGGGCAGGCTCAGCTTCTACTATCGCAATAGAGCTTCTGCGGCGTCCAGGCGATTTCTTAGAAGTCTTTCGTGGCGTCGGGGTCTTTGCGGGTGTAGCAGCATTTGCTGGGGGAGGAGTAGGGTTTTCGGGTGTTGCTACTGCTTTGTCGGCACGCCTAATACCTGGCCCAATGATCTTTGTAAATTCCATGGAGAGATCCTCATCGATCGCATCGCTTCCAAATTCATCTGCTACAGTTGACGTGCCATTTTTGATGCTACCCACAGCCATGGTGAAATCCATGGTCGCATCTTCTAATGAGCCTTCCAAGTTTGGATAACTCACTGCTCCAGACGAAGTACCATTCTTGATCGCTCCGATGGCCATTGTAAGATCCATTGTCGCATCTTCGGACGGAATTTCTTCTGACTGACGGCGTTGTCGAAGACTAGTACGACGGTTGGCAGGGCGCTTTGCGGGGCTTCCTTGGGACGCATCTAGCATCGATACCCTCCGCTTGAGGCTCTTTCTTCGGTTCGCTGGCGCATTTGATGCCATAGCCTGGATGCTGCCAAGGGGCATGGTAAGCTCCATGCTCATATCCTCATCCATATCTGAGCTCGAAGCGTCCGCTTGTTGCTGCTGCGGGACAATCCGTCCAACTGCACGAGTGATATCCATGCTCATGTCGTCATCGTCTGCCACGGTCGCAGCTGGTGAGAACGGCGAGGGATCGACATTTTCCTGATCCTCCTGTGCCACGAAGCTTTTCCTCGCCCATGGCTTGAAAGATGCTGTGATTTCATCTTGGGCAATATCCATGGTCATGTCCTCCTTGTTGTCGAAATCCAGCCTTTGTGTACCGGCTTGAGTTGAAGCTTGGCGCAATGCAGCGTCTAGCCTAGCACTACTCTGTGATGAGTCTTCCGTGTCAGGAGATGTAGCCAGGTTCTCCGTCACGTCCTCGTCGTCCCCAGAGATGCTGCCCTCATTGTTGACCCCACCAGGTGATTGGTTATCCCCACTTAAAGGACTTGAGGAGTAGACATCGTCGGGGTTGTTGAAGTTCATAGGCGGTATTCCCGAGCTCCGACGGTTCTTCTTTTGGTGCTGCTCGCGCTGGTTCGCAGGCGACGATTCAGGCTCCGGTTGAGGCTCCTCGGCCTGTTCTGGCGGGGTAGAGGGCGATTCGGCGGGTGCAGGCGATGCTGGAGTCGACGCTTGGGTTATGTTTGAAGCTCTCCGAGTGGCATCTGAGGAGGCGGACGAGCTTGTAGCATCGCGCAAGTATTCGACTACATCCCAGGTATGTAAGGTAGCCTCGGGGGCAAAAGAGACGCGTCGTTTTGCTAGATGGAGGTTTAGAAACAGTCCTGTAGACAAACTACGCGCTTCAGCCTACCTAGTGATTTGCGACGGGCTTCGCGCCGCTTCTTCTCGTCTTCATCATTCGAAGATAGAATAGACTTGACAGCAGGAATAAAAGCAGACTAGTCTGGTCAGCAACACGCCAATACAGAGTTGCGCCAAATGCGCATACCTTCCTACGATTGCCACTGCTCTCTTTCAGCGCGGGCGCTTCCAGTTCTCCTAGACCACCAGGGCCGATGCTTTTGCTACGCGTCTTCCGTGAATCTCGTGACGATTTTTTTAGCGATAGAGTAGGTGCTTTGAAGGATGTGTTCGCTAGCAGGCCATCGGCTATGTTCTCTTTCGCATCGGTTTGCGCCATGGTGGAGTGGCTAAGTGTTCGTGAAGTGGTTGTGCTAATGCTCGGGACGAAAGTGACATGGTACCAGTAAACAGGCGCCACCGATAAACATGGCCCGTGCATCCCCACTTTGATCGACCATTCCCAGCCAGCTGTCCACCCACCACGAATTGATCACAGCCCATCAAAAATTTGCATCATATTGAGGATTTCTTGAGTATGCTGTACAACTCATGTCACTTACTGATTATGAAGCCGAGGACGGTGGCATTTCCAATACGAGCTTTCACACTACAAACGCGAGGACGCTTGAAGCTATTCATGTTAGCTGATGCAAATGCAGGCTCTAAAGTTGATTCATAGCTTAGTTTCTCCATTACTATCTGACTTTCATACTGGGTATATCGCAACCCCCCTAAAAGAATAACGCCGCACTCGATTACCACTGCTAGCTAAGAAGCAATCAGGACAGTCTACCCAAGCGCCAGCCAACCGTTACAACATAAGAAAGAGATAATGAGGTGGTGCAATCTATAATACCAGTCCACGAATCATTCTAGGAGGCGTACCAAATATCGAAAAGCACGCTCGCACTCACGACCCATAAACAATCCTCTCCCTCCTCCATCCACTCAACGGCCGCCACTCCTCAGTCTTCGTCCTCTTGATTCGCCTATACCGGCTCCAGCTCTCCTTCTCCTCGTCCTTTTCTTCATCTGCCCAAACGCTATCCCTCCTCCTGCTGCTTCGATCTCGCGATGTAGACCGCTCACGCGTCTCCCACGCCTCGTCTGACCACTTCTCACGGCTGCGGAAGAGATCTGCAGGCCAGAGATGCGAATCATGGTGATGGTGGTGGTGGGAGGGAGGAGACGGCTTGGGCTTTGAGAATGTCGCCTTCACTTTGAGCCGAAACTCGCGCTCGTCGGGGTCACAGGTCTCCTCATCGTCTGAATAGCTATGCCGATCAGGCGCGTACTTGTACGTCCTTCTCGTCTCGTAGCTCCTTCGCCTCTCATCGTCTTCGTCGGAGTGTTTGTCGCGCCAGATGTTGTAGCGCTCGAGTTGGGTTGGTTGGTTGCGGACTGTCAACGCGCGTGAAAGCTTGCCTGCCTTCTGAGTCGACGAGTAGGGATAGTCGTCGTAGCCGTCATCTGCGTCATCCGAGAGTGTAATGTTACGTTGGCGCTTGTTGGAGTCTCGGCGGACGATGGGACGCGAGTAGTTGGTATCATACTCCGGAGTGCGCTCGCGGGTGCGAGTCCGGGTGAGGTGGAGGTAAGACATCGTGGGATGCCCGATCAGGTGGTCTTTCTTGTGCTGCTGTGACAAGCGCTGACGGTAACAGTAGTACTAAAGTCGAAGGTCGCGCAGATAGATGTGGATGTATCCGGTATGCTGATGGTATTGCAAGAATATATAGGCGTCGTGATGAAAGCAAAAGGCAAACACAATCCTGTCCTTCCACGCAATCTATATACCAGGAGACACGAATGTCTCAACTGCCTAGCAGATTTCAAAAGCAATATTCCTGACCATCCCCCAACATGGCCCCGTGCACCCAGCCATGCACCGCCACTTTTATGTGGCTCAAATCGTGGCCGTTCAAAATTCCGCGTTCCTGATTGGCTCCTAGCGCCTCCACATGCATGAACTGCTCACCGCATGAACATGTTGGGTGCCTGACGCTAGGGTTGAGGCTTGGAGAATATTGGTATAAGTGACGTGCATTCATGATGATCCTGGCGGTGTGTGTGTAGAGGAGGGGACATGCAAGCTGAAGCTCATGTCGCCACGGTGAGGCAGTGAGGCAGTGATGTTGGAGGTGTGTGGGGGCCGCGCTGGAACGTGACGATGAAGGTGGTGGGGTCACTGATGATCACGGGTACCTGCCGCTCGCAAAGATGTGGTGAGACTGGTCCTTTGAAATATCGCCCTTCTATTCCGATACGTTCGTCCACTATGCTGACATGTTCAAGAGGCAGAGCCGCACACTTTGCCGAATAGAGGAGCTTACGACGCTGCTCAGTCATGCGCTTCTATTATTCATCACCTGGGATAGAAGTTGATCACTTGGTGGGGGCCTCTTCACGGTCACTGGAGATGAAGAGTCGTCGTGTCCACCTTTACGATTAATAAGGCAAATTTCTCCCGAGAAGGCCACCCTGGAAGAAATCGTCACAATGGCATTGCCAGTCTGGAGCCTCGATGAGTCAAATTGGACTCTGTGGAGGCTGTGTCTGGAATTGCCACGGGTGTCGTGGCTGCCTATATCGAGGATTTCGAGGTTGCATCGGGTCCGGGAGGCCTACAACAATGAGTTGACCAGGAGACTGACCCTGTTTGACAAACGGACACAAAAGTTTGCTTTGGAGCCGCATACTTTGCCCTTCAGTACGACACTGAAGCAGGTGTCGAGTACATGTGACGTTGACGCCTCAGCCCATCTCCTTCGTGTGTCCTTCTCCTTCCAATTCCACGTGTTTCCTTTCATGGGCTGGCAATTCGTAATGATGCCCGCGATGCTCTGATTGTCAAGAGTAGCCAGCCCATCTCCCGTCCAGCCAAGCGACAACATGTTGTAGCCATACAGGCCATCCCCATCGTATCCAACTCGACTTTCCAGGTAGGTGTTGAGTGCATACTGTCCATACTCTTCCCACGTCGATGAAATGTTCCTCATATAAAGGCCTCCGCGTAAGTCTCTGCAGTCTTTTGTAGGTGCGTGGATTGCGACAGGACATGCTTCAGGCAGAACCAGCCAAGTCAAGGGACGGATTGGACGCCGGCAGAACGCAGATCTGTTGTTGTTCCCCCACCGAATCCTATCCAAATGTAGACTTCCAATGGATTTTTTAGTAGAATGAAATGGACCTGCAAAGTACATACCAGAACTGGCTGGGTGGTGTACTCAAAGGCTTACTCGAAGTACCTTTACAGAACCAGCGATAGCTCAACTAGGGCGTAGGCGCTTTGGAATCCCCTCACAACAGGCCCACCTACGTTAATATTACTAGGTAGAGAAATTCCAAAAGATCAAGAAAACCAGTCTATCAAGAGCAAGTCTTGCGAGTTGGAGGAGGCTCAACCCCGCATAGATAAACACGAAGGCGGGGTCAATTTCTGTACCTGTAGAGGAGCGCAATAGATTCTTACATCCACAAATAGAAGAGCTCCATCTATCCTCATCTAATTACAGCAACCAGCAGTACCATATTCTAACCTCACAACGTCCTTTCAGCCTCAGTTAACATTCAGCCACTACGTGTTCCATTTCTTGGAATATTCACAATCCGTCCTGCCGCAATCGCCGTTGGTAATTCTCTTGTAAGCGCCCTCCCACTTGTAACTGTCCTGCCAGACATCGGTCCATGTAGCGAAATGGATAGATCGACCGAGAGTGGTTCGCAAGACGTAGACGCACCTACGGTCAGGATATGTTAGAGGACTCATATGCCAGAGGATCAACACGAGATGGGAGAGAATGTTGATATAGGCACAAGGTTCAGCGAGTGGTCTTACATGTTGATAGGCGAGGTTGGGATTATATCCTTAGTTTGTAGTGAGGTTTGAGGAGGAATGACCTGGGTATTGCGGACAATTGATTAGTTTTTATTTATCGTGCAACGGGGCTTGCTAAATACTCCCTATCTATCGTTGACCGGAATCACGTCTGTTGAAAGCACACGATGTAATCCTTAGCATGGAGGACAGACTGATATGATAAGGCTACCAATCAACTAAACCCACGATCGAAGTGACAGCCGGAATAAGCAGCATGCTTGAGGTAGGGTCCACTGTGGCATTGACAGCTGTTCGTTGGCAAGGCTGAGTGAGTCTGTCATTGGGCGCGTTTACGCCTGTTGATCTTCCCCAGTGTCTCCACCCAATGTTTGTTCGCTTTCTCTGAGGCGTTGTGTCACAGTCGCTGCAATTCCGGTTGGAAGGTCGCATTTCCTCTTTTCTTCTGTCGTTGGTTGGTCTGCAGCGGCGTCGCTAGCAGTGTCTTGTGCCTCGTTCGATGCTCTTTTCAAAGAATCGCTTGGTCCTCTTCGCGCGACAGTACTTCTCCCAGTTGTACTTCTCGCTGCATTACCATCTTTCTGTGCCGTACCCACATGTGAAGACCTGCCCGTTCTCCGTGCGAGTCTTGCAGAACGAGAGTCAAGCTCAGCGTCGTCCTCCCGGCGCTGTCCATTCTCAGTATCATTCCCATGCTCTTGTGGAGGAGCATCATCGGCGATCCCAAGCCCTCGCAGCTCCCCAGTTATCTTCACCCCCTGGCCTCCAATTTTTTCATCCTTTTCCTTCACTTCAACCCATGCGCCTCTCACCTTCTTCAAGCCCGTGAACTTGGGAAAGCTCTGATCAGCCCCGCTAGTATCTAGATACCCTTCTTCCGGCGGTGCGTATCGGCCCGGCATATACTCATCACTAGAACGGCCAAGTGTGAGGTAGTTTCTGTAGTCATCCCGAAACTCGACAGAATTCGAGAACTTGAGACGCTTGCGCTCCGGTAGAGATGTAGTGCTGTAGGAGCGTTTGGGCGATGGCCGATGCGGAATTGATACAGTCTGCTGCTGCTGCTGCTGTATCTGTTGATCCTCTAGCGCTTCACTCCGTTTACTGTCCATTTCTGACTGTTGATGGGTAGGTGAGTATGAGCGAGTGCGCTTGATGCCCTGATGGTGTCCCGCTCTATCTTGCGTATTCACCTCTGCCTCTTGCCATTCCTCTTTACTCCCATCTTGCTGCTCTGCGCTCTGCTTCACGGGCGCCTCAACCCCTATCAACCAGTTGTCGAAATCCATATGTGTTTTTCGGACTTTGGCCACCGCAAATTGCTTGCCGTGATGCTTATCGCCTTTTTGAACTAGTGGTGCGTATTCTTCGTCCGCAGCCTGCATAGCATCGTAGAGTGCACTGAACCGCTGGCACGTGTCACAGCCTGTGATTTCGGTCGCGTCTGTTGCAACAAGGCCTTTTGGCGAGACATTTGCAAGAACTCGGTCGCAGGACTTGCATTTGATTGGTCTGGGTGTGGCGGCCATTGTAGGCGCAGCACGAACTAGAAAGTCGAGATTATAGAGTAGCGCTGTGTTTGTTTTGAGCGGCGGATTAGTCGGGAAGATCCTTTCAGTCTATTGCGACAGACCGATGCGGGGCCAGCGCAGTCGCTCGACTCCAGAGTTTCGAATAGTTGAGGCAAAGTGCGGATGCGGATGCTGTTGTGTTATGTGGCGATAAATAAGTGAATGCGAAACAACAAGATTATCATGGAGGAACGGATCTTCGCCACGATCGCCCGAAGAATGAAGGACCTAGAGACGCTCATATACCGGCAATAGCCCTCCTAGACGGAAAGGAAACAAGTAAACTTTCGAGGATAAGGGAAGAAACCCGCCTTGATGACTGGGTAACGTCGTAGGCAAGCGTACGCAGTATCTTCATCGCTCCTCCTGCTGCGCTATCGATAATCCCTGCTCGGCATCCCCACAGTCGGGATCAGGGACACGATGGAGATAAACACAAACGTTCAAGATGGCTAATCAAGGCGCCTAACAGTTACGATAGTTGCTTACTAGTTTGAGCATTTACATTCCTTGAACTCGTAAAGCGTAAATCATTATTCCTTGGCTTCCGGACGCGGGCTCCTGGTCCTGCGCGCTGTGCCATAGAGCGCAAATGTAAGCTAAGCAGACGTCAAGTGACGCTATCGAAGAAATCCTTGTCCTCTTCCATCAACTTGTCAAATTCCTCCGTCGTTGCGCGCATCAAGTCCCATTTGAAGAAGTACTGATGCGTGCGGTGCCCCTCCCAATATGCCTTACACATCTCCCTCCAGCTCATCCTCCCCGCCATCTTAACTGTTTCATCACTTAATTTAACCTTCTTGCTGTTGCTACCTTTGTCCGTCTCCACAAACAGCATCCGCTCTACACTTCCGAATACACCCTGTAATATGTGCACAACCATTGGGATGTCTGCTGAAGGTATGCCCTCGAGGTCCACTGTTAGAGTGAGAAGGTGAAGGTCGCGCACGAGGTCTTGGATCTGGCACCGCCAAAAGTACTGGAGTGACGGCGGGTTGGTGACGACTGGAGGCTCCAAAAGCTCGAAGACGGGGTCGGGTGCGAGCCAACGGATGCAATGCAGTAGTGCAAGCTTGCCGAAATGGAACGTAAGGCGTCTAGTTTCCAGGCGATTGATCGGTCCAGATTGCCAAAGGAAATTGGTGAAGCCAGTAAGACCGAAGTGGAAGTCCGTGCTATGGAAGACAAACGGAACCAAACTCTCGTTGATGGCTTTCGAGATTCGAAACATGGTTGAGAGGGAGATGGGTGATGGTTCGTTTCTATTACTCTTGTGGATGAGATGAGAGTCGTAGCAGAGATTGTAGGCTCGCGTATGGCAAGCAGCCATGCTCAAGATCATCTCCTGGAGTTCTAGCGGTAACCTGCTGAAGGGGTGAAATAGTGGGCAGATCGGGACGGAGTCTTTGGGGGCAGGCGGAGGACCAAGCAATTCAGATCGGGATTTAAGGGAGTCGTCCAGGTTGCGTCTGCAGGTCCCAGCGTTTGCCTTTTGCGCCTCGAGATGGCTAAAGTAAATCTTACTAAAGTACTCGCGCGCTGATATCCACCCTGCGCCGCATCTAACCACAAGTTTGTAGTAACCGTTCGCAGAGCCTTGTAATTGTCGCACCTTTTTGTGCTCTCCATCATCCTTGGTGTCACCTGGGACACCTCTTTGCCACTCACTGAAGTTCAGTTCGGATCTAAATGGCTCCATAGAGTCGTGCCGTCTGTGATGTCCCAAATTTCGTCCTTTACTCGTCGGATTCTCCTGCGGTGGAAAAAGTCGAATAATGATCTTCTTCCTCGCATCCGTGAACGTATTTTCTGTAAGAATACAAGCGACCGATTGACCTAACCCTATCCGTGCTGCCACTTGCGAATCTGGAAATATACTGATTTTGCCTTGGAAATGCGCACTCGAATCGTGATTACTCGACCACTGTGTGAGATGGTGTAAAAATGCCCTCCGTTGCTGTTCTTGAACCCAGTGCTTATTTGATGGATTGCGCGGAGTTTTTCTACTTGGCGAAGTCCTTGTTTGAGATGACGGGCTGGACATGGGACTCCTCAAAAACTTTGCGGAAGGGTTGGTTGGTGTCTTTGGTCGTCGACCCAGGTCGAGGCTGTCTGGTCGGGTCATGTTTCAAGATTGAATCAAGATGACCGATAGGAATAATGACCCCCGAGTGATCGTTTGTGACGTCAAAGGGCAGTATCGCCGGGCATCAGGATGCTAACGTGAGTAGCTCTCGTGATAGGCGTCACAAGCGAGGTGAATGTGAGGCCTGCGTACAACCCCCCGCGCTTCCAGTCAAACGATATGGTTGTATCGGGTGGTGACCTGGCAATGTACGCGAGCGGAAGGTGAGCAAACAGTGTCTATCGACTAGTGTTCAAGATGGAAGCAAGTGTGCATACTGCCGGAAATATCAACCCGGAGATGGGACAAAAAGCATCAGGTCGGTGATAACGTAACGCTAATTATGTGCTGGAGAAACACACGAAAAGATGAAGACAAGCTAGAGCGAAGGAATGCTAGGATATTGGACGAAACTGGTCTGCTGGTAATGTTTGGGATGAGAGGTTGCAGCCTGGTGTTTGTTCATGACGATGGAGCTTGATGACGCGATGCCCGTGGCGATCGGGGCTGATCGTAGAGGTCGCTTGACTTAGCGCTAGCCTATCTCTGTCGTGACTCTCACGCGACCGTTTGTGAACGCTTCGAGATGCAACATTCTACAAGAACAGAATAAGATATCATGTGCGCATGGGGGGAGGTTAAAAATCCTATTCTGGAAACAACATTCCATGTAGGTATAATTGTCAAAGCAAAGGTGCCCAGACTTTGCGAATATCTTACAAGAGCGTACACAGAATGTACAAATATTAGCTGCTGCCCAATTCAACCCCATCCCCACCAGTGCTTGATAGTGTCACCAAATGTGGCCTGTCCTGCTTCCCTCCTCTTCATGCGTTGTATCCGCTCTTCAATAAACGTCTCTTCTACCTGCTTCGCCATGCCTGTCGATGCTTTCAACTCCCCCAAGACCGCCATCCTTTCAATTTCCTGTTGTTCTGGCGGTAACGCAGCAAGCTTCTTCTCATATTCTCTCCGCGATTCCGGCTTGATGTGACTCCATATGTCATTCTCAGTCTCATCCTCAGTATACGGATTCCTGGCCCCTGATACAGGCGCGGCTGTTGATGACGCTCCAGCCATTGATCTTGCCATGTTTTGTTTCGACATCACACTCTCAAACTTTGGCAGCGGCTTCCCCTCCTCTTTCGCCTTCTCAATCTCGGCCTCCTGCTGCAGCATCTGCTGGTACAACTTATCCGCATGCATCTGTATTCTTTCATCCTCGTCAGGCGTCCGTGCATCCATCGTCATGTACCCCAGCGCCTTGAGAAACTTGGATTGTATATCATAACACCGATTGAACTTTCGTGATTCGGCGTTGCACATTGTGCCCGCGGACCACCATGTCGCTGGATGTCGAAAGCACTCGAATTGCTCCAAGTACTCTAGCGCGCAGTTTTCCATGGCAACTCGTCCGACTGAGGCTCTGCGGTCATTGTATGCATCCACGAGGTCGCGAAGGCGGTCTTGCTCGGACTTTCCGCGGTCGTCGAGGACGTTTTGGGGCGTGTAGTTCTTCCAGAGGTGGGCGTAGCGACCATCTTGAAACTGAGATTGCGGAGGTACTGCTGGTTTCTCTGGTATTGCTGGATGTGATTGCGATTGTGCTTGTGTAGGTGCTGGTGGTTCGCTTGGCTTCTCTTTTGGCGGGGATGGTAATGTAGGTTTCGGGCCCGTAGGAGCTTGTTTCTGGAGAAAGTCGCGGAGCGATGGATCGAGCTGGTCTTGCGCACTCGCACTGTTACCGCTGCCCCAGAGCCAGCCCATGATTGACTAAATGTGTAGATGCACAATTGAGGGTGTTGACATTGTACGGTGTGAAAGTTGCGGTGATCGGCGGGGATTGGTGAATGTTTCCGCCACCCAAGCTGCAAGCTGCACGCTCACGTGCTGATAGCAACTAGCGCGATCCCCGGCGTCATAACAGAGGGACAACCTCAAACACGCGGCGACGGGACAACCCTGGAATACCAATTGTTACGCCCACCATCTATATGGCGCCCATCGGTATGAGCATGAACATGCTACATTGCTTCGTGCTTGGGATCAATCACTAACTTGCGCCTAGATCGCCGCGGGCATCGACAGCAGCGCGTGCGCGGCGCTGGGTACGCTACTCTTCGTATCCAATATCTGTATATACTAATAGTAGCAGGCCGTCTTCTGTACAGGCCTCTTTCGGCTTCAATTTTGGCGCGCTCGGAGCTCCACCTGCAAAGCAATCTTCCCTTCCCCCCAAACCAGCGGCGCGTCGAACACCAGCCCAGAGTACACCGCGCGGCGCGAATGGATCCGCTCAGCGGCACCGAAGCGCGTCGGCTCAGCGGAGTGGTAGCTCGAAGCGAAAGAGCACGCCCAAAGACCTCACCGTGACGCCGTCCTTAGGCAAGAGGAAGCGGGGCTCGACACACGCGCAACCAGGCCCAGACGACGAAGAGGAGGACGAGCTCAGCCCGGAGCGGGAAGAAAATGTACGCTCGATTGAGAAGAGCAGGAGGGTTGTGGGTACGGTCTCGCCCATACGGGAAGAACTTGACGATGTGCCGGATGAACTATCAATCCTGGATGAGGGCGGAAGTGCTGCGCGCAAGTCGGTTTTGAACAGGACTATGGTTATGAATGCCACGCCTGTGTCAGTCCTGGCGAAAAAGCGGGCTTCTTCTAGTGGTGGGCGACACAAGACGCCCAATACAGACACGGCTAGGAGCCTGTCTGTTACTTCACGGCAATCGATCTCGCGAAGATCAAAATCCACAGACCCTGGACCTGAGACACCTAGTGTGCTTCCAAACGGCCGACCGAGTATTGTGTTAGCCTCCCGTTCTGGGCCCGAGTTCAACACACCAGGCGCTGCCCAGGAAGAGGAGAGTGAAGACGAGCTATCACCACAGATAAGTGAAGTCATTCCACGTGTTGTCGCAAAGGAGCCACGATCACAATCCAACACACGAGATGACAATGAGATGGAGGTGGATGAGTTGTCTTCGCCGATACCACATGCGCTAATCCACGAGACATCGGGTGCACAAAATGTAGAAAAGGGGCAAAGTCCGAGCAAGGAACCAGGGCCAGCTACTGTACACTCACCGGCTAAGACCATTAGGCCACAATCGGTAGGGGGTAGTGAAGAAGACGAACCTGTCACAAGTGCCCCAACTGTTACGTCTACTCAACGCGGAAGCCCGCAGAAACCTGGCAATCAGGCAACACCAGCAACACGTAAACCTAGAAAGATAAGGAAACCGGATACACCGGTGGAAGAAAAAGTGGACGAAGAATTAGAGGAGCTCTTCCCCGAGACTGAACGAGTGCACCGCCCTGGGAAAGATGCTAGACACGAGAAGGAAGTTGTAGAAGTCTCTGAAGTCTCTGATGTTGAAAGGGAGTCGGATGAATACGAGGAGCCAGAGCCCGAAGAGGGGCTAAATCCCACCCCTCGACCTATTGCGAGATATCCGTCACCCAAGCATGTACAGCGTGTCAAACCTTCCTCCGAAAAGCCATCACGTAAGCGCCAGAAGTTCTCCGGACCTAGACAAGCCATTTCAGTCATGCGTATCAAAGGGTCAACAGTACGTGGTATCACAGTGGCCGACACAACACGTACGATTCTGGAAGAGACTATCGACCATCGTCTCAACCGCATTGCCGAGAAAATACAAACGTCGTCAGATGTGGCACAGAGAAAAGCCTTGCGCAGCGAGATCAATCTGTCACTCTCGTTCAAAGAAAGCCTGAATGAGAAGCTGCTCGACCTACAGGACGCTAATGATGTCCTAAGCATAAACTTGAAGAAAATGAAGCTTTTCAAACGCGATAACGCCGAGCTAAGGAAGGACATCCTCGCCCTCCAGAACAATAGACAGGAGGTTGCATTAGAGCACGACGACGTCCAAGCGGAGTTTGAAGCTGAGAAGGCGATAGTTGAAACGAGAAATACGCTGAGCGCCAACATGTTTGATATTGAAGCTGCGATTCAAAATGGCCGCGAGAGTGCACGCAAAGAGGGCAGAGAGGACGAAGGTCCGGAAATTCCACTAAGCATGTTACTTGAGACGGTGGGGGGAGATGTTGGATCATTCGGTGGTGGTTTATTAAGCAACGTCAAGGGGTTCAATGGCCTTTTGGAGCGAGCTGCTGGATGGTTAGAAGGCAGGGCTTGAATCGTTTTCTTGTCGACGCGGTCATTTGGTTAAGACCACTTTGGTTTTAGGTTGCATTTCGTTCATGGGATACCCGGCAATATTGCCAATGGAAGGATGGAGTTTATTGCACTTCTAACTCTAATTTGATCTCAGCACTGGAATTGTAGTCCATATCGTCTATGCCCCATCACCAGTACCAGTCTGGCTGGAGAAGTGCACTATTTCGGAGGGTTAATTGAGGCTGACTCAGCGTACTGGTTGCCCTGTCCACGGACCGTGATGAAAGACCTCTCAACTCCTCTACATTGTGATCGTACGACTCTATTGTCCACAATGCCTTCACTCATCAAGTCTTGCCTCTATATCTCATCACCTCATCCTATCCAATTTCTAAATTCTCTCACAACCACCGGAGCAATCGTTCAACATGCACAACCTCACACTTGAAAGCCTGCCTACTGCTCGTGCTGCGATGGCGCCTGTCACATCTGATTCGAACAATACAGCACTCCATCTGTTCATCATTATATTCATATTCTTGTCCCTGTCACTGCTCGCGCACGCTTTAGCTTATTGCTCAGAGCCCGACGTAGATGTCGAAGCAGCAACTGTAGCAGATATGACCCCTATTGTCTGTGATGGCATTCATGAGGGGGGGCTACTAGAAAATAGCGATGGGGAGTCTTTGCCTGAATACTCCGAGATGGATCTGTATGGCGCACCGGTGTACAAGGACACCGACGAGCGTGAGTCGGGGGTATGGAATGTGGCGACGATGTCGATGATGGGGATCTCACGAGCTTACTGGATGCGTAGCCGAGTGTTCCTTCGTGGTGAGCTGCTAATAGTCAGCGCAGCATTACATCCTCTTGGGAACGTTTAGTCCATTCATTTGTGAGCGACTGAGTGGGTTCACTTCTTGAAGTACGACCACAGATTGGCGGTAGCTCAAAAGGTAGTCCCGGGGCGTAGGCGCTCTGAAGTCTTTCTGTTTTGACCCCACAAAATATCATGTTATTCTCTCCCCATCTTTTACTTTTCTTAATGAGATTGCGAGTCTGTATTCCTAAAGCTTTAAGTACATCGATTTAGGGTACTGATAATGTCCTACAGCAACCTTCTTTTATCGTAGTATCACCATGATTCACTCAATCTTTCATTGACTCGAGTAACATATTATTTTTCGTCTCGCACTATCCACGTGCCACTACAACGCGAATGGGTTCACACTAGAATATGGCGCCTGTACCAACCCAAAAAAGAAAGCGCTCGTTCGCACTCCGCTCCGCGGTACATTCTGTCTTTCGTTCCAGTACGTTTATCTAGACCATTCAATCTATACATGGCCAGCATTTTCCAATTTAGGTTTCACAGGTGGACTTAGCCACTCGAAGCCAAACTGGACGACAACTCTTTCTCCTTCGTTTGTGCTGCACATTGCCTTCATCTAAGCCATTACCACTACGCTGCGTAGGACTTAGTCCTTCACAGCGACTCTAGTGAAGGAGAGGTTCCGAATTCAAAGACATAGGCATACATCGGCGAAGCGACGATGCGCTCGATGAGTACGTGCTTATGCATTGATAGAACTGCTCGATAGGGATGCCAAACAGATTCAGGCGGATCCAGTTGAGTAAGCTAGGCAGTTGCGTTGAGGATCGATGTCTGACATTCAATGCCACATAGAGTTTTGCCACTCGAATTTGTCTCAATACCCAAGTATGGGATCGCAAACTCCGGACATTGTAACTAGAGAGAGGAAGCCAAGGAAGCCAGTAGCAGAATTGTTATCTCAAGAGGTCCGTTTCCAGCTCAACACAAAGGCATGACACATCGACGATTAGAGCGCTCTTTTTGTAGGTCACCATGATCGCTTGCGACTCTTCGATGGTAATTTGGTTAATTGGTATATGTTTCAGTGCTCAAGCCGTCCCCGGTACCCAGTCTCTTTCCAATCGCCACCGTGCTACAAACCTGAGACATATTCCCGCCCCTTTGAATTCATACATCTCGTAAACCTCTCCTTGCACTATAGATACTCCAAAACTCACTTGGTATCCTCTCAGCTAAATTCCTTCAGTCTAAGATGCCCAGTCGAGGAACTCTACAGCTCTTCAAGCGTTCCAGCACCGGGCTACCACTCAATAAGCCGCCATCACCGCCGCTATCTTTTACCGACCTCCCGGAATACGAACCTGAAACGTCAGAATTGCCACAAAAGTCGAACGGTGTTCTCTCCTTGTTCAACCCTGGTACATTCCCTATGCACAAGAGGTGTTCTGAGAGAATACAGCCCTCAACACCTCCTGCTTCGCCCATATATGAGAGGCCGCTGCTAGCGGGACGATCAAAGACTGCCCCAGCGACATGCCAACACAGATTTGGAAGCGTGCCAGAGATGGAGTACACAAATATGTCTATCAAAAGGAGGAAAGCAGCACACGGTCGAGTGAACGGCATGAGAAACTCTCTGGGATTGAATGTTTTGAAGGAATCAGCGGATGGGATGATCACGTCGGCTGCCGCTGAACCACCGAAGCTTAGCACAACAAGGGAACCGGCATCCTGCGAAGAGACCGAGGCAATGAACACGGCGACGACAGAGCCGCATCGGCGTCGCAGGAGCACTACAGGCAGTATCGACCACTACTACGACCACGACCACGACCACGACACTGTCAACTCACCATACTCCTCTCTTCTTCTTCTCCAGGCATACTTCCACTAAGTTTCACCGAACTTACTGCTAGTTCCGCTACTTCACTTTCTGCTCATACGCATTCGGTGCCGTGTGAGTGATGCTCTAGCACATTAGCAAGCATTATCGACATCAACAGACAGGATTTAGTATAAGGTGAATGATCATGGGCTGAAGCGTGGGGATTTTGTGTACATCATCTTTGTTAAAGGTGGTGAGATTGATGTAGCTTGGTGTGAGAGATGCGATGAATAGACGACAGGTGCAAAGGTTAGAGTTAGCTTTTGTTACGGTAAAGACTTATTTACGAAGCAAGCTAGTCTCCTAGTCTTTAGCTAATAGAAAAGCGATCTGGAATTTGCGAAAGCTAGACCCTTTTTTCACCTGACGGAATGTCGATTTTTGTCAATCCTCAATAGAAATCAATATAATCACAAACATCTCCGCACTCAAAGTACCTTCACAGGACCAGCGATAGCTCACCAAGGGCGTAGGCGCTTTGTAAATTCTCTTATCAATTCTCATAAATACGTTCCCGAAATCGCGATGCAAGGACAAGGCTCCCCTCTTACCCGAAGAAGTAAGCGACTAGTCATCACTGCATCTTACCCGCTGCACCATTTGCTTACTCAACTCCACAGAAGTATTACTTTAGCACTACCTGTAATGTCACCATCCTCCCTCTTCTCTTCGCACTGTAACACAATCATCAAGGAAATCTAATTTCCTATTCATCCATCACTTCCTCTAGTCACTCGATTCTTAAGCATAATTCAAAGAATCAATCAAATCTCATCCCTCGACGATGACGACCCAAGCCCACGCCATCACCCTCACAAAACTCAACCTATCCGCCATATTCGGCGAGAAGGATGTTCAAACTCGCCTGAAAACCATAGCAGATCTCTGGGTCTCGAGTCCAGAAGTCTTCTTCCTCGACTCACTGGGTGTTTTCAAGAGTCACGAAGCGATTAGTGGAATGGTGGGTACAGTTCAAGGGTTTGGCGGGCCGGACGATGAATTCGTGGAGCTGAGTACGTGAACAAATCGTAACTGAAGATATATGAAGATAAAAAAGTGTTGACAAGGCAGGGGAGTATTAGAATGAGTGACGCACGATGTGCTAATGCTTGGATAGGTGAAGTAGAGACGTTGAAGCACGACGAGGAAGATGATGTTTGGGTCACGAGGGTGAAATGGGGTGTCGGATCTCCTGGAGGCGAGCTGGCACTGACGGGGTGGGATGTTGTGACGATAGTTGGCGGAAAAATCAAGGCCTGTTATACCTTCTTGGATTCAAAATAGCTGAGGATGTTGTGTTCTGGCGAGAGGGAGCCAATCTCAAAATGAGTATTCAACGCAGCATTACCATGAGAGTCGTTCGCTCCCAATGCGCTCGCTGCTTTTCTCTCGTTCCGCAGTAGGTCTTTCGTCATTGCCTTCCTCCAGCACCTCGATGACACCTCCGATACCATCTTTGAGTCCAGTGAGCTTGGAGCGTTCCCTTATACGTGTATAGAATACAGGACAGTCCCTACTGTCACACTTAATCTCCCCGCCCCACGCGAGGTTGGAGCAGCTTCGACAGACCATTTCGACTTCTGTAGCACGAACCTCACTCTTCCATATCCTATCCTTGAGCGCCAATAGTGAGCGTGCTGGTCGGCGTAGGCATTTAGAGCATAGAGGCAGCATGGCCAATGCATCGATATCGATACCTGGGAGGTACGGAGGAGCAGGTGGCAGTTTCGCGCGGCAAACAATGCACGCAGAACTCTTCATGTAACTCTCTAACGTCTTCTTGAGAGACACTGTACCACCAGACGCGAGTAAATTTCCAGCCTCTTGCCTCGCAGTAATAGGAAGTGTAATATTACGAATCCGTTGAGTCTTCGGCATTTCATCGTACCACTGCCTCACATTCGCCCCAACAAGGTTGAAGATCCTCTCCAGTGGCGGAATCAGGTTTTTGCTAATATAATACTCTGCATCAAGTTCGAGGTGGTCGTTCTGCAATAATGTCTCCGGACTCACGCAGCGGTCGATGAGACGTGCTCCAGGCGCACCAGTAATGACAACGTAGGGTATGCGCTCACCGTACTGAGGCTCCGTGCGCGGATCGGCGAGCATGCGCTTCGTAGCAATAAGCGCGCCTGGCGGTGGCTGGCCGCGGTCGGAGTATGTGCCTAGTTTGACTTCTTTCGCGAAGAGGAAGTCTTGGAGACTGATGCGACCTTCCATGATCTTTGCACATTGTTCTTGGAAGTACCGCTTCACTTGACTAAGATCACTTGTTCGGAAAAGGATCTTCAGGGCTCGCTCTTCGATCTTCTGTTCTGCGGGTGTGCCATCTCTACGCACTGTCTCGATACCTTTTGCGTCGAAGTCGGGCTCCTTTTGGTTTCTTGACTCGTACTTGAAGCCTACGTAGCGCTTCTTGGCTAGAAGGACGCAGGGATGATATACCTTCTCAAATTTGAGCTTAATGGGTCGTGGGTTTGCTGCAGTGACGGCTGCGGCGATCTCCTCGCCGATGGTAAATGCTTGATCGCGTGTGCGTCCTTTGAGGTATACGAAGATGGAATCTGTATCTCCATATACAACTTCGGCGCCCCATTTCTCGGTAGCGTGAATGAGGGCAATGGCCTTCTCGAGAGTTTCGCGCCCCGTCTGGACGATGCTATCTGCAATCTCGGAGCAAGGGAGGCGGCCTGAGAAGGATGCTGATGTATATCCGTAAGTGACGTTTGCTAGTAGCTTAAGGGCTAACTGTCTATTATGGAGCAGCTGTTGTAGAGTCTTGTCATCTTTATCCTGCTTCATCCCGCTTTTGACCATAACACGAGTCTCCAAGATTTCACCCAACATCTTAGCTAATAGCGACTTGCGCATCTCTGGCTTAACGTACATCATGCCATTGGGCGCGATGTTGATATGGTCTTTGACAAGCTCTAGTAGCTGAGGTTCGCGCTTGAAGTCCATGAACCCCATCTTATTGCGGCCTCGCCAGCTAACGATGCGTCCGAGACATGTCGAGTAGCAGAAATTGTAAGCTATCATGACGCTAGGGTAGAGCGACTGGAAGTCCAAGACTAGCAAAGGGCTGGAATAGAATGCGCTTTGTGGCTCCATCACTAGTGGTAAGCACTCAAGAGCGTTTTGCTGGCCGACCTGTTTCCGACTAGGGGAAACTAGAATGAAATTCTCAGGCTTCGCGATGCGAAACATGGTGGATTCGACCTTGAATTGCGAGCCTCGCGAAATGACGGAGAAGAAGTCTACCCCGAGGAGGCGAGCTTGTTCACTAGTACGTGGTACGATTTCATTGGCCTCCAGTATGTCGAGATTAAGCTGCACGCGGGTAACAAAGTGATCTAGAACCTTTGACAGATCTCGCGGCTTGTTGCTCGTGTACCAGGTTGTGAGATCCGAGTGCTGATAATGCGGTATACGCTTGTGGAGGAGATGAAACACAACGTTTTCCATCGTATACTGTAGGAGATTCAATTCTCCACGCATCGCTCTCCATATATTGATCATATGGCGGCCAGTAACTCGGATCGTCGATGTATGCGTGAAGCCCCAGCGATCAGCTTCCTTGCCAAACCTGCCATGAGATTGCGACTTCATCCTGCTGATCTCGTCGCAGAGATTGTACTCGAACTTCATCCTTGCGCGCTCGATGAGGTAACCCCAAGACCCGTTGTGTACCTCGTAACCAGTAAGAATATCCGGATCGAATTGGCGAACGATATCCACGATGCGATTAATGAGGTCAAGCTCATCTTCCTCATACTCGACCTCTACTGAAACTTGTTTGGCCATTCGCTCGGCAATGCCATGTTCGTCCGAGAGACAGAGTATGCCGACACGCGGGCGAGCAGTAGTCACGTTCTTCTCGCCTTGCACTGTCCAAAATATACATTGAATTTCATCCTCGGCGGGATCTGGCACCAAAGACCCGCGTGAGTTGACATGCACCTCAAGGCTCATAATGCTCATGTATTGAGTCTCGTGTTTGACACTCGTGGACTTCTTCTTCTGCGAGAATTTGAAGCCATGCTTATTCTTCTGTGTAGGGCCATCGATCTGCGAGAGATGCTTTGATATTTTTGTCTTTTGCGGCCTCAGTGCTTGTTTCTGTTCGGTATTTGATGCAAGTTTGACCACTTCGAATTGTTTTCTCTCTTGTAGCAGCCAACTTTCCACTGCTTTGAAAGATGGTGGAGGATTTGAGATCTCCCAATGGCGTAAGTTACACCGTTGCGATCTCGCTCGATGTACAGCGGCTTCTTTATTCTTGTCTACCACAACAGGCGGATGCTCTCCAATGTTGGCGGCAGATGTACCTGTTAGGTCGAATGGAGGAAGATAAGGCAGTGTGGTGCTCTGTAGCTTGAACTCTCGCCCAGCATACTCACGCGAGCGATCTGGTACGTCTTTTTCATCACTGTAATAGGCGTCCTGGTAGATTACAGGTGGAAGGCCGGCATGCATTATAGTACTATCGACCAAATCAGCCGAAGGAGGTAGATGCCCGTAATATACGGCCGAGCAGCGATGGTTGAAAGACTCGCTCAACTGCTCTGTTATGGCAACGGCCTCAGACCGGGATTTTGGACTGTTGCTGCTCGCCAATGCGGACGAGGTCTTGTGATACGTCCAAGGAGTCACCGGGGACTGCTGTGAGAGTCTAACCGTGAGATTCTTAGGCCGGGGTGTCTTGAGAGTTTCTTGCGAGTTTGAGAAGCCTGACTGACTGAGACGGAGAACTGTTTCAGGTGCATTTGTGTTCTTCACCACGGGAAACGAACGTGTTGTGGGTCCGCCAACTCCCTGTGCTTTGATACTTGTTTGTGACAACAGGCTGGGCTGCGAAGCGCGCGCGTGCTGTTTACCTTCTTCGCTAACGGCATCGTGGGATGAAACGCGTTTAGCACTTCCCTGGGTTGCAGCTAGTATCCTTTGTCGTTTGACAGAATCTTCGTACGATGGCTCAGAATGTCGTTTCCGTGTGTTGTTCGAATCGCGAGATCCGGTAGGGGCCCCGTCGTCGCCTGGGCCAGCAATGCGTTCATCAATGAGCTCATCCTCCGTAGTCCTCTCGCCAGAGCCTTGGAGTAGAGACACTGTCAAAGGGTCCAGTGATTGCTGCTCTTCTGTGTCGGACTGATTTTCTGCCTCTGCCTCATCTCCAGCTGGTGCATTTCCAACAGAAGGCTCACCGTGCTGCACGATATTCTCAGGTAGTACAATTGGTATGTTTTCACCCACCTCCTGTTGATTAAGCTCGAGCCGTTGCTCTTGGCTGTCGTCTGGAAGCTGTTGAGTCAACAGGTTCTCCGGATACAAGTCTTCAATGCTTTCTACGGCGGTCTTGAGGGCCTCTAGACCTTCGATTGGTTTCACGAAGGTATCGAATTTCACGTCTGATTTCTGGCGTCGTTCTTCCTTGATCAGTTCTGCTACAAGATCGCGATATTCCTCTTCATGTATCCATCCACCCTTTTCAGCATTCCTGGGATCTGCAGACATGGATACAAGGACTTCAGCAGGGAAGGGGCTACTTGAGGGATTGGTGAGACCCATGCGAAGCTTGCGCCGGCGCGTCTCATCCCTCCACAATCCAGCCATGGATGGGACATATTTGTCGTCTGGATTTCTAGGCATCTGGCTCGACCGCTCCAGGAAATCGTGGTGAATGGGTCGGTATTGAAGCTCGTGCCGGTTCAGGATGTCCTGGACGCAGATATCGACCTCGAGCGTGCAATGGCTCTGTCGTGGGTACTGACCCTCTTCCGCAATAAACTCGTCAGGAATAGAAGCATCATGCCACATGTGGAGGTCTATATCTACCTCGTCGCTGTCGGGGAGGGGGCCGCGGAACTGGACTTTTGCGCAGTCGATATAGCCACATCCATACAGATTGTAGTCACACATCCACTGTAGCAGGTACTGCAAGTGGCTCTCGTATGGTTGAAAGGCGCGGTTCATGATGGCTCCTTGATGTAACAGGTCTGCGAACCGGGTCATATGCATTGGATTGAGCATGTAGACCTTCAGGAAGACTTTGTACCCGACATTGTATCCATAAAAGGGCACGCCTTTAACCAGGGTAATATGCCCGACGTATACAGACTTTCCATCGTATGCGTTTCGTCGGTAGGTCGCAGCAAGGGCATGATCAATCGAGGCTCGGAGGGCAAGGATATATGCAGTCACTATACGAAAGTTAACATACAGATCAGAATAAGAGACACGCCCGCTTACCGGCATCTTTCTCCAAGCTCCCGCTGTACTCCAAGTACAGATAAGGTAGCGCTCCATGAATATGAGCGCACACCTTCTGCCCAGTCTCGGTCGCACCAAAAGCTCGAATGACCGGAACCTGAGGCGCACCCTGGCGCTGAGATGGACCTGTATTACGTCGGAGGACTGGATCGAGGTCTGTCGGCGTGGCCTGGTAGTTGTCGATACAGTTCAAGCGGAAGCGGAACGTCTCCATGACGGCACGGCTCGATGGTAGGATATATGCCGAAAGGATAGGTGCCGCATCATGTTCATGGGAGATATCCAAGGCCAATACGCGCCAAAATGAGGCACAGCAGACGCGCAGAGTGAAAGCGTACGTGGATGCACAACACAGAAGCGCGCCGGAATGCTTCGCGTGGTCCCGTGAGATCGGCCGCCTAGCCTGCAGCCCTACGCCGCTAGCTCTCCACATTCGCCGCCAACCCGAACACTTCGACAATCGCCAACTTTCACAACCTTGTAGCGCTCGCAGTACTTCGATACTCGCCCAGCATGCCGCCAGCACAGCCAAAGAAGCCGGACGTGTCCGCCGCCGCAAAGGAGCGCAACGAGTACATTCCCTCTTTCATCTCGAAGAAGCCCTTCTACGCTGTCGACGAGACTGGCGAAGACAACAGCGATTACCTCGAGCATCAACGTCTGCAGAAACAAGAGCAAGACTCGAAATGGTACGACCGCGGGAAGAAGCTCGGCCCGGCAGCGACCAAGTTCCGTAAAGGCGCCTGCGAGAACTGCGGAGCCATGACCCACAAGAAGAAGGACTGCTTGAGTAGGCCGCGGAAGCAGGGCGCCAAGTTCACCGGCAAGAATATCGAGGCCGATGAGGTTATCCAGGACGTACAGCTAGGCTTCGATGCGAAGCGCGACCGCTGGAATGGCTACGACAACTCCCATTTTGAGGAGGTCATCGAAGAGTACAATGCAATGGAGGACATGCGCAAGAAGACCAAAGAGGCTGAAAGGGACGAGGGAAAGTCTGACGAGGAAGACGAGGGCGACAAGTACGACGCCGAGACAGACATGGGGAGGAAGCAGGCCACATCTACACGAAATCTGCGGTTACGAGAGGACACAGCGAAATACCTGCTCAATCTTGACCTCGATTCGGCAAAGTACGATCCCAAGACACGATCTATGGTTGACAGCGGTGCAACTGCAGACGATGCAGCCAAGCTGGTAGCAGAGGAGGGCTTCCAGCGTGCATCAGGCGATGCGGCAGAGTTTGAGAAGGCACAACGGTACGCCTGGGAAACACAGGAACGTGGAGACAAGAACAAGCTGCATCTGCAGGCCAATCCTACTTCCGGTGAGGTCATGCGGAAGAAGGAATTGTTAGAGGCGGAAGAGATGGCGGCAGCCCGAAAGAAGGCTTTGGCGGAGAAGTACGGCACCCAGGAGAAGTTTACCGACGATACACTACGCAAGACTGCTGTCACCGAGAACGAGAGATATGTCGAATACGACGAGCGAGGAGGCATCAAAGGAGCCCCAAAGGTCAAGGCAAAATCAAAGTATCCAGAAGATATACTGCTGAACAATCACACATCAGTCTGGGGCAGCTGGTGGTCAAATTTCCAATGGGGCTTTGCTTGCTGTCATTCAGTGGTCAGGAACTCATATTGTACGGGCGACGCAGGCAAGGAGGCTTTTGAGTTGGCAGATCGTATGCGAACTGGCGCTGAACTAGACGAGGTGCCCAAGGCTGTGGCCTGGAAAGAGGACGAGGCTCTTGAAGCGCACGTGCCGAACGCGCCCAACCGCGACCAAACCGCGAGACAAGACGCTGCCAGTCGGAAGCGGGCTTTGGATGAGATGATGGGTGGAGCAAACGAAGATGAGATGGAAGAGTATAGGCGGAAACGGACAATCGCCGCTGATCCCATGGCAGCGTATCTCGCAAGGGGAGGTAAAAGTGAGGCGGTTTAGCACCTTGAAGCTACATGCCGTTCGTCCAAGGCATAGTTTTGTGTATTCCTAGCATTTGGTGGCGTTTATACCCTGGAGCTGCATCTCCGCATCAACATGTAGAATGACATCGGAGTTCCTGACAATCCAATGCGTTGTCCTGCATCATCGGTATGGTTCAAGGGTCTCAGGAAGCCCTATTTGTGAAGTTGCACTTGTCGGCCCTCCATGACAGCTGCCAACACACCGTGAAGATGATTACGCTGCAGCCGCGCGTATGCGTTGTATACGGCGAGGCAGCAGCATGGACATGGGCGCAAAGGCTTCTTGTGGCTAATGGATGACGAAGCTCCGCTATATGCCAAGGCCCTGCACCAACCACCAGATGGCGTCCAGGGTCTCGAGCTCTTGGGAGAGTTGACTGATGAACAGCACACCATTCACCCCCACGGGTTTTGCTGGGCTTTTCTCTGGTTTGCGCCTACTTTGACACCGTCACCCCGCATTTCTCCACCTCGAACGTAGTTGTAAACCGCTGCGGATAGCTCAGGCAGAGAGCATCGACCGTCCAAATGGCGCACTACGGAAGTTCGCGCAATGTCGACATGGGCAAGTATGTGGACTACCCTCTCTACCAGATCTTTCTAGGCTCTAACCTTGGGATCAGGCAGGAGGCAGAGCTTGCCATTAACATCCGCAAAGCAACGAGTGTCGAGGAAATCTCACCAAAGCGTACGTCTGCACCCTCGACATGGGGTGACCGAAGCTTATGTTTCTGTAGGGAAGCACGTACGAGCATGCATTGTGTATACATGGGATCACAAGAGCGCAGCCTCGTTCTGGCAGGGCATGAAAGTGTAGGTTGACCTCTGTTCCATACAACTCATGCTAACTGAGAGCCCAGCCAGCCAATCCTCGCCGACGAAGTCCAGACGTTCAAGGCCCTCATCACCGTTCACAAGGTCCTCCAAGAAGGCCATCCTACTGCGCTCAGGGAAGCACAACAACACACTAGCTGGATTGAGAGCTTGTCGCGGGGTTCAGCAGGTGGAGAGGGCATGCGAGGCTACGCGCCGCTCATCTCAGAGTACATCTACTACCTGCTGGCTAAGCTGGCTTTCCACCGACAACATCCAGAATTCAATGGTACGACAGCCCGTAAGAAGATCTGGGTAACAAACTGATTCTGGGCAGGCACCTTCGAATACGAGGAATACATCAGCTTGAAGTCAATCAATGACCCCAACGAGGGATACGAGACCATTTCGGACTTGATGACCCTGCAGGATCAGATCGATGCCTTTCAAAAGCTCATCTTTTCGCACTTTCGAAGCGGTGCGAACAACGAGTGTAGGATATCCGCACTGGTTCCGCTGGTGCAAGAGAGCTATGGTATCTACAAGTTCATCACCAGCATGCTTCGCGCTATGCACACTAGTAAGTCCTCAGAGCTCAATTGGGTCATTCCTGCGACTAAATAATGTAGCCCTTGGTGACGACGAGGCGCTCTCCCCCCTTCGCGGTCGATACGACGCGCAGCACTACCGTCTGGTGAAATTCTACTACGAGTGCTCGAATCTCCGATATTTGACGAGTTTGATTACAGTGCCTAAGCTGCCCCAAGAACCACCGAACCTGCTTTCTGAGGATGAGAGTGCGCCAGCGCTTCCTACGAGACCAAGAAACGAAGAGCCGGCTCCGGCACCGCGCGCACCTTCAGTCGACCCTGAACCCATCAACGAGTTCTGGAAGGACAATCAGAAGAGACAACAAGAGGAATACGAGGCGGAGCAGCGCAGGCTACAACAGCAATGGGAAGATGCTCAGCTCCAACAACAACAGCAGGCTGTCCAAGCACAGCGGGATTTCGAGGAGCAACAGAGGCTGCAAGCCGAGCAGGCTCGTTTGGCACAAGAGCAACTTATGCGCGAGCAATATCAGCAGCAGACACAAGGCCACCTCGCGGAGCTCGAGCGGGAGAACCTAAATGCGCGTGCGCAGTATGAGCGGGACCAGCTGATGCTGCAGCAATACGACCAGAGGATGAAGGCTCTTGAGGGCGAGATCAATCAAATGAATCAGAACTTCCAGCAACAAATGGGATCGCGAGATGATCAGATCCGGGCGCTTCAAGAACAGCTGAACACGTGGAGATCGAAGTACGAGTCACTGGCCAAGCTCTATTCGCAGCTGCGACACGAGCATCTTCAACTGCTACAGAAGTTCAAGGCCGTTCAGCTCAAGGCAAATTCTGCCCAAGAGGCTATTGACGGGCGGGACAGGCTACAACGAGAGCTGAAGACGAAGAATCTCGAGCTGGCCGACATGATCCGCGAGCGCGACCGAGCGCTTATGGAGAAGGACCGAAGCACTGGCGGACAGCGCGAGGAAGTCGAGAAACTAAAGCGCGAGCTGCGTGCTGCTCTAGACCGAGCCGACAATTCTGAACGCGGAAAGGGTTCTGAGCTTTCAGCGATGCTGTCAAGGCATAATAGAGAAATTGCGGATCTCGAGGAAGCGTTGCGAAACAAAACTCGTGCTCTTGATGACTTCCAGATGAAGTATCGCGAAGGGGATTCAGATCTTGAACGTCAGTTACGCGAAAAGGAAGAAGAGCTCGAGATCTTCCGCGCAGGCATGGATCAGACACTGCTCGAATTGAATGAGCTCAAGCTGAACGCGAACGCAAATGACAATGTTCTAGATGGACATTTGGACACCCTTATCCAGGATAGCCTCCAGAAGATCAACGACATCATCGACTCAGTCTTGCAAAGCGGTGTTCAGCGGGTTGATGATGCACTGTACGAGCTCGACTCTTCTATGCAGGCCGGAAACCAGAACGCTACGGGTCCGTTCGTGCTTTCACAGATCGAGAAGGCATCGACATGCACCATGGAGTTCTCGACAGCGTTCAATAACTTCATCGCAGACGGGCCTAACGCCAAGCATGCTGAAGTCATTAATGCTGTCAACAACTTCGGAGGTTCAATTGTCGACGTGCTCGTAAACACCAAGGGACTCACTCGATTTGCGTCGGACGAGAACAAGGCCGATCAACTTATCAATGGCGCACGGGCGTCCGCAACATCCACCATCAGGTTCTTCCGCAACGTGCAATCAGTGCGAATGTACGATCTTGATGCCGAGCAGAAGATCAACGTTGTCATTAACAACAGCACTGAAGTTGTCCGCAACTTGCAGAGTCTATCAAAGCTAGCGGACGCGTTTGCTCCCAAGAGCAAAATCACCAACGCTTCCGGCGACCTCGGCGACTTGGTTGATAGCGAAATGACCAAGGCCGCCAACGCTATCGATGCTGCTACAGAGCGTCTATCCAAGCTCATGAAGAAGCCGCGGGACCAATACTCCACCTATGAGCTCCAGATCCACGACTCAATTCTGGAGGCGGCCATCGCCGTCACAAACGCCATTGCTCAACTCATTAAAGCGGCCACCGTGTCGCAACAGGAAATCGTACGCGAAGGCCGCGGCTCCATGTCCAAGACTCAATTCTACAAAAAGCACAACCGCTGGACCGAGGGCCTTATCAGCGCCGCCAAAGCCGTCGCAAACTCCACGAATATGCTCATCGAAACTGCCGACGGTGTGATCTCCGGCCGCAACTCGCCTGAGCAGCTCATCGTCGCGTCTAACGACGTCGCTGCGTCTACCGCTCAGCTGGTCGCGGCTAGTCGTGTGAAGGCCAGCTTCATGAGCAAGACGCAAGATCGATTGGAGAGCGCGAGTAAGACCGTTACAGGGGCTTGTCGTGCGCTCGTCAGGCAAGTCCAGGAGATCATTGCGCAGAAAAACAGGGATGAGGGCGAGGTTGTGGATTATAGCAAGTTGGGTGATCATGAGTTCAAGGTTCGGCAGATGGAGCAGCAGGTACGTTATACGAACACTTTTGAAACGCGAGGGGCCGTGCTAATGTGGTTGTTTAGGTTGAGATTCTGCAGCTTGAGAACTCGCTGGCTCAGGCTAGGACGAGGCTGGGTGAGATGCGGAAGCTTTCCTACCTTGAGGAATAAGCTTGTCGAATGTCACATAGCTAGCGCGCGATTCTTCGTAGATATGTTGGTCACATCGTCTTGGTTTGGAAGTATGCTTGGGAGGTTGCTTGGGAGGTTGTATTTGTCTTGAGACTCTTCAGTGGGTGGAAAGGGCCCGAAGTGGCTCCCTTCTACACCAATACCATATTGAATTCCTTTCTCATATCAATGCATCCTTCATGGTCACTTCTCATTATCTCCCAGAGCTACACACGCTTCATCTTTTCTACTTGAACACCCCCCTGTTCTAGCATCTACAATGCCGTGAACCCAACAGCAATGTGGATATCCCATCTCAAGTAAGCGCCGGACTCCGAATCTTTGACTGCATCCTGCCGCCTCTGCTCAACCTCGTATACACTCCAACACCCCGCAGTCTCGCTTTAGCCATATTCTTCAGTCCGCCTAGAACCGCGCCAACGCCAATCTCTGTGAACTCTCTCCTCAACTCCACAAATCTATCCGTACTAATGACAACCATATGCACACCCTTTAGCACCGCGCCTCCAAACAAGTCTTTGAAGTCTGGAGAACTGTATCCGAAGCGCTTAGTCGGGCTAGTGTTGAGCTGAATCTGCGCCGCAGTCAGCGCATGGCTTGACGAAGAAGCCTCCAGGAAACCCCCTCGCAACCCAGAAGTCGCATTCAGTCCAGGTAATCGCCCCACAAGGCTTTAAAAACGTCAGTATATTTTTTAACGCTGACTCCCAGAAGGAGATGGAGCCCAACGAGATGATGAGTCTAATGTCAACGAGATCGAACTTTCCGCGCAGGTCTTCTGGAATGGGTTTCTTGAAGTCAAGAAAGGCCGGTTTGACATTTGAGGTAGCGAGTCCAGTGCGAGGAATTGCTAGTTTGAGATATCAAAGCCTTCGAAGGAGTGGGTTTGCGGGGACACTGTTGCTAGGTCCGCAAGCCAGATACCAGTTCCGGTCGCTATGTCTGCGATTTTTGTGTTGTCTGGAAGTTTCTCTTAGGCTGAGGGGTATAGCAGGTACCCTATGCTCCTGGTGTATGTGAGTTAGTAGGGATGGCATGGATGTTGGTTGCGGGATGTTTATCATGTAGTACGCAATTGATGTAGATGCCGTGTTGTTCTACGAGGCACTGTTGCTCTTCTGAAGCTCTTCCTAGCCAATATGGCTCGTCGCCAGTTGAGGTTGCTGTTCCGGAGCTGTAGGACATGGTGTTTGTCGGGTGTGGCAGATACTAGTACATCCCACACTCGATTACTCAATCACTACCTCTGTCGCCTAAACGAACGTTGTATCCGGGTGTGGCGTGCATCTCTACCTTTGATTGCATGAAACACCAGGACGGCAGATGAATGTTCGAGGCTGGTGAGCACGATATCTCTGCCACTAGATCTGCTGCTTGCCTCCGGTGCAATTATCGATAGCAATTGTGCACATCGTGGGCGACCTGTGATAGACATAGGTCGGATCGGCGTCAAAGGGTATCGCAGAGATCCTATGCCCCGCAGCTAAGACATCCCAGCAATTTGTTGATAAGATCGTGGATTTCATCCGCAAAATTAGAAAACGCAGTACCAAATCCGACAAAACAGAACCATGGGAGGAATTACGATAGATTTACTGATACAAATTTAACAGTTTGATTTTGCTCCCGTAGAATAAAGATGCGTAGGTGAGAGCTCGTGTTTCTTCAGACCACAAACCTGAAAGATGATCACCCTCGCCTAACCACTCCAGACCGCCGGACCTGGAGGTGTGTACGAAGTTGGAACAGGATAGTAGATGTTCAATTGAATGCCAGGATCAGACGGCTTGTAAGCACCGGGAAAGCTAACCAGCGGTCCAGGGTTACCATTGCCACCGTTCTCAACCTTCAGCTGCGCGCAGGAGATGTAGAATTGCGCGCCGTTAGCACCAGAGGCGCTATGCAGGGCGATGTGCTCGACACGGAGAAGATACTCGCCTGAAGGAAGGGACTTGGGGAGAGGGACGGTGACTTGTTGCTTGCCTAGAGTAAGGTATCAGCATCCACTCTGCGAACTTGATCGAAACCATGTTGAACTCGGGGGCAGAGATAGTGATCTGAGAGCTTACCGCTCGATTGCCATGTCATTTTACCACTGGAGAATGTAGCTCCCTGCGAATATATTTTGAACCACACATTTCCGCTTCCATCCCAAGTGTCCGCAGTCTTTCCTGCCGGTACCTTAGCTAGGTAGAATTGAAGTGGGCCTGGATGGGAAATTGAAGCCGCTGCGGTAAATCCGACTGTGTCTCCTGCACTAACAGTGTACGTCTTCGACCCTGTACCGGGAGAGAGCTCGTAGCAACGGATAGCATTAGAGGATACATCGGTTGCGGGGCCTATTCAAATATTAGAATGTGTTGCAAGGGAGTGTTTACGAGGTAGGATGGGAGAAGAACGGACCGTTTGACTGGTAGTTCGTAGTCTTGCGAACGTAGGACCATAAACCAGTCTTCTGGCTTCCTACAATGAGTTCAGGGAATGTGTAGTGCGCGCTGGCTGTGCTAGCGAAAACGAGGAGGGACACGAAGAGTGACTTCATCCTGACTGGCCAAGACGTATCCTTGAGTGAAATAGATGGAAGATGATCGTGGTACAGAGCTCCTAGCGGAAACACGAGAGCTACCAACACCCCTTTATATATACTTTTCCCGCAAGTCTACCGAGTCCGCCACGCACCCGGAATCCCTATATGAATATACCATGCACCCCACTAAGGCGCGTGGTACTTCATTATCCATACCGCGTCATGCCCAATAAGTCAGTGCCGGCGGGTAAAAATGCCAAAGTCTGTGTCCTTGCAGAGCTTGAACGTTGAAACGCTGAGCCTAGTGATATTAATTCATGAGAAACAATAAAGCATGTAGATGAAATTGGTGGTCCATAGGCTCGGTGATTGGTCCATAGCCATGTCGGTACTCGAAACGCATGACCCGGCACATACATTGCTTGGGCGTTTCGCGAGCATGGTAGATTACCCTGTTCACGCCCTAGTCTTTCTGGCACCAGGGAGCAGTGATCACGCAGCGATGGCGACAGCGTGAATTATCTGGCAGAGTGTACTTGCAAATGTGACCGTTGATACATTGACTTGGAGATACGAAAGGATGGTGGCATGGCGTGAGCATAAAGAAGGACAAAGTAGGCAAGTGCGTAATGCTTACATAAAATTGGCACAAAAAGTATGTCTTTCGAATGCGGCCATTTAGATGCGTATTGATGAAATATGTACAACGAAGATATTGAAACAGGTACCTGTTGGTCGACATGTTAGCGGTGACGAGCCGGAAACCAGGAGCATAATTCTCCCATCGAGTGCATACTGCCACTGTGTTTACTGTACATGGAATCGCGGTGTAAGGTGGCAGACTCACAAACATAGTAAGCTGATGCCTTCCCTAAACTCTCCGCACCGCTTCATCTTCAAGCTCGCCAACTTCGTAGTACAGATCCTCGTCATCTATCTCAGAGTACCCGAACAGGCTGCGATACACTCGTTCTCCTAAGCCCTTCTTCTGAGCCATCGCTAATACCATCACAACCGGAAGATGCCAGACACTGGCCCAGAACAATGCCCTTGCCGTTCCCTTGTGTCCATTCGCCCTCCAAAAGTGCCACGCCTTCATGGCCATCCAGCCATTGATAGCGCTGCTGGTGACAATGAAACTCCAGTCTGTGACGCCGCAATATGACAGGCCAATGCAAACTGGGAACATGAGGATAGCATATCGCAATGCTACGCGCCCGTTCTGTGCAGGGTTCACCCAGGCTAACATGCGATAGCCAGCGTTCTTATACTCTTCGCGAATAGACCAACTCAGCGCATTGAAGTGAGGGAATTGCCAGGCGAACAGAAGCGCAGCACAGAGCCAGCCGCCAGCGGAGCCCTCCCCAAACAGCAGCTCTTCCCATGTCCCATCATGCGCATACTGGCTTGCTGCGGCCGTCCAGCCCATCAGCGGAGGAATCCCTCCTACTATTGCGCCAACCCATGTATTGAGCACTGACATGCGTTTCATTGGAGTGTATACGCCCGCGTAGAGGAGGATGTTCGCTGCGCCAAGGAAGGCGGTGGTAGGGTTGACGCCGTAGTACAAAGCGCCGGTGCCCACAATTCCACACGCTACGGCGAAGACGATGGCGCCTCGTGTGCTGATGAGTTTTCGGACGAGCGGTCGATTGCGCGTGCGGCTCATTTGTGCATCGAATTTGGGTTCCATGAGCATATTGAAGGCATTTGCAGATGCTGAGCATAGCGCTGTGCCAGATGTGAGGAATAGCAATGTAAGCGTCGAGAGGGACGACGTGGACGTTGCAGCGGGTGCAAGCAGCTCAGGCACTGGGTATAACGAGTATGCGGCGGTCGATGTGAGGACGACTAGGAAAGAGAGGCGCGGTTTCGACAGCGAGAGGTAAGTAGTGAATACCCGCTTGAGGGATCGCTGCGGAAGACTGGAAGATAGTGTTGCTAGCTTCGACGATGCATCTGGCGCGATAGGGTATGCGGTTTCGGGGTTTTCCACTGCCTGCTCTTTTGCCTTCTTTCTCCGCCTATGAGGAAGGATCTGTTCTGCCGATGCTGTAGCTGTAGCTGTAGCTGGCTCCTTTGTCGCTTGATGTCCTGCTCCTGGCCCGACAGCGCCAATTGAGCTCTGCAATTCTCGTCTTGAACTCCAGAATGTCTCCTTGAGTATTGGATTGGCCCGGAAGTATTCCTTGCTGAATGTATTCCTGCTCTTCCCGCCAACTACCGCGCCTTGGTTATGCGACCGAATCGTGGAAAACGGCTGCCTCGAAGGCGTTGGCGTTCGAGCGAACCTTCGCCAGCATCGTACACATACTGTGTTTGCATCTTGTATCGCAATTGACCGCGAAATAGCCGGTCGAAAGCTCATGGCGGCATGGAGATGGGCTTCATTGAGGCGGCGCGCATGAGGTGATACTTTTTGGCCTGCACCCTTCGCCAAGCCACGCGGACCGAGACATGCTACTGTCCACTCAGACGATGGGCATTAGCACAAGTCATGGGCATTAATTGTAGAGCAGAAATCGACGACCGACGATAAAAGAGACGAGCACGGTGTTTCAAGATGGATGCAGGTTCCCCCTTGCCACTATCTCCCAGGTCTCTCTCTCTTCGGACATGACGTCTCACTTTCCTTCTCCTCATGTCTGTTGATTGCCCCGCCATCCATACAGCACAGCAGAGCTTCACGACACCTTGGTCCAACTTTCAGATATTCAAGGGAACAGTATGCGAACATCGCAAAAGCCTTGTCTCGTCTCGCGTTGGCCAGTACGACTCTTTTCTAAAGCCGAGGCGTAGATTACCATCCTTGGGATGGAAAAGCCCCCGAGGCTTAGCAGTCACCGATACATAAGATGAGACGCATACACGCATCCATGATCCCATTGTCAGCTCTTCCGCATACGCATGCGAAGATGTCCCCAATAACATGGCTTGAGAAGCAGTGGCATGCTGTGGGCACAAGGCGCAGGCTGCTATGCACAGCCATGGTTCTGGGGCTGAAAACGCCCCCATCTATCCAACACAAGAGGCCGTGCGGACAACAAGGCTGCGACCGCGAGCTATACTAAATAGAGGGCATTCATCTGTAATCGTTATACTGTCGAGATACTCGACTCAACATGCCAGAACCGGTGGGGCCCGTTGTATCGACCACCACCATTGGTAGTGTCGCTGCCACTGCAGCCCAGCTCTCACTCGATCTATTCACCGTCGACCAGAACTTCAAGAGTGTTCCTCGAGAGATTGCTGAAATAGCCGACGGCATATCATCGCTTTCCGGAACCCTCGTGACACTCGCGGATCTTATGGATGCCCATCAGGACCTTTGTACACCTGCCCTATTCCAAAACACCACAGTAGTCCTTGTGCGATACAACCAGGTGGCTGCCGAGTTGAGAAAACTCATAGACTCCCCTCAAAATCTGACAAGGCTGAAGTGGTGCATTAAGCGACCAAAGACAAAGGGCTAACTCAAGAAGGTAGAAGGTATCAAAACAGCCTTCACATTACAATTGAATATTATTCGTGTTGCAAGAGAAGAAATCACTCGATCGTAAGTGACTTTAGAAATGCACCCACTGGTGCGCACACATATGGCTAACGCGAGTCAGACAAACAGACCACACTTCAGCAGGCCGAGCTCTTCACAGGCCGAATCGGTTCCGCACGATCGTAGAAAGCGACGTTCAAGCCAATCGGCAAGTTGTAGAGAGTGCGCAGCGTGTCGATGTTGCGAACAGCACCTGGCAACGTCGAAACCTTCATAAAGAGGTGGACATGTGGACAAAAGGTTCTTTCGATACCGCAACCTGGCTGTACCATCTGGTATTCAGCCCACGGATACCAATTCCCCCGGTCCTGCCCGTCGTCGCCCGCCAGCTACAAAATCAAGCATATGTTTCCGATGAAAGCACCGAGCATGCTGAAGACTTCTCACAGGGACCTTTGGAGCAGAGCGTAGTACCAAATTCCGGGTCTTCCGTCGCTGTAGATAAAGCCATGATCATCTGGGGCGGGCAAACAGAGCCTAGCGCGGTGGTGGACAGGTTGCTGTTCTCGTGGACCACACTGACTGCAGATCAAATCAGTCAAAGTTCCATACGACATAACGACTGGAGGGAGACGTTCCTCAAAATCGTCAATGAAGCTAAAGAGGAGGAAGACGCAGAAATCTCCGAAATATGAAAGGAGGGAAGGACATGACACTTCTGGAAGTTCAGAGGATGAAGATTTCAAGAGCGCGGATGAACACACTCAGCGACCTATTAAGAGTTCGAAAAGCAATGCCGCCAGGGTTTTGTCGGCGACATCAGACAATGAGTGGAATGCGCGAAGGACAGAAAGCAATTACCAGCGAAACGACCGATACAGCAAAGGTGATAAAACGTACGAGCGCCTACGGCGAAAGGTCAAGTTTGAAGAGGACGAGACACCAATTCAAGATGCCTGGACACAGTCTCCTTATTCAGGGCCTGGGGTTGAGATGTACGCACCTTCTCAATCACATAGTGCAGCGTCTCAGCCTTCTCGGGTCTTTACTATTGGCGGGGCAAGCAACCAGCATTACACTTCATACGATGGGACATTGGGCAATGATTTCCACAGGAGGTCGGCCCCCATCCAGGTTCCTGGAACCAACGTCTCAGATCCATCTTTCTCATCATGTAACCCTTTTGCTTCGTCTACTTTCCATACCGACTCTAGTGCACCGCTCCCTGCACCTGGCCGTCCTGCAACACGGGAATGGTCAGTCTCGACCCCCAGTCAACAGCCAATGTGCTGTCCTCCTGATCTAACTGGTCCTTCTCACTCCTGGTCAGTAAATGACCAATAACAATCTGCAGCTTTGATTACGCCATCAAAAGAGGACGCCATTATTGCTGCCATAGAAAAGCTTCTTGATGTGCGAGGAAAAGAACAGAAATCTGAAGTCGAGGACCCTCGATTGTCGAAAATCATGCAGTTGCTTGTCGCACAACAAGAGTATTACGACGAGTCCGAGAAAGCGACAGCGAAGGCAGCTGCTGACTTAGAGCTCAAACAGGCCCAAGCAGCTCGTGAAATAGTTGACGAAAAGATACAGAGACTTGAGAGTCTCATTATGCGACAGGGCGAAGAGCAGTTGAAGGCTAAGGCGGTGTTGCGTGCTGAGCAGAGCGCCCGGAACGAGATGGCTGCAAGTCTAGCACACGCAAAAGAGAGGGCAAAAGAAGAAGCAGAAGCACGGGCGAAGGATGAATTAAAGACGATTGAAGAAGACTATGCACGTCGGGTCGAACGCTACGAGCAGCTTATAGAAGCCGCAAGCTCTAAAATAAAAGAACAACACCACCAACCTATTGGACCATTCCCGGTTCGTCGCACATGCGTTGCTGAGGGCAATCGCAGTGTTGAGGTAGTCGAGTACACGACCGATAACTTAGAGCCGCTGGCAAATACGCCACTCTCGCCGTTCGGGTCCACCCAGGAACATATACTCGGGCCGAATTTTGATCGAAAGCATAGTGCTGACCGTTTCCGCCATGATACCTTTCACGGGTCCGCTGCCACCATGAGATCGTCAAGTAGCATGAGCACTTCAAGTACAACACCGAATACTCAGCATATGATATTGTTTTCTTTGAACAGCGATCAAAATTCTGCAAGGACATTAAAATTACAGGCTTTGCTTGCAGAGTCTGGGGTCGAAGCCGTTTTTGACGGAACAGAGGAGACTAGGCGTGGTAAATTAACGAGGTATGACCGTAGAAACGATGACCTTGTCCGGAGTACGATCTTTTGGGAACCTCCTGTGTTAGGCCTTGCAAGTGAGCTCTTGTTCACTATGAGGAAGGCTGGTTGGAAGCCGTGGTACTTTCGTTGCTCTGGTAAGCCAAGTACGAGGCAAGTCTAGGATTGAGTAACTTATCTGTGGCAGATGCTGGCCAAACATTCTTCCTCGGCAGTCAGCCCATACATTCGTATATCTTCTGGCCAGACTTCAAGCCGCAGTTTACAGCACTATCAACATCGTCGTCTAATCAATCTGTCATCATCAGCTCAGCGCTGGTAGATAAACCCGCCATGGAGCAACTTGGCTTCCAATTTCGTGTTGATGATGCTGGTGCTTATGTTCTTGATGGAAGATTGACAGTAGTGAGTTTTACTCCACGCAATATTTCCCGAGCAAGCTCACCATGCACAGAACGACATTGAAGATTTGGTCGAGCGCTCATTTTCAATACGCGAAACTTATCTCAGAAGATTGCATCGGCAGCTGCAATGGGACGGCAGTCCAGACGTTAACACATCTACCGATAAAAGCTTTGCGCCTTCTATGAGATCGAACACACCCGTGTATGTGACCCAGCGTTGTACACCATGCTCCAACACAGATACAAAGCACCGGCCACCTTCGATCGAAGTTCCCCAAACGAATCGACTAGACGTGGAGCGCTTTCTAATACCTGATTCCGAAGAAGGCGATCTTCCGTATTCGAGAAGGGGTAGCACATCCACTGAGTCACCTTCTGTCGCATGCTGGTCGTCGAAGCTCACCAACAACCCATTCCGCCAGCATATGTCTAAAATGAAAGAGAATGCCGATGTGACGTGATAGTGTGCAAATCACGACATAGAGTATCTAAGATAATCCAATGTCTCTCTAGATTGAACTGGAGCTCCGACTGGCGATTAGAGTTGTAATGTACCTAATGATCAAGAGCTAAGGCAGGCTTGGTATTGTGTGTTGCGGTGGCTAGACGTTGATTGCGCTTCCAATACGGGGTTTCCGGTCCTACGGCAACAGTGTGCACTTATAGAGGTTCTCAGGGAATCCCGCCAACGCGGACGATTGCGAGTCTCGGTTAGACTTGGTTAAGGACTACCCAATACCTGAGATGATGTGATATGGTAGGGTGATCGAGGTGCTCAACAATATGGCGTAGAGGCGGCTGATCGTTGACTAACATACTAAATGTTATAAAATGAACCATTAACATGGGGGAGATCGAATTCGATTGGTGTGCCGGTGGCACCTTTCCCTCGTGTGGGTGCATGAAACAATTTGAGTCGAACGAAAGAGAATCGGAGGCGACTTGAGCGATCGATCGAACATCTAGTAGGATAGCTCGGACCTTTACCGGCCTTGCTTCCTCCAAGGGACTACTAACACCTTTCCTTCGGAATCCTTCCCGGTACAAGTACCGCGATCTGCCAAGTTCTGTGGAGAGGTGTGGAGCCCTACTGTGGAATGCTTCTACGCTAAATCCATGCCTTCAGGTGCCCAATACCGTACCACAGTTGCAGTCGAAAGGGGAGATTTACACATAAGTTCATAAAACTACTGCGTGGGCGTGTAAACATGGTAGCAGAAAAGCAATTCAGTCTGCCTCTTCTTATATCTCTACGTTCATCCTGTTCATTTTACCTGGCAATGTTGGGCTTGAAACATGCCGCTCGGCGAATTATCGATTTCTCAAATTCGCTCCCTGACGTCATCGACGACCTACCAAAGCAGCTTGCAGGGTAGCTCGTTTCCATCTTCAAACTTCACATACTCACGCTTTTGCACAAACTAGGAGGTAAAACTTCTCCCTCGCAATATTTCAAACAAGTAGGCTAACATGTCCAGAGATGAGTGGCGAAGTTGGAGGCGCAAAGAAGGTCCGAATAACACTCGCCACAGTTCTAGACCCTATAGACCCTCTAGACTCGCGATAGCCCGGCTCGCAAAACAAACACCTCTGACGTTGCTGCGTTTACAGATCGCAAATGGCAATTGCAACAATCCACACGCTACTACTCTGAGTTCATGGTAGCTATGGAGGATCCGCTCCCTCCATTGGGTGCCCCCAAGCCCGTCGCCGACTGGAGACGAGAGCGCGATGTCTTTGATCTTTACGCGGCCTTCCAGGAGATACCAAGAATCGATAATCTTGGTTGCTCTCCGGACACCCATTCGTTTCCCGACGATTTTGTTCCGAGACCAGCATCAGATGCCTCGTTGGCCGCTTTCGCTCAGTTGGCAGCAATGCGATTACAGGCCCAACGCAGCATGATCAGTTTACTCGATGGCCAATACCAGTACATCTTGGCTGAAGCAACCCCCAAGACCTCGTTAAGATTCGACTCGCCTCTCAACAAGAACCTTGATATCTTGCTTGGCAACGTGCGGATTCCCCGCAACTGGGGCCTTTGCGAGAGGGTCTTGGATCCGTTCGCCTTAGCAGAAGGAGATCCGGGAATCATTATCATCAAAGATCTTTCCCAGAGTCGGCTTCATGAAAATCGGTCCTATGTCAAAGAAGGTCCGAAATTCCGTTTCTATGCTGGAGTACCTATCACAAGTCTAAATGGTACAATCGTAGGATCAATGTGTATCTTTGATGGACCCGAGAGGAGTGGGATGTTACCAGACGACATCGCGTATCTAAAAGATCTTGCTGCTACAGTCATGGAGTATTTGGTCACGTACACTTTGAAGGATCAGCACCGGCGAGGGGCAGAGGGGTTACACGGGCTCTTGTCGTTCGCGGAAGGAGACTCGAAGATAGGGCCATTCATAGAGCGTCGCTACCCTCCAGAGCCGTCACTTAAAACCGACTCTAAAACGAAAATCACGGGAGGTACCCCAACCAACGAGGAACGTAAGCAAAATCCTCCGGTCGAAGATGGCGTCGATCAGCCGCGTACTGCATCTCTTCCCCCCAAGAGAGGGAGGTCTGAGCGGCGCAGCTCTGTAGGCGATTTGCAGGACAAAATAGTACCAAACACTATTAGGGAATTGTTCGCGCGAGCTTCCGATATCATGCGGAGATCAAATGATATGGATGGTGTCATGTTCCTCGACGCCTCTGTCGCAGCTACTGGGTATCATGGCGGAGGGAAAACACCGACTCGAACAAGGTTAGTAACTACTTAGCTAATTTGTGCATGATTTCGTAAGAGCCTTGGGACAATTCATTAATTCACAATGACCAGACTGTGTAGCTGACCGTGCACAGTGGGAAACAGTGTCAACTTCTCGGCTTCGCAACACAGGATGGATCCACTCTCAAAGGTGACTCCATGTCAGCCAATATGATACCCGATGAGGCAAACTTCGCGTGGCTGCTCAAGCGGTACCCTCATGGTTATAGTCTGGACTGCGATGAAGGACAGCTCCAGTCCTGGAGTGACGAGGAGGGTCCGTTGATGGACCCGTTGAGTCCGGCAGAACGTACGTGAAGCGCATATCCTGAGTACTCTTCAATTGGCAACATTTTTCAGTCCTTTGAAAAAGCCATCCGGGGGTCTCGGTAGCAGGATCACCTCACAAGCCCAGTTTTTCTACGCTTCGCCTTCCTTGTTTCCTCCCTTGTTACACACTTTGCTGACCTTTCCGCGAATTCAAGCTATCCACATGGACGAGACTGAGCAAGAATCGATCAGCAAAAGAGTACAACATGTCTTAAGAATCAAGGCCCTTTTCCCTAACATCAAAAGCGCTCTATTTCTGCCTCTGTGGAATTTTGAGCATAATCGGTGGTTTGCTGGATGCTTTTGCTGGTCCAGGAGAGCCGAACGTAACCTGAGTGGTCCATTGGAACTACCCTTCCTGAAAGCTTTCGGTCATTCCATCATGCAGGAGGTCGCTAGGATCGATGCCATAAAGACAAGTCAAGTCAAAACGACCTTCCTATCATCATTATCACACGAACTACGTTCTCCGCTAGTATGTAACCCCCCTTTACCTTTCTGTTTAAAGTTTTATATGGACTAACCTGGGTACCCCCCACCTAGCACGGTATTCTCGGCTCCATACAACTCATGCGAAGTACGACTCTTGATAGCTTCCAGTTCTCTATGGTCAATTCGATCGCTGTATGTGGAAGGACGTTACTGGAGACAGTGCAACATCTACTTGAACATGCGGAGCGTAAAGAACCTAGCCAGAACGTCTCTAAAAGGACTTTCCCAGCAGAAAATACAGTCTGCATCTCCTCCGATGTACCAGCTTTGGATCTGTCCCACGATTCGACCGTCCCAACACCAGTTTGCAATATCGGTCTCGTTACAGAAGAGGTTATCGAAACGATGTTTCTCGGGCAGGGTCGTTATGATGTTGCTTTAGCTGGAGGTGATGTCCCGGGAGCTCCTGTCAATCCGTCATCCAAAAGCGAGATTGCTCACCGCAGGAGCCGATTCATTGTGATTGATATTGGGGACTACGCGAATCTCGACTTCTCCATTCCAGCCAGTTTATATGGGAGACTCATTATGAATATCCTCGGAAACGCGTTGAAATTCACCGAATCTGGTTACATTCTGGTGTGGCTTCGCTCTGACGCTGCGGAAGCATCAAGAGCGTCCGTGACGCTCAAGATCAATGACTCGGGAATTGGAATCTCCCAAGAGTTCTTGTTCAATGAGGCTTTCGAACCATTTCGTAAACATAATCCACACTCTGCGGGCACCGGCGTAGGCCTTAATGTCGTTCAACGAATCATCGAGGATATTGGCGGATCAGTAGAGATCACGAGCCACCCCGGCAAAGGCACCGACGTCACCTTGAGGCTCCCTCTGGAGCGGAACAAGAGAGTGGAAAATCCTGGCTCACCACATAACTTGATTCTTGCTAGTCTCTCGCAATTGAAGAGCCGGAAAATCTGCATACTTCACTCCAAACCACCGGATGAGAATGGCCCTCCTGAAGGCCTACGGCACTGGCAAATGCTGACGCGCTATATAGATGCAATATCTTCAACATTGCAAGATGAGCTAAAAATGATCGTTACTAAAACGAGTGAATGGGACGGACATGATGAGTCTGATGTAGTTGTATGTCCAGAGGTGTTTTTCGAAGGTCTGCAGGCGATCCGTAGTGCTATGCATCGAAGACCTCCGGCCACACTTTTTATTGCTATGGATACCTTGGAAGCCGATACTTTGCGCTGCGATGCCAGGGTAACGAGCAAATCTTCTATCGTTGAAGTCATGACACAACCGTATGTTTTAATCTTACGTGTTGAAGACAATTGCTAACATGCTAAAGGTGCGGTCCGTACAAGATAGGTATGGCAATCAGCCAGTGTTTGAAACGATACGACGGACCAAGCGCCGGCCCTTTCAAGGAATTGGACACATCATTTGAGTCTGTTGCCAGCGCGAATGGGTCCCAGCTTGTCTCCCAGCTTGGTGGCCCACGACTAGAATTGTGTACTCCAATAGCTTTCCGTTCGAAAAAGGACTCGTCCGACAGTGGGAATTATCTTGCTGAGGAGCCCACCTTGCCACCTCCAAATGCGTTCCTCAACGAACCTGAAAACACGCAGTTGCCCAAAACAGAGGATTCAACCGAAACCCAGCAAATCTTGATTGTAGATGACAACGCAATTAACCGAAGGCTATTATCTGTCTTTATGAAAAAGAAGAAGCTCCCATTCAAAGAAGCTAAGGATGGACTGCAAGCGTTGGAAACGTACAAGGAGAGCGATGGAAAGTTCGACGTCATTCTGATGGATATTTCGATGTAAGAATATGTTATGTGGAAACTAGGTATAACACATATACTGACATCTTCTAGGCCGGTAATGGACGGAATGACGAGCACGCGCCTGATTCGCGAACACGAGAGCGATTTGAACCTCAAACCTGTGCATATCATTGCCTTGACAGGCTTGACATCTGCGAGCGCGAGACTGGAGGCTTGGACAAGCGGGGTCGACGACTTCCTCACGAAGCCCGTGGACTTCAAGCAGTTGGAGAGTTTGATGGAAGCTGGGAGAGATAGTGAAGAAACAGGCTTCTCAAATGAGCAAAGCACGAAGAACGTTGATGAGAAGCTACCTTAGCTGGACAGCATGGATATCCACCTCTACGTATGATATCTATGACACAGTCGTAAGAGCGGATTCCGCGGCACTGAATGACTGCTTCGTGTGCATCATATCAATCTGTTGCATAGCAATAAGATGTCACGAGCACACGTACACCTGCATATCATAAAACTTTCGGCGCCCTGTTAGGTCCAATGGTGGAAGAAAGAAATGAATCCAGTATCTTTCGACCCTTGCTCGCAGCGCGTTGACGCGGCCCATAAAGCAGAGATGTGCTGCAGAAAAAGGGCAGATATACAGGTCGCTGATAACATCTAGGGGGAGATCAGATATGCGGAGGGAGCAGAATGAGGTTGAACGGGGAAATATAATGACCATAGCAAGAAGACGATGGTACGAGTGGACCGACAAGGTCTGTTAGTATTTAGTCACACTCTGGAAGGGCAGCTACGGCTGTTTGTAGATGCTACAGTTGTTTACATTCTCACGTTGTTTAACAGCCATTAAACACAGCCTTACCATATCACTACAGTTGTTCAGCCCCAGGTGTCATATTATGACTATACATCAGACGCGGTCATTCATACCACAACATCAGCAAGTGCCTCACTTATAGAGACGTTGAGAATCGTGAAAAGAGTGTACAGATAACCCTTATAGAGTAGTGACTGTAGGAGCTGATGCATGTGCATCTACCCTTTGCCCGCGTGGCAGTGTAAAGAAAGCTTGGCTAGATTGCTTGGCGTATTTTGGGAGCCTTCAACTCCAATAACTTGACGTATATTTGGGGCGGAAGCTTGTTAGTTTGTTCTGGCCACTTTTGAGAGAAAGGATCGTGCTTTCACTTGGCATCACGACGTTCAGCTCTGTGCGCTTCTCAGGCCATCTACCCATCCATAACCAGAGTGGACATGCAGCACCAGACCCCCAGCTTTCTTAGATTAACCATGCGGAACTTGATCTTAGACCTAGACCACCTCGCAAGTCACCAAGTATGTAGACCAAATGCAGACCCGATTAAATTGTGTCTATGGAAAAGTGACATACACGGCCTTCTTCGCAACACTGCGCCACAGCTTTGATGCGTTTCCCGAAGAATATAGGGAGATGCTTCCTAAGCCGTTGTATGCGGGATACGTTGTACGGTCCGCAGCTTTCTCGCGTCTTCAATATTCGCGCCGATTGCTTCCTCCCCGTAAATCGCGGTATAGACACCGTCCAGTTTATAGAGTCAGAGATGCCGTTAAAGCGTCCGTTTTTGTAACAAGGTGTGTGTGCCGAACGCAGAAGTCATGCACCCCTCCGTCTCCACCAGCGAACCACTTAGGCCCGGTAAAGGGAGAGTTCGAAGGCGGATAGGGAGGGCTGCTCAGCGGGTACACGCTAGGCTTTCATCATCTGGAGTTGTTGTTAGTGGAGTTTGAGACGCGAGGTGAGGTGTGTGGTGGCTTACTTGAGTTAAACTGGAAGGATGAGGAAGGAAAGTGGGTTTGGGGAGCAGCAAGTTTTTGAGGTGCGCGAGCTTGGGCCAACGCTTGGCAAAGATTCACAGCTTTGGCTCCGCGAGATGTCAGCCGTTACCTTTCCCATCGTTAGATTGATTGAGGCTTTGAGCTTGTTTCTGGTGAGATATGAGCTTCATACATGCTTCAAGGCTTGTCACAAACCGCAGTACCTGCTTATGCAGCTCATATGCTGAGATATCGAGATTCTTCCGGACACGCCATCACGGGATCACCCCAAGCCGTGCAGCATCATGTTCCCGCAATGCAACACGATGCTTTTCGAGCTCCACGCCCTTTTACGATAAAATTGAGCCGGATGAGACCCTACGAAAAACCCTCGATGACTTCAAAGCCACTAGTATGTTCATCATCGAAGTTAGGCCACTTGTACTCACCTGTCACAGTCCGTTCTAGTGCTTGGCAGCAACTCGACAAAGCATGGAATGCCGAGAAGATATCGACTGATACAGCTGGAAAAGAGATAGAACTGTTTGGCTATATCAGTACGCGAAGAGACGTTAACAAGAAGCTCTCGTTCACTATGCTCCGCAATAAGAACCAATCACGGTGTATTCAACTCGTATCCACATCAAACGCGGAAGGCGAAGAAGCAGACGCTCATGTTCGCATGAGATCGCTTAGGGAGTGGACGCCTGTTGTGGTGCGAGGAAGACTCGTGAATCGTCAACCGGCGAAAGATGATACCTATCTGGGCATGAATCTGATCAACACACGGGAGATCGCAGTGCAGCACGTTGAACCGCTCAATTATATACCAAACGATATCATCATCAAGCAAGACACTGTCTTTGGCCCTGACCAGCGGCATCTGCAGCTACGGACCGACCAAGAATTGCGCTCAAATATCATCTTGAGATCGAAGGCAATCAATAGGGCGAGGTTACATCTGACCGAGCTGGACTGGAAAGAGATTGAAACTCCCATTCTTTTCAAATCTACGCCCGAAGGCGCGCGCGAGTTCCTTGTACCAACACGACAGAAGGGGTTGGCGTACGCACTGCCGCAGAGTCCCCAGCAATACAAACAGATCCTCATGGCTTCTGGTTTTACGAGATACTTTCAATTTGCACGATGTTTTCGTGATGAGGATTTGAGGGCTGATAGACAGCCAGAGTTCACTCAGGTCAGAAAACATAACACTTTTTTGGAGCGGGCGGCTAATGCGTGCGTAGCTTGATATGGAGATGTCTTTCGCTGGCGAAGAAGACGTCATGGCCGAGATTGAGAAGCTATTGAGAAATCTTTGGTACAAAATACTCAAACAGAAGGTCCCGACCACATTCCCACGAATGACTTATCACGAAGCAATGTCTTCGTATGGAGTAGACAAACCTGACCTACGATACAAGGCGAAGGTACGTCCAGGTTCTTTGCGTCTCTTCAAACCGAAACTGATATCAATAGATACACTCCATCACTCAACACCTGCCAGCAGATCTTATCAGCAAGATCACACCCCTCCAAACCCCAGCTATTGAAGCGCTCAAATTAGCAATCTCCTCGGATCCTAAGACGACCCGTAAATTCATCTCCGACTTCCTCGACAGTCCAGACGGGAAACCCTACCTAGACAACCGCGACGGTCAACCCGGCGTCTTCGTGGGCGACCTCTCCCAGCCCATGCAAGGCCTTGGACCTCTCGGGTATCAATACGTAATGGAAGGCCCAGAAGCTCTTGCCGTCGAACATGGCGACCTCTTGATTCTGCAAGCGCGCCCGGACGGCCCATTCTCAGGCGGGTCTACCACCCTCGGAAACCTACGTCTCGCCTTGTACAAAACAGCCATAGCCCAAGGCTTGATCGAGCCCCCGGCGAGGCACGACTACCAATTTGTTTGGATCATAGACTTCCCGTTGTTTAGCCCTAACAATGATACTGATCCTGGTCAAGGCGGTGCGGCAGGCTTCTCATCAACCCATCACCCCTTCACCGCCCCTAAAACACCTCAGGACGTCGAGTTACTTCTCACCTCGCCCTCTTCCGCCACAGCAGCACACTACGATATCGTCGTCAATGGGATCGAACTTGGTGGCGGTAGTCGCCGGATTCACAACGCCGCTATGCAGGAATTTATCTTTAGAGACATACTTAAAATGAAGCCGGAGCGCATTGAGGACTTCAGACATCTATTGGATGTGCTAAGATCAGGGTGTCCACCACATGCGGGCATTGCATTAGGCTGGGATCGACTGATGACGATCATGTGTGGGAGGGAGAGTGTGAGGGATGTTATTGCGTTTCCGAAGAGTGGGAAGGGGGAGGACCTGCTCGTTAAGAGTCCGAATGCGATGACTGGGGAGCAGTTAGATACTTACCATTTGGGGTTGAAGGACTAAATTGGGTGATGCTTATGGGTATAGGTGATACGAGACACGTAAATATTTCCTTGCATTTGTAGTCGCATTGTAGACTGCTTGATCGGCGTACTATGTATCATAGTTGTAAGATATATGTAAAATAGAAGCATAAGCGGGCACAATAGAATCTGAGTAATGTATTGTAGCTCGGCTTTCGTTTGTTCGCCTTCCCAACTAGCACTTTTCAGTCCACTACTCCGGTCCTTTGTCACTAGCTAAAATAAAGTAAGCAGATAGGCTTTATTTAGAAACCGAACCTCCCACCTTGTTGCGCTAAGCCCTGTATCTCAGTCCTACACGGAAAAGATCTTAATATGTACACCTTGTTCTTGTCACCTGGCACAGTTCGTATACAGTCAGCGGCACTTTCGCTATACTAACAAATCACATCTGCATCGCGGTATGACCAAAGTAACTATAAGACAAGACGATGCGTCAGCATCGAGATGAGGGTACTACGTAAGACCAAATCTGATATCCTAGTAGTTTGATATAAGGGTGGTGCTCTGTTGAGCGGGCGTAGATCTATACTTTCTGCGCCGCACACATATGTCGTTACAGAATAGTCATTCTGCTCTCTGTTTTACAATGCTAGCAAGCGCTTATCCCTGTAAGTGTAGCACATAAACCAAGATTGCTGTTATATGCGTGGAGATGACCGATACTGATACGCTCCATTCCGCGAGTTGTGTGGGAAGACTCGATAAACTCATTTTACCGAAGGCGCGAATTTGGAATTTCACATCAAGAGTCCGTTCTCAGAGTGAAGTGGATAATTTTTCCTATTTGATCATGCAGCTTCCCGATTGGCCCATATCTAGTGCTGACTGGTACGACGTTAGCAATACCAGTGCGAATCTTGTACGATTAGTGTTATTACCCGTGGTGCATGCATGCGTGCGGCGCGGGCGCAGACATCTGCATCCGTACTATACACAACAGTCACAATGCTGACATTATGTCCCAGCGGAAAGGTGACCAGTAGGATAGTCTACCCGAAGATGAACGGGCTTCCTGAAACTTATGCCGTAGTTTGGGGAGATGAGATTGGGGCTTATAGCGGAAACATTGGTCCCATACCGTCAGCATGGCCGTGCCGCATCGGCGCTGATTGCGTTACCTCCCCGCATACCATCTAGGCGGGCCGCGCTCCGCGCAGATCATGTTCATGTTGCCGTTGCTCTCCAGCCCAAATAGAGTGGCGAGTCTAGACCTACGAATACCAAAGACAGGCTGCAGTGGGCGGCTAGCCGACAGCTTCCCGTCGTTTCACGACAGTCGGCTCTAGGTATCGGTTGGTGTGCTGGCACGTACAGAAGTGGTAAGACTGGGATAGTTCAATCTGTGCGGATAAATTCTTCGTGGATTCGTACGGGTCGAATTAGTTCAGTGACTTTTCATTTTTTGTCAATGGTCTCCTTGGAAAGACTGTATTACTGCCCATGTAGAAGATAACAACAGGGGAAATGCCGACAGGCGACTAGAGGCTAGGGTGATATGACTTCTCAGATTTAGGGGCCACTTTTGTGCTACTAGTGTTATGAGTGGCCATTAACAAGTTAAAAAGTGAAGCGGTTGACGTTTCACTACATGCGGCTACTCGTGAAGGATTGGGGGGAAAGAGCATGCCGTATGAAATCTCCCGAGGTACGTATGATTACACAAACATCTGGCACATTTATTCGTTGAGGGCTTTCTCCCCCGCCTAAATGAGCCTGGTCGAGAAGTAGTTGATCTGAAGAGCATTCAAGGCCAATGCAGCCACCGAAAATTATGTGTTTCGGCAGTGCTGATCGTATACTCTGAATAGATCATGCGAGTGACATACCTTTCTTCATGGCGGGTGTTGAAGTCGTTCGGTGGCAATGTCACATATCATTGCAGTTTTCATCCGAAAAGATTGCCACTTGTTGCCTAGAGTCCGTAGAAAGAAGTCCGAGGAAAGGGAGAGGCCGGTAGCAAGGAGCAGTAATGTCGTGTAATCTTTCTGGTCGGGAAAATGCACTGGGATCGCGATGTAAACTGGAACGCCAAGCATGACCTTCGCAAATATGACCCATTTTGGCAGCCCAATTTAAGTAAGATGGCATCGTAAACTCGTAGGGTATTGGAGCCCTGCAAAATTTTGTACTCAGTTGCAAGGTATACAAGATGTCCTACCGTTGGCAAATCAAGTATAGAGTAGCCTGCTCCGCCCTGTGCTAGCATTCATACGTACAGTCGGATTCTCTTTACAGATGGTGTGAGCTCGAAAATCAATAGAGGATAGGCCGGGACTAAATTTTTCGAGGGAATCGGTGGCAGTCAAAGGCGTAATGCGTGACCTAGGACCTGAATCAGGCACCCCACCCTCGCTACTTGCAGCTACAGGAAGAGTTGGCTCTGAATCATTTACCACAGGTCAACCTCGGAACCAAAATGGCTTGTACCAAAGACATGGTATTGGTAGGCCTCCTGTGCGTTCCCTTTGTTCGTGGAAGTGGGGTGCCCTTAACTTGTTGAGATATGAAGCTTACATGTCCGCAAGAAATGAAGACATTAGATGAAGTGGTGTGGCTCATGGTCGTTAGTTAAAGATCAGATACACAGAGACTCCTGATCAAAGCGGTATTTCTCGTGCGTCAAATTGCCGCTGCCGAATGGGCGTTATCCAAGGAGCTCCACCCTGCAATCCTTACCTAAGTTATCGTGGCGGGGGCATGATTCGTATCAACTCAACCGGTAGAATCAATACAAACATGAAACCATGCTCTCCTTTGACGCGCTTGCACAGTATGCGTCCCGAGTACATGGATGTGGAGACCTGTCGGCGAGAATCAAGCATACGAGTACCCATGTTTCGAAACAAACGGGCAGCTGCGTCAATTGTATTTCGATACCCAACAAATGTAGTATATGTGTGAATTCTAATAGAAAGTTGGAAATCTGCGCGACGAAAAGCGTAGGGGTGCTTCCACCTATTAAATACAATCTAGATTCGAAAGTATGATATAGTTACATAGTTGGTGAGTACAGCTCGAGAAGTACGCCCGTAAGAGAGAGATGGACAGCTAGAAGTGACAGTCCTGCATTTTTGGTATCTTGGAGTACCATCATAGGTCGAAGTGTAAACCTATTTGCGACATGATATAGTGAAAATATAACAGGCGAGATGATCGAGGGCGGAATAAAGTTTACGGCTTCCCTCCTTCTTTGGTGATCAACCACCTTATTCGTGGAATGGGTGAACGGCGTGGAAGGGGTTGTCCCTGGGGGTGTGGCAGGTTCGGCGTTGACTCACATCCTGGCTAATGCGATGCCATGGAGCTGGAGCCCATGTTGGGAGAAAGAATTGAATTGTGTGAGAGGACTCGTAGGCTTCGTAGGCTGTAAACAGCCGCGGTGGGTAGAATATTAGGCTCATGACGGGCCTTCGACTCACTCCCTAGACAGCGTTTGGACACTTGGGTATCTTCACGTCGATGTTCATCTTGATGCCCTTGACATTGTCTTGTGCGGACTGGCTCGATTGAATATGGGGGAAGCGAGCTAGATGGCTCTCCAACATCTGGAAAGTCTCTGCATATGCCTTCGAAGGCATAGATTCTGGTTCCACGAGTAAGGAGGCGGGGTCGATCGCAATCGGTCTCACAATTGCTAGGTCTTTTGGATTTTCGACGAAGTAGTCACTATCTTTCATAGTGTTTGGATTCTCGGCTTGCTGCATGCCTGCGTCCGAGAACTTCTCGGCCAGTATCTTGCGCAGCACGCGTTCCACTTGTTCATCGGTAGGACCTTGCCAGGCTTGCCGATCTTCTAGATACAAAATGCGCTCATGTAGAGCTCGGAAACATAGCTCAGTCCGGTGCATGAACTCGGTACTATAGTAAGTTAGCAATATGTTCAGTCCTGGACATGAGCTCATGACTCTTACTACCAAGCTGCGATCCGCTCGAATGACCGATTGATATTCTGTAGTTGGAAAGTCCAGGACATCATGTGTTTACAAAAGAGGGGTATGTCTTGAAAAAAAAAATGTCAAATGCTGTAGCGTAAGGTCAGGAATAAGAAGTAAGGTTGCCCAAGAGCGAAGGCTCAGTGTAGGGGCTGAGACAACTGACCAAGGCCAATATCGGAGAACTATAAACCCACCGTCTCGGTGGCACCGTTCGGTATGCAACTGGGTGGGGGGTAAGGCGTCGCATGGCATCGCACAGAGGCGGTATAAATGCATTTCGCTGGCCGGTTGATCAGACGAAAATGCATGACAAAGAGCCAATCAGACTCGGCAGAGGAACTAATGATAGGCGTGACAGGGGAATGCGCCTGAAAAGAAATCGCTCTCCTGGGAAATCTACTTGGGTAAAGGGTCTACTTGGCGGGTAGCAAACCATGCCCGCAGGAATCTCACACGCATGCCGATGCATATGGGGTCATGCTAGTCAGAGGTACAGCAATGAGAGGCTCAGCAAAGGGTTGACGGAACGGCCACGTAAATCCAACACGCAGGGGAAGTGCCACGAAAGAAGTCAAAGGATATGATCGGCAATGCTGAGCGGAAAGAAGCACGGAACTAGCAGTCGGTGGCTTGGCCCGGTGGAGGACCACACGGGTGTATGGTCGAGTAGTTTATGAGGGTATCTCACCTCTTTGCTGGGATGGCAGCGGACAGCGGCGAACAGCGGCGACAAGTAAGACAGCATGAGAGCCAGCGGCGAAGCAAGCAGCAGAGCGAAAGAGGGCGTTTGCGCGGAAGCGGCTTCATCTCCCACCGGCAGTGAATGCATGCAGGCTAGGACGGGCGCGAGGACTGGCGATACGACGGCCCCGTAACGTCGGCGGGACTGGGGTTTTGTGGGCCAAGTCTGACAGGCCTTTGCCCCTCTCCTCTTCCTTGCTTTCCACTCGGCATATCACCTGAGAGCGGGAGACATCTGAAGCGTCTCTTCGATCAGAAGTTGCCGTGCATCGAACGCGAGTGGATGCTGGAATGTTGACGTTGGCGTTATTCTGTCAAGACACCGGGACCCACACCACGACATGTCCGGCCCGGGCCATCCTAAATACTATGTCCGACGCGTCTCGGGACGGCTTCCTATTGACGCCTTCTTCAATACGTACACAGCCACGACTCTGATCGGTGAAGCCCGCAAGCGAGGCAGTCGGCCACGTCACTTGCAGCCTCACGGTCCGCCCAAACACCTGTTCCCACACTTTAACATGCTACCCGGCCCGCAGCCTAGCGAGCCTCTTCAAGCCCATCATGCCTCAAAAGCAAGAGTTGCGTTTTGGCACCCACCATGCCCATATGTCGTGCATATGACAGAATCGGCCCTCTCCATAAAAGGCTTGGTTGCAGAGTCTCGTGGTTCAGCTGCTCAGCCGTAGCCCGAGCACGACACGATCGTGGCATGCTAAAACGAGCTTCCCATTTCCCACACGTCCAGTCATATCGCTTTCCCTGTGACGATGATAGCCTCTACAAGACCTGTGACGGTAGACCTGTACACGATTGGTCAATAGTAGAGGATTCCCAGCCGCTTTTACTATATGGTTGCCAGCTAAATGATCGCCACTTGACCACCTACATCCACATCAGAGCTTGTGACCTGCATTCTTAGACCCGATATGAGTGCAATATGGTACGTCCGCGCAATCGCACCCCGGTAGATTCTTGACCTCAGTAGCATCAACTTCATTCCCAAGCCTTTGAAGTTCGCCTGACAACAAGAAGTAGTCCTGAAGACGACTGTTTTATCCTCTGAGTACAAAGATAATCTCGTGCACTCAACGCTGTGATCGACTCCCCAACCTCATATTTCTTGCCGGTCCACCCGAATTCTGTTCGCTTGGATGAGGTGGCACAGTGCAGTGGGCGATGAGCAGCGACCCTATATAGCAGAGATCAACATGGAACGTTTCTCGAGCTGCAAAAGTGGGACGATGCTAGAAGGCCAGAGCTTGCATTGGCAACACAAGGTCTTTTGGCTTTGTCGATCTCCACCGTAACTCTCTACTGACTGTTTCGGTACAAGGTACTTCGTTAAAATTGCCACGTTGTTGGCCCCTTGACCCCATGTTTCCCTTCTGCAGCCTCCCGAAAATGGTTCACTCAACGTCTCGCTTGACTCACGAGGTCCAGGGCTCATGCGCTTCCTTTCCGATGTTGCGTTCTTCGATGTTGATATATCGATATGAGGGTGACTACGACACCCAATAGGCATTCACGACACCATTCGTAGAGCAGAGAGCGTTGTTCAGCACCACGCAGTCCTCAATTGCGAAGGTCTCTCCGAATCTAACCCTCCCTTACTTCCATCTTACTGGACGACGAGGTTCGAAACATGTCGATTTTCAAATCATCACATTAGCAATGTACCCTTTCACCTCGCTTACAGCAAGAGTGGTTCGATTCTTATCATATTGCCGTTCGGAGAATTAGTCGACCTACAGTCGGGTTCATGTCATCGGCGATCAACCTGCGATCGACACAAACACCGAAGAGCACATGAGTCCATGGTTTCGAACTTCCCATGTCTTCATATGGTCGTCGTCTTCAATAATGGTGCCACTTGTTGGAGGACCCCAAAACTCGGGCGGTACGCCCCACAGTGCGACTTGCGCAACTGGGCCAAGCGCGAAATGGAGTAGATCCCACTGGGTGCCGTCACTCTGGGCCACGCTTTGGTACTGACTGCTTCTATATTCGTCGCATGGGCGTTGCATGCATCGCCCACAGAATGCCAGGGGCGAGACCCTCCTTCGCGTTGCCCCGGTTCATAGTTGCAATAGTTGCAAGGTCCTCTTACTCATGTTCAAGCACGCTTCAGGCAAGACGCGGATTCGATTTGAGTCATGCGGTCTTCGTATCGTTAATCGCGGCTGATTCAAGAAGGGAGGAAGAAACGTCTGCTGGTATGTTATCCTTGGGGGTTTCCAACGATACTCCAATGGTGACATTAGAGTAACGGTCCCAAGTGCAGGCTTCGGCTGACGAGTCATGTTGGCGACCAGAAGATAACAAGAAGAGCCAGCCAGCTTCTATGATTGGAAAAGCGTCATCAGCATGGGGAGCAGTGAATTTGATATCAAGCAACGGCATCTGCCGGCGGTGTATGAGACAAGCCGGATGAATTTCCACTTTGCCAGTCGTTTAGGATTCCGTTTGGTAGTGTCTTGACCGATCAACGCCCTTGCTCCTTCCGAGTCCTTCGTGACAGACCCAGAACAGAGTCTGACCGCTGCTTGACGCCAAACGCGGGTAATCAAACCCAAAAAGCATCAACGAGATCTCAGCCAGTACAAAACGACATGTCAAATGATTGACTTAAATTACTATGTATGTACGAGGTCGACTCGAAACTATGTACAAGCGAAGATAAAGAAGAAGGATGAGTACAAGCTAAGAAAAAGACAGCTATAGGAGCGACAAACGCATCAGCGTACTCCAATTCTTCTGTCGAAAAGAAAACATTCCTCCTCTGACTCAGACTCATGCGTCCGATCCCGATGCGACCAATAACTTCTATCTGAAAAGCTCTATGGCGTCCAGGATAACATTGGGCGAAAGGAAACCACCGCCACCTGCGGCTCCACTCAAGCAGCTGATGGTAATGGTGTTTGATCCACTGACAAGGGTGCCAGCGGGGATCGCATAGTTGTACACCTCACCGAAGCCACGGTAGGCACCTCGCGTGAAGCCACGGGAGTCAATCTTGGTTGGTGTAGCAGGTGCGGCTGCGTTGAAGCTGTTTACTACGACTGCGGGACGGCAGCCAGCGAACGAGAGGGTAGTGCCGACACGAAGAGTTGCAGCTGCGGTATAGGTGTTGGAGAACTTGATAGTCAAGGGGTTGTTGTCTTTGACAAGGGCCATAGGGACACTGTCGAGGCTGCTTGAACCGACGGTGTATGTCAACGGGCCCCATGATGCCATTCGCGAGTCCGACGGATGCATGCGGAGCTGCTTGTCCGCATTTCGGAAGCCCTTGGGTTGGCCGTCCCACTCACCGATCCTCCAAATGGAGGTTTTGGTCTCCGTGTCAGCGGCGATGTTTGCCGTGGTGGTCTTCCCAGCACTGACACTCACGCTCGCAGCCTTGACTTTGAACTCGCCCTGGTAGAGGACCTGGGTATAGGTTCCAGGCTTCATCGCGGGAGAGGTGAACTTGCCTGCGCTGTCGGCATACGCGAAGTACTGGGCAGCATCGTTATACCAATGCAGAACCTTTTGAAAGCTGGACCCAACACCCGACGCTGTTCCCGAGACTGTCCCACGACCCGAGGGCGCAACGTATCCGGTTATTCCAAGGTCCTTGAAGAAGGTCGTGTCCAACCTTGAGCCGCCTTCGGGAACACCGGATCTGGTGAAAGCCAAAGCATAGGGGCCGTGGAGACCCATGCGGAATTTCTCCGTTTGCACATGGCCACTGTTCATGTAGAAGGTGAGCGAGGTGGAGGGGCCATTGTTGTTCGTGTTGATGTCGCGGAAGAAGGGGCCGCCGGACGAGCCTTCGTAGGAGTAGCTGTTCAGGAGGAAGCAAGCGTGGATTGCGTCGGTACCATCACGCTTCACACAGTGCTATTCTTTGTCAGTAAACATGTACTTGCTTCCATTCTCGAGGACTGAAAGACTCACCCGTGTGTCATCAATGAAGCGCTCGCTGGAATAGAACTTGGATCGGGTCTGGCTATTCACAACGAAGACGTCGGAGCCCTCAACCGTCGAACTAGATCCGGCGGTGGTCGAAACAGCACCGAAGGGAAACTCCAAGGGCAGTGACGCGCTCTTGAGACGAGCGATGAAACGGAGTTCTCCAATGGTAGGCTCAGCCGTGGTGTGGGTGGCCATATAAATTGTCGATTCGCCAGACTTTGCGACGAGGTAATGCGTCAAGGTGCTTGTTGTGCAAGTGACTTTGATATATTGGCCTACAAACCTTGATTAGTCCGAGTATAAATGTAAGAAGTGACATGACTGACTGCCGATAGTTTCGTACTTGACTGTCGCAGTTCCGAGACCGGACGAAATGTGCGACCCTTTTTCCGGAGACTGTAGTTCTTCGCCGCGCAGCTTGATCGACGTGATGTCGCAACTGTTCGCGTTGACTGTGAAGACGAGCGGGCTGCTTGATCCAGCATCGACGACAATATTGTTACCATTCTTCGTTACACCAAAGGCTGCAAAGACAGATCAGCACGACACTAGTGGGATTGGCTCTTTTATAGTGTAACTTACCCGCCAGGGCCGAACTACTCAACGCGGCCGTAGCCAGCAAAGCACTCTTGAGAAACATAGTGGTAGTTTGAAACGAGAGAAAGAATGTCCAATGAAGCGAAAGTACAGTAAAGAGCGACAAGTAGGAACAAGCTTTAAGGAAATACCTTTAAGAACGAAGAAGCACTTCGGAATAAAGGGTCAAATACTTCCGCCGATCTAGTTGTTCTGGCCGCATCGAAACACCGGCATGGAGTCCAGATGAGGGTATTCGGCGCCATTCCTTCCGAAACAGAGGTCATTTCCCCTACGGAACACGCTTTGATCTCTACATCATGTAATTGCGATATGGTGTGATCAACTGAGTTTTGAATGACGACTAGGGTTGCCGAAGTATAAGGTATACTGAAGACAGGTGTGATACTCTCATCTGTACCCGGTCGTCACATTTCTTTATATAATCCGCAATGTACATGTCGAATATCTAGCCTCGCGTGTTTCCGAGGGGAACGTCCTGTAGCCCGGGGGTACATGAAACATTAGTGGCGGACTACACAGGGCCAAGCACGTTCGACACCTTGGCGAGGCTGCGTAGGGTAACAGCTTGACCTAAATAGTGATGAAATTAGAGGAGGGTTGAAAGCGCTTGTAATATTAGAGAGGATAGTCATGTGTCGAGATGCATTGGGGTGGCACAAGAGTCGAAGGCTGGGTATGGTATTTGAGACCACGCTCACAAGGCAAGAAAAGACAACGAGACGCATGTAATGAAGGTGATTGATGTCGGGTTGCGACTGTTCCAAGACACGAACAAAAAAGGGATAATCAGTACCTGAGTGGTATCGAGCATAACACTACTCTTCTTGGGTTCAATCCTCGCCTCCCGGGCATTCGTTCTTGTACAGTGGGTTGACCTCCACCTCTCGACACCAGAGTGCCCATGGCCGCGCAAGCGTTCCCGACATCGACTCCCAGGCATCATGCGACTCTCTGTCGCTCAGATATTTCAACTCACCGCCATCAGTCTTTGCTTTGCCGGATTTGATCTTCCCTCCTGCCTCGACGTCGACCTTGCCCTCGAGCGCGTAGCCAGTATGCGCATTCTGGATCGTTAAAGCTGCCGTCTGTGCTTTTGCAGCTTCCTTGGTATATATCGCTTGGTATACGGCTTCCTCGATGCCATGCGCTACAGTGGTGAACCCGTGTCCTTGTAGAAGAACGACGGCGTGATCGGGCTCGAGTTTCGGGTCGGAGGACGCGCCGCCGAGCTGCGAGGGAAGGGCGGATCGAACCTTTGAATAGATGAAGCCTGCCGAAGTAGCTGGTTTATACGATGCTGCGAGGGAAGCACCCAGTGTGGAGTCGTGGACGAGGAAATCGTGCTTGGAGCCGGAGGACCAGGAGCTTGAAGCACTCCAGACGGGTACGTTAGTCCCTGCCGATCGCAATCTGTCAGCGCTGCGCACATGGTCAAGCTGAAGAGGTGAACGTACCCAAGAAGCCAGCCTAAATTGCAGTCCCAAGTCAGCGACCGTCGTCTCCCTTGCGATATGTATATGGGATACTACTTACCATGTGAATGCAATTCTTCAACGGCACACCACTAACACAATACGGTAACACATCGCTCGCGTGGCTATGCACAACACTATTCACGGCCGGGAACCTCTTGTAAATCTCACTGTGTATATATCGCTCGATGTACCCGGGCTTCGTGTTGTTCTTCTCGACCGCCTCGGCCGATTCGACGTGATACTCGACGAGATGGTCTGGCGAGCTAACAAGCGCTGGCGCCATGTTGCATGTCATGTAAAAGGTAGCGGCATTGTCTGGCGAGCGGACGGAGATGTGACCGTAGGCGTCGAGAATGCCATTGTGGTGGAGGATGTGGGAGGCTGTTACGAGGCCTTTGAAGAGGTCTTCAAGGCCGACTTTTTCGCGCTTCGGGAAATAGCCTGCCGACATGATGCGTGTTGGGAGAAGGAATGATCATGGCGGACAGCAAAGCAGGAGAGTATAGAGGTGTTGTGGCTGCTCAGATGGTCGATGACGTGGGTTGCAAATGGTGTGGGGAAAGAACGACTGTGGCGGAGACGGTTCGGTCCTTAGCCTAGGCTACACTCGGATCGATATCAACATGCACTTCCAAGTGCTCTCCACAGATGGGATAGGATGCATTGTCCCTAGGTAACTACTTATATTTTTCTTGGGTAGAAAGCTATATTTGAAGCATATTCAGCTCGTCGCACCCAGGTTGCCAACAGTCGCACAGTGGTAGAGAGACTGCAGGTAATTGAATTGCTCTATGCCTCTCAATCATAGCTTTTATTTTTGTGATTCTTGTCTTGTTCCTCATCCTTACAGGTCCATGGCTAGTACTAGCAAGTAGCCTACTTCGACGACAATAAATTGCTGGTTATGCCATAATAGGCGCATAAATCGGGCGCTTGAATGAGCTGACCAGGGCGTGAGGAATATAAATACTGGCACAAACACTGCACCTCATTCCGCGTGCCCTCTTCGATAATCATATATTGAACCGCGCATCAGCCGACATGCTAACAATAATTCGCCAATTGGGCGAGGAGCAGCATCCTCGTTGCTAGGCTAGACAACACCAGAGATGTTTGGTTCTGCTGGAGACTGGCGGCGGGGCTGACTCGGTATACTGGTCGAGTTCCTCGATCGTGTGCGCTCCTGGCCCGGGTGGTGGGGTAAGTTGTGTACGGTATCCTCAGTGTCGATTCTCGCCCTCGCCAAGGTACGCAACCTAGATGCGAAATTCCCATGTTCCCCAAGTCTTGATTCTCCCTTTATGACATGGACTGGATATCAGGAGATTGCTTCAACCCATATCAACGTCCAAATCTCCGTCCCGATCCACTACTCCATCAAGCTCCCCTACTCCAGACTCCCCAGATTCTTCATCCTCACTATCCTCGTCGACCAGTTTCCCCTCAACCGCGCACCTCCTCGCAAAACAACATCCTTCTTTCTCCTCCTTGCCACCGACCCCAATCCCTGTATACAGCCCCTGTCGCACCTCTTCAATAATCTTATCTATATCGACTGTGCACCCCCCTCCGTCGTTTTGGTATATGATTTTCTTGGCTCGCGCGTTGGCCGAAGATTTGGTGCTGTGCGCCGAGTCGACGGTAGTCGTACCAATGTTGGAGTCGAAGGAGGATACAGTAGGGTAACATGTATCTGTCACTATATAGACGACAACGCTGGTTGTAGATGTAGATGGTATTGGGTCATGTGATGATGACTGGTCACACGGTTTTGCGTGCGTGCTTTGCGTAGGGGTGATGGTGAGAGGTGGATGGAGACACGAGCAGAGCGGGCCTTGTTGAGACGGAGGCATTGTCGCTCTGTTGCTTGATCGTGGAGTACAGAGTGGACGGTCTTGATCGAGCAGTGTGCATCTGGACACGCATGTAGACTACGGTGGGAAAAGGGGGGTAGGCTCTAATAAGGTTTCCAAGGCCAGAGGTAGGAAAATTCCGTAACCCTGCTTTGTTCCGCGGCTCAGTCTTGGTTCGTGGGGTCGAATTCCTGGCGTAGCGGCATTTCCACTGCACTTGCACTCTCGGTTGCCAGCTAACCACATGTCAATTCCGAGAGGGCATGGCGCGGCGACTATGCTAGGTGTCCGTATCTCCTGGCCGTCGGCAAAGCCCCTCCCCTCAACCCCCGGGTGGCGGCCAGAGTGAAGATGTTGGTTGCCCCCTGCACAGTGACATCATGGATCGCGACCCTGGCCCTGACTACTTTCTTTGGGCCTAGCGTGCCTGTAGCACCCGTTGACGGCATCAAATCACAAGCATTGCGGTGCCCACTTGATTAGCGGGAAGATGGAACTAAAATATATCAAATTCCAGGCCCTTGGTATCTTCTGTCCGGAACGGTCGATCCTTGTGCTCGGCGGACAACGGCACAGCGGTCGAGACCTGGGTCTTGGGGGGCAGAGTCGCTTGCCATTCTAATAAAGCGCCAATGGAAAAAATGACTGGAACATGGCTGGCTTTTTAGCGCTCTTGCCATGGCGGGAGGATTCGAAGGCACTAACATGTATTCGTGCAAAGACACTCATTAACCAATGCCCTACCTGCTGTGCGAGCTTATCCGCCAGCTCAACGGCATAGGGTGTGCAAAAATTGACGAGCTAGGATGGATGTATTCACTTGTACAAATACACCACAAATACAGCCCACCCTCTGTCCATATGCCAGTCAGATCCAGCGCCACCAGCTCTTTAAGCTTCCTAATTCAGCTTTCTAACAATATCCCTATAATACAAAAGAGAAAGAGCGACACCCAACATCATCTCCCATGTTTGGAGATGTAGAAACGAACATCACTTGGGCTTCATAAGGCATTCTCGTCTGACACCGATTGGATTCCGGTCCAGATGGAAAGAGTTACTCCTGAGTCGCCGCCTGTGCCTCGCTTGCCGGCTTCGCATCGTTCTTGTGCTGCTCCACGCTCTGCTCTTTCTTCTGGTCCTCGACTACCTCCACCGTAGGCGGAGCCTCGCTAGCCGCAGCAGCCTGCTCTTGCTCCTGCGTCTCTGGGTTGATGCCTTCGGCATCAGGGTGAGGTGGTGCAACACCATGCTCCTCAGCAGGCCCATGAGCGTCCACAAGGCCCTCATAGATCTCCTTGCCCTGTGCATCGATAATGCGCGTCCGCGTCTCGTAGCGAGTCTTAAAGCTAACCTTTCCTGCCAGTGCTGATACTTCATCGTCATTGAGAATGCGCCCGTTCTCGTCGCGGTACTCAATACGCTCTTCCTTGGATACAACGGGCAGCTCTTTAGGGGCGCCCTGCGGCGGAGGAGAGACAGCAGCCCGCTCGGAGACTACTTCTTCTTGCTTCATCTCATTAGCTTGATCCTGCTGAACCGGAATTTGGGGAGCAACAGGAGGCGGAGGAGCAGATGAGGGTGCGGGTATCGACGCCACCGGGGTGGATTGTGAATTGTATGCTTCGTACTATAAAATGTTAGCATATCATACCGTGTACATCTCAAACATAACATACCGATGCAAGAAAGTTGTTGCAGTCCCAGTCCCAGCTTTCAAACAGCTTAGCATTATTGCAGGCATCCTTAGTCCATGCATTGCCATAGGCCAGAGGAGAATAGATCGTGAACACCATGATCGCGATAGCCAAGAACCCAACAGCTGCTGCCTGACCGATGGCAGGATACTGCTTCAGGCCAAAGATGCTAAACCGGTAGCTGACAAAGTCAAACATCTGGCATAGAGCAAGAATGGCGAAGTAGAGAGCGGGCAGATAGTGGTGCAAGAATAGCTGACGTGCCATGAGATAGAAGGGGAAATAGTGGAAAGCCCATCCAAGAATGGTCATGCCAATCTCGTAGTCGAAGCGCTTGAACGTGACGTTGCTGTAGTCGCTGTAACCACGTTGCCAGCGGAGAACCGCAAGACCTTTCATGACAATGTAAAGCGCAATGAGCACACTAGAGCTCCACCAAATAACTAAAGCAGGTTAGTAACAAGTTCTTGGATAAGAAACAAGTAGCCCAAGGAGTATTTAGAAACGTACCTGGATTCCCTAGTAGATAGATCTGACGACTGCACGTTGAGATACGAAGTCAGTGTATGTTCGCTATGCAGTTCGGGTGTTTGGATGTGACTCAACTGATTTTTCCCCCAGAAATTGATACCACGCTGAAGGAGGGGCCAGGAGGGAGGGCGCGAGTCCCAGGCGTGAGATTCAGTAAGACCAGCGTTGGTCTTCCACATGACCTTCTGCAGCTCCCAAAACTTTCCAAAGAAGCCAGGGTTGCGATAATTCACCTTCTCCGCGTCGGCATCCATCAAAGGGTGAACGTTACCTTCAATGTACCAGATGCTGTTCGGAAGGGTACCACCCCTAGCACATGTTACTTCTTGCTGCTCGAAGCCCCAGTCGGGAAGTTTGATCTTGTGCGAGAAGAGCACACAGCCAGTCATAAGGTGGACGAGCTTGAACTTCGTCTGGATTGTCCGGAGCCGCTTCTTCGCCTCGGCCCCGTCGGACTTGCCTTTGATGATCTCAATGCGGAACAGGTCGTTCGCATCGCCCTCGAACCCTTCGTAACCATAAGCAGACACCTCGTTCTGCCAATCAGCCTCCGTGACAGGTGCGCGGACATCATGAGAATGGAGACGGCGGTCAGTGGTGATGTGATAAAGCCTAATGACGGCGCCATCCTCAATGTAGGTCGGGCCGACTCCATCCCAAGCTTTGGGGCTTGTGAGATTTGGTCCAGTGTAATCTTCGGGCATGATTGGTAGAGTCTGATTCTCCATGATCCAGACGTTGTTCTCGTCCTTGTGAGGATACAGGGTGATCTGTTGTTGCTTGCTGCCGGTCGGGTACATGTGGCTGTGAGAGTGAAGATACCCACCCTGTGTGTTCCAGTGGCGGAGAGACACGCGGCTGCCGAATGCAACGTCAGCCGGAACAGCTTGCATGCCCTTGGAGTTCAGAGTGGACTGGAACTCAGAAGACATGAAGCCATCGCCCTCACCGGGATTGACCAGGCAGATGAAATGGATTCCGAACATGGCCATGTAAAATGACACAGGAATGACCACTAGACAGAACATGCGGGCAAAGAAGTGCTTGAACCACAATCGAGGCGTCACGTTTTTGGTATCGCCAAGTAGGATCCAGAGTTGTAGGAGCGTCAAGCTGCCAACCCAGGCGATGGTGAAGAGACCAACCCACTTGACGCTGACGGTCGCTCCGAGGCCAACACCAGTCGCTGCCAGCCAGAACCACCACGATGGCTGGAAAGCCTTGGAAGGACCCTGCTCGTGTTGGTTCGTAAAGCTTGTCCAGGCGAGTGCGGTAACGGCCGTGAAGATGACGAGGGGGGAGTCGAGGAGGATTAGGCGGGACTGGGTAACGAGGGCGTTGTCTAACGATTGTTAGTATGTAGTTCACTTGCTATGAAACTAGTATGCGCACCAAAAATGACGAGACCAGCTCCTAAAGCTGCAGTGGTTGTACGGCAACCCGCCGCCTTGAGCGTCAGGAACATGGTGGGAATCGTCAGGACACCGCAAATGGCGGGCAAGAGGCGCATAGTAACATAGGGCACGCCCGGCTCCAGATAGTCCTTGCCAATATCCTTGAAGTCGAATTCGCCGTCAAATCCACCCAACCATCCTGCAAGTGTAATGAGGAGCTTGGCGAGCGGCGGATGAACGTCCATGAAGAACTTGCCCTTGATGTATTTGGATGCAAAGCCACCGAAGCTAAGGTACAGATTTAGCGAATGTCCAGGAACACGTATTAACACATGCGGAAACATACTGGACTTCATCGAAGACAACGCTGGTGGGCTGAGCGATCCTGAATAATCGTACGACGCATGCAATGAGGGTCAATCCCACCAGCAGTTGCCAGTCAGAGCCGGGGAGGTTGAAAATATCATGGTCCTGCACTCCCTCCGAAGTGTAAGCTCGAACTTTCTGCTTCTGCTGCTGCTGCTGCTGCTTCCGACCGTTTGGTGCTGGTGATCGCGATGGTGACTTTCCTGATCGCGAAGGTGACTTTCCTGAGCGGCGCGTGTTTGGCTTCTCGCCCAGGTAGGAATTTGATGCCGTTTGGCTCGCCATGATGGCGGGTTGTGAGGGCGTTTTGTGGTTCGACCAGCTGGTGGGCGGAGTGGTGTCGAATGCTTGGGATGCCTCAACAATATTATAGGAGACACCGTGAGCTCCTAGCGTATACAAGAGGAGTTAATGAGAGTGTGAAGAAAGTCCCGTCAATTGGCAAAGGGACGGGCGTCGTAATGGTTATGAACAACCAAGGGGCATTGAGGGTCCCGCAAGGAGTGGTTGTATCCTAGCCTGTGCAGTTCGCAAGCTGTCCACTCGAACAGCAGGGAGGGCCCTTGCCGAATTGGGACAACTGAGCTGAAAATAGCTGCGAGTTACGCACGCCAGCACCAATTGATGGGAGCGAAGTTTTCAATCTCACTATCATGGCATGCACAGTCTATCTTCAAAACAATTCGCACAATCAAGATTGATGACGGTCACGGCAAGCTAATGTGTGGAATATATTGCGCCGTGGAACATTTCCAGGTGGCTTGACGCCACAGCTGTGGCTGGTGCCACGGGGAATGAATGATCCGCGTGCCTGCCGTTTGGAATCTTTACCTCGAGCTCTCCAACCACAACTATCAGCTCGCCGCCCGATCGCAAGGCAGTATAACCCGCAATGGCCAACCCTAACGGCGACGGAGCTGCCGCAGGCGCCTACGAGCTCAGTGTCAAGCCCCCATCGAACGTCGTCATCCCTCCGCCAAACGTGCGCGAGAACGTTGCCAAAACCGCCGACTTCATCAACCGCAGAGGCGACGCGAACCTACCGCCGCTGAAACTGCGTGTCGCGGGCGACTCCAAAAGCAGCCTACAATTCGTCCTCGATGATGACCCATACAATGACTACTTTTTGTGGTATCTTCAGCAGTTGAAGGAGGGTCATGGGCCTTCTGCAAATCAGAGTGCACAGCCGGTGGTAGAGAAGCCCAAGGGCCCCCCAGAACCTCCCAACTTCCGCTTCTCTGCGCGCATGCCCACCATTAGCGCAAAAGATCTTGAGGTGTTGAAGCTGACAGCTCTATACACGGCGCGCGTTGGCGAGAACTGGCTGAAAGAGTTGCGCAACCGTGAGTCTGGCAACTTCCAGTTCGACTTCCTTCGACCGAATCACAGCCTTTTCCAGTTGTTCCGATCGCTTGTCGGGCAGTACAAGATCCTCCTGGAAGAAGAAGCAACGGTTGAGGCTCGCATCGAGGAGTTGCAGCGCAACATCAACAATCGATTCCACATTCTGGATCGGGCGAAACAGCGCGCTGACTACGTCAAGTACGTGACAGCTCAGAAGGAGAAGGAGGTCAGAAAAGCCGAAGATGAGAATAGGGAATTTGCGAGTATTGACTGGCATGATTTCACCGTCATTGCAACTGTACTGTTCGACGAAGCAGACGATGCAGCTGATCTCCCTCCGCCAGCGCTGCTCAATGACCTGCAATCCCAGTCACTCGAGCAGAAGGCTATGGTCTCGCTCTCCACGAGACGCCTCGAGGAAGCCATGCCCGACGAGTCCACCTACTACAACGCCACCCAGCACCATGGACCGCCACCGCCGATGCAACCAAGCTATGTCCCAATGGCGCCACCTGTTCAAGCACCGTATGGAGCATATGCACCGCCTCCTCAGGATTACAGGGCTCCGGCACAGGTAGCGCGCGAGGAAGACCAGGCGCGACTGGCGAGAGAACACCAGGCCGAAAGTGATCAGAGAGCGCGTGCCCAGGCTGCGGCGAGGGGAGCGCCCGGTCGCATTGTCACAGACTACGTCCCCCGCGGCGCCGCGAAGAGGGGCAACGTTCAAATGGCTGTTTGCCCTAACTGCAAGCAAAACATTCCCTCGAATGAGATGGATGAGCATATTCGAAGTAAGTTCCATGTCCCTGAATTGTTATAAACAGCGTTTACTAACATTTCACTTTAGTCGAACTGCTAGACCCGCGCTGGAAGGAACAGCGGGAGAAGGCCGAAGCTCGATACTCCACCACGATCAACACCGCTGACATTTCGACCAACCTCAAGCGCCTCGTTAGCCAGCGCGACGATATCTACGACGGTGCCACCGGCCTACCCATATCTGCTGAGGAAGAAGCTCGAAGGAAAAGAGCGGCAATATCATACGATGGACAGCCAGACCCTGTCAAAGATGCTGCTCGTCTTTCGCAGATGCAGAGCATGAACGTGCAGGAACAGCTTCGAAGGATCCACGAAAAGCATCGCCAGTAGAACACGAGTAAGTGTAGATCTATTCCTCTCTCGAGTACCATTTCTTTTTCTCTTGATACCATGCATTGGCGATGGAGAGTACTATCTACTGCATATGGCGGGAGTTTGGGAGTTTGTAAACAATTTGTATACCCCTGCAGAGTGGGGCGAGAGGTCCAAAGCGCTTCCGTGTATAACAGCTCCAGGCCCCTGGCCTAATCAGAATATAATTTTCTCAAAGGCAGTATCAACCAAGAACCACTGGAAATTCTGCAGCCCTTCATAATGCGATGTTCGTGACTCTCAGCCATCTGAGAATCATGTGGGCCCTGCGGGAACCATCTCCGCCGCGGGCGAGTAAAGAGCTCGGACTTCCAGCACTTTCCTCCGAACCGACGGCCTATGATATAATCACCGATTTCTTTCGCACGCCCAAGACTACACCTCAAACACTGTTTCCCCACATCACGACATGTCATTAGCACAAGCAACAAAAGGCGACATGCCTTACCAAGTGCGCTCCCTTGTACGTGTACACGCCCGTCGCACCCAACGTTGCGCACCTCAGACCATTGCGATTGGTAGCCTCACCTCGATGCAACAAAAGCACCAGCGGAGAGGCCCGGGTTCGAATGATACGGAACTTCGCTTACTGTGCATCTGTAGTATCGCTCATTACTGAGGCAAAGTAGCCAATTCGCCGCCTACAATTTCCGCGAGTACGCCAAACGAAGAACACGCGATAGCTTTCGGGAACACCAGAGTGTTGCGGAGGGAAGAAGGATACAAGAGCTGATGCAGAAGGGCTTGAAAGAGTTGCAAATGTTGAAGGTTCGTGGTATACATTTCATATAGCTAGGCATCTGGCGGGACTGGCATGGGAGTTTCAGGAAAAGCGAAAAGAGCTGGGCGATGTAGTCGCATTTGGGGTTGGTCGTTTGCGGCTGGGATACACGAGGAGGTCATGCCATGCGGACTTGAGAATCTAAACGACTTCAGAGACTGACTTCAGTTCACAGAGGCAAACGGTCATAAGCCAGTTTTACCAGATCGACCGATTAGTGGTAGAGGGTGGCAAACAGGGCAAGCAGACTGGTAACGAGGGAGATATTGTACGGCAAAAGGATCAAGGGTAACTCAAGATGTGTTCGATGCGAGTACACCACTGACGCGCTTCTAGGTGGGATTGAGAAGGTCTTGTGGTAGCTGCGTACAATTAATCTGAAGAAATGACTCTGTAAGAATACAGGCGTGCTCTGCCCGCACAACCAGGCGCACGTGTCGGGGGGAATACCTCGACTTTTTTGTGGAATGACTGACAGCTGTCATTCAGGGCTGTAGGATAACTGGTTCCGGTTTCGAGCGTCTCCAAACAGTGCATACTTTTTGTTTAGATGGACGATTCGGTTCATGTAGAACTCATATATCACTTCAATTTCCTCTCCTCAGACAGAGCACTCGACCATCGTTTCATCATCCCTGTTGAGTGACTGTAAAGTACTGCAGATACCTAGATATACTGCCTGAGTACACGTATAGGCTAGCGATATTTCAGCAGGTAGGGCTGGGGCAGAGATTACTTGCACCCTCAATTCTCGACTCGACCGGATGTGGTATAGTGGCGCACGGTTGCACCTTCCCAGCTGCTTCAAACCGACGCGCCCTCCCTTCACCGCATCGCGACTTCCCGTTGCACTGCGCCAGCACCAATTCCACCTCCGCCTGGCCTGCGCACTCCCGCCTCGAGGCAGTCGCATATTACTATGGCTCCGGTACGTCATCTCGAATTCACTCCATGTTGCATCTCTCAGCCCCTACACCTGCGCGACTGGAAGTGAAGACCCGCACGCGCAATACCATATTTTCTATCACAGTGCATTATTCTTCACTCAAGTTTCATTGTTCAACGCGCTATGGGTGTCGTAAAGGGGAACGAAGCAAACTTTGGGAGCGCTGCGACGGCTGCTAGCAGCGGTTGTCGCATTCTTTCCGCGCACCAGGTGATAGGAGTTCCAAGAGCACGTGCAGAGACCCTCTATAGCAGCACCAATTGCACCGAGAGTAGTCACAAATTCATCGCATCAGGTTTCAAAAGGTACCTCAGTTTCTGGGCTAACATCATGTGACTAGTTTCGGAGTAGAGACCGGTCCAACAGATCAGGACGCGGTCAGATAGAGCACAATGTTTTAGAAGGACTTCCTATCAATCAGTACCGGGAAGTTGAGATTACCATTGAACCGAACTCGGCCGACAACAAGCCTGTGGACAAGGGCGCCTGGCCTGAACTGCCCATGCCACGAGACTCACACATGTTACCTGATCATTCACAACAGCTACTCCGTGCTGCGCGATCTGGAAAGATATACAGGCCTCCCGCACCACCAGAAGACGACAATGAGATGAAAGATGAGGAAGAGGAGAGCAAGGAGGTGCAAACTGGATTTACCGTCAAGAAGTATGCCAAGGTAGCACGGCACCTTGAGGCGCCGGAGCCAGAGTATCTTGCGAAAAGAAGGAAAGGCCTTCCATCACCGTACTCAAATGGGCAGGTGGCGCAAGCTGCGCTGAGAGAAACTAAAATCAAGAAGCTGGATGCGGACGGCAATGTGGCTGTCTACAAAGTCCTCGTACCCGAAGGTCAAGCGGTGGAGGGCGAGGTTCAGCCTACAGATGCTGCGGTTGAGGTGGCGCCAGCTACTGCTGCACCCGGCACGGTTGTGGAAGGCGTTGGGGTTGTGAATGCAGAGGGCGTCGTGGTAGCCAACGATATCTTGCAACAGACACCACCAAGGAGACGGCCACCCCCACCGAAAAAGAAGCGTGCAGGCCCTGGTCGTGGAAAGAAGAGAGTGGTGTTTGCTGAAGGTGCCACGGAACAAAACACGCCGACATCCAACCCTGGAAGTGACCGCCCTGCCGTTTTCGGATTGAAGCAGGAAGATGGGTCTGTGGCGCCATCCGATGGAGGGGATACTCCAATGGTCGATGCTGGTGGAGACGAAGAGGAGGGTTCTGGGGAGGAGGGTTCCGAGGACGAAGACCAAGACCAAGACATGGAACACACCTCAACGCCGGCCACTCCTTCGCGACCAACCTCTGCACATACAAGCGTCTCAGGGTTGGATACTGCAGATGGAAAGGATGCTCCTCCGGAAGGACTCGCTGCTCCGGTATCTGCAGTGACAGCTTCCGTCGAGACCTCTCAGTCTCTCGTAGAGAATGATACATCTGCGCTACCAACGTCCGTACCCGAAACGATGGAGCCAAGCGCAGGGCGTGACCTCTCGAGCTCACCAGACTTGCCATTGTCTGCAGTCTCTCACAGTCGACAAAACTCGCTCAATCAGATGCCGACCTCTGCGACGACCATCGAGCCTTCGGTTCCTGAACCTACTCCGAACGAGACTACAGTCCCAGCATTGCAGTCTGAACTTGCACCTGAGCCAGTAGCCATGCCTGAGCCGGTAGCCATGCCTGAGCCAGTAGCTATGTCTGAGCCAGTAGATGCGCCTGAGCCAGTAGACGCGCCTGAACCAGCAGCTGCACCTGAACCAGAACTTATTCAAGCACCGCCTGTTGTCCCCTCTGCCCCGCCATCAGAGCCAGATCTGCTAGGCAGCTTGGAGAGACAGCTTGAGAAGGATAGTGAGGACATGGCGGGTTTATAACCCACTTTGCTCCTTATCACTGCTAGTTGTGATTCTCCAAAGAGGTGTTTTGTATAAATACGTTTGTATTGGCTTGGCTTGGACTGGCAAAGGTGTTTCTATTTCGTCAGCGACAATGCAAATACACTATCATTTCGATCAAGTCTACTTTGTACATGATACGGCTGTCAATACAGTCAACTTGTCATGTGTTTGATTGGAAGTTCATACGCCGTAACCCCACATTGGTAACCCGCTACGTCATCTCAAGCTTTCCCCGTCGGAAAGCATTTAAGTTGGTGTTCTTGAACCCAGCCAGTATCTAGTCCCAACTCCCGAACCACCAATACCACGTCATTTCAAACTTTGCCCGTCGGGAAGTAGCACGCATACCCCTCGCGGTGCACCACATCCTTCACTACACCAGTCTGGGAATGATTAGCTAGCGTAATCAGTGCAGACAGACAACGGAGCTGTAAGCCTTATAAAGAGCATATCCACCACTTCCCTTCACGAGCAGCTATTCTTCCACCTGAATTCCTTAACCCTTATAGTTAATTATTATTTTTAGAAATGACAACCATGCCGTCAGTCACCGATATCGTTAATAAATACCGGCCGGAACTCGGCTCGTACGAGGAGCTCTGTATGCAAAGCACCTATCTAGTAAACAACATGCTAATCAATACATAGACAAATGGTTCCATGCCCACCCAGAGCTGTCCTATCAAGAGCAAAAAACGGCAGAGGCCATAGTCAAACACCTCGAGAAATTCAACTCGTACGAGATTCACTCTTCGATTGGCGGTCATGGGGTTGCAGCTGTGCTGAAGAACGGGCCTGGGAAGACGTTGCTGCTTCGCGCAGATATCGATGCCTTGCCAGTCGATGAGCGCTCTAATCTCCCTTATGCCAGCCAAGCCCGTATGAAAGATGTCGACGGCGTGGAAAAACCAGTCATGCATGCATGTGGCCATGACATGCATATTACTACGCTGTTGGGGGCGGCGGAGACTTTGGTGAAGGCAAAAGATGAGTGGAGTGGGACGTTGGTTTTGTGTTTCCAGCCAGCAGAGGAGAGGGCGAGTGGGGCGCAGGATATGATTGATGATGGCTTGTATGACAAGGTTCCCGAGCCGGATTTTGCTGTGGGAGCGCATCTTATGCCTGAGAGAGCTGGTGAGTATTCTTCCGATTCACACCATAGTCTGCAAGCTGAAGGCTGATATAGGTGTTATTGGAACGAAGCGTGGCTTGATTGCCAGCTCGGCGGACTCATTCCAGTAAGTAATATCAATCGAGTATGAGGTAGTGTAGGAGCTAACACAGTCCAGAATCAAGATTGAAGGCCGACAAACACATGCTTCAACACCACATAGGGGAATAGACCCTATAGTTCAGGCAGCTTCGACAATTATGCGTCTGCAAACCGTAGTCGCCCGTGAAGTCGATCCACTGGACTTCGCCGTAGTCACCGTGTCTGCCATACATGCCGGTGATAGGGAAAACATTATTCCAGAAGAAGCAGAGCTGAAGATCAACATCCGCACGGCTCTGCCAGAGACCCGCGAACGAGTGTTGAACAGTGTCAAAAAGATCATCGCTGCTGAAGCTGAAGCGTCTTCAAATCCTAAGCAGCCGACACTGAAAGAGACGACGCGATTTCCCTTCCTGTTCAACGACGCTTCCGTCACCAGCGCGCTTGAGAAGACTTTCTCCGAGCACTTCGAGGTCGGTAAGCATGGCTACACGGACGACATCGCGCGGCTGCAGGGCAGCGAGGACTTTGGCATCTTGGCTACGGCGATTGGAAAGCCAAGCTGTTTCTTTTTGTATGGTGGGATAGATCCGCAGGTCTATGATAAAGCGGTGAAGGAGGGACGGTTGAGGGAGGATGTGCCGGGGAACCACAGTCCCTACTTTGCGCCGGTCATACAGCCGACACTGACAGTTGGAATGGACGGCTATGTCGTCGCGGCCTTGACATTCCTTGGGAAGGGGACGTAGACGTCACATGGAGTTGTAGTAACAAGGCGAAGTGGTCGCTGGGATGTGAAACCTAAACATAGATGACGAGCGCGTAGAGCTCCACCAGTCAGATATTAGTAGCAGTTTCTCGTAGGCTCCTGCTGTCGGGTTGGCGCGCTCGCTGGGAGGTGAAATGAAAGGTCGTGGAGCCAGCCATGTATTGTTCTGTCCCACCCAGTACTGTAAGCGCCGGCGCCTTGCCCCGCCAAAACCACCCTGATCAACTATGCATGCCACGCTTGAACCCACCCAACCCACTACAAGCGCCGACGAAGATCCCATCTCCCTCGCTGTTATCGCTATCGCTACTGCACCTCTACTTAATCGACCGCCTCGAACTTCCCTCGTTTGCTCTCCACTTCACCAAAACGGCGTCACCAGCTCCCGCCCCCGATCAGTCTGGCCCGTCGTCCCCTCTGCGCATCGCCAGCCAACTTACGACCGCGTCGGCCATTCTCTGGGACCCCAACTTCACTTCACGAGCGCCCCCGGGCAGCCTCCAGCCGACGCACGCGGGCACTCTCGCTGTTCCCAACCGCACCGACTCGTCCATCAGCGTCCGCAACCTAGGCGACGGCCATATCGTGCCCATCGCGCCCACCATGGACAACCGCAGGCACCCTAGCTCCTTCCAGCAGCTGGAGAAGCTGGGCGAAGGAACATATGCTACTGTGCGTTGCCACAGGCCATTCATTGCACAGCTCATGCTGACTTGCGCAGGTGTTCAAGGGCCGCAATCGGCAGACGGGTGAACTCGTGGCCCTCAAGGAAATACACCTCGACTCTGAGGAAGGTACCCCCTCTACTGCGATCCGCGAAATCTCCTTGATGAAAGAGCTCCGCCACGAGAACATTGTCCTGCTGCACGATGTCATACACACGGAGAACAAGCTTATGCTAGTCTTTGAGTTCATGGACAAGGACCTTAAGAGGTACATGGACTCGCGCGGCGACCGAGGAGCGCTGGACCCTGTGACTATCAAGTCCTTCATGTACCAGCTCCTCAAGGGAATCGCCTTCTGCCATGAAGCCCGCGTCCTGCACCGGGATCTAAAGCCCCAGAACCTACTCATCAATAACCGGGGACAACTGAAGCTTGCTGACTTCGGCCTGGCCCGCGCGTTCGGCATCCCAGTTAATACCTTCTCCAACGAAGTCGTGACCCTATGGTACCGCGCCCCCGACGTCCTGCTCGGCAGTCGAACGTACAACACAAGCATTGACATCTGGTCGGCGGGCTGCATCATGGCTGAGATGTACACTGGGCGACCACTCTTTCCAGGAACCACCAACGAGGATCAAGTGCAGAAAATCTTTAGACTAATGGGAACTCCATCCGAGCGGTCATGGCCAGGCATCTCGCAACTTCCCGAGTACAAGGGCAACTTCCCTGTCTACGCAACTCAAGACCTACGTCTCATTCTTCCTCAAGTCGATCAGGTCGGCCTCAACCTCCTCAATAGCATGCTTCAACTTCGGCCGGAAATGCGGATTTCGGCTGCAAATGCTCTCCAACATCCCTGGTTCAATGATTTACCGCAACGGCAGCAAGAACTTGCACAATTTCAGGCGCAAGCGCAAGCACAGCAGGCACAACAGGCACAAATGGGAGGCTACCAAGTTCCTCAGGGCGCCTACTAGTATCAAGGTGTCTGCTACTTGTATCAAGGTGTCTGCTACTTGTACCAAGGTGTCTACTAGTATCAAGGTGCCTACTAGTATCAAGGCGCTCTGTATTTTTGAAATGTAGCTGCAATGTGCTGGAGACGCATCCCACCAATGGATTGGTCAGAACCGCGAGAATCGAAGACAGGAGAATCGGCTAGCGCAATTGTGTCATCATCCTATGATGGTTACCAACAGGCACAACAGAGAGTAATGAACTTTTATTGCTCGGTCCAGAGGCTTCTCTAATGACCGAGCATTGCTTCTGTTCTTGACCCTCATGCCAATGTACTCTCCTAGAACCTGTGCTTGACCGCCCCTGGTTAGCTGAACCACCGCCAGACCACAAAGGTTAATCTAAGACAAATTTCAGATCTCAATAATGAAGACGCTGGGAGATCTTCCCGGAGTAGATATTGGGATATGGTGTAAACGTCACGCTTCTGGGGTATCGGCTTTTCTTGGGGGTGGTGGGGTCTCGAGTGCGCCCAAGTACTATGCTGAAGGGTCCGACCCCCTTGTAAGTCGCAAGTACTGATGATCGCCCATGGCAACTCTGCCAATGCTGGATGGCATTTTGTGGTTCGTAGAAGATAGGCAAACACGTATTGCAGATGATATTTCTAATCCGCCTTCAATGTCATTGTGTGTGTAACCTGCCATGATCGCGAGCTTGGTTCAGGCTAGTTGTAGTTGATACTGGAATATCGCCAGGCCTCCACGATTCGAGCCAGGACAGCGCTCGGCAAGTGCGTGGCGCACTACCACAGCGTTAGACATTTGGTGAAGTGGCGACGAAATTACACGATTTATTCCAACATCAATTTCGGAGTATGTTTGGAGTTGGTAACATAGACTACCTAGGGTACAACTTTTACTTACGCTAAAACCACTGTGTTGTAGGCAGCTATAAATACCATATTGGACGGACAAAAGCTCACAAGTGTGGTCATTGTGAGTATCTTGCTCTCCCACCCTTCCGCCCCATGTCTGGGGGTTCCGTCTCATGTAAACCTCGTGACCAAAGCTGCAAAAACCATGAGTTGCTCGCAGCACGGTGACGATATGTCCATATACGGCAGGTTGGGACGCCAAGCCAAGCCAAGCCGTCGATTGCCGTGAACGTCGTTCGGTGGTTTCCCGACGTCACAAACACCGAGCGACTGCGTGCGACTTTTAGCCCATGGCCATCGTTTCGTCAACGCCCTTAGCCCCATTTTCATCTCAAAATAAGTGTCCGATTGTTACGAAATGGAGTTGTAGTAGGAGCTACCTTCTTACGATATTCACCGACGTATCTCGCGAGGTTCATTAATCGGTGTAAAGATTTGTTACCCTGGGCACTTGGTCCCGATATAGTTCTCAATACTTTACTGCCGTATAAGTTGCTCCTGAGTGCACTTGGAAAGGCAACTTCGAGGCACGCCAACCCGCTGACAAGGATGACCTTAAGATCCTGTTTGAATCGGGCTGTGAAGCCACAAAGTACTTGCCACCAAAAATGGCAACGAAGGCTACTTTTAGTCAGATATTGAGACAGGATTTTGTCTAATACTATACCTTCACTAGCAGTAGTGGAGGTGGGAGACATGTCCATTACCCTCACTTCGATATGGGTATGCAAGAGCCTAGTATGTGTCATTGTAGTAGGCTAGACGTTCGAATATACATCGCAGGTTCGATTTCTCAACGGTGCCGGCCTGTATATCAGCAACAGCCAAGAACCGGGGTAAAGTGATCCTCTCACCTACCGGCTACCGACTGTAGACGCATGCGAAAACAGTGCAGGTGTCGGGCTATCAGCATCAAAAGTTAATTCGGCTGAGATGATCCGAGACCAAAATTGGCAATTCATGATCTGCCGGATAGTGCGCGTGCAACCTAAGCTTGTATCAAAGCTTGTCTGTGCAACGGTCACAACCACGTGCCCTGTCAACTGAACCAAGTGCCGTAGATCTAGGACGTATGTACGGGGGGTAAGTGCCGAAATATTCGAATTAATACTACTGGATGACTGTTGTGACTTTGTTTCGCTCACCAGGTGGGGAAAATATGGGGAGAGTTGATCTCATTGGTTGTGAATTTATATGGTTAATCAATGGTTAAAGAGTTTCAACACCACGGCCCCTTCAACAACATGTATCAAGGGTGGCGACAAGAAATCAAGATATGGAAATTGACATGATGCTCGAGCTTAAGTTGATGGCCTGCCTTTCGCGTATCGTTCAGATTCTCCACCTTTGCTAGGCCATTTCACAGATATCTGAGAAGATGAAGCTGATCCAGATCGCCGCACTCGTTGCGCCTGCGCAGGCCGCACTTCGCTTCGGATGCTCGACACTGAGCATTCAGCGTCTCGATCCCCTTGTCGAGCCTGGCAAGCTCCCCTCTGCTCATGTTCACCAGATCGTCGGTGGCAATGCATTCAATGCAACAATGGACAAAGATCCTAGCGATGTGGCTAGCTGTACAACATGCACCTTCTCTGAGGACTTTAGGTAAGACGCTTGTCCTTCGCCGCAGACTGGGTGCTGGGCTAAACGGAAAATAGCAACTACTGGACCGCTGCCATGTTCTTCAAGCACGAGAACGGGTCGTACAAGCGTGTGCCCATCATGCAGAACACTGCTTTGCCGAACGGTATCAATGGTGGAATGACCGTCTACTATACCCAGCAAGACTTCAACACAAATGGAAACCAGAAGATTACAGCGTTCCCAAAGGTCAGTTGCTCCAAACCTTTCGGACAATCATCGAGAACTAACAGTATTAGGGCTTCCGTATGACCGTCGGCAGTCCCACGACCAACACGGTTGAGGACGCAAAGAAGCACCCAGGTCTTCGTTTTGTCTGTCTGCAAGACAAGGCAACTCGATTTCCCGAGTCTCCCGACTTCCCTCCGAAGGCTTGCAAAGGCGGCATCATGACGGTTCACCACTTTCCCTCGTTCGTTACTCTTTCCAGTTTTACGCACCCTTCCGCTGACTATTGATCAACAGATGCTGGGATGGCAAGAATGTTGATTCTCCCAATCATCAAGACCACATGTATAACACAGCTAAAGAAGCCTTCTCGCCCGCCGGCGCATGCCCCGCATCCCATCCCGTCCGCATGGCCCAAGTCGCCTACGAGACTCTCTGGGATACGACGCAATTCAACAATATGTGGCCCAAGGACGGCTCCAACCCCTTCTTCCTCAGCTACAATGATAACAAGGGCTATGGTACGCATGCCGACTACCTCTTCGGCTGGAAGGGAGACTCGCTCCAGAAGGCCATGGACTCGAAGTGCATGTTCCAGGCGTGTGAGAATGGTAAGCCGCTCCAGAGTCAGAGCGTGGCTGCTATGAACAAGTGTGCTGTTAAAAGTTCTGTTAATGAGAATTTGGATGGATGTAAGTTGGCTGTCCTGTATGCGATTGAAAGAGTAGATGCTAACTTTATGGTGCGATAGGGCTCAAGGCTTTGCCCGGTATGAGCATGTAATCAAGTGCCGGGATATGAAGTATTAGGCGTCTTTGAGGAGTGTTGGCGTTCATTTTTTGAACTATCAAATTGTTCCCTCACTCTGGGCTCGCGACACTTGTAGTCATTTCAGCGTTTGTGTTAGCAGCGGAAAGGTCCAATGCATTCCATTACTAGATGATTCGTACTACATGCATCTCTAGACTCGGCGATTTTCCCATCAGAACCATAGAAACTTAAGGCTGCCAGCGAGTCAATGGCTCTGCTATCCAATGTCAGTGAAGCCACACCCGCAACTGGAATCTAGACGCCAATCCGGGTTGGCCGTATAGGCTAATAGCTTGCGCATGGAATCTAGATCTTGTGGTAAGCGAGGGAGACGATTATGCCAGTAGAGCTACGGAGAGATTGCGCAATCGAGACGGCCGACAACCGCCTAAAGAATGTGGCGACCTTTTCCGCTCGGCCACACCAGTCGGCAAGACAAGTCTCAGGACGAAAAAGGAAGTACCTAGGGGGTCTTGTAAGGTGTTGACAAGTATAATACCGACTAGTTTTGATTGTTGCGTCACTGAAGTGACTGAACCTTTCTATCCGCCCCCTGCGTCGATGGGCGAGTCAGCTCGAAAAGGCGACAACATTCATCCGTGGTCTGAGCGCCTGCATGTCAGCCATGCAGGTTCCTTGATTACCACGTGGTCAGCAACGTGGAAGCACGAGCCAGAGACAAATCAGAGACAAATTAAGAAACGCCGACAGCGATTGCGCATGCAGGAGCATAGTTGAGCCGAGCCAGGGCTTGCTGAATTGGGCGGAGGTGTAATGCAGTCCGGCTGTGACTTGCTTGTTGTTGAGTTTAAACCTCACCTTAGCCAAAGTAGAAATTACTAAAAAAAAAGAAGAAGGAAGAATAAGGACTGAGCTAGTGCGTTACTACTAGATGCCTTGGGTAGGTGCGGCAGGAGTGGAGTAGCGGAAGGCTATTTCCAGGATGATTGCACGTACGAAGTTGGAGAGGTGCGACTTTGAGCTAGACGTGCACTATCGCTTAGGGGTCAATAGTGTTCCACCAGTAGGTAAAGTGGTACGACGACGGTAGCGCAGCAGTGAGACTGGCGGGGTCCTGCTGCTCCAGGATGAAGTAGGCATGGCGAGCTGGCTATCGCGGTCAGGGGGAGTAGGGTACCAGAACGAGCTGCAGGCGCATCGAAGCCTGGTCGAACATGCGTCAACCATAAAGGGGACTCTTGGTAGAGGGGCCATGACGTTGCGAGCATTGTTGTCGGTGAATGTCTGAGATGTTGATGCAAGGCATGCTTTGTCGTCAGCATGCCGTCCATGTCTTTGAGTGTCTTTTGGGTGTCTTTGACTGATTGAGATGGCCAGCCATGAAGCGCCCAAGGTGGAGACAGTCGACAAGGCGCGCCGAGCATCGAGCAGCAGCGGGAAGCCGTTCAAAAACGTGGCAAAGACGCGTGGGGCGCATGCTCGTGGGCCGTAGTCGAACCGGTCGGGCATTGGCTGGGTTGATTTCTAGATGGCTTTGACGCGGCCGAACGTTCCTAGTCGGTTGTCTGAGAGGCTGGCTGCATGGTGCTCAGTTTATCGAGAGGCACATAGATCCTTACATGTGTGCTGTTTTAGACGACCAGGTGTGTAAAAGGGCAGCCTTCCCTCGCACCCACCTTGGCCATGCTGTTGTTACTCCACCCTCGATTCACTTCACATCACCACGTCATCCGTCGGTTGTAAGGCTGACACGTGCATTCATCCTGCGAAATCCTGCTGCAACGCTAGCAAGCCATCGCACCGCCTGGTTCACGCATCCTAACCGCACACGTTGCCCCCTTGCCGATCTTGGGCCCCTTTGAAACGCGCGAGAGCGTCCGGAGTGCACTGGCCCTCTCCACCTTCTCCTGCGACCTGGTATTCTCCTGCAGCCTCTGGCTGTCCCGCTTCACCAATTCACCTCTTGCCGCCAATCAATCGCTGCCTTGCGACTTGCACTCCGACAGCCTCTACCCTAAAGCAAACAGCATTCTATACTACCCACCCCACACGTCCGAAACACGCACTCATCCTCGGCCTGGTACATCATGACCAACTCCCTAGAGTCCTCGCGCCCCATGCTAGCCAACGTAAGTAGTTGATTTTGTATACACCGCCCGTTTCAGACGTGCCCTACCCACGCCAACGCTTGCCCGGCTACGGTTCATCTCCTCCGTTGGCATACTCTCCCCTACCTTCGTTTCTGCCCCGATTCATCGTCACCAATCCTCCCACCACCACACACAAACATGTCGGAATCACTACAAGCACAGCCTGCGGAATCACAGCCTAACGCGAACAAATCACAGTCAGCAGGCAACCGCGCCTCAACACGCATGTCCACGTACAGCGCCACCCCAACCCTTACACCCTCAATCGCGCCCTCGCACCTCTCAGGAGCCTCTTCCACCTCGGGCGATCTCAAATCCCAGGACATCAAGACGTGGAATGCGGGCTTCGAGCGCCTCGAAGACCAACGACTCGTCCAGCAACGGTACAAGCTCACGAGCGAGAAGACGGACGACATGAGCAAGCTGGCGCTGGGGGCAAAACTAGACCGCGCACTTGCCCGACGCATGTCTGGCCAGGATGCCGTCTTCCGGCCAAAGGCGTTCAACGAGAAGAATGTGCAGGCATAAGCACTAGGACCAGCACACGTTGGGGGCGTTCATTTTCCGTCATGCATCTCGACAGCTGTTCGCAGCCAGCACAAACATGGTTACACACACACAAGCACACACCTCGGTTTACAGCACGCAAGATATTCCATGTTAGCAGGCGTGCGCTGTGGGAGGAAGGCGCAGTCTGTCGCAAGACAGGCATCTAGTTGCTGCGACAGATGCATTATCCGATGGCGGCACGTTGGTCCCACCAGCAGGCACCAACATGATCTTTTATGTGGCACAGTTCACTGCGAGAGCGATTGCGGCCTCGAGGGACATGGGATAATCAAGGGCCGAACTTTCTCTCTACAATATACCAAGGGCGTCATATTTACTAGTAGCTAATTTTTTTTTCTTTGCTCGTCATGTCTTGTACTCTCTCCTACGTTTATGCATGGCTCTGATGGCATATTTTGTTTTCTTGCGCTCAATATCACCAATGAAGGGATTCTCGCTTTCAAACTCTGTGCCCATAAGGATCCTGCCTCGTGTGTGTCAACGTCTTGGTTGAGGCCATGTTGAAAACGTCCCGCCGTCATTCCACCGGGCAGGGTACCGTGATCTGAACGACGAGTGCATGGGTGGGTGATCTTGCATCGCCTTTACGCCGAATACTTCCGTAGATGGGCTGAACCAGGCTCCTGGACTTGTAGGCACGCCCCCTTGTGATATCCACATGTCTATCAACAAATAATCAGTATCACCCCGCTCCTGGACTTGCGAGTCGTATAAACACAAGGTGGCTATTTCCGCGCTCTCTTCTCGTCCCCACCACAGCAAGAGAAGACTGGTTCCAAGGCATGTTGTGGAATGGACAATGCTGATTTTGTCAATTTTCTGGACTGTAAGTCTTTGGTGGTATACATGTATGGACAGCACTTGGCATTATACTTCGCTTTGTAGCGAGTCTCCGCCGACGGGACCGATCCATCGCCGCTCAATGACTGGGCACTTGGTTAGCCTAATAAAACATCATATGATGTTGGTCGGGCCTAATTCCGAATTGGCCCAAAACGGACGGAATCATGCCACTTTTAATGGCGCAAAGCGACGTCTTTGTCTCTGGTTGGTACAAAAATTGATGGAATTGGGTACGAGCGCATGTGACTCTTCCTTGCGCCATTTCGGCTTTACCTAAGTTTAAGCGTGCGTAATAGCCGATATAGCTATAGCTATCCTCGAATTTCTACTTTGTCTTTGGTACTTTTGCTTTCTATCGGCGTTTTTCTTTTTCAGTCTCCATCAGCGTTCTTCCTACGCACCTACCTAGTCACGCTTGGCTACCGTCGCACGCTCCATATTACACACACGCACACGCACACACACACACATACATACACACCAGCGCTTCATCCCAGATTCCAGCCAAAACCCCGTGGTCATTATTCATCATCACGTCGAATCAGTCACGTTCCTACTCCCAACATGCTAGTCACGCGCGGCTTTTCTCTTACCAATTTCGTCATCGGCTCCTCCGCACTATGCTTCCAGATCTTCGTCCTGTATCCGTGGCACGAGAAGCTTGAAGAGGAGTTTGTAGAGCTAAGGAAGGAGCATGCGCGGCTAATCGAGGAGTCGCGAGAGAACCACCGAAATGAGTTGAGGGGGATTTCGGAACAGCTGAAGGCGTTGAGCGAGGAGCGGAGGAAGGGCGGGAAGTTTTGGTAAGGATCTGTGACGCTTGACGGTTTTGGTGGTGCAAGGGAAGCGCCTAGAGCCGAGGAGGTGTAGTGAGCGTCCGACACAGTCACGACAGATACAAGACATTTGTCTCCGGAAATGGTATCTGCACTATACTCTACGATCTATATCGGCGGCCAAAATAGAGTAGCTACTCATGACCTACCCGAGGGTCTTCGCGCCCATTTCCACTGCCAAAGGCCTCGAGACAGATGCTACGCTAGAAGGTGCTGCGGAGCGAGGTGTTCGACTTGAGATGATCTGGCCAGGGAAAGGGCCGTTCGACTGGGCGTTTGCTTTGAGCTCATGGCCAAAGATCCGTCAATAAATATACATGGAACTGTTCGCACCCCATCGCGAGTATTCAACGCTAGCCATATCATGCGCCTCGCTAGCAATGATGTCTTGGATGGTCAAGGAGGTCTACAAAGCTCTTTAAAGGCCTCGTATCAGTATCAGTAACGAGGCTAGCAATGTAATAACGCCTGTACCTCTACCTTTTCCTAGTCGCGCCTATTGGATACCGTTCTGCGGTGCTGTGCATCTCACGGGTCTGCCTCGTTAGCGCATTCGGCTAGGACGGCCTCGGCTTTGACCCGCCAACACTTGCATCATCCCCCTCTACTGAACAGTGCACTCGAAACACAGCCTCCACACAGCCTGGTTGAGCATGCATATCGTCATTCTGTTTAGCCCTATACTCCTTGAGACGGGCGACGAGTTGATTGATGTGCCGTGAGATCTCGTCGCCCCCATACGCCACAACCATGGACGACTTGCTTCCATCGTATGAAAGTGCTATACAACGGAACCCGTGGGCACTTATTTCACGATACCTGCCCTCCGCTGACCTTTGCTCTGCGGCTCTAGTATGTCGAGAGTGGCACAAAACTTTCACACCGAACCTCTGGGGTAGTCCTGCCTCTCATTTCGGGGTGCAAAATGATACCGTCTATGGCATGTCAACGTCTGATATCAAATTCGCAGTAGACGTTAACATTTGACAGTTGCATTAACGCGATTCAAGCGTACCCTGCCGTACGTGCGCCCATTCGTACGAGAGCTCACACATACCCTACATTTCCCACCAGCGCATGCAGAGATTTATGGTGGACCCCATGCAGAATGGCTTCGCGACTGTCTCGAATACCTTCCGCGACTCCAGTGCCTCATCGTTGATGGACTTCCGTTCTTCGATCATGCATCTTTGTTAAACCTACGGCATGCAAGCTTACGGTGGAGAGCAAGTCACTCACATGCCTTTCCAGTATTCGGCCTACGTTTGCTAGATGCTTCAGGCTGCACGAATGCAACATCAACTGGACTCGCGGAAGCTTTACCTCATTTCCCAGATCTCGTCTCTCTAGACCTCTCGCGAACACCAGCCGCAAAAGACGAAATGGTCTTGATCAATCTAAAATATCTCCGTAATTTACGTGTGCTGAGCCTCAAAAGCCTTAGCCTCAAAGATTCAGATGTGGCCATAATTGTGCGCTCCATAGGAACACGGGTTAGGAGTCTTGACGTGGGTAATAATCACTTGACAGATGGCAGCGCTCGCCTACTTCTTGAATATTGCATGAAAGAGATGACCGTTGAAGCGCACGTCACTCGTGGCCCGCTACCACCAGTGGAGCATGCCCGAATAGGTGGCAGCATCGACGCTTTCGAGACGGAAAATATCGTTAGCCACCTCCGCAAAAAGCTTACCGAAGGATTTGTTGGCAGCCTTGCGATTGAAGAGGCGAGAGATGCTGGAATAACACACCTCTACCTGTCAAGCAACGCCGTAACCGTCGAAGGTATCTCCGGTTTGTTGCGATCGACGCGTCTCCAGGTTTTAGACATTGGTATTTTGCCGGGCCTCTTGAGAAATCCGGTTCACACTTCTTCTGGGGAGCTAGATAGCGACTTGCAACTTCCAGGAGTAGCGAAACTTACCTCAATATTGTCTGAGTTTGCGTCTGCGAAGCTAAAGTATCTGAGGGTTAATTACGAGGTCATCACCGAAGATGCTCCTCAGGAAGCAGTTCCTTCGCCACGTGCAGAACTGAGCGGGGATCTCGGCGTTTACGCCCCTTCCAATGCTCACGAACTTGAAGCTGTCGAGACGCCAACACCTGAGCTTGATTCTACAGATACAGCTATAACTGAGCTTGCTGGAGACTCATTATATGCAACTGAACTACCTGGCTCCTCGCCTTATAATTTGCCTAGTACTCAGGGCGCCAATTCTCCAAATAAAGCCACAACACGTACCCCTACTATCGAAGTTACCTCGGAACCGCAGCTTGTCAAACGCGGTGCTGCATATGCTCCGGAGCCTGTGCTTGTGGATTCGTCGTTGCCACCAGTCACTTCTTCCTCTTACAACAACGAGAGCGAAAGGTCTTTGTCAGCAAGCAACTCGTTCGATGTCCACCAATGTCTCTCACCAATCCTATCATCGTCCGACGTTGATGTAGTCAATCCATCAATATCATCTCCGAGAACAAGATCGCGGAACAATTCTACTCACTACGTCGAAGACCGCCGAGCTCGACTTGACCTTCGCCAGTCGCAAGAAAACCGTCTGCATCCGGGCATGCTACCTAAAGTTCACACACTCGTGCTTACTGATGTGCCTATATTAACAACCAATGGGGAAATTATCAACCGTCTCATTCAATACATAAAAGATGCTGCCGAGGAGGCATCAATAGCAAGGCAGCGGGCAGGACACACATATATACTTCCACCCGGGCGCAGCAGGGCAATCGCTGAGCGAGAATACGCACGCAGCCTGTTCGCGCTCCAACGAATAGTACTTGAGCTGGTGCCTCCGCAAGCAGCACCTAAGAAAATCTCAACCAGCTGGCGAGCATATCCTACAAAGTCATCTACCGAAGACGCCGACTCTGAAGCCTTTTGGGAAGCCGCAACACACGACTTTTCCTTTTTCGGTGACGAAGAGTGCGGACTTCCTACTCTTGAGCCAGGACGTACTTTGCCCTTGACAGCTATGAGCGGCCTTGAGCTTGCTCCGCATCATTCTATGCCACCCCGCAAGCCAAGAGTCCCAGAGTCTAGCTATAGGCCTCTTCTTGACGTAGTCGGTGAGATTGCAAAATTCCGCAAGGAAAGGAAGGCAGCTTTTGAGAATCTAGTCCGGATGGGAGGAGAGGTTGAGCCGGATGTGGAAGGGTACTGGCCTGGCGATATCACAGTTGTGAGGAAGCCGGCAAATCCAGACGCTGGGGAGTTGGATTGCTACGGCAATAGGTATGAGTCGGGCTGGTATTATCGATGAAAGGCATGGGTTGTTCCATCAACAAAGGACTTGCATCTTTCCCAAATAATTGGTCGAATCCTCGAAAAGCGACGTACTATGCAATAAGAAGCCCAACGCAATGCAAGTAAATCCTAGCATCAATTGTTTGCCACGGAGGGATGAAAGACGAAAGATGAAAGATACGAAAATAACAAAGCCTCCGAGGCGGAATTAATACACACAAGCATCCACATGCGTCCATAGCACCGTCCAACGCCAACCCATGCACATTCCCCCACGATCACGCTGACCTAAAAGACTATGAACCCATCACGACCCCTTGAACATACCCACCACCCCAGTCAGCCCACTAAAGCTTACTCTCTTCCCTTTCTTCTTCCCACTGCCACCGCTAGTATCGGCATGAGCCTGGACCGGCGCGGGTGGTGTCAACTGCACAGGCACCGGCAGGTCTACGAGCTCAACAAGCACATTGCACACGCCATCTGCCCAAACAGCGAAAGCCATCTCGAGGAGCATATCATACCACTCTTTCGCATTGCCGATGATTTTCCAGCCGTCGGGGCCGATCGTTTTAATGATGTAGCGAGGTAGAAGTTTGATATTGGTGTCAGTGTCTGCGTCATCTTTGACCACCGGGACTGGAGGAGGAGGAGGAGCAGACAGCGCGTTTTCAGGGAAGGAAGCGTCCGGATTAGCGGGAGTAGCCTCTCCAGACGTGCTGGGCTCGACTTCTTGAGATATCTGACTAATGGGTCGATGGTGACCTTCTGGAGGAGGTGCTAAGCCCAGCGCTGCATCTTCTCCGTTAGCGGTCTCATTGGACAGAGCATTAGCAGCAACGGCAAGCCCACGAAGATTCTCAGCGCCGATCCGGCCCTCCTGAAACACCAGTCTTTCTCTGACTTCTGGAAACTTTGCTTTTGCCGCTTGGAGCAGGTCAATGACATGCTGGAGAAAGTCGTCCCACTCATACCAGGCAAGGTGTTTTTGGGGAGGCTTGAGGGTGATGCGTGTTTCGTCGAGCTTGATGATGGGCCTGGATCCTCGAGGGGCAAGCGTGAGGAAGATGTTGATGTGAGAGAGGTGGTGTTCGGCAGGGCCGTCTGTGGGAAGCTGATATGCCCCGTTAGAAAGACTCATTCCGAAAGGAGTTGGGAATGATGAAGGGAACTGAACTGACCTTGACACGTGCTGGATTAGTCGTCCTAGCCTCTGCCTCTGCGAGCGTTGTTCGATCGCGATCCGGATGATTCCTGTACCTCCCGGGTAGGGAGCCGAGTTTACTCATCACGTCGTTGGGTAGCGACGGCGACGCCAGCTGTGAGAGTTGCGGAGGCTGGTCGAAAGTGGGATCGAAGGCTGGCTGTAGCTGCTCGGTGTCAAGTCTCGAGTTGCTGTTTGCCTGCTGAGCAATAACTTCCAGGCTGTCATCCCTCTCTTTCTTCTTCGCGCCTCCCTTTCTCGTCTCCATGGCGTATTGTCGTTGCCGTTCATTTGTCACCATGCGTCTCATGAGGGGAGTGACAAGACCAATGATCTTGTTGCCATCTCTCGGCCATGCAAGTCTCGCTTCCGCACCAGACGTCTTTTCTTCTCCTAGCGCATGAGCTGCTTCGGTTGCCTCCTTTTCGCCTGGCTTCTTGACGTGCTCACCGAAGAATTGCTCGCCAACCTGGTCGTCCAGGAAGTTCCGAACGCAGTTGAACAGCCGCAACTTGACCATATCCGTGTCACCTTTGCCACGATTTCCAACGCAATTTTGTCGCTCAGGATGCGCCGAGTCGAGCATGTACGCCTTGGCTTGGGCTTGCAGTTGTAGGAAGTTCTCGGGGCTGAGCTGGAGCGACATGAAGAGCTTTGACATGGGTGGTCGTGTGTACTTGCGTGAGGTCCTCTCGGATGAGTGGCGGAAGAGAGCGGCGGCGGAGTGAACGCCTGCTGCACGAGCGTCGTCCAGAAGAGACTCGCTAGTTGGAGGCACACTGGCCTTTTTAGAATTGACCCTCACATTACGGTCACCTTCTTGGAACAGAGTGTCTGTAGGCATCTCAAGTCTTCGCCGTTTGGTGCTAATGGCCTCGTCTTCCGGGTACAAAGGATTCTCGGCGGGAGAGCTGGAGACTCTCTTCCTCTTGCCCTTGGCCTGCGCCGCCGTGCTCGATGCAACCGAAATGTCGACATTCATGGCCTGAGCAGCCTGACGGGCCGTCGTCGCAGCCTCGAGCAATTCGACAAGATTATGATTCTCCTCGAGTGTGTTGTCCGCCGAGGTTTGGCGGGCGGAGTACTCGGTATGTTGGGATGGATTGTAGTGTTCAGTCGACGATGCGACCACGGCGGTGGCGGCGGCGGTAGGGGTGGCAGCAGAGAGGTCATATTCGTCGTCTTCGGGTACGAACTGGGGCTGCGCCGCGTTTGTACTGTTGGTCGCGTTGATGAACTGGCCAGCGTGCATCTGGTAGTAGGGCGCGTTTGTCGCCATTATGGCTCGCTCGGCTGCCACCAGATCCGATCTGATCCGATGGCCGTGACCAAACAAGATGGATGCTACTAAAGATGAGCTGTCAATGCACAAGGGTAAGGTTTGGAGATGAAAGATGTAAGCATGAGAGCAAAATGGCGTTACGATCAAGCAAGGACTGGAAAGACTCGATGGAACCGGACGTCGAGAGCACCATCGAAGGCCTTTAGTATGCGAGTCCTCATCATGTTTGGTTTGACCTCGAAGTGGAAACAGGTTTGATCTGGACGAGGCATTGCGGGCATGGTTTGATCTTGGACAGAGACGAGAGCATAGTTTGATACCATGATTGAAGTCGTGCGTGGAGCCGGGGCATGTCCGGTTTGATTCGACGCGGATGACAAAAAACAATGGACAAGCAGATTGCGCACCTATTGTGGGGTGCTGGCGCTTTGCTGTCTACTAGATTGTCGTGAGATGAAGGACAGAGGACAGACAGGTAGGACACAGCAGCCGACCAGCGGGCTCTTCGTAGGTTTGCGTGGTTTGCACTGTTGGGTGAGGCCGCACGGGGCATGTGATTGGTTTTGCACCCGAGGATGCGCGATTACATAAGCTGTTCATGTTTTGGCGTCGAGCATTCCACACACGCGGACGAGGTGACTAGAGTGCAGCAGGTGGGTCAAATGCGTTAGCATTGCCCAGTTACATTCATGTAACCCTCCCATACTCCAAGCTAAGCCGTAGGATGTATGCCGCAGCCTATGCATGCTTCCCACTTCCGTATAACGCCATGAATTCTAACAGACTTTCCGCCCCCTAGATCAGATGCGCCGCTTAGAATGTGAAGCTTTGTGAAAAATGCCGTATCAACATGTTTTAGAAATCATCACCTTCGTGCCACTCCCTCCCCGCCTCCCATGCTCTATTCTTCGGATCCTGGCCTCGGACCTCTGCATCGTGCTTGAGTCCATCGACAATAGGCCGCAACCGATCAATCTCTTTTTTGTATTCCTCATCCTTGCCCTGCTCGGGCTTCTCCAGCTTCTCCAGCTTGTCATGCTCGCCCTTTTCTTCGGCTTCCTGCCTCGCCTTCTTCTTCTCTTCCCACTCCCTGAGATCCCTTTCCCGGTCCCCGAGTTCATTCCTAAGCACGACAAAGTCGGAATAGGCTTCCTCGCCGCCAAAACAGGTGCCAAACTGGTCGCAGAAACATACATGTTCCTTGGGGCAGTATACGTTTTCGCCAGTGAAGACGAATTGCCACACGTACTCCCATATGCGACCGCTGAGGTGGTCTGGAAGCCGCGTGTTGAACAGCCAATCTCTGTACCATACATATTGCGCATAGGGTTTCGCCTGGATGCGTTGCCGCGAAAGGGCGAATTGGGCACAGCACGGCTGGGCCAGGACGCTCGGCACTCCGTCGAGTGGGAAGAGCTCCGACCAAGACTTTGCAATTAGGACTTCTTCCTGCTTGAAGTCGTTCTTCTCCGTTTCGCCGGGGTGCATCCAGTCTGGACAGCCGGGGTACCAGCTACACCGCATATTCACGAAGCCCTCTCTCCAGACGCGCTGCCGGCTCAGACGTGTTACAAGGAGATGTGCGTCGTTGCTGAGCAGGTCGTCGTTGTGCCAGGTCAACTGATGCGCGTGCATGAACATGGCCACGTCGGGCAAATTGTCGTAGTTGTCGATGATCCACGACAAGTAGATCATGACCTCGTGGCCCTTGTTCTTGGGCGGATGCAACGGTGCAGTGGGGTCATCTGCAACATAGACTGCCTTGGCCTGGTACGGCATCTTTTCCTCTATCCAGCCTATATCTTCGTCCTTTGTCTTTGCAATCACCAGGGTAGAGGTGTAATTATGCCCCGGCGGCATTGGCGAGCCTTTTCTGAAGTTGGGCTTGGGGTTCCAATTGGCGTAATCCGGGTCCTTTGCATGCGGACCATCTGTTGTAGAAGAGGCCCCGCTGCCGGTACCGGGAGGTTTCGCGCTGCTACCTCCAATGTGCTCTCCGAGTCCAACATGCTGCGGTAGTCCCCGCCATGTTTCGCGACTGTCTAAACTCGAATAGAAGAATAGGACGATGACGGCTGCTACGGTAAAGGCGAGGAACGGAATGGCCTTCCGCCTGGTCATGGTGCAAGCGAGCGACGATAATAGCAACAACAACAATAATAGAGGAAGCGAGCGCAGGCGAATAAGAAAAGTGGCGGCAAGGTCGGGGAAGGATCCAACCACGGGCTTATATTATTAGTTGTCAAGTCAATCCCCAGTGTCACTCTGGCGCACACGGGAGTCGTTGCACACCACTCACAGTGGAGAGGGGACGCGCGGCGCGCAAGTCAATGGAAGGCCCGGCAATGTATCTATGGGTGGGTGATCAGCATTGGGCAACCCACACAGCAGCAGCTTGCGATTAATAAAATGAGAAGAAGAAGAAGAAGATGGGCGGCGTCAGTCGACAAGAGAGGACACAGGGGGCCTTGGGTGGTGCCTGCGACGGGGCGCCATTGATGGATGATGCATGCAGCTGAGGAACGTCGGATCGATCAGAAAAGGCCGGGCTAGTGGCTCGGTGGCGCAGTGCCTCACTCAGTGCCTCCACCTCCCATCCCTGGGGCCTTTTTGAGCATTGCCTACATTTGTTTCCATCACAAGGTTTCCATCATTACAAAGTTTCCATCATTACATGGCACATGTGCATTTCAACGTGATAAGACGACAACGACAACGACGACGACGACTCGACATGGACTCGAATTCAAAACATGAACATAATCTACGTGTGACATGACACTATCTAGGCTGTATCGATCTGCGAATCCTGGGCAGGGGTGGTGAATTGCTTTTTACGGTTTATTATTAGTCCTTGTCTCGTTTCTTCCAACGACCAAATGGCTGGCTGAGCGTGCCTCACCAAGGGGTGCATGGTTCCGTGCCCCAAGGTAGAAAACGCAATAAGCTTCCACCACCCACCAGTCGATACAATCGTCTACATGTACATCTAAGCCTCTACCCATGTCTTGTCACTTGGCGGGAAACCATAGGCACACTAGTCCAGGTATACCTGAAATGCAACTTCACGTCAACCTGCTGCAGCGAGTCTTACCCAGGCGCCTCATCCCAAGTCCACACGCGTGCACATGCTCCATGCAGCGCGTGCCCAACTAAGAAAGGGATGCAATGACGAAACGGGAAATGACCACAAAACGAGAATCGGGGCACGCACCTCCAAGTGGACCTTACCGTCAGTCAAACTCGACAATTTGTCTGTCAACGCCATCATCATATGGGCGCTGACACGGCACTACACGTCTCTCCCTCAAAAGACTCCGCATCTTCTTGTCGTGCTTGCTTGCTGTCGTCGCATACGTCATTCTTGATTCTCATCGCCGCCTCTCTCAGACAAGACGCTGACGTGACCTGATGATTGCGGCGATACATGGTGGGTGGAGGCAAGTACTGTATTGGTCGGGTGTCGATTAATGCAAGCCCATTTACTGGTTACGTCGTCGAGGGCTGCTGTTGACAACGTCGCGGACATGGTGGATGATATTGTGTGTATTTAGACAGTGCTGGTGATGCGGAAGGTGGTGCGAACTGATTACTGGACGTCCAGGTTGCATCGAGAGGGCAAGAGATACAAGTACAATTTGTGGTCGACGAAGATGATCAAGATGTCTGATGCTCCCGAGGGCTATAGCTGTTGCCCTAAAAAGCCTTTACCGAATTGCTGAAACCGTTTCTCCAAGGAAAACCACCGAGCCGAAGAAGGGCTAGGAAGAGGTCGAGCTGCGAGATGGCAGACTATCGAAGTGTGCTACCTTGCGCTGCTGCGAACTATATCGAAGAACTTTTGTTGACCATATCCCTGTGTGTGCGCGTGTGTGAAGAAGCCGTATTAAACTGAACCCAGTGAAGTAGCCATAGGATTACAGGAGTGAAGTGCTGAGAGAGAGAGAGAGAGGTACCAAACCGAGGAACAGCCACACGAACCCTATCTTAGTACCGCTTGGGTTCTGGCAGGGTCAGCAAAGACGGCTAGCGGTAAGAGCGATCGTTATCACCCTCGTACGAGCGTCCTCCGCTGTACGCCTCGCGCGGAGGCGGTGCATCGCCGTAGCCACCGGCACCAGCGGCTGGGGGAGGAGGCCTGTCATAGTAGCCACCTCCGCCACCTCGACGGTCATCGCGGCCGCCCTCCCTGCCGCCATAGCTGCGATCAGAAGCGTAGCGGTCGACTCCGCGCGGGCCATAGTCATCTCGGCGAGAGCCACTGTAGCCGCGATCGTCATAGCGGGAACCACGAGAACCGTAATCATCGCGACGGCCATAGCCTCCGCCACCGCGACGGTCATCAGAGTAGCGATCGCCATAACGAGGGCCACCGCCGCCGCCGCCCCGACCTCCACGGCCACCGAACTCTGTCCAAGGGGTTAGCTAGTGTAGAGAGAGAGGGGGGAAAACGAGCAAACTTACCACGCTTGGGTGGGCCATAGTACTTGCCCGGAGTAGGAGTACGCGGGCGCGCACGGCGTGCCTTCTCGATGCTCAACGTCCTGCCCTGGTGAACTTCGCCCTGCAGACCCTCCTTGGCTGCGTCAGCCTGGTCTGACGTGACCATCTTGACGAAGCCGAAGCCGCGAGACTCCTTGGTATGGGGATCGCGCATAATGTTGCACTGTTCGACCTCGCCGTACTTCTCAAAGAGACGCGTCACCTCGTCCTCGCTGAGCGAAGGGTGGATGCCCGTGACGAAGAGGTTGGAGCCCGAGTTGCGGCTCTCGTCGTCATCGTTCCTGCGCTCTGGTGGCGGGCCACTGCGTACGTGTCAGTGAGCCGTTTCATCAACCACATCGCAACGACAAGACTGCGAGACATACCGGCTGTCACGATCGTTGGGAGAGGCGCTGCGGGCGCGCGCGTTGTCGTTGTCGCGACGGTCACCGCGCGGCGACCTACTGCGATCGCGCTCATAGCCGCGAGGCTCGTCTGCGCACCAGTTAGCCAGGGCTGAAAAGACGACGCAAGCCGGGCTACAAACCGTCGTAGGGGCGTTGGTCGGTTTCGTATTCCATGGTGATGGTGCTGGGTTGATCGAGAGCTGATGGTTGGCCGGTCGAGGTGAGGTGTTGTTTGTTCGAAAGTCCGAGCCTAGAATTTTTGGGCAGGGCTGATCGGCAGAGCTGCGGCTTGATTTAGTAAGCGTCGCGCTAGGACCAGCTGGCGCAAGCTTAGGTGTACAGCTAGAGAGAGCTGCTCGCTGCAAGAGGGTGGGGAAAAAAGCGGACGAGGCAAAAAGGCGAAGGGTGAAGGTGAAGGTCGAGGAAGAAAAGCCCGGGCGGTATTTATATGGGGGGTCAAGTTGCTGGAGCCAACGGACAAAGAGACAGCAGCAGCTACGCGAGCTGAATGGGAAGTGAGGCAACTGCTAATAAGGGGGCCGGCCACCACCAACGCCCTGTCTGAGCTTTTCAAACGTGCGCCCACTTGACTAGTCACACACTTTTCCTACATACATGGGCACATGTTTCAGCGTCGTCAGACGTTGGCTGTCTTCCATTCCTCCCTGCTATCGTGTGCTTGGTAAAGCAATCGCCAGGGCAAGTCCTCTATCCACGTCTCGCCCAATGGTGAAAAACCGAGACACCAGTAGGTAGTGCCCACCTGCGAAACCAAGATATGTTACAAATGCCCAAAGTAATACACGCAGCATCAAATAAAGTATGCGTGCCCCAAAAAGAAGAGAGAGAGAGAGAGAGAGAGAGAGAAGAAGAAGAAGAGCAAAAAAAATTAAAGACACAGACCTCAGACCATCACCTATACCTCGACCTCTTCTGCTTCTTCCGCGCCACTGCTTTCTGTATCATCTCTGGTACAGTCGTACCTGGTACATCATTTGGCCGAATGGGATCCGAGTCTGCAAGCCCGTCGAGTTCGTCGTCGTCGAGTTCGCTCAGTTCCTCGCTCATGTCTCGAAGTACTTCTCGCCCCGTGTACCGCTCCTCATATACCGTCGTGCCGTCAATGTCAAACGTCTCAAGATACCAGGGAATGCCGCCGTTGACCAGAGGGTTCAGAAGATTCTTCTCGGATCTTGGAGGCGTAAGCGGCTCAGGACGGCCGTTGCCCCCTACCACGTCCACCTCCATGGCGCCAGGTCCTTGGCCTTCTTCGTTGGAAACTTGTAAGGCATCTTGTCCTAGCTGCGCCGCAATAGCTGCGTCGTCGGTCGCTTCGTCATGCGCTGCGTCATGTGCGTCGGCGGCATTCTCATCAGGTGTAGGCGCGAGCTGGACTTCTTCGAGTTTGCTGGCAGCTTTTGCACCCATGTCGAGCATATCTTCTTCGGCCTGCTCGACCTCTGCTAGGCCCGTCTCCGTCGTCTGTCGGATGCTGCCTTCATAGGAGAGAGCACTGGGCCTGCGTTGTAGTTTCTGGTTGAGAAGCGTCTCGAGATCAGGCAGTTTCTCGTAAGCTCGGCCTGCCAATTCAGCTTCCTTGCGCATGGCTTCTTCGAAGAGTGGTTGCAAGCCTTTAGTGATACGCTTGACCAGTTTCTTCATCTCTTTCTGCTCTGACGACAGAGTGCTGTGGGCGACTTTGTTCATCTGGCTTTCCGCGTCTCCAAGCGTAGTGACAGGGGCAAAGCCGACTTCGGCGCTCAACACTGCTGCCATGTCCTCGTTGAATGTTTGCACTGAAGGGTAGAATTTCTCATCGAGCTTGATCTGTAGATCGCTGAAGCCATCGGCGAAAACGCCTCTACTGTCATACCTATAACCAAGTCAGTATAACATCTTTGAATCATGGCAGAAGTAGCTTACGTCATTGCTCGATGGAGTATCGGCTCCAGCAGCCGTGGTATCGGAAAGTAGATGCAGTCAACAATCTGTTTGAGGATCATGACGTCTTTGAGCTTCTCTGCCTCTCGTTGCTTGACCATGTCGCAAAGAACCCGAATCTGTTCCATGTCATCTTCGAGACGCTCTGCGAACTCGATGCGCCGCTGAAGTCGTGGTCTACCAGCCGCGCCCATACCCGCAAAGCTGCGCCGGGTAATTTCCATGGACGAGAAGGCTTCCATCTGCAGCTGAAGACGCTTGAGAAGAGCAGCCCCACGGCGTGCCTCACGCTTTAGCGTCCAGTACTTGCAAGCTTCTTGAACGAATTCCTTGCGCTTCCGGACGTTAAACTTGATGAGTGTGGTTTCAACGTTGTGGTAGACGGCCTGCGGCACAACAGGTGCTCCGGACGGAAGTCTCCACGACTTTGTCGATTGGCCCCGCTTGCGCTTATTACTACCTATAGTGTCGTCATCATCGGCGCCTTCGATTGAAGGCATGGCGTGCGATGAGCCTATGGAGAGGGCGTATGCTTGACTATCAGGCCATCGAACATGACGCATGGTGTGGCGGTAAAACGCTTTTGCGTCTGCAACTGCGCTGTCTACGTCGTATTCACGCTTCCAGTCAGAGGGCGTGTGTCGATCACAATACGCTTTAAGCACAGTGCCATCAAGTGGATTCGCCGATTGGGAGGACTTCATCCGCAAGCATAATCTGGCCCTACGAGCGCAGGTGACATGAAAGGCCTCGAAACAAGACTTGTGCCCGCACTGAATGCACGCGCCCATCCTCTGTTTGCAAATGTAACAGGACTATAGGTCTTGTCAGTCAAATGATTTTTTTTTGGCACGACAAGCAGTGAGCTTACAAGTTTCCAGCGTGTTTTGGGCACCTTTTCAACATCTTGCACTGGCTCTTGGAATGTCGCATTGCCCAGCGATACCTCGGGAATCCACATGGCACACAGAAGATGTGCCCATTTCATCGCTGTTGTTTGTTTGAAAGCGCCGTCTACATTTGGACAGAATATGCAGCCCTACGATCGTTAGCAAGGAACCAGTAGGTTGTACAGGAGCCACGTACCGGAAGCTCACTAACAGGGGTACCGCGCCCCACTAATTGACATCGTCTGCAGAGCCATTGTCCTTCTGGTATGAATGGCACACCATAACATTCTTGATGAACGGCCAAGTCACAGCCGTCGCAGAATACTATTGCGTTTGTGTTCTCGCAGTCGCCGTCATCACAGATAGCACACTTAGTATCTTGTTCTTCGCCTTGGCCAGCAGGTTCCCCGTTAACTGCGGCTGCACTGCTTGAGCGCGGACGATGCGTTTGAGGTGGCTTCGGATTTGGCTTTGGGATGCCTGCACATGTATCAGCGACGCCCTTGAGCAATGTTCAGTGTGGTGGACACTTACGTTTCTCCAAAGCATGCCACTCCTTTTCGATTTGTGTAACAGTGACTTCAAATATTGCAGGTTTGATGCCTTCCACCCCCTCCTCCTTTCGCTGTAGGTTGAGCGCTTCCAACCAGCGATCATCCTGTTCGTCCATGTCATATTCTACGCGGCCAACGGCGACTGCGCCTGCAGAGCCCTCGGTTTCTGTTTGTAGCGTCAAGTCTAGGTCCTCTTCAATGGACCCTTCAGGAAGCCGAATCAAGCTGTTCTCTGGCCTTGCGAAGACTTCGCTCTCTTGATACCCAATGTTTGCCATTGTTCGATCAACATAATTGATCTTCACTTGCTCGCTTTCTTCGTGGGCTTTGAATGGGTCGACTTGGCGCACCGACGGCTTGGGCAGGTTCAGCTTCTCCCTCGGGTTCATAGTCGGAAGGGGATTTATGCGCGGTCGTGGGGGCGAGCCCAGCCCAGCAAGCATAGAATCCTTGTTCCGCGGTGGACGGCCTGGGCGTCGCTTTGGCGTGACCAGCGCTCCTGTGCCATTGACTGCTAACATGAAATCCTCTTGTTCGGCGGCTTCCACTTGTTCTGCACGCAGGCTGTCGAGCATACCAGACAGACCAATCTCCACCGCATATTGGCCACTAGACGAGCCATCAAGCGGTGTATCGGGTGCACTTTCGGCAGGACTTATGCCATCGATTTGATCGGCGCTGAAGACGGGGAACTCAGCATCGATGTCAAGATCTGGGTGAAACTCATCCCAACTCCGCTCCTCGCGCGGCTTATATCCATCGTTCTGCGCCACGGCGGCGGCAACGGCAGCGGCCGAGCTGGAACGCGGTCCAGCTGGCGGCCTGTCGCGTCGGGGTCGTGAGTATGAGGGCGAGGGCGCGGGTGCGGGCAGTCCTTGTCTTTCAGCGTTGAGACGTCCGACACGGCCACGGGGCCCCGTATACGCGTAGCCTCCGGGTCCTGTTCCTCCTACTGGCGTCTCTGTGCCTTCGTCATCGACGTATCTGCCCCCACCTCCTGGTCCACCGGGAATGTACTTGCGCCTCTTGCTGGGAGGCGCTGAATCAGAAATATGTCGTCTCGGCGGTCGTGCGGAGCTTCTCACGCGTGGTCGTGGAGTATCGGGAACAGGCGCCATGGAGAAGGTGTGGAATGTGTCGAGAAGCCAGCAAGGGTGAAGTCGCCCGTCGCGAGCTAACGCGCCGGCACCGGGTGCAATCTGCCGGCAGGGCTACCGCAAGCGCGCGTCCACCAGGCAAGCGAATAGCGGGCAGTTCATCAATCGCAGAGCCAGCGGAGGGCAAATGGGTCGAGGGCGTGTGGGTTGCCAGACGGTGCGCGCCATGGTGGAATGCGCCTCCGCTTCCTGTCCAGGCCACAAACAGGGTTAGCGTGCCAAGTCGGATTGTGGCTTCCATTGCCCGTGCAGGGTTAGCTCGTCGCTTCCCGTTTACTCCACAATTGCAGGTACACGGCCGATCGTCAAGCAGCGGGAGGCCATACAGGTCGACTGGACTGGCAGAGTATCCTTATTGACAATATATTCACAGTCAGTCAGATGAAAGCAGAAACGAGACCAAGACGAGACCAAAAAGAGACCGAAAGTCGCGCCACTTGATTCGACCTTGTGCTTCTCATGATTGCAGAAGACGACGACGCAGCGCGCAGTTCTGCTCCTGCCTTCTCCCATATCTGTCCAAGGCCCATCTTTCTTCGTCTTTACTCTAGACACAGAACTTGAAGACCCAGCACGCTGACTCGGCATACGTTTGCGCGTGTGTCGGTCAAAACCACGCCGGACGGACACCCCCGGTTCCAATAGGCCGACTACCAAAAACTTGAACTGCATACATGTCCCAAGCGATGTGGTTCCTGCATGTGCCGACGAAATCCTGTCGCCCATCAAGGCAGCGACGCGTTACTGTTGGCTATCAGTAATCGCTGCACTCACTACCTAGCTAAGCTTCATCCAAGTGGCTTCTACTCATCTCTTCCTCAAGCATCATCATTACCGTGATACACATTGGAGCATACGGCGGTCGCTGCAACTACCAACGCCGGGACACTCTCTTAAGCCCAAGTCTGCACGCCAGCCGCATGTTCCGTACCCAGAGCACTAATGGTACATGAGGCCCCAGCTAACGCAGTACTTGCGCCTTTCGGTGTCTAGCCTACTCGTCATCACGCTTGAAACCCTCACTAGTTCTGTTTCTATGGCCCAGGTGTTTTGTTCAGACAATCCATTAAACCGTCAACCTCTGTAACAGCTCCTAACTTCTTTCGGTAATCGATGCGCGATGTGAACCCTACATACACTTGTCCCATAAAATCTTCTCTTGGCAGACACCCAGGCATTATTTTAGCTGCCACGACAAATGAGCTATTGCCCCAAACAAAAGTCTGCATGACCGTCAATTGTTACTTCTTGTAGAATCCCTGTCTCATCGGACTGAAAATTGCATAGGTGGACAACCCACCCACGCCCAGCCGAACAATGCACCGCACCAACAAGCAATCGCGCTCAGTCGATACGGACTTTTTTTCCAAATTTGACCTCGGCTGAAAAGTTCCGAGCTATTACCGTAGGCGCCCATAGCTATTCGAAGTAGCTAAGCTTCTCACGTGAGATACGCTAAGGTAATGCTTGGGTACTGCTGGCCTAAGTAATCATAGACTCACCATATGATTCAACCAGTTCCTCCTTCTCAAATCTACCTGTTACATTCCACTATACAACGCCAAACCTCGACCCGGCCTCATCATGGCACAGACAGATTCAACACCACCGAAACCATTCAGGGTAATCGTTGTGGGAGGCGGAATTGTCGGGCTGTCACTCTCACACGCCTTCCAACTCGCCAATATCGACCATGTCGTTCTCGAAAAGTACGATAAAATCATATCGGTCAAAGGTGCGGCGCTGTTGATCTGGCCAAGCGTATCGCGCATCTTCGACCAATTCGGTTTTCTAGACAAGATCCACAAGACGACTACACCCATAATGAAGGAGTACCATCGATGGCCAGATGGGAGTCTGCACTCAAAACGAAACTCCTTGGTCAGGGTCTCTGAAATGTATGTTGACCGCGCTTTGATCAGAACTCGTATGCAAAAAGGCACTAACATTTTCCTAGCTTTGACCTACCATCCATCTTGTTCGACCGCCAGACGCTTGTGACTCATCTGTACGAAAATTTACAAGATAAATCAAGGATCCATACAAGCAGGCGGGTGGATCGTATCGAGCATACTGAATCCAGTGTCCGTGTCTTCCTTTCCGATGGCTCTGTCGAAGAAGGGGACATGGTCATTGGTGCAGACGGCGTACATAGTGCTGTTAGACAGCAAATGTGGGGATATGCTAGCCAAGACGAACCAGAAACTATCCCCGAGTCTGACAAGACAGCCATGTTCACCGAATTTGGAGGACTGTTCGGTGTCAGCGAGCTAAAAGACTCTTTTGGCCTAAGTCCTGCGGATGCCCATGTCATATACGGTCATGGCGATACCAAGCTGTTATTCACACAACCAGGCGTAGCCTACTGGGCTATTATGTTCAAGGAAGAATTAAGTCGGCCACCCCAGAGACGAAAAGCTAGCGAGGAGGATATCGAGGCTATGGCGAAGCACTTCGCGAACACACCCTTCACTGAGAATCTCAAGTTTAGTGCTTTGTGGGAGACGAGGTCAAGATATGGACTGTTGAATATCGAAGAAGGTATCCTCTCGAAGTGGCATGCTGGCAGGATAGTACTGGTAGGAGATTCAGCACAGAAGGTATGGCCTATTCCGCGCAACCGAGCACTACTAGGCTACACATGACGCCTTCATGCACGAGGCGTTGACTTTTTGACTACAACTCTAACATGTTGGACATAGATGACTGCGGATCTAGGCATCGGTGCGAACATCGCTATCGAATCCGCCGTCAGCCTATGCAATATCTTACACCGCGAAATCAAATCCGACCCCAACCGCCACCCTTCCAAGTCAGAGCTCTCCGCTTGGTTTAACGAATACCAAGAAGATCGGTTCAATCGCACGAAAGAATTTGTCGACCTCTCTGGAAAAGTTACTCGGATGAACTCGTACCAAACGCTCTTTGGGAGATACTTCCTTACCTACGTTGCGCAGTATCTGAGCGAGATACAGCTGTGGAAGTTTGCCGAATCTTTCGCTGTGGCGCCGAAATTGAACTATGCGCCGGTGCGCACGATCAATGAGGATACCGTAGGTTGGAGGCTTGCGAAGAAGAAAGGGGACAAGGCAAGCGTCAGATGGTTGACATATGTCCTCGTGACTTCAACGGTCAGCGTCACAATCGCAATTGTGGCGAGGAACTTCCTTTACTCCTCTAAGAAGCTATAGCCTGTTCTATATCATTGATATCTTCGCCTATCTATCATGGGCTCATAAAATGCATACTCCTCTCTACGAGCAGACTCGTCAAATACAGATGTGGTCAGTCAGAGTCCCCATTCTGGATCATAATAATCACATCCCGGATGATGCATCACCCCACCTCGGTTCTTCTTCGCATACGGTGCAAGACACTGCCAACAGAACTCATGCTTACATCTCGAACCTACGCAAAAGTCAGCATCCCATCTCATTCAAAACTCAAACGCCATAGAGGCTTAATCTCACAGGTCATGTGGTCGCACCCATAACTCTTCTCAATAGTCTTTTTGCACCCGGGGCACTTCTTCGTCGTCTCCAGGATTAGTTGTTTACTCGCTGCTTCTTCGGCTCGCTTCAGCTTTTTGTTCGTCCTGTAGTCATATTCCTTGCATGTCTCTCCCGTATGCCATGCGACATTGTGCTCGACGCAATGAATCTTTTTACATGCCACGCAACGGAATTTTGCGATACTTGGTGCTTGTACTTGCCCTGATTGGCAGCCTTTCGTGATGCACCAACGGAAGCCTGGTATAGCTTCGAGGGTAGCACGAGTGCTAAGCTTGTGATACCAAAGTGGAAGTCAGTATACCGTGGGGGTTTCTTCTGACTGCTAATAGTGCCTCGACTGCTTACCGACGGAACACGTCGTGCGATGCAAACTCTCGCATGTCTTTGTGTTGCAGCCGCATCGAGCACACAGGACAGTTGATCTCATCCCAGATTTTGGTAGCAGATTCGGATTGGATCCACTTCTTCAAGCACCGCCGGCAAACATCTACTTCATGCGCGCATTGAGTTGATGGTGGACGGCTAGGGAAACGAGAGAGTGAACGAGTGTCAGTGCAAATGATGCAATCTTTAGTTTCCTTTGGTTGGAGGTGTCGATGAGATTTTCGACCGGAAGGAGTTGAATGCCCATCAGTTCTACTGTGAACATTGTGTGCATTCCTTGATTGCGAGGCTTCAGCCGGGCGACCTGGTCGACGATCGGTATGGGGAATCTTGGGAGCTTCCTTTTGACTTTTGAGCTTTCCTGTTCTAGATCCAGCTAGGTCAGTTGTCCTCGACTGAGGCTTATCTTGGGAGCGTTTTGATGTGCCTGAGCGTGTTTTCATCTCTTGTGTTCTAGCCTTGTTGTATAATCGAGCAGATCTCACTCTTGTTCGGGGTTCATCTACCCCTTCGGCTACTCTCTTGTGACTCGAAATCTTTGAATAAGTTCTTCGCCTTTGTCCATGTTGTATAGTGACCGGATCTGGCTGTCTGCTAAGTAACTGACCCATGGGGATTAGGCTGAGGTTGCAACTTCAGCCCCTAAAAGGTAGAACCGAAACCAAATGAACAGAGCTTGTACGACAGGATAGTACATATAATAACAACGATGTAGTTTCAAATAACCCAGGAATTCTTCAGGCAATAAAGGTTGGAGGTAGGTGCGCTGAGCTGTTGCGTATGAACGAACGCACAAGGTTCAACTGATGTGCCCGGACGCCACAACGGGGTTAACGCCAGACGCAACGGGTACGGCACGTACATCTGCAAATCTCCAAAGCCGTCATCATAACACAAGGTAGAAAATATCGCCGAGACGATGTTATTGCGGGGTCCGCACCGGTCACGAAGACCGAAGAGTAAGCTGATTGGATACCCACTCTGAGGGGTTGGTGGCTTGCAGGAAGTTTAGGCGAAATGTTCCTTGAGGCTGGGTATGTACCACTGTTTCAGTGACTGAGATTCTGTACGGTCGTTGATGTGTGTAATGCGTTCTGTGCATTTGTGCAGAAAGTCATGTACGTATACCCCCAAGGGTATCTATATTTAGTTGCGCCTTTCTTACGTAGAGTTTTCTTTATCCTGTAATATGCATGATCTCGCTTGCAAAGTTGCTCCTCGTTCTAATTCTCGGACCGTAGAAGACCAGTATCCAAGGTACTACAGTAAGGAGCGTACCGATTCCACCCAGAAGGCTAGATGCGGGGCCATAACCGAGCTGGTCATACATTTGTATTGTGATGAGAGGAAACATCCCGCCTGAGGCATCGTAAGTGAGTATGCCTACAATGAGATAAGTAGACCTACCGAGCATGTTTCTGCAGAATGACTGCGCTGCTAGTGCCGAGCTCGCATACCGGTGATATGTATCAGCTAGATAGTTGAATGTTGAGAGGTAGATTGCGAAGATGCCAATAGTGGCGATGCCGATGGCGATAGTCGGCACTATCCAATGTATATTCGACGAACTCGTCCAGCCAAACATGAATAGGCCAACTGGCATACATGCGCTCTCCACGCACGCAAAGTACAGCCTTGCCTCAGGGGTACTAGTCAATTTCCCATTCTTTCGTGCAAATTTCTCCTGATAGATGGATAGCACAGTTGCGACAATGCTTCCTACACACATAGCCGCGAAGACAGCGTTGGATTGCTGCAACGAGAAGCCATGATTTCTCTGGAACACAAGCGGAATTGCAGCAAGGGTTAGGTAAAGTACGGCCCAACTAAACGATACCCATAGAGAAAACCAGAATACCACTGGTTCGGTGAGAAGGAGATGGAAAGGGCGGTAGAGAGATATGCCAATCATCTTGCTCAGAGATGCGCGCTCCTCATCCGCTTTAACTTTCCATCGTATGCGCTCCGATATGGTGGTGCCCGACTTCGCGGTATTGATGATGTTCAAACCGTAGTAACCTGCTGCTTCGCGCGCTTCATACCATGTGTTCAGTGTCTTCGCTTTCCGAGAAAGCAGGACAGAACCGCGTGTTTCTTTGAATATGACACAGATCAACGCGACCATGATCCCACACACGATCGTCTGCATATGGAATATCCAGCGCCATGTTGTATTCTGGGCGATGAACCCACATACCATAGGACCCAAAGAGGTTCCGCACAAAGCTGCCCCAGCGAACAAAGCCATTGGTTTGTTACGATCTGCAGCATGGTAGACTAAAGATTGAGGTACGAAGTCAGAATATGTCTTATGCAACTCGTACACCAACCGTTACGTTACTTACTATCGGATACTACGCCACCGACCATTGTTGAGAATGTCGAACCTGAAAGATATTAGACAATACGTGCTACATACAGTTACACATGTACACTTGCCACCTACGCCGACGAAAAAGCGTACGACGAGCATACCAGCATAAGATTGCGTGAAACCAGTACAAAGCTGGCATATTACAAAGATGAGTCCGGAAATGAGAAAGACAGGGCGACGCCCATTAATCTCGGAGAAAGGCGCAAGGACCATAGGAGCTACTGCGAAGCCTGTTGTAAAAGTAGTGATGCCGACAAGTGCAGCGACGCTACTAACGTCCCACTCCTCTGCCATCTGCCCTACACCAGGACTGTAGGCTCCGGCTGTGAATGCAGTAAGCGCTGTTATAATGCATGAAACCCATATCGTGACGTTTTTTCTCGTTTCTGACCAGTCAAAAGGGTCGGTGAATTTAGCGAGGTTTGGAGGCTCGGGTGGTAGTCCCTGACCAGCTTGTGTCGGGTATATTGTCGTCGGATGTGGGAGTTCAGTCTCGAACGTCAAGTACCGCCAGACAATCTCTGCATCTTGAAAGCTTTCTTGCGATCTATAGCCACTGTTTTCCTGCTCTGTCTTACGGAATTCTTCTTCCTCAAGCTCGGTGTCGTTATCAGCAGCGGGGTCGCAGTCTTCAGCTGGACCTGAGCGCACACTCGGAAATATCGCTATTCCCGTCTCCTTGTTTGATGTGTCTGCGACATTGACCTCTGGATGTAAGACCATGCTACCACTGGCTCCTCTGGTCCCAAGGGTCTCGGGAGAGATCTCACAGGTATCGTTGATGGGGGATATTAGAGGACGAGAAAAGACAGAAACAAGTTATAATATAAGAACCCAGATTCCGTCCCCAACACGGCGCGGGAATGACTAACTCGCATGCTAGGCTAATATGACTCTAAACCGAACCAACAGAAATTAAGCTTGACCCGGCGTATTTCCGGTGGGCTGAATGAACGTTGTGGGGATGGCCGGGAATAGGAAAGTATTATTAGATAAATAGCCACTCAGGCCCGACAAGCAAGCATCCTTTCCATTCAAAGAAAGCATGGCCGAAGGATCGATCCACCTGCGTCATGTGGAGAGGATTGGCAGATTAGTTGAGGGTCTAGCTACCCAGCAGCCATAAAACACCACTTCCTGGATCAGTTTGATTAAAGAGCTTATGAGGTTATTCCCGAGAGGGATTATAGTCTCTTCTTCATTGGTGAAAATGATCCATAGCGCGAACGACTGCGGGTTGAGAGGATTTTCAAAGCGCCTGCGCCCTAGTTAAGCTATCGCTAGTTTCTGTAAAAGTACTTTAAGTGCAAAAGTATTTATAATTATATTAATTTTTTTAAAATAAGTTTTAAAATAGTTACCAACTATAGTTTTAAACTTTATTATTATTTTTTTATAATACTATATATTAATTTTCTGCTTTTTATAACTACTATTAATTAATAAATTTAATGTAAGTTTTAATTATATTTGCAAAAAGTTACTTGCTTTTAAAGCCTATATAAAGCTATTTTATAATTTTTATTTTTTATTTTTATATAATAGCATAATAAATTCTTTTTTTTTTTGCTTATTTTAGTATTAACCTTTTAAACCTGCTTTAGCTAAAACTATAAAAACTTTTTTTTAATAATTTTATTATAAAAAAAACCTAGCAACTTGTAAAAATAAAAAAAAATATAGCTATAGTATAATTTGCTTTTTTTTATTAGGACTATGCAATAAATAAAAAGCTTTTATTTTTTTATATTTATTTACTAATAATAAAAGCTATACTAAGTATTAAGCCTACTAAAGTAGCTAAAATAAAAACTCTTGACTAGTTACTTAAAAGACTAGTTAGCCAAACTAAGTCTGCAGCTAACCAGACATATGTAGCCCTTCTCAAACAGTCTAAGGACATAAAGCAGCCGCGTTGCCTTTGAATCTGCCGGCAGTGGTTTGGCTGTGTGTTATGTTGAAGCGAATCGGCAGACATGGCTTGACCAATTCGAGTCTCATTAGCATGCACTATGGCTAGAGGCAGAGTGTACTCATCTGAGTGCGCCAGTGCGGATGGTACTACATCTACTTAGGTAGACTAGAGGCCTTCAACAAGCTACCTACTTTTAGTTCTAATCCATAATGTACCCAAGCCCACTTAGTTCAGTCTGGTACGTCAAGTATCGCTAGGCGCTCTCTGCATCTTGGATCAAAGCCCAGGAAAGGTTCAGCCGCGTAAGGGAAGGATTGCTATTCAAGTTACCGGAGCCTCCACAAGCGCGCTCGCCCTACTGTTGTCTATGAAGTGAAGTCCAGCAATCCCTTTCCTATCATACAGCCACATGACGAGAATCTCTCCGAGATGGGCATCGCGATGCGAAAGTTGGAGCCAGGATCACACGTACTGATCACGCAGAGTATGAAAGGTGAAGGGCAGGAGAACGTAGTCGGATAAAGAAGACAAGGTTCTAATTTTGCAAAGCATTGGAACAGGTCGTAATATCAGTAGTAATTTGATCATTAACATCATTTTGCATCTGGCTTCCTAGCACGGTCCCACCATACCTCTCGTTGCTGAATGTACTTCCGCACCCCGCCACACACACATGATCCTTCTAATCCTACTTGTCCACAAGACGTCTAGAATTGTAGTCACCTACATAAGCTTCCGGCCAACATTTTCATGTGGTGATAGGAGTGCAGATTTTTAGAAGCGGTACATGAGTCGTGCAAGCCAGCTCGAATAGTAGAGGTTGCAAATCCACCAAGCTAAGTGAAGCAGTCAACGACTGCAAGCGCAATGCTGGAGCATCCATATGCCTATTGATCGTAGAACTAGAAATGCAAGTTCATATACTCACCCAATCCATCCACGACTCCAAAAATCGCAATCTACCTTGTCTCATGGGCTCCGCAAACTCGTCAAAACTGATTAGACCGCCGCCTTTTCGGTCATTCATTTCTTGCTCGACTGTCTCTAAGCTAGCTAACATAGTGATATGGAGTCGAGAATTAGATTCCATGGCCAGCTGGCGTATATGGCGTACCAAAGGCTTATGTGGGTCTGTCTCTGGCTGGTAGGGGTTCGTCGAGTGCGTAACCGGTCTCGACGATGAACGTAGCACATCAACACCGCTTTTAGTGTCGACAAAGAGGAGGTAGATGGAGAGATTGTGCGTGTAGGAACGCCAATTGATAACCGGGGATTGGCTAGTTAGGTGCTCTTGTCTTGGTGAGATAGTAGAGGAAGATGGCTCGTCACTAGGTGCAGGTTCCTCGGCTGGGGTTAACAACACAGGGTGTGGCGGTGGAGGTGCTAGTGCTGAACCGGAGCCATTATCTTCCTCTTCGGGTTCGCCTGGTTCCTCTGGGTTGGAAGGCTTGATTTCGGGAACTGTAAAGACAAAGAAGGGGCCTTGTGGATCTGACGCTATGTGCTCTATCCCTTCAGGATTATGGTATACAGCCATCTCTTCATTTCCGGATACCGAAGACTCGTCTCTATCTTGCGATTCATCATGAGTGCTAATGGAGCTACTAGGAAAAGACCTCGCGGCATCGATATCGGCTTGCGAGTTGGGTCGAAACTGAGGCATGGTAGGATCACGATAGATCGATGGGGCCTGATTTGAGCCTTCCGCCATGATCGGCTTCCCGTTTGAGAGTGGCCAAGCGATCCAACCTAGATGAGATACGCATTCCACAACAGCATTCAATATCTCCTCTTCCAACTCATGTCTACAGAGTGACGTGTTCCATAGCGTCATCTTGTCAGGGTTCATTTGCCTCATAGTCTTGATAGAGCGTATGACGGTCTCCTCAACAGACGCATAGACGCTAGCAAGTCTAGATCTTGCCTCACCTCGACTAATTTCGCTGCCATCATCGTCCTGGAAAATGGCTCTGAGAGTGGCATAGTGGTTCCCGCTATTGAGCGTTTTGCAGAACATGTCAACAACGCATTTGGAGAATCGAAAGATGCCTACTTGTATAATGGCTTCGAGGTCATTCTTCGTCGTCTTCAACAACTCCATGGCTTCATCGATGGCAGCAGCATGCTTCCGACGATCACTGCGTGTTGCGTAGGCATCCATTGCCATATCTTCCTTGTCCTGGAAGAGCGGATCAAGAAGCTCGTTAAAACCTTGTTGGGTGATTTGATAAAGCACCTCCTTCCCAAGATCTTTTTCAGGCTCGGGTATTTCATAGCCGCCCCAGCGCTCTCCAGCCGGCCTAGATGATGTTGAGGCGTTGGACCGAGTCTCTACGTCTACATCGTCATGGAAACGAACTCTCGAAGAGGATCGCGACCATCGTGGGCGTTCGTTCTCTGACGTTGCGTTATTGAGGCCTCCGGTCTGCGTTGTCTCATCGATAGATGCTTCTCTAGTCGGATGTGCATCCTCTACACCCTCGGGCGTAGTCATGCCCTCTTCTTCGTCAACATAGAACTGCCTTCGCGCCCATCTGTCTGTGACGACACGGTCTTGCGCGCTCTGAGGCATTTCTCCGGGCATCACATTACGAAGGTCGGTAGCCCTCAGTATGTGCTCGCGATCCGCCACGTCCAAGCTATCATCGTCAAGAACTTGCGTGGTATGACCGTCAACGTCATCTTGGACCTTCCGTTGCAGCCGAGAGTTTGGGCCATTCGAGGCGGCCATATTGTGCGGGGGAGGGGGAAACGCAGAGCCTAGCGGCTGGCTGGACCGTATCGTTTCCAATGCGTTCCGAATAGATAGGTCTTCGGTGAGCTCCGCAACGTAGTTGCGCGTGGCCTCCTGCTCAATGGCATAGAAAGCCCGGAATACCCTCAGTATGTCCTTGCGCGATATGTAGCCATCTCCATCAATATCATATCCATTGAAGACGATCCTCGTCTTGATCTCTACATCGGTTGTGTGCATACCGTTAATTCCCTTGATCCATTCATCGAAGCCAATCAGGCCATTCTTGTCCGTGTCGTAGTAGGCGAAGATGCGGTCGTAGATGAGGTTTGGTGCAGATGCGAAGCTGTTGTAGCGAGGGACAAATGCATGATTGAAAGCTCGTCGATCAAGCGCCCATCCCACGCCACTCGTGTCTCCGGCCCATTCGGTCCCAGCGAGACAGCTGAACTGATCCCAGAGGGCCTCGATTTCCTCTGCTTCCATCTTTGTCTCCGAGATAAGGCGCTTCTTGAGTGGTGTGTCAATCGAAGGGCTCATCGTGTGAGGCTTACCGGGATACAAGGGTTCCTGCTTTGGCAACCCTAGGTAAGGCGCAGGCACACGTATTTTGTAGAAGATGTGCGTCTTGTAGTGGGAATTGGTGGCTTCGCAGTTGGAGCATAAGTCGAAGTCGACGCAATTGGCGCAGTGCCATCTGACGCCCCGAATGGGTTTCTCGTCACAGCCGTTGCAGGTGATACCTCGATGGATCACACCCTCCTGCCTCGCACGATCTTCGGCTATGTGGTATAGGGTACGCTGGAGGGTTTGACCATCTGGGTCAACCGGGTCGCCTTCGGTGTCCTCGTCGCTTCTCCATGACAGTTCTGTGGCCGCGACACTCTCAGCGCCATCACCTGCAGCAACTTCAGCGGGAGGGAAGCTCTCCGCGTGCCTCTCGGCTGCGCGAGCTACCGTAGCATTGTCTGGTATGCGGTCGCCGATCCACCTCTGGATTGCTTCAACCTCTATCGGGGAAGGCGATCGACTAGGAAATAAGAAGATTAGGAGGCGATCGAGAAAGACGTCGTACAAATCCCCGATTGCCGTCTCTATAGCCTCTTCGCGGGCGTTGGGATCCGCCTGCGCAATGACATGCCGAAGCTCGGCCGTAGACACGAGGTTGTGAGAATCGAGGGATATGCGCGTTCCCAACAGGTTGTATTCGCCCAGTGAAGGTATCTCATGTGCATAGCGCGCGATGCTCAACGAGAGGGCGCGTGCTGAAGGGGAATCCCGCCGGCGTATGCGGCGGCGGACAGCGTTGCTTCGCTGAAGGCCATGGCTAGGTGACGCCCGAAAGGTGCTGTATACGAGGTATGCTGCATAGGCTGCCGCTGCTCCGGTGAGGACGAGAATGGCAGGGCGATATCGTGACGCAGACGACGGGGTCAAGCTCGGCATGGCAGAAGTCCCAGGTGCTCGGCAAGTTAGCTCAGCTCGACGAGCTACGACGGGCTACGATTCGGGCACTTCGATTTCTCGGCCTTGGTGTCGTGACAGACAGGTCAGCGCGCAGCAGCTACCTAGTTGACATGTTCATACGCGTCAAGAGCCGTCATACCGTCGTGTCAAGTGGCAGCCTTGGAGTGTGAATGCTCTTGTCACCAGCGGTTGCTTACTCAGCGATGTGGACCTCCGAACTGCTTCATACAACCAACCCTCTTGCATAGTGTTGCATATCATATTGTTCTCACCCATACGGGAATCTGAGTTTCGATACACTCATCTTGCACCATGTATATACGTATATACGTATATACGCCCCTCTCGTCTCTCCACCTTGTTATGCCTTTACCACGCAGCGTGCCCACCATCCATCCTCAGATCTGACCCAGTCATAAATGAGCTAGCATCACTAATCAAAAACACAGCAGCCCCTCGATACTCGTTGGGAGCTGACAGACGTCCCAGCATATTTTGTGTCGGCCACTGCTCTCTTCGCTCAGGATACTGCTGGAAGAGTTCCTCCACCATTGCCGTCACAATGTATCCTGGCGAGATGGTGTTGACCCGAATGTTATGCTCGCCCCATTCGGACGCGAGGTTCCGACCGAGTTGAATTACACCTGCTTTTGATGCATTGTATGCCGAGCATATAAGACCCTATTGAGCTTGTCAACATGGGAGAGTTCAACGAGTGTCCGAATAGCGTACCCTATTAGCAACAGACCCAGACATGCTCGCAATGAGGACGATACTTCCACCATTTCCAAATCTGATCATTTGCTTCGCAGCCGCTTGAGCCGTCATCATGACACCGGTAATGTTGACCGAGAACATGAGGTTGGCGTCCTCAGCCTTGTATTCTAGGGCTGGGGTTTCCTGTTGGATGCCAGCAGCTGCAATCAATCCATCGAGCCTCCCCTCCTTGTCTGCAATCTCTTGTACAATCTTGTGCAGGGCTTCTACCTCTCGCACGTCAATTTGCCTGTATTCGAGCACCGTTCCAAGCTTCTTTGCCTTCTCAGCGACTGTGTGGAAGTCTGGTGAAGGTTCGGGGAGCCTGTCGAGAGCATACACTTTGCATGAGTGAGCTACTAGTGAGACTTTGCAGTTCTGTACTGAGATTCGGGCGCACCTTTTGCCCCAGCTTCCAGCAATGCTTCTGCTTGCGTGAGACCAAGACCTCGAGCAGCCCCAGACACCAGCACCACCCTGTTGGCTAAGCTGAATTCTGGGAGTCCTTGAGCCGACGTCATCCTGATTGTTCTCCGTTTAGATCAGTTGGATCTGGAAATTGTAAAATAAATAGGTCTAATGGGATGCAATGATCTTACTGAAAACAAAACTTGGAATGAAGCTTAAGAACTTGCGGAATTGTCTCTTAACCGGACTTTTTTCCTTCTAAACAAGGCGCCATGTGGGCTTTAAACTAGGCTCTATGCGCATCTTGAGGTCACCCGACCTTTTTTAAAGGGTCTCGGCCACCGTTTCCTCGACAGTGCTTGCCTACAATTGCTTCTTTTGAGAGCTCTGTTTGCGGGGAACTCTACCAGCAGCGTCGGCTGTGCTTAATTAGGTAACCCGACAGCCCGCGGCGGGGAATGGGCAAGCTTGAACTCGCAACGTCACACTCCGCTTCCCCTACGAATGCCATCCGTGATCAAGAAGAGCGTTGGGTCGCTTTGCTTGAAGCGGGAACAAGTCAGGACCAGAGCAGGCGCTTAGCGCCCGAAAATACTCCAGGGTGTCAATCTGCACTTATATGCGCTCGTCCTCGAGGTTTCACTATTTTCAGCCCCTTTGCTGCTGACTGCCAGCACTTCTGCATCTCCTTGCTTAGAACCCATTTCTTTCATACTCTGCTTATTTAATAGCAGCCCTCCCAAGTTAACCGGGGGTCACTGCTTCCAGTGTCCTTTTCCTAGATCCGTATTAGGCTCCAAGCACATACCTGATTACACTGCGGTCAGATCTATTCCATAGCTTTGTCCTTGCACTTCTGCACTTCGCAGTTGTCTCGGGGTATGCACTCTCGTCATTGGACCCAGTATCGCTAGCCGGGTCCTCTTTCGGAGGTTGAGTGCAAGGCTGAGGCGGCAAGGTACGGCACAGTTTGTTTCGCGACGCGCCCACGAACATCCCCATCTCGCAACAGAAAAACAACAACGACCAACGCATCTAGCTGCATGGTATCGGCCAAATTATGAGCACGAGGTATGTTAAGTAAACTTCATCTCATGCTGTTGAGAGTCAACGTTCCGAACTCTGGATGCGATTCGCCCCCAAGGACAGCCTTGTAGCTCAGGCCCTCCGGTGTCCTCACCAACATCCTCTAAAAATCCTCCTCACCCACAAAATAAACCTATTGCGAGTAGTAGCTTGCATCATGACCAATCGCGTCGATTTAGAAACGCGTTGTGCTTGAGTAGGAGTCCTAAAGTAAGCCTGCGCACGGCTCCCGCACACAGACACAAGGCTATCTGCAAGGCGCTCGGGGCAGTGCAAGTCAGCGTAATGGTAGTCCTGAGGCCAACGGGCTCAGTGCAAATCCTTCGTAGACGCCCATAGGAAGGCACAGCGTCCGTCATGTGGGTAAGGCACAGTCTAGAGAGGCAGCTTTCTTTATGGCGCGAGTGACCCCCTTGGAAGATAACTAGAACGTTGCTGCTTCACAATCTTTCTATTGTAGTGCCAACTCATAGCGTTTACTTTTCAGATATTGGACACACTCACGCTATACTTTTCTATACCCATTGAGCAGATCGATACAAGCATTCAACACAAGACTCATCCGCCCAAATCCACAATGGCACCGCTCCCACCAACCCTCCAGACTCTTCCCACAAGCGTCGAAAACATCCTTACAAACATCCACAAACGCTCATCAGACTGCACATATTACGACACATCATGCAACACGCACCGGATTGCCATCCTTGTTATCATCGTCTTTGTCGGCGCTCTTTTCGGTCTTACTCTCTCTTTCTACTACGCCCGTGGTCGGAAGAGGAGGACCGCCAGGGAGAGGGCAAGTAGGATAGCAACGCAGCATAAGAGGATGGGTGATCCGTTCAATGGAATGGCATATGAGGCGCCGCCGCCGTATATGCCAAAGGTGCCCGAGAATGTTGCTATTTTGAGGCGATGAAGGCTATCACCAGGAAGACGAGGAATAACAGCGAATGGTGGTGGTGTGCACCCGATGGTGGTAGACAATCTTCGCATGCTTCGACACATTGAGAGTGACACAGATACACATCTCAAGCAGCACTTGGGCATACCACGGTGGGCTACACATCCAGCAACACCAATCTAGGATCTCGCCCCGCCCTTACCGCGCCAATACTCTCGATTTCTCAGCAAGCAGTTTATGCGTAACGTCGACTCGGAGCCATGGGCTTTAGCTTGTTTAGCATCCCAGGTACCAGGCCAACGACAAAGCTTGATTGAGATTAGTGTACTAGTTACGACAGCGATTCAAAGGAGAAAAGTGATAGTGTAGGCTAGTTGCCTTGCGATGGGTTTCATAGCTCGATGACTTTACTTGGACTGCATTGAAACTACACTCGCTAGGAGACGAGGAAGGCGATCGGAGGCTCAGAAGCGCTGAAGCCATTCAGGACAGACATGAACTTCCATGTAAGGTCAATGACGGACAGGCGGACGTCACTATGATTTGGTATCTAGTAATGACACTCATTTCATTCGTTCTCTTCCCATCCTCCAACACCCAATGGACACACTCCAGAAAACCAGCAGAATCCGACTAAAAGCGAAGTGACGCCACACACACTCTTACTCCATCTCGCTATGTAGGTAATCAATCTACTACTTCAAGCGCCCCGCTCTGCGCATCACGCTCCTTGTAGACCTAGTCCTACACCATCAACATTCCCTAGCCCACCGTCATCCCTGCTTCTGTCTTGTCCTCTGCCCATCTCCCTAATCCTTCGGCCCTCCATCAATCCCCTCAAGCCTCTCTTCTGCAACCCTACAACCGCACTAACGCCCCCGGTCCACACCTCTCTCTCGTCAATCCCGCTTCCATCCCCGAATCCGCTATCAGAAGCGGATGCAGATGTTGCATCTGACACTGCGGAGCTGACTTCATCATCGTGATTTCGTTCTACGTCGGTATTGACACGTAGAGCGCGTAGCCCAGCATCAAGACTGCGTTCTACGTCGGCAATCGTAGTGCTGTTGCCTGTAGAGGTAGACGAAAGGTTTATACCATTTGAAGTCCCGTTGGCTGCTGATACGCCATTCACGCCGAGGAAGGCAACTCCTGAGCCGCCGCCGGCTGCCATGGCCGCGGCATTGAAAATCGCTGCTGTGTTTCTGTTGTCGAGGAGAAGATGTAGTCGCTCGATGAGGGCTTCGAGAAGGCCATCAATGTGGTATGGTCGAGCGAGCTGAAGAAGAGAGCAAAGAATCTGGGGTGTGCACAAGACTGAATTATGTGGTGGAAGTGACGATGTGTACAGGAAGTGTATGAGCGCCTGGAGGGTGAGATGCGTGTGCGGTAGATATAGTGTCCGAGGTCGTTGGGATGGCGGATGTGAAGAGGGATCTGGCGGGCTCAAGGAAGCGTACGAGTTCGATGAGACAGCTGTGAACTCGGATGGTGTAAGGGTATTTGCGGTGAGTGTTGTAGCTCCTGAATAGTTTGTCCTAATAGAAGGTGTGATGGTGATGCTTGAATTTCTTGAAGGATGCATCTGAGCTGTGGGTCGCAAGGTTGAAGTGTCTGTGGTCTCTTTCTCCTGGTTTTGTGTGCTCTCACGGAGCAGTTGATTAAAGTATGGGCCCCATCGCCGTGCAATGAGACGCGAGTTGACAGGTATGCGCTCACCGTGTATTGCGAGGAAGTCCATATCTGCGAGTTCTCGCATTCCCAGTGCCATTTGACCAAGTTCAGTCGCTGCAGGTAACAGCGCTCGACCACCAGCTAGCATGTCCAGGCGATCGTGTTGTGGTGGTGCACTTACAGATTTGAACCCCGAAGCGGGCGTCACTTTTCGTGGGTTATCGTATAGTCCGAAGGCCTCTAGCTCAACTACACACATGTTTGAGAAGTTGATCCGCCGGTGATTGTAGTCTTCGACAAGACTCCGTTTGCGGTTACCCAATATCACGAAGCTATTCCTACGATTCCAAAGTACTCCCCTATTCCAACTCCCTTGACTGAAAATGTTGCCACCCGCTTCTATCCGTCCCCAGATCAGCGTTCGTAAGTCAAGGGCCCAAAGCGCATATTCTTGTTTCGATGATGTTAAGAAGGTTCCACTAACGACAAAGTGGTTGTTGATGACGCCGCCATTGGGAAATCGTAGACCAGGCGGTGAGAAATTGCCATGCATTGGCTTCTCTGAAAGAGTTCCATCGGGGTGTCGTACTTGCAATTCGAGCTTGACATCCAGGAAGTTGTAGTTCGAGTAAATGAGCATTGACGACTCGCCGTTTGTGTTCGGCGTTTGTTCATCGGGAGTCCTTGGTTGGCTTCCCTGCCGTGACGACCCAGTACCTATGTCGTTGGGATTTATGCTAGTCAAAGGCGCCACTACACTCCGGTACGCGCCACAGCTCCTTCCCAGAGTGCTTGTCTCTGTCCACTTCAGACTCCTCAGGTTGAAGACGCTAATCTGCTCAATATAGTGGTTTGCGCTATCCTGGCCACCCACTACAACCATTTCTGCACCGCCTTCACCTTCCAATTGAACACCAATGGAGCCTTGATTCGGATTCGTCGAAGGGGGATTGTGTCTGATCGCTGTCAATGCAGCGCTTGTTGAACCAAAGACAGAAGAGCTTGGTAATATCGTTGCGCAATGTGCATATCGACCTTGAGGCGGATCATTAGCGGCAACGTGCATCCATGTCCGCGTGGGCGCGTCGTAGATGTGGATATCTGACATGACCACGACCTCGGGCTGAGCGTCTGCGGGAGTGCCCTGTATGACTGCGGTTGTTTGATTTGTCGGCAAAGTCGCAGGCGACATACCACCATAGCAAACCAGCTTCGTATCGCCAAGCGCACAAACACTATGGAAATATCGTGGGGGCGGAACATCGCCTTTGGCGTCAACCTTTGACCAATGTCGATTTACAAGATCAAGTTCGTACAAATCTGACGTGAGTTGAGGCCTTGTCCGCGACAGCCTTCTGCCTCCGAAGACATAGAGTTTGTCGCCCAGGATCGTGGTGGTCGCGCCTACCAAGGGATGGCTAAAGGTTGAAGTACAAAGTCAGTATTTGTTTTCACTAGCAGTTCATATATTGGTATTAACGTACGGTTCGCGACCAGTAGTCCGATGAACGTTGCAGACTAGGCCTGATAAGCCTGCAGTTGAGCTTGTGGGCGTCGCAAGTCCTGCTGTCATGGCTGGTGATGGAGAGATACCAGAGCCGGGTGTCCGAGCAGATGATGTCGGTGGTCGCTCCAACTGGCCATCTTGCGTGTCTTGCCGATGCAGACTGGTTTGACTGCTGTTCAGGCTTGAAATATCGTTCCCGCTACCGCTTCGCAACCCGGCCGAGTATAACTGGGAGGGAGAAGGAGCCGTTGTCTGTGAATCAATGGTATTTGTCCGGCTCCCACTTGGCGTCTGCCGAGCCATATTGGCGGGACTCTGGGTGTGATTTGGTGAGACGGGAGTCTGGAGCCCCCCGAAATCGAAATGAAGATTGATAGGGGACGTAGAGAATCTCTGTACAGGTAGAGCCCAGTCCGGTATCAAGATCTCCACATGCCTGGACCTCACGCTGGAGGAATCGCCAACGGATTTGCGACTTGGCAAGGGAAAACCAGAGAGGCTAGGTTGACTGCTAGAAACGATGGTCGAGGTTCGCGAAGAGCTAAGTCCGGATGATGTACAGGGGCTGTCAGGTGCTACCGCATAGCTTGGAATGACGATGGGAACGTGGTTGATTTTCGTTTGACAAGACGAATGACGGGTATCAATGAGAGAAGAACGATCAGATTGGCCAGGGTGATTCGCGGAATGTACCCTGCAATTGGAGCGGATAAGGGAGCCTGCAGACTCGATTGACTGTCGTCTGCTCGATAGGGCTCGCTTGAACTTGAAAGCCTTGGGTCGTCGCCAGAAAGATGATACGTCACCCAAAGGAGGGTTACTCGCGCTCACCGAAGAGTAAGCGAAAACGCCCAAGGGAACTGCCATTGTCAGTCATCAAAATGGAACCAAGTAACGGTTTCGAAAGGGAAATAAGAAGATGCAAAGGGCTACGGCCAGGGGAAATGGTCCTGGTTTAAACCACCTCTGACGACGGCAGCTGCAGCAAATCTCCAATGCAGGCCTTACAGCAAGGTCTCGGCCATTTTCGTCAAGCGTCAAAGCCATGTGGACAGATTCGGAAAGGAGATACATCTGCTGTGCAACTCTCTGGAGTGGTACTAGGATGGGCTTGCACCACACTGCAGCACACCAGCGGCTCCCGTGTTCAACAACGGCTGTTGCCAGAACAGAGTGATTGTTGCAGCTACGCAAAAAGATCCCGGTATTTTTTTTATAGTTCTCAGCTGAATGTACGAAATGAACAGATGCCCACTCAGGTGAGAAAGCTACATGAGGGGGGGGGGGGGGGGCTGAGGAAGGGCCGACATAATAGATACGGAGGGGCGGGTCCTGAAAGAAAATCACAGGCCTTACTTTGAAGTACCGCCGCACACAACGGGCGGGGAAAGAGCGACCAGCAGAGCGGTTACAGATGCAGAGGACGACGGAGCGGTCCTCCAGAAAGGGCGCACGTTGGTCGTCTGGCGCAGTGTCGAGGCAGCAGAGGTGCGAGGTGGAGGCTGCAGAGGCGCTTTGGTGCCAGGCCAGAAGTGGTTTGGAGGCTCGGCGAGACGTGCAAGGAGGTGCGTAGCTGCGCGAAGAAGGCGGCTGGGATGTGTGAAGTATCGAGGTACCCGTAGTTATTACGGTGGGCAGGAAATAGCAGGCCGAGTCGAGGGTGAGATTGATGCGCGTCTGCAATCAATACGGCCACGCGAGGACGGCACGCACGCGGGGGCGGAGGAGAGGCCGAAGACTCTTTAGCGCCGCTGGACGGCCTCTTTTACATGCACAAAAGACTCTCACAAAGTCAAGACGGGCACCACAGCAACGTTCATGTCAAATGCCGCAGCCTGCAGGCGTGGGAAGAAGGTAACACCGCGTTCTAGCTCGACGGGGGGGTTTTTTTTTTCTGCGGAGCATTATTTATCAACGCGCCTGGGATGATTCTAACCGGCTGCAACGCACCGCGCTAGCTAACCAGTGGCGCGCCCCCCCAGGAATGTCGCGCGACAAATAAGATGAATTAACCACGACCCTACAGCGTTGAAGTCGTACATGGAAGCAATCCAAACCCAATCAGATGCACATGACAGTTGGCTATTTTCATTTATGCTTTTAGATCAGCCAGAAGGGATTCGAGTCGTCTTCATTCACTCCAGGCTTAGATACTAACGCAGAACCTTTCAAGCCTTTCAAATCGTATATAGAAGCATCCAAACCCAATCGTCTGCGCATCTCGGCTAGTTGTTTTCATTCATGCTTTTAGATGAGCCAGAGGGGATTCGAGTAGTTATCAATCACTCAGGAACCAGGTCCTGACGCAAGGCACGAGACCATGAAAGGGTCGTTAACTTTTCATTCATCAACCTGGCCGTTTTCAGCCCTAGAAAACGGATATGCCCAACTTGCATCGGGAGGCATGCTGGAAGGGGTTCCGCTTCTTTCTAGACGCAAACCTCCTCCAACTATCATGCCACCATCTACCATGCCCAACCCGCGCCTATGCCTTGCACACTAATCCCTTGTAGCCATACAGTCACCTATAGGGCGGCGCTTGTGACACTCTTGGAAAGAGGAGTGAATCTCAGGTATGGCTTGACGATCCTGAAGTCTGGGAAGAGGGTTTTGGCTTCCTCGTTCTTAACACTGGGGTGCACAATGACATCGTCGCCAGGCACCCAGTTTATTGGAGTAGTGATGCGGTGCTTATCGCCAGTCTGAAGAGAGTCGAGGACTCGCAGAACCTCGGCGGTGTTGCGGCCGGTAGAGGCGGGGTAGGAGAGGATGAGACGAATCGTCTTCTTAGGGTCGATGATGAAGACCGAGCGAATGGTAAAGGCAATGCCCTTGGAGTCGACGTTTGTGGTATCCTGATAGTCAAGCCTGGGCTTCGGGTCAGACATGTCTCGGGCATTGCGCAGAGTCCAAACTTACATGTCGTACGCGTACGCGACCTTCCTCTCCTTGTCTCCAATGATGGGGAACTTCAGGTTGCTGCCGGAGATCTCGTTGATATCCTTGATCCAGCCATCGTGGGAGTCGATCGTGTTGGCCGAGAGACCAATGAGCTTTGCGCCACGCTTGGTGAACTCGGGCTCGAGTTTTGCAAAGGCGCCCAGCTCCGTGGTGCAGACGGGAGTGTAGTCCTCGGGGTGGGAGAAGAGGATAACCCACTTGTCGCCAATGAACTCTATTTCCACAGGTCAGCGTGGAGAACTCGGAGCATGGCGAGGAACAGGACGAACCATGGAAGTCGATTGGACCTTGGGTTGTCTCGGCCTTGAAGTTTGGGGCAGTGCTGCCCAGACGAAGAGGCGCAGCGCGCTGTTCCGACATTCTAGTTTCAGTGAGCTCTGAGCAAACAGCGCAAACATGAGGGGTAGCGGGGCAAGAGGGGTAAAAGTCGCGTACCTGTGATGGGAGATTGAGAATTTGTTAGGAGGTCTTTGGTTGAAAACCGTCTATGGTTGGTCTCTAGGACGGGTATTTGAAGAGTACAGTGGCGTAGGAGAGGAAAGCAGCGATGGTAGGAGGGGCACTCTGATCCTTTTGTATTGCCCATAACAAATCCCCAAGCACTTGTTTCTAGTTAGCGCATATTGCGCAATCCTCACGTGTTGTCCACCAAAAGTTTTCTGCCACAATCGAGCCCACGTCGACGACTTATTCAAGCCAATCCCGGAACCTTCTGTTGAGGCGGTATCGGAGTGCCATTGTGCGCCCCCTCTCGCCGAGCGTAGTCGCAATTGGAAATGAAAAAGAGGTGCGCAGTGTCGTGACCATTGGAGACGACCCTCTCTGACTTCTCCTCCTTGTTTCCCTGTATGGCTGATGCAATATTGAACATTGTGCCCAAAGTTTCTCAAGGCTCCTGAGGTCAAAGTCCTGCCAACGATCCATCAAGCTATACATCTCGTTGTAAACCACCATACCATATGCGACACCAAAAGCGGTAGTGCACAATTCGTATCCTAGACGAATTTGGCTTAGTTCAACCTGGTTTACCGTGCGTGGCCTCCAGGGCTATCACTTTCTACTACTGCTACAGGTGTTCCCAATCATGACAGTACGCAGTTCTTCCACCGCGTTTGGCATAGACGAGCTCGACTGGTGGGAGCTGCATTTGTCTGCTCCAACGCTGTCCGCACCCGCCCGCCGGCAGCTCCGATTACATCATATAGAGACTTGCGGCGTGGGGTAGGCCCCAAGCATACCCCAAGTCGTCGTCCTACATGTCTACTCCTGCCCGTAAACGAAGTGGTATAAAGCTTGCGTCTTGAGCTTTCAGCGCGGTAAATGCGCAATTCCAAGCTCCTTGAGACTCAAATTCCGACCCTCGTATGTTTCATCGCTCCATCGTCCCATGGGCGATCTGGGCCGGCCTTTCCGCGCTTCGGCCTCCATCTCTTCGTAGTCCTCAGGTTGTGCAGGCTCGCTAGTAACTTGAGTCGTGGTAACGAGCTTGATATCCTTGCTGCTAAATCCGCACAGGTCGTCCAAACTCTCGCTACCCAGCGGAAGACTGACTCTACTTCGCCCCCTTTTGGCTCTGGCGTTGGAATGTATCGCTTCGACGGTGCATTCGCCTCCAAAGCGCCTAGGCTTCTCCACCCAAAAAGTTGCGAATGTGTCGAGGCCGTTGTCGTCTGATGGAGGCTCGTCGCTGAATATCATGATGCGACGTGTGCACGTGTATAAGAGGACGTCTAGCCAGCCGTTTGACGTAATCATCGCGCCTGATAGACAAAGGCGCGTAAGGGAGGGGGGGTTCCCAGACATGGACGCCATACGTGCGGAGGCGAGGGGAATCGTGCACACTACGTAGACTAGAGGGTAGGCGACCATGAGGTTCGATATCGATTTGACGCGCTTCGCTTCCTCGGTGCTGTAGTATCCGTGGCGCATACGGTGGAGAAGGATTGTGTAAATCGTGGCGTAGATAAGAACGTTGCCGAATTCACTAATGAGGGCAGTTAGTTTCTATAAATCAAAAAAGGGACTGTAGGCTCCTCTGATACTAAGAAACGGGGCGATAATTACTGGGAGAACGAAATGCACCTACAAAATGAAGATCCAGACGTAATGGGTCCAAAGGCGGAGATCTTTGAGATCTTGATGGATCCAACACCAAATGCCGGAGCGTACGTAGAGTTTATCTGCATGCAGAGCGATTCCTATCGACGAGATGCCCAGAATGAAGACCCAGAGCATGATGATGGTGAGGTAAAAGTATCGAGGTTTTAATCGGAAATCCAGGATAACAGAGGCAAAGGTATGCAATGCTATGGCGAAGCACCAGATCCCACTACCAATATCACCGGTCGACACAAGCCAGCCTTGCGCAAAACATACTGGGTTCTCCTCCACTACTGATCCTAATCGTAACCATTCAACGTTGAGCAAGAAAGCTAGTGCTTGTTGTATATCCGCCCATAGGAGGTTAAAGATGAGCACGACGAATTGGTTGCTTCTCTTAGATTTGATTTTCCATGATACAAGCTTGTATGTGAGGACAAAGAGGAGCGAAACAGAGGCAACGAAGCTGATGAAGCCGAGGGCAACAACTGCTCGTAGCCACGGGCGAATGTGATCCGGCAAGATGAAGGGGGCCGAGACGTTGTCACGGTGCTCTAGATGCACCATTGTTCGGGTTGTCTCAAACGACGTGATCGGGTGCTGGTTCTTGATTCGTCAACGGGCTACAAGCCGGAAGAAAGTATCCTAACAATGAGCAATGATATCATCTCGATGTCGAAGAAATGAATCGAATGATGAGGGGAATAGCCATGGATGTGTGTTGCAAGACTGCGGCGACAGCGTAAACAGTATAGATCTTGATAGATGCTTCCGGGGGCTTAAGGATGATAATGTATGATGAGCAAGCGGGCCCAGAGGAGAGGCCATGTGCTGACTGCTGCCCGCTACGCCATTTTTTGTGCTAGGGTAATCTGGGGACCTACTATAAGAATTTACACCCTGGCGACACCCGGTCCGTTCTCTACCGGTAGTAAAGGCACGAATGCTAGGGTACGAAGTAGCGCAGCTTGTGGCAGCCAGACGCTAAGGCAAGCCCTAAACAAAGGATGTTGCTGATCCCCAAACTAAGCGTTTGTCATGTACTCGAAACCCACGATAACTGGCGGGGGAAAGCAGCCGAGTGGGAGACGTTCCGAGGAGCTACGATGATATTCGTTCCGGTTTTAGACTCGACTAGCACTCGAGCGTTGGCTAGAAGCAGTTGGTAATGGCTGAATGTCCTCGGCGTATTGAATACAGACAACACTCCAGTTGGAAGAGGCATTTACGATCATGCAACAGACAGGTCGTCGTGCCGCACCGTACACGCACGGTTCTATTCAGTTCTTAGCGCCACAGCACCCTTCATGGAGGGTGGGTGGCGTTTGGTTCGGTTGGGTAATGTGCTGGTCCCGAGACTTGGCATGCGTTGGTGAAAGTTTGCAAGGGTGAGACGTGGAATGCACCTGTTGAAGGAAACCGAGAAACGGCCAAGGTTGGAAGTGTGCAATTGCTGTTAGCCTTAGCGCCCGGGGTATCCTTACTAGATCTCCACGAAGTCTTCGTAATGGAGCCATAGCAGACCCCCTTACCAGTCATCTTATCACAGACGCGAGGACTACCCTGCGATTCGAACACAGGGGCACATGCCTCCGCCGCCCCAGACTTCAGGCTGCCAATTAGCTTCTCCTATGCGGGAACAGGGCATCGGTCCCCATTTATCCTGGCTGGCGGAGTCAGCAAAGAACTTCTACACGCAAAAGCATGGCATGCGTGGTTTGGCGAGCCGTCTTCCACGCCGTTCAATGCACAAGCGGGAGATAGGCAAGGCGCCAGGTTTGCCCTGCTCGTCTATCACCGGCATTACTAGAACTTGTAATTCTAAACAACACGACCAAATCACAAACTGGGATCAAAGAGAAGACTTTCGGTATCTGTGATAATGGGGAGTGTTCAGCTGATCCCATAATAGAACTAATGCCATCCTCTCCCGTGCACGGGGCACTCCCCGGTGAGGTGGAAACTTCCACCCCGGAAACAGGAGGTGTCATGCGTAATCTCACTTTCGCCTAAAAGAAAAGGGTTAATTCCTGTTCGACAAACATGAAGTTTCAGGAGATGCTCCTGCATGAGACAACCTTGCGCACCGTCTTACATATTGTACTACCGGCCCGCTTCCCATGACATCAACCAAGCTATATCTCCGTACTGATCTCCGATTGATATCTCATATCGCCTGGCTCAAAGACCAGGTGCACAACGCAAGACGATGGAGCGTTACAGGGCTTAATTGAAAGACGCTCTGAGACTCGTTATCGCTTGATGGGCTCGTCCCGCGCGTCAACGCCCTCGTCTCACATGTGGCTTAGAGTGAACACCGATCAGCTCTCCAAAGCCAAGCCTATGCGCCATCAATCGAAGACTCAACGTTGATAAAATGAATGGCGTGCAGAACGCTCCGGTATCAAGACCTCTGTTACTGTGCGGTAACAATGTCGCGTGCAATGTTAATTTCGATTCCAATATACATTTTCGCTAGGTTGATCATTATCTCTAGAATCCACGCTCTCAGTCCTTGATGTGGATATTAGCTGCTTCTGTTAGCACTTTGCTAATTCTTCCTAGCTCTAACATCTAACCCCTATTTGCCCAGGGCAAGTTGCGCGGTTTCATAGATTGCGCCATGGACTTGGTTTCACGGCAATCTCACGTACGTCACTTCTAGAAGCGGCTTATCTCTATCATCGCGCAACAAGCTGACTGTGCTGACAGACCGGAAGTCCTAGCGTCAACACCTTTGGTGAGAAATGAAGGAAGGTTACATGTTCGCGATCTTACGAAGTGGGGATCTTACCTTGCGCGGGCGTGTTGGATAGATATAATAAGAAGAGGCTCTGAAGCTTGCTACAGCTCTCAGTAAATCGTAGAGCAAGTGTTATAATTTAAACCACCAGAACTCAACCACGTTTACCAGACTACTAGTACCGAATGTAAAAGTCAACCGCTATGCTGCCGAGGTATAAGTAAGTACCCGAAGGGGCTTTCATCGACCTTCAACTCAACAATCTGACTCCGTGCACCACGCTTTTGGACAGCAGGTAAGCATGACACGGCACAGGAGCGGGCTCACACTACTTGCTAAGCTGTGGCTTTGAAGGCGGTCGATCGGTACTCAAGACAGGTTTAATTTGCACATATCGAGGGTGTATTAAAAGGGTCATTTTGTTTCAATGTCTACGATTCCTTCTGTATCCTCATTTACATATGCACTAGCCCCAAGACCAGTTTAAAGCAAGCTTCCTTGGGAGCAAAGTAAAAGTGAGTCGTAGTACATGTTTGCAACAATGTCTAAAGCGTGGAAATGCCCACTCGTGCTATCAAACCATGCATCGCCATTTCATCTCTTCAAAACAAATACCCACGCCAAGCAACTCATCCAAAACGCCGAATGTGCAATGAAAGGACAAATGGGAGTATAGGGTGAGCAGCCCTTGCAAGGACGTCTTGATCGTAGATTAGCGAACACCCCAGGTTACGCATCAACTCCTAACGAATATCCGCCTGCGTTGCCTGCCCCGTTGGGAACCAATCGTCCTGACTAGGAGGTGGTAGTCCAAGCTGCGTGGCTCCACCATATCCGTGATAGTGAGCAGTCTGGGCTTCTAGCTCTTCTTGGCTACACTTGAGAATCTGCTGCATGGCCTGGATATCCTCAATGATAACATTAAATGCTTCCTTGACTTTCTGGAGTACGACATTACGGTTGTAGTCGGCTCGGTGCTTCCAAATGGCATCCATGAGCGCGGCGTTGATTTGTTCCAATTGCTCGAGGGTGCATCCAGAAGTCGAGGAGACCAAATTGCGATGAAGCTCGATAAGTATGGTATCGTCTAAAATGAGTTGCGGCTTCGGCTCATCGTCGTTGAGAATGTCTGCAAGATTAGTTGTATGCCGAGGCGGAGCAGGTGCAGGCATCGTATTTAGCTGCTGCGAAGACTGCGAAGGCTGCGAATTGGACAGCTGACTGCTGACGTAGTGGACTTCTATACGCGGCATGTGGTTAGTTACTATATTATGTTGAGCGGAGAGGCGAGGTAACAGTTGAAGTTGCTCTCTAAAAGAAAGTTAACGAACCTTGTGTGTCGGGCAGCTGTGACCCACCCGCTTCGGGCATCATTTCAGAGAAGTTGGGGATACCAGCTGGCGCAGCGCCGTTGCTGCTTTGAGTACCAAACTTGTTATCCGAAGACCGATTTGACGTCTTTTGACCAGAAGTCGTTGTGGATGCACTGTTGTGATAGTCATTAGGGTTCGAGTTTGGCCCCATGAATGTGCGTCCTGACAGCTGTGACTTCTGCGTCTGAGTCGCCTGAGTGTCAATTCTGCCTGGTGTCTGGAAATGGAAATCGTTTTGTGTGTTCACGTTCAAGTCCTGGCTATCGGGCATATGTGTGTCGTCTTCTGTTCGAGAAGGCACGGTGGAGCCATTCGAGTGTGTATGCTGTGCGCCCTCTACTCCACTTGTCCCGTTCGACAGGGCACCAGTTGGAGCTGACCGTGACGGCGTCACTGGTGGCATAGCTGCATGTCCAGGAACAGGTTCGCCAAGCACGATGGGTCCCGATGTCTCGGTTGTCCCGAGCGATTGCTCTGGTGGAACTCTGGCGACGTCGGTGGACAATTCCTTGCCCTCAGCAAGGGCTTTGTCGCGCTTCTCTTGCATTTGCCGTTCCCTCTCTAATTCGCGAACATAGACTGCCTCACACTCTGCCAACAAACCCGGGTTCTGTTGCCCAATCATCTCCATATCGACTTCCACGTTTGCTGCCATCTCGTTGCCTTTCAACACCCGCTCGGCATCACCGTATGTTTTAGCATCCTTTGCCAGAGTCTTGATATCGAACAAGAAGTCTTTGGGGCGTTTGTAGTAACCATTTGATAGACGCTTTTCGATATTGCCCAGATCGAGATTGTAGTATCTGTTGCCACTCTCAACGTGTAGCAATACATCAACTCCTCTAGCATCTTTGGAGAACTCCCATGGCCGAACGACACCTTGTTCTTGTTGTTGCTCGCGTGGTAGGTCTGTGCTGAAATGTTCCGGATCCTGTTCTTCAAGGAGGTACGCGTACCAGCTCTCTTCCAAGATTGGCTTGAAGAACTTCCTGTATGTCCTTTTCAACTGATCCATGACAGGCTGGACAACAATCTTCAGCTTATTGAGCGTCATCCGGTCCTGCTTTTTCTGTAACTTCTCGCGGGCAAGAAGTTCTTTAGGATCAACAGTCGGAGTAGTAATAGGTGCAAATTCCAACTCGGGCAATATCCGTTTCTTCCTGTTCTCCGGATCAGGGAAGTCAGCCGGAGACATGCGGATATAGTGGCTGATGTCATTGAAGAACTCGGATCGCCCTTCTAGGTCAGGCCGTGCGAGCTGGAACTGGTTGTTTTGCGAAAATGAGAACAAGTCCATCATCATCTGACGGTCGGGCTTTTCTTTCTCGTTAGCGAGCTCCATTACACCCAATAGCAGGATAGGCTCGTTCGCGCCAACACTGCGTAAAAGGAGTTTGAACGTCTTGATAGCTGGCCCTGGTAGGGTTTGGTACCAAACGTCAACAGATGGGATATAAATGACGCTAGGCTTGTGGCGCCTGACTTCAGTGAAGAGTTGAGTTATGGCTGCTTCTGGCGTCCGAGCGGGGTCCTCCAGAATGGTAGGAAGGTCGAATGATTGCACATGCAGACCTTCAATCTTGTTGAGTAGTGCAGCGCCTAGGTACTGTTGACCCATGCCTTGCAAGCCAGTGATGAGAAGGCGAGGTCGGAAAATCCTGCTGGTTTCGAAGTTACGCATGGTGGTCTCGCGCTCGAAGCCCTTTTCGTCTTCGCGATCGTCATACTCTGCTTCCTCAAGCGCCGTGAGCTTCTTTCTCCTCGGGATAAGCTCATCGATGCGCTTTAAGATATGCTCTAGTGGTTTTCGTAGTAAAGGCTCGATGTTCTTTGCAAGCGGTGCTGCGCTTGCTGTGACTGTTCTCTGGGAAGACGGGACCATCTTGTTGACCGATATCATGAAATCTTTCGCGAGGATCTTGATGGTGCTAGGATCAATTAGGAGTTTCCTCTCTGATGTGTAGATTTGAGGGAAGGTCCCCTGCACAGCGTTCAATGCCGCTTCTGTGCATAGTGCACGAATGTCGGCACCGCCGTAGCCTTTGGTCAGCTCGGCAAGCGAATCTTTCATCTCAGGCTTTAATGGCGGTTCCCATTTGTTAGTGTGGATATCGATGATTGCCCGGCGTCCGGCCACGTTGGGCAACGGAAAGTAGAATTCGCGGTCAAATCGACCAGGACGCCTTAGAGCCGGATCTACCGAGTCAGGTCGGTTGGTCGCACCTATTACGATGACCTGGCCACGACCATCCATACCATCCATGAGAGCAAGAAGTGTTGCAACGATCGAAGCATGGATTTGCTCTTGCTTGCTGGACCGTACGGGTGCCAGTCCATCAATTTCGTCGAAGAAGATGATACTGGGCTGAGTTTTCCGAGCCTCTTCGAACAAAAGACGAAGCTGCCGTTCCGCTTCTCCGACCCATTTGCTGAGGGCATCGGCGCCTTTACGCATGTAGAAGGTGACTTTTTGTCCATGATTGCTGACACTGGAGGCCAGCGCCCGTGCGAGCAGAGTTTTACCAGTACCTGGAGGACCGTGGAATAACACTCCCCGAGGCGGAGTAATCTTGAAGCGTTGGAAGACTTCAGGGTAAAGCAAAGGAAGCATTACCATCTCCTTGAGCTTGTTGATATGATCATCAAGTCCGCCAACGCCATCGAAGTTGACGTTTGGATCAACTCCAAGAGGATCAGCATCTGCCAGAGCCTTCCTATCCTTGACTTTCCCAAGATTCGCAGGGCCTCCTCCTGAGGCTTGTTGCGGGTCAGCATTGTGAGTTTGAGGGAAGCCAAACGTGGGAGCCGTTGCTGTCGTTGGAGTCATGCCGATCATGCCACCGACAGGTTTGGGCATCTTTTGGTTCTCATCATCGCTGCTGTCGGAGTCTTGACCGCCAACTGCACCCATGCCAGCTTCGACACCGCCACCAAAAGGGCCTCGATTCCCCCAAAGGCTGCGGTATGCCGAGCGCCCGCCTTTTGACCGTGATTTGCCAGCTGTGGGCGCATCATCGTCGCCTTCGAATACTGCATTCAACTCTGGACGTACGACGCGATAGTCCGGATTAGCAGCACGAGCCCGTCGTCTAGGTGCCGAGTCATACGCGAGATCGTTGTCGGGCACGCGTCTGCTCAGACGTCTGCGCTTGTTTGTGCCAAGTTCTTGGAGTTCGTCTTGCAGTTCATCTTGATCCAGTCCGGACTCTTCGGATGAAGAGTGGCGCCTACTTCGCTGGGACTGGCGAGTTCCTCGCAGCCGGTTCGACCGCCGCCCTGAGCCTGAAGCGCTTTCAGATGCGGAGCGCTTTTCTTTGCCGTGATCCGAATCCGACAGTTCTTCTTCCTTCTCATCCTCACCAGCTGGCTCAAAGTCACTGCTCTCATCAGCACCTCGCTTGCGTTTGGCTGATGTCGCACGGGACTGGTGACTGTTAGTTTTACATTGCAAAGACATCAAGGCAAACACAACGTACCCTCAGATTACGACCACCCCTCGTAACTGGACCTTCCTCGTCCGACTCTTCAGTAGCACCATCGTGTTGGGATTCCTGAATCACACCTTGCATCTCCTCGTCATCCGCATCGTCCTTGTGCTGAGCGTCTTGTAGGGGTGAGCTCTCTGTGCTGGCTTGCACTTGAGTCTCAGCACCAGCGAGGAGCGCGTCAAGCGGGCCAGGGCTCTCCTCATCGCGAACCATGGAGGTTTCTTGCGAGGCTTCCATGATGGCGCTGGGATGCTGAACCCTCGGACCCTTCCCGCCTCGCGTTGCACGCGAGATGACTGGCTCGGGGCTACGAGTGCCGGGACGTACAATGTTGACATGCCTACCAGAATCGGAGAGTTGCACTATGGGTGCCTCTACATCGTGCGAAAGACGACTGCTGCGTCGCGTACCTGGTACATCTGGCGTCTTGCCGCGAGTAATGGACTTGCTGCCGGTGCGGGTGCGAAGGCTACGGCCAGAGGCGTGGTCAGGCATCTTCAGCTTGACAATGAGCGATGGCTTCTCCACCTGCTCGATGGATGGTTTGGCTCGGCGTCGCGAGGCAGACGTAGGCTCTTCGTCTTCCGATGAAGTGTCCTTGATCTCGTCTGGCTCGTCCTCTTCGCTTTCTTCGTACGTGATCTGCTTCTTGGTGGCGCGGCGCACGCTTCTGCCCGTCGCAGGATTAATCTCGGGTTCCTCCGACTCGGAGCGCTCTGTGAAGGAGTCGTCCGACTCGATTTGGTCGTCGTCGTCGATGTCCGAGCCGCCGTATGCGCGTCGCTGACGCTTCGAGGGCCGCTTTTTGGATCCCGGTGTCTCTCGATGATGGCGGCGGCGCTGGGGTGGTGCGCGACGTTCCGAATCGTCGTAGTCGTAATCCTCGGGGTCGGATGCGTTGGGGTCGGTATCGAGCTTGCGCTTCGCGCGGCTAGACATGGAGCTGGCTTGCGGTGAGGCCTACTGCAGACGTGCGAGGCAGCTGTGAGCGAAGGCGTGCGCGGTGCAAACGCGGTGAGAGGCCACTTGGACCGCCTGTGTTTGGGAATTTCACAATGTCAAGGTAACATGGACAGCAGACAAGCGTCTCGTGCATGTGCGACGATGGCAGCGAAAGAGAGCGTGATGGCGGCTGGTGGGTGCGCCCGGTGTGGTGTTGTGGGTGGTGTTGTGTTGTGTTGATGTCAAGAGCTGAGCGAGGGCCAAGAGCGCGATGCACGACCGAATGCGGCGCAGAGAAGCGTGAAAGCGACGGCGACGTGCAATGGATGCTTGATGAAGGCTGCAGAGACGGAAGAGGCGCAGAACAGGCAGATGTTGGACGAGGGGCGGGTTGAAGCTGGGCCAAAGTGTTCGCGCAGGAGCTTGGCACCCAATCATGCGCGGGCTGACAAGCACACGACGACATTTCAGAGCCAGGGCAACGCTTCCATGGCAGCATTTCACAACCACCGTGGCATGCTCTCTTTCTCGACAGCCAACTATGCAACGCACTTGTATGAACCCGAATCCGCCCGCTGCAGGATCCCGAGACCAATTTCCGCAACTTTTCGGGAGTCTTCCGACACCCCCGGGACTGCTATTCGAGCTCTCCATTTCTATTCGGACACAGCTCTTCTGCTGCCGGCGATGTGCTGCAGGTACCGATGCGGCTCAAAAAGCTTAACGCTGTTTAGACAGTTCGCTGCCATGGTGCGCATGTGTGGGGAAGAAGGGAACCATGCACGTGCGTCCTTCCACGTGCTAGGGAGCTTCCTTTCAGCGCCGCGCCACCCTACATAGCCATGGCAATGCCATTTCTTTTTTCGGTTTATTATAAATGGCATTCGAAAGAGACATGCGCGGAAATCAATGACTGGCCTACTGGGCGTGTCTGCTGCTTGATCTTTCAGCTCTACTCGTAGCAGCTACAAGCTGCCGCCTCTCCACTGCCCAGTGAATCCATGCGCAAGCTTGAATAGCCTTGTATAGTACTGCACTGCCATCTGCGGTCCTTGCCGCTACTGGTCCTGACCTAAGATCGATCTTTGTATAGCGATGACTAAGCAATATGGTGTTGTAGTCTGCAGGTGAACACCAAACTTGGAACATCCCGGCTCAAGCAACCCATCATGACAGTTCAGGTCTTCGAATGATCCCGTTTTCTCTCTCCGCTTCTTGGATTGCTATCCTACATTTTAGAATTTACATCGTAAACATTTCGTTGTACATGTCTCAAGATTGCAGGCTACCCATGTTGGTTGCTATTGCCGGGTCCATCTCAACAGGTCGATAGTACATACTTAGACCTAATCCTACAGGCAATGCCACAAGCCATATGCCACCAAGGTTACCCATCTGCACAGCCGTACGTTCGCTTCCCATAGTATAGGTTGAAATGATTCGGTTGGTGATTGCATAGTTCTCAGCAACTCCGCCATCCATTTCCGGGTTACACGCTGTGCAAGCTCGAAGCCTACTCCTCAGGGATGATGCGATCGATCGCTACCTCAACGTTAGTGCCATCGCGCAAAGTGCTTCCTGCGACGTACCTTTGCCATTTTCCAACAACCACCCAGAGCAATCAATCTTCCACTTCTCTCCTTGTACCTCAACCTTCGCGATGCCGAACCTCAAGACGGCAAATTTGAATCGGAGGAAGAAGTTTGTCCATTTCTGGTGCACCCAGCGCGCAGATCCTTCCCAGACGCGACCCATAACAGACAAGTGGTCCAGGTCCACAAACACGCTTTGGCGCCTTGATCTTTCCGCCTCTAACAATTCCTGCACCATGGGCTCCGTCTTCTCGCTTATTGTCGCCCCCCCAAGATTAGAGTATATAGTCCGTTCCCTCGTCCACGGTGCCGCTCTGACCGTCATGCGTAACTGCATTGGACCGCCCTGCAGACTCGGCATGACCTCGAGGGCGCGCATGCGGTTGGTAGGCGCGGTACAGACATAGCAGCCAATGGCGATGAAGCTTAGTCCTACGACAACATACGTCGGCCGCACGAAGAAGGCCAGGTCCCTCTCCTTGATGTCGTCGTTGAACTTTATTGCGTACGCGCCAACGCCTATCCATAGTGCAGCAACGCCATAGACCTTGGCGTAGTACCATCTACTTTTCGGCGCCTGGTAGATCAGGACGGGCTGTCGGGTTTGGACGACCTGTCGGAGCACTGGGTCATTGTTTACAAAGACGCTCGGCTTTTGATTGAGAGCGCTTTGGTATTGGTACTGGTATCTGCGTACGCCCGAGGATGTGAAGGATCGGGAGCTCCGAATTGCGTTTGGGTGGAAGAACTGCTCTCGGGCTCCAAAGATGGCGGCTCGGAGTGAGGAGGGCAGCCGGAGGGATTGCTGATGTAGGAAACGGTCGAAGCCCTGCGAGACGGCGGGCATAGTGTAGGGCAATTGATTCGATGCTACGACCAGCGCATCGTCTCTGCTTAAAACTGGTTAACGACTACCTGGGACGGTTACTGACAGCTGCGCAACATGACTGTGGTTCGACTTTGGGGAAAATGTCAATTGGATGCGGTCCAAGCGTCAAGCCTTCCGAAGCTTGGTTCCGCCCAACATTTCCACACTCTCGCGCATCTGACCTTCGATCCTCCCGCACACCTGCGCGATTGCTCTCACCGGCCAATTGACCTCCCATGGCTTCAGTCGCTGCGGTATACAGGGTGTCGGCGCGCGCTGCAACACAGCAGTTGCGTAATCATGGTGCTCGGAGAGGTAACGACTCTTCAGGCCGGGCATTGGAAGCATCACTGACCGTGTTGGATAGCGTTCCACTCCGGGCAGGCCTCGCTCGCTGCGCACAATTTCAACATGCCCGCGCTTTCTCCGACGATGACCGAGGGTAACATTGCGACGTGGAAGATCAAAGAAGGTACGACCACTCTCTACAGACGCAGCGCCTTCGATCTACTACACTCTAAAGGCACAGAACTAACCCAGACAGGTGATTCTTTTTCTGCCGGAGACGTCCTCCTCGAGATCGAGACGGATAAAGCGCAAATGGATGTAGAGGCTCAGGATGACGGCATCTTGGCCAAGATTCTGGTATGTGAAGGGACAACAGCAGCTATGTGAGATGTCGCTAACGAATATTTGCAGCAAGGAGACGGATCTAAAGCAGTCCAGGTAGGCTCCAGGATTGGGGTCACAGCAGAGCCCGGCGATGATTTGAGTTCACTGGAACTTCCCGAGGAAGACAGCCCTGCACCGAAAAAAGCAGAAGCTCCTCAAGAACAGCCCAAAAAAGAATCCAATAAGAAGTCTCAGCCGGCTCCCAAGGAAGAACGAACCTCCTCCCCGCCTCAATCTGAAGCGTCGAAGAAATCTGCAAGTGGGAAAGCTACGAAGCAGACCTACCCACTGTATCCATCCGTACAACATCTTCTGGAGGTGAACGGCTTGCCGAAAGAGGAGGCGGATAAGATCCCAGCCACGGGCCCCAACGGGCGATTGCTGAAGGGCGACGTCCTGGCATACGTTGGTAAGATCCAAGGCTCATACCCGTTGGAGTTGGCAGAGCGTTTCGAGAAGCTGTCTCACCTCGATCTGTCCAACATCAAACCAGCGCCAAAGAAGGAGGCGCCCAAGAAGGCCGCTGAAGCACCGTTGGCTATTGACGAGCTCGACGTCGAAGTGGCTCTGCCTGTTTCTCTCACGGCTGTCATGGAGTGCCAGAAACGCGTCAAGGACTCAATAGGTGTCTTCCTCCCTCTATCTACTTTCGTTGCCCGTGCCACAGAGCTAGCAAACGAGGATCTGCCAAAGTCCAAGTCCGCGAAGCCCTCTGCGGACGAGCTTTTCAACGCTGTTCTTGGCTTGGACAAGGTGGCAGGACGGAAGTATTCGCGAGGTCACTTTGTCGCTCAAGTGACTGCTTTTCCCGCGACGACACTACAGAGCACGCGCAGACCTAGCTTTAAGAGGCCGGACGTACTAGATATTCTAGCTGGGAAACCACTATCTCGCGGAAGCAAGTCGTCTACAGTCGGTGGAGCGGAAGGGGTCGTTGGGCCCCTCAACGTATTCAGTGTTAGCGTGCCCAAAGGCGACGAGAAGAGAGGACGGGTTTTCCTCGAGCGCGTCAAGAGTGTTTTGGAAATGGAGCCAGGAAGGCTCGTTGTTTGAAAGTCTTGATGTTCGATGAATAGCGTCTGTATAGTAGTGCTGTCCACCAAGCTCCTGAGGAGCGAGATATAATGCAATTTGGAATCTGTCTTTCTCGTCGATGCCTCTCTGCTCTCCTAGGCCATTTCGTCCAACCTTGGAATGCTGCTGCTCCACTAGATACGCTAGCCATTGCCATCTATCCGTCCTCCGATCCTTCCCGACCTCGCGGCGAGCGCCTGGGTATGCCAGTCGCCGTGCATCCGTACGCACGAACAAGAAACACGACGCAAGTCTCTGGCTGGCGGACATTGACAGGTGTTTTTGCATCACGCACCATGGACATGTCGCTGCGATGTAGGCGCTTGACAGCTCCAACGTTGCTTGGTCTGTCTGGAGTAGGAGAGATGTACAACCACCGTACAACCTGACAGAGCCTCACGGGAACCGGCAGCTCAGCAATACCGAATCCAAGCACAGAATCAATCGAACCCCAGGTTACCAGCGATCACTTGGTCTCTGCAGCCCGAGGCCACTGTGACCGGGGCCGTAGCCGATAGGGGGCGGTGAAGGCGGCTTGAAGGGTTAAGCCAGGCCACCTAAGAGGCAGCAAAGACTTGCAAAGAGCTTGCAATCAGCTGTAGCTTACGGTGAACAAGACTGTGACTGCAAGATACGGCGACTTTTCTATAAAAATTTAATTGATTGACTGCTCACTAGGGCTTGCTTCTGGTTCCCCGTGCCTTCCCCACGCGTCTCCAAAATCCCCGCCACTAATTCGCCAATAAAATTGGCTTAACCTCCGAGCTCGCACGCACCGCGAGCTCCATCCTGGACGGCGTGTTGGCCGACTCATCCCTCTCCCTCTCTCCCCTCCTCGTCCTAAGTCCTATATACCCGACTATCCGACTTGCCCATAGGCCAATTGCGCCTTCTCGACGTCGGACCGCTGTCAATCTCTCACACCATGGCCACGGTCACGGAACAAGTGGGCGAGGTGCTGCTGGGCACCACCGACGAGCCGCAGTTGTCGCAGCTTACGCGCGCCATCTTCATGAAGCATGCCCAGAAAGACGAGCAGTCGGACGACTACTTTCTGAACGAGGACCAGTTCATCAACGCGGTTGCTCCCGAGGGCGAAGACTACGTAAGCAGCTTCCGTCTGCAAAGGTGTCCCTGTGTTGGGTTGGGTCCAAGCTAACGGCGCGCCTGGCTGGCTACAGCACAAGATCAAGCGATACCAGTATGGCATCCTTTTCAAGGTGGCCGATCGCGACCAGAAAGGCAGGGTCAGCATACATGACTGGTCCGTCTTCCAGAACCTACTTGCCAAGCCCGACGCCGAGTACGAGGTCGTCTTCCGCTTCTTCGACAAGAACCGGACGGGCTACATCAACTTTGACGACTTCTACTCGACATGGAGGGCACACAAGACCGAGGACAGCCTACCGTTCAACTGGGAAGGCGATTGGGCCTCGCTCTACGTCGGCGGCAAGAAGCACAGGCATGCCATGACGTATCCCCAGTTTGCCCAGATGCTGCGAGGGTTGCAGGGAGAACGCGTCCGCCAGGGCTTTACGTCGTTTGACAAGGACAAGGATGGGTTCATTGAGCCAGAGGACTTTCAGCGCATTGTACGCGAAACGGCCAGCCACAAGCTCTCCGACTATCTCCTCGAGAATCTGCCGACGCTCTGCAACATCTCAGCAGGAAGCAAGATTTCCTACGCCAACGTGCGCGCCTTCCAGAACGTCATTCAGCAAATGGACATGATTGAGCTTATTATTCGCAATGCGACACAAAAGAGCTCCGACGGCAAAATCACCCGCACGGATTTCCTCAACGAGGCTGCCAGGATAAGCCGCTTCAACCTGTATACGCCCATGGAGGCGGATATCCTCTTCCACTTTGCTGGCCTAGACGAAACTACGGGCCGGCTGGGTCTGCGCGATTTCGCTCGCGTTCTCGATCCGTCGTGGCACCGCGTGGGCACGCTAGGAGCCAACGCGATATCTGACGTTGGCCAAAAGGTCTTTGCAACCACACACTCGATATGGCACGACGTGCTCGAATCGGTCCACCACTTTGCGCTCGGGTCCTTGGCTGGTGCGTTTGGTGCATTGATGGTGTACCCGATCGATTTGGTGAAGACGAGGATGCAGAACCAGAGGAGCTCGGGTGTCGGACATGTTCTGTACAAGAACTCGCTGGACTGCGCAAAGAAGGTGATCAAGAACGAGGGCTTCAAGGGTCTCTATTCCGGCGTGCTCCCACAGCTTGTTGGTGTGGCACCGGAGAAGGCGATTAAGCTGACGGTCAATGATCTTGTGCGCGGGAAAATGACGGACAAGTCGACGGGCAACATCAAATTCGCAGCTGAGATGCTCGCGGGTGGTTCAGCGGGTGCTTGTCAAGTAGTGAGTAATTTCAGTGTCTCGAAACCAGCGTGTAATAGTAGTAGTAGTAGAGGGCACAACAGGCTAACACGGAATGTGAATAGGTGTTTACGAACCCCCTGGAGATTGTCAAGATCCGGTTACAGATTCAGGGTGAACTCTCAAAGAACGTCGAAGGAGTACCCCGGCGTTCTGCCATGTGGATTGTCCGGAATTTGGGTCTTGTTGGTCTGTACAAGGGAGCTAGCGCATGTCTCCTGCGTGATGTCCCTTTCTCGGCCATCTACTTCCCGGCGTACAGCCACTTGAAAAAGGACGTTTTCGGCGAGAGTCCTCAGAAGTCTTTGGGGGTTGTCCAGATGTTGACTGCCGGTGCCATTGCGGGTATGCCTGCGGCGTACTTTACCACGCCGTGCGACGTGATCAAGACGAGGTTGCAGGTCGAGGCTCGAAAGGGCGAGGCGACGTACAACGGGCTTCGGCATGCGGCGCAGACCATCTGGCGAGAGGAGGGCTTCAGGGCCTTTTTCAAGGGTGGGCCCGCGCGTATCATGCGATCGTCGCCCCAGTTTGGATTCACGCTGGCTGGCTACGAGGTGCTACAGAGGTATGTTTTCTTGGGCAGCGTTGGAGAGCACGGGGCTAACGAGTTGATTTCAAGGGCGTTGCCGATGCCAGGAGCAGAGTCGCACTCTGAATCCAGCCTGGAGCCTTCGGTTGGGCTCGCAGAAGCCAAGGCACCGTTGCCGTATCTCCGCAGCCGAAACGCTCTCAAGGTGATTCTGGACCTGGACGAGAACTTTGGGCGACCGCGGATGCCTCCGGGCGCAAAGTTCACGGGCATTCCCGGGTTTGGGGGCAGTAGCAGCAGCAGCAAGCCAGAGGCATGATGTGGTGATTGGTGCGCACGTGCGCAGGCCGATTGTGCATTGTGTGGCTGAGGGTAAAATGGGATTGGACGAGATTTGTACATGGCGTTTTTCATTTTGGGCGTAAGCATTGCTTGCATCAGCCTGGTTATGATTGGGGGTTTTTTTTCAGCCTTGTCCTCGCCATTGCTCAGCCGCAAAGGTGATGGTGATGGTGATGGTGGGGGTGGGGTTGGCGTGAGTGTGAGTATGGAGCGTGGATGCATTCAGCAACAGCACATTAGAGGAGGAGATTTGAGGCATTTCTAGACAGGGGCAGTGTACGATAGTCTAGTGGGGGAGAGGGTAGAAATAGCATTAGCATGGTGAGCGAGGGGGACAACATGGGCGTGTAGTAGACCAGACACGGGCAGTCAATATATTTTTGCACCAGTTCCGACGTGATAGGGCCGTGGCATGTTTGGGGGATGGCTGACGGGGGCGCATAGGCCTGGAGTTCGCTTGACCCCGCGCATGCATGGCCGCACGGCAACAGCCAATGCCAGGAGGGCACGACGAGGGAGCACAACAACGACGACAGGAAGGCTTTCTCTCGGAGGGAGGGGGCGCGCTGCTGGCTGGATGGAAGAAGTCGAATCAAGGATTTATCCGCTTTCATTTTTATTTTTATTTTTATTTTCATCTTATTTTGGGCAAAGACACGCAGGGTGGTGCACGCACTCACTACCAGGTGAGGTGAGGTGAGGTGAGGTGAGGTGAGAGAGCCCCACGGGCAGCTCTAGGCGGACTTTGGCCCGAACCCCATGGGAGAGAGGCAGAGAGAGGGCCCAGGGCCCAGAGCAGAGGGCAGAGAGGGGGATGAAAGCGGGGAGAGAGGAGCGAGCGAGCGCAGCGCAGCGCACAGACGCAACCGTTGGTTGGCATTGGGCGGCCGGCCGTGGGTTGCCCTGCTTTGACGGCGGGAGCCTCAATGTCACTCGGGGATTGGAGCCTCGCGCCGCTGTAGGCAGTAGGGCAGTTAGGCAGGTTGAGGTAGGGTAAGCTCCCGCTGCGCCTCGAAGCAATCATGGGCGAGCGAGCGAAAAGCAGCCAGGCTCGAGTCAATTGCTTCACTCTTCTCGTCCTCGACCACCTACCTGCAGCAACCTCTCTCTCTTTCTCTTTCTCTACCTCTCGCTCTCTCCTCCCCCGGCCAAAGTCACGAGTCAGTCAGCCTCTCTGCCTCTCCTCTCCCCGAGTTCCCGCCGTTTTTGCCAGCCCCCGCAATCAGCCTCCTCATCAAAGAGCGCGCTGGCCGTCGTGCCGTCGTCGCCGTCTCAAGCTGTGCGGGCAGACGCATACCACCCCATCGTCGTTGTCGTTGTCGTTGTCGTTGTCGTTGTCGTCGTCGTCGTAGATGCCAAGGTCGTTATCCGTCCCCGTCCAGCTGCCTGCCAGCGCACTTGGGCTCGACTTTGATGTTTTGCCGTTGGCAGCCTTCGACACCGCCTTGAGGCTGAAAAAGTAGTAGCTAGTAGTAGCAGTAGCAGCAGCAGTAGTCGTTGTCGTCGTCGTCGCCGTCGTCGTCGCACTGGCACCCTTCGGGTACGTTTTTCAACCGCGCAGAGCCGCCTCGAGGCCTTCTCCACCCGGCACTTGCCTACTACCTGTTTCTCCATAATTCTTCCACGCTTTCCTCGTCGTCCCTCGCGTGCGTGCCTGCGTCGAATCATCTGTCCCTTTTGCATCATACAACTGAGTCGACCAAACTTCCCAACCAGAGAATCTACTTTTTTTTCTTGGACCGTCGCCGCGACAGGAATGCCATCCATGGTCATGCTAACGCTCCTCCAGACAGCCATCAAAGACTGGGCTCGTTGTAACACTCGTTCTCTCCGCCGCTGCCGTCTTGGTCTCTATCTTGGAGCTTTCGACGAGGTGTCCTTGGGATAACCACGTTCCCTCCTCCCATCATCTGCCTACTCGTACTTCTGTACTCTACCCCCCCGTCGTCATTACCCCACATGCTCGATTCCGGGGCATACTACGAAGACGACGACGCACTTCTAAAATCTCCTGGCCTCCAGCCCGTGGTTGTCAAAGCAAAGCCAAGCCCTTCTCCGCCGCCCATCATCACCCACATTTTCCAACCACCCCCGAGGATCCAAAGCGTCAGTTCTCCTTCCTCCCGAAGACAGAACAAGTCTAATCGACGCAAGACTCGGCCCACCCAAGGAGACTGTGTCCTCATCCGTGAGATGGCTCCGAACCGACCGGACATTGCGCAGCAAGTGAGTGAGCAAGCACTCAACTCGGATTCAGAGTCAGAGGTAGACGACGACCCCATGGACGACGAGTCGCCAGACACGGCTCCTTCAGCGCCCAACCTGCCGACAGCGAGACCCCCGCACAGAGATTCAGTAATGGAAGCAGACGACCTCATGTCCACAAGTCTTGCGGTAGATAGGCGCCCCTCACACCCGTCGTCACTGGCCATAGTACCCAACCATGCACGCCTACCTACACACGGCACGCCTTCGACGACGCCCGCCGCTTCCACACTGTCGGCCACGTCACCAGACCAGTCAGCCCTGCTACATGGGGCAGTCACCAATGGACACCCCCACGACCACTTCTTAGCAACATCACCCCACCTTCAACAGCTGACAATATTGCACTCCAGAGGGCCAACGACAGACACCCTCCCCGCACTACAGACGCAATCCCCACCACGTGACGGGGCAGCAGGCTCGCCCATTCAGCAACAGCCACTACCGTCCTTTCGACACCTCGACGATATAGCACGCTCGGCAACAAGTGATCAAGAAGCAAATCGGGCAAATGGTGCATTCCTCCATCGACAGTCAATCTCTTCAGTCGGGCATTCGCCCACCTCAATCGTACGACAGCTGTCCATAAGCTCCCACTCTCCAGCCACGCCTTTCCCTCCGCTGAGCGCTTCCTCGCCTGTCAGTGCAAGTAGCGAGCTACAGCGAGGAGACCTCTTTCTAAGATTAGGAGGCGGAGGCGTCTTTGGTGCTGATGCGCGGAGACCTTCACAAGCATCCGAAGGCGGGCCATATGCCTCTACTTTACATTCAGCATCCACGAGCGAAAGCTATCAAAGCTCAGAAGGCCCTAGTCCTGGGACAGCACAAACACCCATAGAGGGCCGCCCGCGGCATATGAGCTTAGACGGTGCGCTTGCGTCAAGACTGTTACCCCCACCTATTGGCTCCGGTATACAGCATATACCTTCGCACGGCTCTGGTGCGTTCAAGTGCGATTATCCTAATTGCAATGCTGCTCCTTTTCAGACGCAGTATCTTCTCAAGTAAGTTCAACTCCCAGTATAAGCGCTTCCTTACAAATTTCCCATAGCTCGCACGCAAATGTACATTCACAGAGTCGACCACACTACTGTCCTGTCATTGGCTGTCCACGAGCCGAAGGGGGAAAAGGCTTCAAGCGAAAGAACGAGATGATCCGGCACGGTCTGGTCCACCAGTCCCCTGGTTACGTTTGCCCGTTCTGTCCAGATAGAGAACACAAGTACCCAAGGCCTGACAACCTACAAAGGTGCGTCCCATCCAACAGATTCCAACTGACTCGATGCTGATTTGCATCTTGTTCAACAGACATGTACGCGTGCATCATGTCGACAAGGATAAAGATGACCCGCAACTACGTGACGTCCTTGCGCAGCGTCCAGAAGGTGGCAGTCGTGGACGAAGGAGACGAGTGAGTGACATTGGTTGCTAAGTCCCTTCGTCTCTGACGAGCTTCAGGTATCTTCCTGATGATTTCAACTTCCATTCCGCGCAGGGACGCAACTCATCTTTTTTTTTTCGCTTCGCCAATGCGGGAAAAGAAACGTTGGTAACCGGTTATCCGGGTTTGTCTGCTATTTTCTTGATTTTTTTTTCAGTCGCACATCGTCTCCTGGCGTTTTCGGACGATTGAATGATACACCCCCACTGCCCAGGCGACACGAGCACCTTTCCAGGCGAAAATTGGACTTGGCTCGACTTGTTATAACTATTATCCTCTTACAGCTTTTCTTGTAATTCCGTCTTGTGGCCTTATTTTCACTTCTCCTGTCTGTGCTTATTCTTCGCTTCATTCACCCCAAGTCGATCGCTAGACTTTTTTCCCTTCTGGCTCGCGCCGCATTTCCCAAAGACCATGGTGCGTTTTTGTATGGTACAGTCCGTTGATTGTACTTTCTATCCCTATCCATCTCCCATGGATACTTGGCACCACTTTGTAGTAGGATGGGATCCGACAGACTTGGCTTCTTGCTTCTATTTCCGTAGATCCCTAGGGTGCTGGCAGGGCACGTGAAAGACACCCTCTGTTGAATGTTGAAGGTTCCACCTGCTGAGGTGTGAGCAATCAAATCTAAAACTCTTACCTGATCTGCCAAGTTACCAATCCCCTCCCTTTGATCATGGTATTAGCTTCTGACCAAAATTACTACCTGAACATGTCTCGCCAGCGCTCAGCAAGCCACCTTTGCGCCATGACGTGGCAAGTTGCATCGGGCACAATCACGGGGACACTTGTTTCAAGCGGAAGGTATGCGGAAGCTCAAGGTGTGCATCAAGGCCGCTGTGTGTATAGGGGAGCAAAGTTCGGCAGTGCATGGTATTGGAAATGGTAAAACAGGGAGCAAAAGAAAAAAATGGAGGAGCAAGGGGAAGCGCAAGTTTGAAATTGTTCATTTTCATGCCGGGTGACCCAGCACTATCGTTGGATACATAGGTGATGACCCGAATGCATTGCCTCGCGCCATAACCCTGGAATGCTAGAAAAGACCCATGTCGCCCAAAACCCCCTCTCTAGTACCTCTTGCCCTCGCGCAGGAGATCTGAGAACTCTGCAACCGGGCTCTCAGTGAGCTTCGTCTCTTTCCACAGGTTGGGTGTGAGGAAACCGTAGGTGTTTGCGACGGCGACAAAGGTAGCCTTCAGCGTATTCTCGAGCGTCTTGGTGGAGCCGGCCGAGGCGGTGTAAATGTCGGAAACACCAGCGAGCTGCAACAGGCGCTTGACAGCGGGGGAAGCGACCAGACCAGTACCGCGGGGAGCAGGAATGAGACGGACGGTAACGGAACCGCACTTTCCGCTCTCCTTGGTGGGCAGCGAGTGAGGCTCACCGAGGTTGGTTCCCCAGTAGCCTCTTCGGATGGGCACGACGGAGAGCTTGGCGATGATGATGGCGGCGCGGATGGCGGTCGCGACTTCCTTGGACGTCTTGATACCGAGACCAATGTGGCCCTCAGAGTCACCGATGACGACGATGGCCTTGAAGCGGGTACGCTGACCGGCACGGGTCTGCTTCTGGACGGGCTTGATCTTCATGACCTCGTCCTTGAGCTTGGGCAGGAAGAAGTCGACGATCTGGTACTCCTTGACGGGGAGAGAGTGGAGGTAGCTGCAAAACTGTCAATAAAGCGCGCCCAATCCCAATTTGCAGCTGTAGCAAACGTACATCTCCTCCATGCTCTTGATCTTGCCAGCCTTTACGAGACGGCCGAGCTTGGTAACGGGCTGCCATTCCTTCTCCTGTACCAGTTGTCAATTTTCTGCCATCTGCAGCCTCGAAAGCTGGATATGCGCACCTCGGTCTTTCCGCCACGGCGACCGCGTCCACGACCGCGGCCACGGCCACGATCACCTCCACGATCACCACGAGATCCGAATCCGCCGCGAGCGGGAGCAGGTGCGTCAGCCATGTTGTATGTCGGTGGAATAGACGGCTGCTAGAGTCACGCTGTCAGCGATGGTCCGAGAGGCCGTTTTGAAGTTGAAAAAGACGTACGGTTGGGTGTCCTGGGTTCGTGCTGTTGTCGCGGTGTCGATTTGACGTTATTCGAGAGACCAAATTCGCTCTCGAGGTGGGCTGCTAAGCGAGGCCGAGAGTTGGGAAAAGAGCTAACACCCGACTAGGCATGGCGGGGCGGAGGTTCGTCGGGTTGGACCCACGTGCAGTCGAGCAACACTCATCCATTTCTCTTGGACACACCTCTGACCCCCATTTTACTTGTATTTCATGTGAAGTTTCCACCTGAAAACGAACTACCTTCTCTCGTCCTTCCGATCCTTTGTTCAAAGAGGAAGCCTCAAAGGTGCTTCGACGTGAATTGCTCCTTGGAACCACCCTACCTTCTTCCAGCCCATGCTCCCCATCTACCACCAATTCATCCCACAGACTAAAGTACCCTTTTCGCGTTCTCAACAACCGCCCTGCCTGCCCTGTGACTTTTGAGCGAGAGCTCCATGACCACCTGGTACATCAATAGTCACCTGCCTTCCCTCACGAAAGGCGCCTCCGCTGACTAAGAAACCTCCGAGCCCAATGATTTGTTCAGTGTTCACATGGCAGTAATGAGTTCATACCTCGCCCGAACAAACACACACGACAACTCCAGGGCTATCAGATCAGCTTCCTCCCCTTCTTGCCAACATCACTCCCCTCTCCATGATTAGCCATGTCCATCTTCAACTCGGTACTCGGCTCCCTGTCTCCTCCTAGATTTCGGAACTCCTTTGAAGATCCGCACGCACGCGACCATGAGCTACCACTTTACAACTCCCCACCTTCTCCACGTGTACCACCTCCGGTAACCTCATCAGTGCTATGGAGTATGCCCAAATCAAGCTTATCGCCTCCACCTCGCGTCCCCGACGGTTTATTAGCGCTGCAACGACGAGCGCGACACCTCGAACAGCAGCTTCAAGAGCTTCTCGACGCGCAAGCAGATGCTTTGATGGGTGCTTTGAGTGGGAAAGACACGATACCGGAGGATCTGGTGTCGAATGGTAGTACCACGCCGACAGTCAGCAGTGTCAGATCCACGGACAGAAGCGCCGAGAATGGAAACAACGAGTACATGCCTAGAAAGCAGAAGGTGGGTCTTAATGCTGCGAGGCTGGGCATATCGAGACGGATAAGGCGACTGGCAAGCGTCAGAGCTGAGGAGCTGGATCTGCTAGACGAAGACTTGAGGAACCTGCAACTCACACTGGAAAATACTGAAGCTTGGAGCCAGAAGCGCTTGCGCCTGGAGAATAAGATAAAAGACATCGAGGGTGAGAGCGTTGGCGCAAGGGCTCAAACTCTACAGATCGAGGCATCCAAGTTGGAGCAGGAGATACGGCAGAAGGAGGAGGAGCTGTGGGCTCTCAAAAGGCGGCATCGACGGATCTTGGATGAGCTGGCAGATACCGAGAATTCTGTAGAAGCGAAGCTATCTTCCTACAAGACATCATTATCGCTTTTGGACAGAGAGATTTCGAGCTTCCTGGCACGACCCCCGAACGCGAACCACGTATCACTATCGTCATCTCCCTTCCTTTCCCTCCCCGCGAAACGAAGGACGCTTGAAATGGCACGCGAGTACTGGCAAGACGAATACACAAGATTGGCCGAGAAGTGTGAAGAGGTCGACACGGATCGTAGTGCACTCGACGAAGGTGCCTTCATGTGGAACGATGTGGTGAAGAAGGTGGCAGATTACGAAACAAGTCTTCAAAGTTACATGCAACAAGCAGGACGGCGTGACTCCCCAGATTCTTCAAAACTACTAGAGCAGATGGAATCAACGATCAGATATCTTGAGGAGAAGTCGGACCTTGCTTCTTCTAGAAGTTGGAACCTGCTTGTATGTGCTATTGGAGCGGAGCTAGAAGCCTTCAAGCAAGGCAAGGAGGTCCTAGAAGAAGCTCTTGGAATGAGGCGAAAGGGCAAGGAGAAAGCTGTTGAGACACTATTGGACCACGATGACTTTCATTCGGCGCCAAATGAGGAGATGACAGGATCTGCGATCAGAATAGGCCGCTCTCCGCCCAAATCTGTTCCGCCTAAGCAGCACTTGTTTGATACTGACGATGAGGATCCTGACCCAGAGCTTATGATATCACATCAAGATACCGATACAGACTAGAAGACTACTAGCTTTCCATTGTAAATTATTGTATGTCTCAGTAGGATAGATTATCAATGCTGGGATGCGAGATGTGCTATTAGCCTAATTCTCGTCGTGTAGCGTAGTCGAATACATGCGACTCATTGTACCATCTCAGCATGAAGCTTGCCTATTCATCGCGGCGAAGATGCACAACTTCTTGTACTTTGCTGACTAAGAGTCCTAATCTCAGCACAGGCAAACCGGGAATCCTCCGCAATCCTGGACTTTCCCCCACACTCTACACAGCCAAGTCGCACGAGCTGTAACTAACCGCCCCAACCTAACCGAGTCATGCGATGAGCTGAGGACTTGCGACGGGGTCTCGAAATGACCCAAAGAACGCGGCAGTCGCCAGAGCCGCACTACAGCTTCACGATTCCCTCTATCCATGATGATATGACACTCGATTGTCGCATATATCACCCAGCTGCCCTGAACACCTCAGATGCTGCAAGTAAGACACGATGGAGGAAACGAGGAATCATTATGGCGCATCCTTATGCACCAATGGGCGGTAGTTACGATGATCGTGTGGTGGGTATCGTTGTGGACGAGTCCTTGAAGGCTGGCTGGATAGTCGGATCTTTCAACTTCAGGTAGGGTTCATTCCGCACACTTGCGATGGGTGACAAGATGATTGACTCTTATAAGAGGTGCACATGGTTCAAAAGGACGCACCAGTTGGTCAGGCAAGCCAGAACTCGAAGACTATAGCTCCTTCGCCGCCTTTTTCCTGCACTATATGTGCTACCTGCAGCCGTCTCCAATTTCAGATATTCCTTTCACGCCTGAGCAGTCTCCTGTATCACTACTGTCGCACAGCTCAGGCGACTCCACGCGGACGCGGAGTGGAGAGCCCCCAGTAGTCATACTAGGCGGGTACTCATACGGCTCCCTGATCCTTAAACATTTGCCGCCCCTTCCAACCATTCTACATCCTTTTTCTTGTCCTATAACAGGTAGCGCTGCGGATGAGATACTTCTACGGGCACACAAGCTCGCCGGCCAGAGTAGCCTGGAATGGAAAAACTTTGCTAGAGAGCAAGCACGAGAGAAGAGAAGAAAGCCTGGACACGAGCCAAAGCTTTCTGTTACGATGGGCGGAGAGGAGACGAGTGCCTACCAAAGGAGAAGCAGTCGAGAGATTCGCAGGAGTTTTGATGGGAGTCGGAGCCTGGATCTAAAGACCCGGATAAGAAGCCTGAGCCATCGAAGGCTTGCGGAAGAAGGGCCAGTCTCGCCGCTGGAAGAGACGAAGAACGTGGATGTCACAGTAGCAGAGGTCCGATATCTACTCATATCACCCCTTACGTCCCCTATCTCTACGCTTGCGGCGCCAGCTCTAGGCCACAAGTTTTGGAGCAGGCCAAGCGAAGGTTACCAGGAGGTTGTTGGGAAGCATGCAGCGCTAGCCATTTACGGTGACCAAGATATCTTTGCTTCTGCAAAGAAGATCCACGACTGGGCTGAGCACCTCAAAGCTGGGCCTGAATCACAGTTCATCGGTGTTGAAGTCGAAGGAGCTGGACATTTTTGGATTGAAGCGGGGGTCGAAAGGACGCTAAGGGCAACGCTGAGAGACTGGGTGGCTGAGATTTAAGTATAACATGAAAGCTAACATGCCCCACTTTCATGAAAATAATAGCATACCAATTGTACACATCAAGCCAACAACGCGACCGTGACTATCCGACAGATGAAGCAGACCCGATCTATATAATGGACAATCATTTTTAGTTTGAGACGGGAAAGTTAAGGTCGACTTAATAGCAAAAGAAGGAAAGCGTCATAGAAGGAGACTAGACAGCAGGCCCCAAAGCTATAAGTCTATGTAACAAGGCCTGTAGTGCCGACAGCAATCCTAAAATAGGGTTAAAGCCTACTGAATCATCGTTCAAGCTGCGAAGGAAACGGCCGGGCAACGGTTGCGTTGTTTCTGTCGGTGACGCCACTGGCCCATACCGCGATCAAGTCCCATCTTGGGATCTGCGGAGAAGCATTCGCGAGAGCGGTGGTCAAGAGTATAGAAATCGCGGAAGCTGCAGATAGACGGGCATAGCTTGGTTTGACTATATGCGCAAATAGGAATTTGTTGTGGCTGCTTAAGTACGGATTGAGCTTCAATAACTAGTCTCTGGTAACCTCGACTTTTCGTAGGTTCTTGGAAGTCACAGACGGAGGTTTCTGGCTGCTACCACGGCGCTCGGTTCCTTGGCAGTGGAACATGGCGGGACTTACATCTCATCAACTTTAGATCATTCTCTTTCCTCTAAAGTCGAGAGCGCGTTGGGCATGTTCGTAGGTCCAGTTTGCTGCTCTGGAAATTATACATACCGCGCTAGCGGGTCGTAGAGTAGATGTCAGTAGGAAGGCAACGAGTATTCCAACAAGAAGCAGGATTCGGAAAAGACACCGTACTTCATGCAGCAGATAGACCCCCACAAATCTGGAGACCAAAGGAAGGTCGGTTGCATTATATGAACTTGTTAATACCACGTTATGAAACACTTCTAAACAGAGTTTATGCAGTCCTTGCGTACCTGAGATCCTACAAACGCAGTACTAAAAGGTACACTATTGTTAGAGATAATCTCATGTTAGATATAAAATAACGTATTACACAGGCAAGCTGCGCGCCTAGGCGAGCTGCGCACTTTATTAAAATTTTACTAAAATTTAAACTAATATATTACACAGGCAAGTTAGTTGCCTAGTTAAATTAATTATAATGCTAAAATTTTACTACAATTAGTAATTTTTTACTATTAAATGTAATGCTTTAATATAATAATATATAATTTTTTTTAAAAAAAAATTAAATATAGTTTATAATTTAAGCTTTAAAATATAATATAAATTTTTTTTAATAAAAAATTGCGCAGATTTATAGTATTTTTTAAATAATATTTAATAATTAACTAAAAAGAAAGTTTTTATAATATAATACTAAGCCTAATAAAATAAAACTTTTTTAAAAAAAAAAAAAAGTAATTGCTTAGTATATACTTTACTTTAAAAACTAAAAATTTCTGCTTTAACTAGTTACTATAAATAATATAACTAATATTTTACTAGCTAAATATAGGCAACTACTTATTAGTAAAAATTAGGCTAATACGTTTATTAAATAATATTTATAGCTTAATATTAAAAAATTTTAAAAGTATAATTACTAAAAAGTTTTATATAAAGATCTTAAGCTTATATAAAGCTAGTTCTAATTTATAAAAAATATAAAAGCTAAATATAGTATTTAAAATAAAAATATATATAATTTTAATAAAATAAGCTTTATAATAAACTAAATATTATATAAAACTATTATTTTAAGTACTAATTATTAAAAATAGCTAAAAATAGTGCAGCAAAGTAATTAAAAGTAAATAATAGTAATTTAAAGTATTAATATAATAAAATAAATTATTTTATTTTTTATTATTTTTGTAGGCAAGAATTACTTTTTAGCCTAGTATTAAAAAAAATAGCCTGCTTTATAATTAAGTTATTATAGTTTTTAAAAATAGCTAAATAATAAATAAATTTATTTTTAAATAATTAAAGTACTTTAATAAGTATACTAAAAAAAAATTATTAGTACTTATTATCTGCTTGTTATTAATAGTTTTTTTTATAGAAGCTTGAGCTGCTATTGCAGCTATACAATTGTAGTTAAATTCAAATATTATAGCTTATTAAGGAAAAGCTTCTACGGCTCTAAAAACCTTAATAATTTAGTTAACTATATTTCTATAATTAAAAGTAAAGTCAACGCTAGAGCGGATTATACTACGCAGTAAAAAAAATTAGTATAAAAATTATAGTTTAGGTACTATACTTAGCATTTTAATATAGTATTAAAGCAGTAAAGTTTATATAATACTAAGTTAGCTAAATAAATTATTAAAAAATTTTTAATAATTATTATTAGCAGCCCTAATATGTTATTATCTAAAAATTATAGTAATAGAACTATAAATTTTTTAATAGTAACTAAATTATTTAAGTATTGCTAGGCAGCTTTAAGTTTTAACTATAAATTATTATTAAAGTACAGATAAATTTTTAAACTAAAATTTAAGTAAACTTTAGTTTAGTAGTAAGCTTGCGCTTTAATAGCTAATATTTTTTTATAATTAGTAATAGCTTGCGTAATAAATATAGTTTTTATAAAATATATAAAATAAAGCTTATAGTTAAAGCTTATAATTATATATTATTATTTATTATATAGTTGTATTGTCGCGCGTCTTATAGTTATATATAAATAAAAAATTAAAAGTTTAAATAGTAAAAGTTTAAATATATAAGTAGTAAAGTATATATTTGCATACTTATTTTATAAATTAAAACTTATTTTTATTTTTTTAAGTTTCCTATTTTCTACTTCTATTTCTATATTAAATATAAATAATATAATACTAATAAATAAACTTATGCATACAGGCCTGCAAGTTACTATTATAGCTAGCAATACTAGCTATAAGCTATTAATAGTTGCCTAGTATAAATTACTGCTTTTTAACTATTTTAAGCTAGTAAATAGTAACTACTAGTATTATAAAAAAGTATACAAATATTTTAAAATTAACTTTTTTTTTTGCAATAGGCTTTTTTTATTTTGTTTAATTAATTTTAATTTTCTAGCATTTTTTTATAATAAGCTAGTTATAACTAAGCAGTAGCAATACGCAACTTTTTTTACAATTAGCTATTATATAATAATACAAAACCTTGACTTTAGCTGCAACTAGGCTGCTTTTATTAAAAATTAAAAAAATAAGCTTTTATAGCTTATAAAAAATATTAAAAGTAATATAAAGCTTATAGCGTATTAAAAAAAGTTTTTTAAAAACTATAATTACTAGCAGTACAATAATTAGAAAATGTAGCTTTTTAAAATAGTTAATTTAGTATATAAGTAGACGTAAGCAGTAAAGCAAGCAATAAAATAAAAAAATAAATAATAATAATTTAAATATACTATAAATAATAGCTTGCATAGGCGAAAAAGAAAAGCAAAAAAGTAGTTAAGCATTTAAGTTAATATTGCAGGAAAAGTTATTATTATTATTATTATTATTATTATTATTATTATTATTATTATTATTAGCGTTATTATTGCTTAAAGGCCTAGTATTAGTCAGCTACTTGGCAGTTTAATATTATACTAAATATTTAAATATATACTTAAAAGCTGTTAAAAAAGACTGCGCCTTAGTAGTTAAAGTTATATTATTAAAAATTAGAAGTTTGTTACTTAGCAATTCTAAAAATAAAAGTACGCAATATACAGTAAAAATACTAATAATATAAGCTATTAATAATACATTAGGTCCCGTCTTCGCGGGTTAGTTAACTATATAGCTAAGTTTAATAAATTATTTAATTAAATCTAAATTATATCTAAGTTATACCTAAATTATATCTAAATTATATGTAGTAAACTGAGTTTAAATCCTGCAATTTCTAACAATAAAAGCTGTATTTTTTTTCTTTTTTGCCAAATTTAGTTACCTACCTAAGTAAAAATCTAAATTTTTGCAGCTTGGTTTTTCGTAACCGACTTTAGAAGGCCTTTTTGCCCTCGCTATAGCTGTCGATTTATTAATAGTTATAAAAGCTATATATTAGTTTAATTTTAGTAGTACTATAAAAAATAAAAAATTATTACTTTTTATATGCTTTTGTATTTATTGCACCTACTATAGCTACTTAATATAAATTATTTTGTATTTTTAAAAAAGGCGTATAAGTGCTAAGCTAGAAAACTAATATATAATAATATTAATTATATTATTAAAATTAAGTTTTTACTGTACTTTAAACTAGCTTTTAATACTACTATTATAAAAAGTAATATTTTAAATAGCTTTAAAAGCGCTAGTCTAGTTTTTTTTTAATTTTAAAACTATAATATTAAAATTTAATATTTAATTATATACTTTACTACTACTTACTATTAAAAACAGTTTCTAAAAATTAAAAATACTAAGTAATATTTTAAAATTTAAATTTTAATTAATACTAGTTAAAATAAAAATTTAAAAGCACTTAAATAGTTTTTTTACTTTAATAGTTAAAATTTTTAAATTTTTTTTAAAAAGTATAGCTATAATTGCGTATAAGTTTATATTAGTATAAAAAAAAATTACTAAGCTTTAAGCAGCTAATAAAGCTGCTATATAATAAAAATTATATAAAAAAAAGTAAATATAAAAAAAAAACTTTTATAGTAGAAAATAGTTTTTAACTAATAATTCTAAAAAAGTTTAAAGCGCATAATAATAATAAAAAAGTAAAAAAATAAGCGTATACTAAAGTAAGTAAACTTTTTTAAAAATACTATAAATACTATAATAAAGCTAAGTATAATATGCAAATATGCAAATAAAAAGTAAAAATAATTTTTAAATAAATTAGCTTATTATAATTTACTACTATAATCTTTTATAGTACTATATTATTATATATAATACTAATTTTAGTAAAGTTTTAGCAAAGTGCGCAGCTTGCCTAGGCGCGCAGCTCGCCTATGTAATACGTTAACTAATTATTTTATTATTATATTTTTAATATTTTTAAAAAGCTTTATATAGCTAT